TTTATTTTTAAGTGATTACACATGAATTTAAACAGAATTTAAGTTTTAAACTCCATCTCTACGGAGTCTGTTTTGCTGAATGATGCTAAAAATTACATACTGCACCTTTAAGTGGAGGCATATGATGAATCGTTTGGTGATGGCTGTTGCAGTAAAGTAACTAACATGAATTTTAAAAAGTGGTTCATGAATATTTTTTAACTCCTTTACCCAGAAATCATCTCATGTAGATGTGAAAATGACACTCGCGTCACATTTTCTTCAGGATATAAAAGTAAAAGATGAATCTGCTGGGGAGTGAGGATCATTTTGACCCTGAAATAAAGCAGAGCTGACGCAGTTTTCTGGTTATCCTTTGTTGATTGTTTACAGTGCAGGTTGGTGCTGCCAGTTTTGGATTCAGACACACATCTGTCTCATCAGTAAACATGAATTCAACAGAACGCCTCCTCCCCACGGCTGCAGATGTGCAGCTTGTCAGATGTGTTTTCTCTCTGCTGGTATATTTGTGGTAAAACTCCAAAAGGACAAAAGTGAGGGCAGCATATTTGAGAAAGTTCTCAGCGATGAGATCCTCTGTCTGTAAGCATGTAAGACATCTGATTTCCTCGGTTGAAGAGTGAGTCTGCATTTTCTTTCTTTTTCACTCCAAATTTTCTACCTCACATCAGTTCAACTACATCAATTTCCCAGAGTGCCAAGCTGCCAAAATGCAGGATATGAGGAAATGTCAGATATTATCCCCTGACAGCCTTACGTAACTCCTGAGCGTGTGTCGGGGCTAATCCTCTTACAGGCGAGTCGCCTTAACAGGAAACAAAACACAGTTTGCCTCCTCTGTCCCCTGCTTTTAATAATCAAAATGGAGTTTGAGCAAAGGCCATCTCACCAGGGTAATCCAGGCAGCAGGGAAAAGCCTCTGCTCTCTAATCTATGATTATTTGAGCATTCAAAGAGAGCAGATAGTGATCGAGGCTGGATAAACAGATGTGTTTGGTTATTAAAATGCATCAGCAGGGACTTCCAGCACAATGCCCGTCCCAGAGGTACAGTAATGCTGGGCAAAAACCACAGAGTGTGGAAGGTGAGGTGGGCTCATTTGCACATTTAGAATTAAATATTGACTCTACGACTGAAAAGCATCATTGATTTTTCCTGCTTTCCCACATTTAACCCACTGTTGTGAGGCTGTGATGTATTCAAAGATGCTGATGACTTATCTGGACAAAGAGAAAAGCTCATTAGTCATATTAGATCACACAGTTTGGCCTCAAGTCAGAGTTCAGTCAGTTTTAGGATCATTAACATTGTTGATCTTTCCCCTTTCTTAAAATTTTCAGCAAAAAGACAAAAAAATATTGAGTTAAATCAACAGTTAATGCACTGCTTAGATACACGAGGATGATATCATTCACTGATCACATTTAAATCCTTCAGATATTGTGTGTTTTTGTACAGAGGATTTGTTTAATAACGTGATATGATTATCATCTGATGTTAAAATGAGGATTACGCCCATAAAACTGCAGCTGTGGAGCTGGCGCACTTCAGCACTCTGCTGCCTCCTTGTGGTGTAAAAGAGAAGTACAGCTCAAGACACAAAATGCCACAGAGTAAACTGATTCTTTCCCTGCTGAAACAGCCGGGCAGGGTTTTCAGTCTTACACGCTGATATAATTTGCTATAATTCAACCCAATGAACATTGATTATTACATTTCTTGAGAATTAACATCACAATTTTATAACTTTTGCATAATTGGGGGAATTACATCACGATTTGATAAGGTTGCATAATTCATATAACTGGTTAATGCATTTTGATTTTTGTTTCATGCCATATATTATTCAGTCTTAGATGCAGCAAATCACACACATAGCATTTAGAATTTAGTGAACATGTTTTATTTTAATCACTTAAGGATGTTTAGTGTTTGATATGATGATCAGGGTTTTATGAAAGTAAGAACTTTCAAAGGGGGGACTGTGTAGGAGAATCTCTTCATACATTTAGGTTAAGAAATATAGAGTAATAATCTTTTAGTAAGGAGCTACAAATAATCTAGGTTGGCCTGCTCATGCAGCCTCATGACCCTGAGGTTGTAAGCAAGGCTGTCTTGCAGGAGCCCAAACTTTCTGTCTGTTGGAACATTTAATCTCTGCAAGAGTTAAGACTAGTCTAAACAAAGTGTCGTGGGGCAGACATATCATCGTGAGAAGCCTCCTGGAGAATAGACACACACACACACACACACACACACACACACACACACACACACACACACACACACACACACACACACACACACACACACACACACACACACACACACGAAAGCATACAAGAGAGTAGAAGAAAAGATAGGGAAGCTTCCTTCGGTCTTGGTCGAGACTCTGTTTGTCATCTGTACTGATTTCTACATCTGTACAATAAAAGACGCCCAGGCTGTTCTTCAGATCTCATCCTGTCTCCTGTGCATTGTTTTACTGAGTTAATGCTTGATTTTCTACAACAATGCCTCCTAGTTGATAATTTTATACATTTTTGGGGGTTTGAACACGAGCTGATTAAAAAAACACACATCTGTATCTGGGAAGACTGCATTAACGCTGGAATTAAATGTATTTATTGTGGAGGAGTTTGTGTATTTCAGCTACAGTAGACGACGCTAAACCAGATCTCTTTGTGTCACAATAAAATGGGTCTGTTTAGCTTTTGTCCATCTATGTTCCAACCCTCACCTTGCGCTCTGAACTGCGGGTAATGACTGAAAGAATAAGATCCCAGGTACAAGAGTACGGTGGCCCTGAGGTGCGAAACACAACAGAAAATCAGAAAACACAACGGCTGTGGCGGCCGCTAACAGAACTTTTGCCTTCAAATGAAAAAGTGAGATGATGAAATGAGGTTCAAACAGGATGAGTGAAACGGTCACCAAAAACCCGTTGTCTGACTACAACAGTGAGATTTAAACAACCCGCCAAACATCCCCAAAACCACACCCCTTAGTGTCGATCCCCGTGTTGTGTTGTGTTTTCTTATTTTGCACCTCAGGGCCACCGTACAAGAGTCTGCTGCTTCGGATCCAAAGGAGTCAGCTGAGGTGGTTCGAGCGTATGATAAGGATGCCTCCTGATGCGTCTTCCTGTGGAGGCAGGGAAGGTGATGTTGGAGAAGGCCCAGAGCCTGCAAGATCCTGCTGAGGGGATTATGCTGTAGATCCCATCTGGCCGAGGAGCGCCTTGGGATCCCACTTAGAGAGCTGGAAAGCGTTTCTGAGGATCTGATCCCGGATAAGAAGAAGGAAATGGATGGATGGATGTTGCTGACATTGACAAGGAAACAGCCAATATTCACATTTAGTGTCAGAAGAAGGCAGGATGAAATTTTTGTAAGAAGATACGGTCAAAATCACGATGTAAGGACACAAAAACATGAGTTAGCGTTCCTACGTTTGACTTAAACACCTTTTGATAAAAACTGCAATAATTTGGAAATTTACAGACTGGATTTGGTGAAACGAAACTTTTCATGAATCAAAATGTAATCTAGTTTAGTGTATCTTTGTAGGAAAACTGAGTCCTGTTGATCTAAAGTTGAAGAAAGCCACAAAGCTGAAACACTTTCAGGTTTCTGTAGAATAAATAACGTTTATTACTGCGTCTTATTTCAAATTAAAAGCATGTCTAACATCGCCATACTTTATTGTCTCAGTAGTTTTTATTGTCGGGATTGCATCAATTACACGAGCAAACCTGCGTATCTCCATCTCGCTGTCCTTATTGGTGGGACTCCTGGATCTTTGCACCTTATTTTGAAACCTTAAATTTCTGCAGCTTCAGCCCAGCTTCAGGAAATCCCGCCTTATCGTCCGAGGATACTACGTTCTCTAGTTTTTATTGCACTACACTTCAGCAAAGCAAATATCCTGATATATTTTATTTACAGTCAAACAAAATGTAAACAGGGTTTGTCATTCAGTAAGCTTCAGAGAGATTCTTCCTCTCAGTTAAGTCGAGAAGTCTGTAAAAGTTTTGTTTTAAGGTCAACATTCAGGATCTGAAGACATAACGCTGTTGAGGATCCAAAGTGGTCGAAAGTGTCCGGAGAGAAACAAGAGTGGCAAAACCTGCTGTCAGAAGTCCTCTGTGATGTGGGGTTCAGAGGTCAACACCTGGTCCTGCTGGGTGCAGTTCATCATTTGTCCACCAGGAGGTGCTAGTCTGCCACAGTGAGAGAGTCCAGAGTCGTGCAGGAAATCCAGCACTCTTCCTCTCCTCCACAGCAGGTCGAAAACACCAGCAGACGATCTGAGGAGAGAGGGATTTGAGAACTGCCATCACATGAGGACTTTTAAACAAACTTATACTTTTAAAATACCTGAAATACTTTTTAACTCTTTCAGTTCCAGGTAACATGGTTACAATAATTTGATTTCAGCCTCTGTGAACATTTCCAAAAGTACTTACCCAGCTGAGTCCGCTTCACTAGATTTTTTTTTCTTCAAAATAAAGACTCTTTAAAGCTCCTGTGAAGGTTTTTTATGTTTATGGAACAGACTGAAGTCCATATTAATGCTTTTTCATGAACTCACAGACCATCAGCGACAATATTCACGAGTTTTTCAGAATACAAAAGGAGCTAAAAAAAGTTCCATTTTCCCTATAAGCTGTTTGGACTATTTTTGTTAAAAGTCACTTCTTTGCTCTGTCCAAAAGGGGGCGCCACACAAACCAAAAGTCCCTTACAGGAGCTTTAAATCAAGTGTTTCTGTTAGCAGGATATCAGCACTTTCACCTGCCTGTAGATGTCAGCGCCTGTTATTGGACACATTATTCGTCTAAATACAGTCAGTGGCTTAAATATAAAACAGTTTTTAGTAGATGAGGTTTCACTGGTCTACACTCTGATCTGAACAGGTCAGATCTCCTGTGATGGTCTTCAACGAGGAGGATAATGAAATGTCCTGTAACATATTTATGTCTGTACCCGGTGGTGCGTTCAGGGCCACTCCTTGTGATGGACCCTCTCTTTCCTCTTCCTCTCATTTTTCTCCTTCTGCAGCCTCTCCAGCTCGGCCTCGTACATCATCTCCTGGATCAGGTATTTCTCTCTGCGCATTCGGTCCCGCAGGTCCTTGGGCAGGTCGGGGATCAAGTACGCGATCAGGGTTTTGATGGCAAACACCATATGCTGAAAAAAAAAAAAAGCACTTCAACAAATACTCCCCTAACTTTGAGCTCCACGTTTTAATTTGTCAAAGATTAAAATCACAGACCTCAAACACGATGATGAACGCCAGTCGTGCCGCCAGGACGTGCCAGAACTGTAGAGTGTAGGAGTACGGCTCGGCCGAGTCCGGGGGCTCCCTGTAGTCCCGATACCTGCCAGGTCAAACAGGTCAAAAGGACGTCTGTTCACTCCAACAGAAACATCAAAAAATGAGCTTCTGAATGGTCCAAATCAAAAACAAGAACTTTTAACGGGTCCGCTCTGGTCGTGTTTTCTCTATAATCAAGTAGCCCAGTTACACCTCCTAGTTACACCAAAATATTTGAACCCATTTATCATCTAAAGTCGAGGTTATTCAGAAACCGAATCCCAGGATTTATCACACTTTCATATATGAATGTGTTCTTGTTCAAACTGGGTTATGAACGCTCCAGTTTGACCCACTTATTCTGTAACATAGACTCTGAAAGCAGCTCAGTGGGACTCGATTAGGGATCATTAATAAAGTGATGAATGAACACAGACAAAAACAGGTTATGTAATCCATCCTCAGGTTACACTAACGCTCCCAGCCAAATCCTGTTCAAACATGAATCAGCGATGAAAACTTGCTGAAAACCTTCTGCTGGCTCGGTCTCAAAAATGGATTTATGAGGTTTAACAGTACCGGGTCGTTCTTGATGAGGAGTTGAAGATGCCTCCGCACAAACACACACCTGCAATACTTCACCGATTCTCCGAGCAGCTCCGAGCCGGTCGCCCTGGGTTGGGATCTTTTCTCAAAGTCAGACACCCGAAAAACCGAGAGACTGGCGTTGACGTAGCCCCGCATACACCTGGTCAACAAATACATTTAGAAGTCCCAGAGTTGAAGCGTCTGAATGAAGCAAGCTTGAAGAGACGGGTTTGCTCACTCACCCCTCTCCTGCTCGACCCTGACCAGCACAGGGTCCGTATTTGTAGGCGTAAACAAGGCGAGGGATGAAATCCGAGGTAACAGCGATAACGAAGGCGTTGGTGATGACAGACAGGATGCCGATGCCCTCCAGGATACCGTACCAGATCCCTAAAATGAGGAGAAATCACACGACACCCTGAGTCCAAATCCAGATGGGCTGCTGCTGCATTTCACTGACTTGTAGTAGAAACTGACTTAGCACCTGCTCACAGCGCCAAAACTACTCAACGACAGACCAAGTAATGTGGACCTTTACCACATTTTACCAAAAATAAACAGAATATGTGAAAACTAATCATTTGAATTTTTCAAAATAAGAGCGTGAGCTTTGTTACCAATGTCTTTGGCTTGTGAAGGTAGAGGTCGTCTCCACTGTGTGACGAACTTGTAGGCGTCTAATCGGATCTCGATGATGTTGTTCAGCAGCGCTAAGAGGGGCGCCAGAGGGAAAGCCGCCACAAAGATGGTGGTGAAGCCAAACTGTAGAACTAAAAAACACACAAAAAAACACAAACAGGTCCAAAGGTGATTTATTAGTCCGTCTCTTCTGCTTTTAACTGGATAACACACTGCTGGAGTCCCTTAAATCGCGACATACTCATTTCTAAATACTCATCAAAGAGTCCGTGGGCGTTCATGGGCTGGAGGTGGTAATCTCTCTCCCACTGAGGGAAGCTGGCCTTCGCTTTCTGTCCGTGCTCCCTCTTCAGTTTCCGCCGGGTCCACCAGTTCTGGATCAGCCTGAAAAAACAGAACAAGAGAGAGGGAGGAGATTCAAAACAGAACCTGATATCTGAGCTGACCATAAAGTATCAAAGTGACTTATTCACCGACACCACACCTGACCGACCGACCGACGCTGTTACTGTATTTATGCTGCTTTATTTTATTATCTTAGTCTTTATTTTTTGGGGATTTAAATGAAACCAAATTAATTTGAAAACTGTGAATGAAACTGACATCAAGTTCTACACTATTTTACACAATGGCGAGTCTATTGTGTCGTGTGGTAACTAAAACCGATTGTCCCCAAATTCAACGTTCAGGTTTTTAACTTTTAAAGTCAAAGTTCTACCAAATAGGAAGAAGAAATCAAAACTGCTTCGGTCTTATACGGCTGTTTGTCATGCTTTTATTTTGGTAACTTTTGCCATCTTACATTTATGTTCCCTGAGTTGTCAAACTGTGCTTTTATTTTGAAGTCTGGATCATGATATACTGAACTGAAAGAAAACAGTGAAAAGAACAGTTAGATAGTGTAAATCTAGAATTGATTCATCAGTTTCTTCAGCTTCTTCTCTCTTCTCTTTAATCAATCGATCAAATTTTATTTATATAGCGCCAATTCACAACAGTCGTCATCCCAAGACGCTTTTTAAAGACAAGAGACCCAATCTAAGATGGTTTTTGGCCCATCTCATCTAACATGAGCGACAGTGGCGAGGAGGGGGGAGTGGAGAGAGGGCAGGGGAAGAGAAAGAGAACAAGACAGAGGGAAGGAGAGAGGGAACAGGTAATAGGAGAGGGAAGAAGAGAGGGTGGAGAACGAGGGTGAGAGAGAGAGAGAGGGGACAGCAGCAACATCAAAACAACAGAAGTCCTGATATAACCGTACGCTTTTTTTAAACCACAATATCAAAGTTGTGTTTTATTTGTCAATACCAGTACATTGCTCATTTTTACTCCTTGGCTTTTAATTCAGCATGAGAGTTGTGTGATCTCTTTTATGGTCCTTCTATCACTTTTATTTGTTTCATGCTTTTGTGTTTTTATTTCATTTTAAATCTTTTTTACCTGCTTTTATTTATTTCATCTTGACATAAATATTTTTTATTATTTCTGCAGTGTTTGTTCTTTTAGTTTTACTGTGCAGCACTTTGGTAAACTTGAATGTTTTTTATAATGTTCTATATAAATAAAGCAGACTGGATTGGATTGCGACAGTCCTAATATCCTATTTACATATATATATGTATATATATATATATATATATATATATATATATATATGTGTGTGTGTGTGTGTGTGTGTGTGTGCAGGTGTTCTTAAATATGACACTGACGGGCAGCCCAGCTCCATGAAGTTGTTCCAAGTCTGTTTTAGCACCATAATGATCCCCATCTGCATACAGAGGTCGATGAGGCAACCACTTGGGTGACACTGCAGAAACAAAGAGAGACAGAGAGAGATAGAGAGAGAGAGAGAGAGAGAAAGAGAGAGAGAGAGAGAGAGAGAGAGAGAGATTTTCTGTGATTGTTTCCTCGTCTGCTTTTACGATGCAGAGTTATTATATAATCCTGATAAAGTGAAGCTGTAAAAGTGTTTTTATAACTTTATGCGCTGCTGCTGAACCATCTTCTTGTATAACTTTATTCTCCACATGACCACAAAAGGCTGACTCATGCTGTGCTTGTACTGTACATGTCACACCACTGATAGTTTTCTATTTCTGCTCCGGCAGCTGAGGGAACAAGCAGGAGAACATTAGCTCAGCACCTTAAAGTGCCAGCTCAGGCTTTTGGTCCCCTCAGACCACCTCAGTGTGTGTTTTATCCCTGCATGTTCCCATAAGTACTGCTGGCAGCACCGCTTAGTGCTGATGGGGGTTAAATGTCTGGTGGCTGGGCGTATAGTAATAGCTTAATGTTCAATTTAGAAATACTTAGTCCGTAGTGCTTTGCTGTTTCCCTCCCTCATGGGACAGCAAAGTAATTACTCACTTCTTCCAGTTTCCAGCGGTTGATGAGGCGTAGATACGCACCGGGCCGGCCTGTAAATCTGCCAACCAAGGACAAACAGAGCATCACTTTCAAAGTAAAATCTGGTTTCCTGCTTTCGGTGGCACTTCAATATCAGTCACCATCAGCAGGTTTGCAGTGGCTAGTGAGTCACCGCGGTGATTCAGCGTGTATTATAGCCTGAACATTTTACCTGAATACTACAACAGAGAAACTGCAACCTCAACTCCAACAGAGAAGAGACACGGTGGAAACTGCAGATAAAACAGATTTTGGTGGTTTGCAAATCACTTGGATGTTTGATAAAAACCTGTTGGCACAAATATTGAATTCTTGGGATGGTTTGCAGCTTCACTGGTAAAAAAGAAACGACAATCGAGAGGCTGAGTTTGAGAAGTAAAGATGGAGAGAGATTCAAAGAATTTAAGGTTCAAAAGATTCAGAGTCTGGAGACCTAAATCCAGCACTGGATGGCTGTGATCTTTGCTGGTGGCACCACCTGAAAAACAGACTCGACTCTGTAATAGACGTCACTGCATCACCTGATAAGCAGTTCCAAAAATTGTTAAAGTTTGTCGCTGCTTTAAAAAACACAGGTTAAAATTGTATCATGCAAAAGGAGGGGCCAATATGTAGGGCTGGGCGATATGGCCTCAAATCAATATCACGATGTATTGATCAGTTCACCTTGATAGCGATAAATGGATCAATAACTACTCCACAAGCTGCTCACCCCCTCCCACATAAACTTCATCTACTTCAGCTGCTACAACTCCTGAACCGTCCTCCATCTCCTCACCCGTCTTTCCCTCTCTGTTACGGACTGGATGGGGTGGCGTCTCGTCTCTGACGTCGGAGACATGAGACCATAACCTACCTACACACATCCAGAACCAACTTTTATTTATTTTTTTGACGCCATAAATATTGACACGGGCAAAATGATGTCGGTTATTGTGGTGAATTTCGGTATCTGTAAATTTCCGGTTTATCGCCCAGCCCTATGGGGATGCACAGATGAATAAATGGACCAGACACCATTAATAGTGAAAAGTATATGAAGATTTTGGAGCAACATAAGCTCTTGCATGTTTCAGTGTTTTAATGCTCGTCCAGATTCTGCAGGTATTACTGCAGCACGGCTCTGGAGTCGAGGAGTCCTGGTACTAAACCAGCTGCAGGCAGGAGGATATAAAAACAAACCAAATTTATTCAGGAAGAGGGAGAACTAAAAAAAACTAAACTGAGAGACAGCCTAAAAACCTCTGCACGAGTTCCTCACCTTCCCAAAAAGAAGGCGATGTAGAAGGTGGAGCTGTTGAGGTTGACGAACTGAAACAGGAACATCTTGAGGGTGAAGCTGTTCTCCCACTCCGACTCTGTTCTGGGTTGTTCTGCGGCGGCGTGGAGGAACAGGAGAAACAATGAATTACATTGGTTAAATGACAACTCTGAACTGTGAAACTGGACGATGTTTGACTTACCTAAGTTAGTGAGAAGAAGAGCAACTTTTTCATAGAGCTGGAAACAAAAGTTGGAGCGAGAAGTGAAAATTGTATCAGGGTCAAAACTTCTGCATCAGCTTTATCACTTTATGACTGTTACCAAAACTACAAATTCATTTCAGGATAACGTGGATGATCATATCTTCATGATCCTGTCCACCGATGATCGGACACTCACCACGTTGAGGAGCATAATGACACAGAAGTTGATGCAGACCGCTGTCCCCGTGGTCGCCACCTGAGAGTTGTTCCTGATGAGGGCCCAGCCGAAGGCCGCGAAGGTACTGACGGTGATCACGCGGTAAATGACGATTCCAAACACGGCAGCGATCACCACCAAGATCTGAGGAGTCAAAGCGACGTGACAAATACCATGAATAAGATGAAAGTAGCTTTATTTTCACCATAACGCCACACGGATATTTGCTTTTAAAAGTCGCACACGCCGAGAAAAAAGCATCTTACTGTGCGTTACTCTGACTTTTAATGAGCTGAATGAATGTTTGTATAAAAATGCCACGGTGGATTACAAGATCTAAAGACTTCAACCTTCAATCAGGACGTACGTCATAAAGACTTCCTGCTCTGAGGCAGGGCGCTGAAAGCGACACCTGCTACTTGACATTTGTCGAGTGAAGAGCCTCACCATGAAAAAGATCCCAGACGCTGAGACGATGAGGCGGCTGTATTTGTCGGTGAAGTCCTGGTAAGGTTCAGGCTTTCCGGAGATGGGATTCATCCTCTCCTTTTTGGAGTATTTGGCCTCAAACTGAGGGCGAATTTCCTCCTGAGAGACGCAGGGAAAAAAGACGTGAGCAGAATTCACCACTACTACTACATCCTACTCCAGCACAGAGGCATCCTAGGAGAACCTCTGACAGTAAATATACTCAATGATATGGAGGCAAGAAGATGTAGCTCCTCTTTCCCATGTCATTTATAGCTCATGTGCTTCACCTCCTCTTCCTCCCAGTCAATGAGGTCCCAGTCGTACGCCAGGACAGCTCTGCGCCTCTTCCAGAACTCCAGGAAGACCGTCGCTGAAACATATGAATTAAAAAAAAACATCAAATGTTTGTGTTTGCACAACTGTGTCACCCGAAATCATGAACTAATGAGAGGGAGCATGCCCTGAAGGAAATTACCTGATGAATCACCCACAGTTTAAAACCCTCTAAAGACCCACTCTGATGAAAATCACGTTTTCTTGTTGTCTACGTTTTCATATGTCATTTTGCTGATGCTTCAGGACATTTCATGAGAAAACCAAGTGTAAAGGTGCATTTCTGAGTATTTCTGTATTCAAATTGCTGTGAATCTCTGGCAGACCCAAATGGCAAGTTCAGACACAGTGAGATTTCTTACATCACAAATCCAAGCTCCGCCCCCCGGGGCCCCCTCTAACGCTCGTTAGAAAGCAAATTATGATATTAACTTTCATCATGTCCACAAAGTTATTAGTTTCCGAGAGCTGAATAGCTCCTATGTTACCTGTCACTTCTACTACACCGACAATGCTAGGCTACAAGCTAACATGAATAGGAGTGTGCAGAGCAGCGCTGTCTCCACCCACGACTCAGAAGCAAATTGCTAATGAGCTACTGAGGCTCTGCAGAAGAAAAGTCCATGAAAATGACACAGTTAACATGATTTTGGCTAAACACTTCATACTTCACACAATACAGTGGCTAACAGATATCAAGGTTTGACGCTAAGTCATCGCAGCTTCCTCAAGTAAACAATAAATCTAAAGCCAAAAAGCACGAACATCAAGATTTCTACAAACTGCACCTGCAGCTAAAAATGTACATTTCAAAATAAAATCCAGCAAACATGCTCATAAGAATGCCCATGACTCAATATAGATAATGTAACATGACTGAAAACTTTAAAGGCCACTGATAAGACTTTAAGTTTAACCCTTCAATGCCTTTTGTATCATATTTGATACATACTTTTATGATACTTCTATCAAACTAATATGATCAACAAATTACTAAAAAACACCTGAATTACAGTCCAATAAATGATAGACATTAATAAGTTTCCAAAAACATCTAATGTATCAAACAAGATACATAAATATATTTGTTAAATTTTAAGGACATTTTGATTTTTTGGTTTTTCAGTAGTAAGTGAAATCAACATTTCAGCTCCAAAATAATGTGAATTTTCTGGTCATTTGTGGTTTCAGGCACTAAAGGGCTACAAAAAAATTAAATAATCAGAGTGGGACTTTTAATTTGGTGTTGAATAAAAATATGCTGATCGATCAATAACTGATATTTGAGACCGGCAACAATTAAAACTCTGAATTGATGTTTTTAATTGATCGTATTTCAGCAGCTGATTGTATCTTTGTTGGACTGTAGCTGCAGGTGATCTGCTCAGTCCTGACTCACCGCCCTCTAAGCTGGTTTCACGCCATAAAACTGACTGAATGTGGTGACATTATAACAGGGTTAAGTGACCGTAGACTGTGTTTAACTCGAGTGTTTGCCGTAAATAATGATAGTCACTCACATTACGACAGGGACAAAGTGTTGGCATGGGGGGTGGTTGCTCTTGGACAAAGTCCTGCAGATAGCTTACTTATTGCACATGTGCTCGCTGGTCTCTTTGCACCAAACTGATCCCATATTGAAACGCTGAGATTCAGAAACAGATTCCTGTAGTTTGTTTTCTCCGTTTGGATGTGAGAGTGCAGCTGTCTGAGGCTGAGGGCGCTGGTTCCCACGTGAGGCCAGCAGGGAAGCTCACTTCTGAGGAGCCTTAATGAAGGGATTTGAGCTGAATCTCTGCTGCAGCCGAACTCCAGGATATTTCCACTCAGACAGCAGCAGCAGCAGCAGCACAGACGCCGGTGCCTGGAAGGTCAGTTGATCACTGTAATTTCCTAAAAACTTTTCCTTACACTTGAAGTAAACTTTAAATGTTTGTTTTCGGACATCAGACTCGGCTCTGTCGTGTCTCTGCAGCTGTGAAAATAAGCCGTCTGGAGACTTTCCACTGTCTTTTGCAGCAGTTCTGGTCTCTACATCAACTCTGACTCCTTTAATCAGATTATTGGTGAATTTTTCCAACATTTACCTTCGATGATGTTTGGATTTATAGCTGCTCTATGCACTTTATCTAACTCTTTTTAGGCTCATAGGTTTTGTCTGACTTTTCAGCTTATTTTTTCTGATTTTAACGTCGACTCTCGATGTTTTCCAGTCAAATCTCTGCATGAGTTTAAAGGTCAGCATGTTTGCACAGAGCTGTGTGTTCTGTACCTTATTAAAGATTGTTTAGGTTAGCCAGTGGAGAGGAGATAAGAGCCACAACCATATGATCGGTCAGCCAATTACCTTTCTGACCTGCAGTAAAGATACGACACCGAGCTGATAGGATGAAAATATATGAAGAGTGAGTCCAACTCTGTGAGAGACTGAATCTGAGGCTTTCACCACCTGAAGGAGCTGGGACCAGAGACCAGTACCTGGAGGTCATGATCCTCAAGCCCTAAAACAACACTGCATCCAAAACAAACATGGCTCTGTTAGGGCAAAAATAAAACCACAATTTTTTTCTCTTAAAACTTGATTTTTTTGATTCAGTGACAACTTCACCAAACTTCACTTCAAAAATAAAAAGTTTTTCTATCATCTCTCAAAACTGAAAATGATGTGGTGCGTACGACAAGACAGTAAGTGGCGCTGTAACGCTGCACAGGAAATACACAGAAGACAGAAGAAGAGAACAGAGCGTGCATATAAAGGTTGTTTTGGCCGGACACGCGCAGACGCCATAAAAGAGTTACGCTGTGTGTCACATGATCGTTTCCAGAGATGCAGATAGACATCCACACGGAGGTGAAATGGTCGTCGTTTATGGATTTATGCACTCTCTGACCCTGATTTCAAAAACGACACGATAAAAAACTTTTGCGTTTACTCCTGAATTCGTTTCCATGGTGACGGGTTGATACCGCCTTCAGACAGACTTTGCAGCGGGGAGTGGTTTACTCTTCATCTGAAACTCTGAAGCCGTACCAATTCAACACGACTGACTCGCTCTTGTCCTATTTAACCACGAAATTATCGCCTTCTTTTGCAAACGCCAGTAAGGAGGCGTGAGACGTGATAGAGAGGAAAAATGATTTGAAGATTTCATTTTTTTAACATGATCATAATCAAATAATCTGATTTTGATTTAAAGTCGATTAATCGTGCAGCCCTATGCTCTGTAGTGGAAATCACTGCATGAGCTCAAAACCACAAATTTGTCACTGCATCCGCAAATAAAGGTAAAAACTGTGCTGGTCAAAGAAGAAAACATACATAAACAGTGACTTCTCTGTTATGTCAGGACCGGGTCATGACCAAGACCAGCACCCCTGATGGTATAGAGATGCACAGGTGCGAAATTTATGACAATAACCGACGTCATTTTGCCCATATCGGTATAATTGGTGTCAAATAAAAAAATAAAAAAATAAAAGTTGGTTTTGACGGACAGGTGAGGAGATGGAGGGCGGTACAAAAGTTGTAGCGGCTGAAGTAGATGAAGTTAATGTGGGAGGGGGTGAGCAGCTTGTGGAGTAGTTATCGTCCATTTATTGTTATCGAGGTGAACTGATCAATATATCGTGATATTGATTTGAGGCCATATCGCTCTGCCTTAGCTGACATGGTGCTAAACTGACCTGCCTGCAGTTCTGAAACTCAAACTCAAAGTATTTGGTGCTTTAAATCCATAATTTTAATAATCTTACACCCTTTGAGAGTTTTTTTTTTAGTGTTTGTACAACAAGTGACTCCAACTTTATTGTTTAGTAAAATTACTGGAACCCGTACGACAGCTTAAACTCAGCTTAAACTGCTCTTTGCATGGATGTGAGTATGAAAATAAGCGTATTCTCTCTCCAGCAGCTGCGACGGAGCCGACAATGGGAGTCCTCTTGAACCAAAACCTGACCCTGGACTCTTCTCAGCCTGAGGTCACCCAGTGGGAGTCGACGCCACACCTCTCATCAGCTGGTACTGCAACATTTCAGGGTGTCAAAGCAGAATAACATCTGTCACGTGGTTTTCAGAGACTTTTATTTTGACGGGATAGAAAGTTTCATCACTGCTAGTTCTTTCATTCTGCAGCTGTAATTTCTCATAATAGATGCACGAGTGTGAACGCGGTCGGGTTTCCACTACAATAGGGACATTGTCTGAATATGTCAAAGTGTCTAAATTATTAACAGGACAGATCCAGCACTGTTGTACAGCTCCGGCACGTCCTCACTTTTGATTAGTTTGAAGCTTTCAGGCCCGTTATATAACAAAGCCTCTCCCTCCTCTCCACCCTCCACAGTTAACAACACCATAGTCCTGCTGGGCGTGTTGACCTTTGCCCTCCAGCTGTGTTTAGTCTTACTCTTCATGCTGAGATGTTGGAGATTAGACAACAGAGTACGAGATTTTCTCAAAGAACCGGAGACTCTCAAACTCATCGGTGAGATTAAAATATAAATTTACGTTCTCGTCTGTATTAAATCTGTCAAACAGCGACTCAAAGTGAATTTCTGCTCTTTCTCCTTCAGCTCCTCCATCCTGCCACAAAGACTTTTACAAACCGGCTCACTCAAAGTTGGCTGATCATGCTGCTGCTGCTGCTGCTGCTGCTTCACCGCCTGTGATTTCAGATGACCGATATGAACCAGTAACACACTCCCTGTTTGGACCCCCTATACCCTGGGATCTGGTTCAGCGCTGATCGGCTCTGGATCTGTTTTAGTCTTTTTAAAAATATATCTATAAGCTGAAAACACACAAAACAAAGCAAGTTTTTGTTTTGTTTTGTTGCCTTTACAATGTTTTTTTTAAGCTGTGACTAATACAGAAGATGATACGAGTCAAAAGCTGCGTTTACATGGACACAAATAATCAGAATAAAAGCCTGATCGGAATAAAAGTGCGTCATGTAAACGTGTTGATCGGAAAATTCTGATCCACTTCGGTTCAATCGGAAAGAAATTGTATTCCGATCAAGAGGGGTGGTTTATGCCGATCATGTGAACACTTTTTCCGATGGTGACTCTCTAACCTGACTCGATCTTCCTCTTATTTATCGAGGTCAGTCCAGGAAGTTTCATTATCAACACTCTGGCATAAAACATAACCGCACGTACCGTGTCTACTCCTCCGATAACACAACAACGCGTACAAACAGCGTAATGATGTCACATCTGCACGCACAGTGCAACCTTTGACAGAACTGTAAAATAAGTAAACAAGGGCGCCACCTACTGACAACAATTAACAGTGGGAAACTCCTGAATTTGTTGACAGCACAGGTGTAAATACATCTCTTCTTTTGCAGTTGTTTTAGCGAAATCAGACAATTCGGCGCATATCCAAATGTTTCTAATCTGAATAAAGCTCGGTACATGTATGGATCATAGACTATATATACTATGGACAACTTGGCTCCGCCTCCCACCTGTAAACGGATTTGAAGAAAAAAATATGTTCTGTGTAATTAATTTATAAAGTTTGTCCACAGTCCCATAAGCTTTGCTGGCAGAGGTGGAATTTATGACCTATACTGCAGCCCGTCAACAGAGGGTGCTGTTCTCGGAGTGGCTTCACCCAGAGAGGAGGCAGACGGCGTCCATTCTATCTACAGTCTATGGTTTGGATCATGATCGGATCATTTGACTTTGCGCCGATATAAACAGTGGATTCAGATTTTATGATCCCCCAAATTTTTAATCAGATCAAGAAATTTTGCACATGTAAACATGGCTAAAGAAAGAGCTGGACTTCTAGAAATAACCATCTCTAGTGTTTGAAGGTATCTGGTTACTCACCCCAAACAGCCATGAAAACGGCGAAGAAAACAGTCGCCCCGTTGTCGAAGAGATGTGTGACCTTAAAGAGGAAAGAAAGTATTCAGAAGGATTCAAAATAACTTTCTCTAGGACTCTAACAAAGTCCTGATCAGCTGCTGTGCACATATGTCAGTACCTTGGCGTAGATGCAGCTGTCTGACAGCTTCAGGTAAGGGCAGTACTGGTCACAGATGGGGCACATGATGATATCGGTGGCCTGGCAGATTTCTTTACTGGAGAGAAACATTCAGAGGAGTTAAACTGTCCAAGACGTGATAAAAAAAAAACTTAAATCTGAGCAAAACAGACACTCCAGGAAAAAATGCATGCATGCACAGTGTTGTACTTTAGCGCATCTCTGCAGGGTTTTATGTGAGCTGTTTAAAAAGTGATTTTCTTCTTTATATTTGATGATTATTTCTATGTTCGGGTCTGTACATGTAGAGTTTATTTTTTATTTCAACACCTGATAAGAGACACTGCCTTATCTGCAGACTTGTGCTTTAAAGAAAAAAAAGTTTTTGTTGAATAAATTGAATGTCTAATCTGTGCTTACAGAGCGTTTTTGCACCTTTAACAAGCGCTCAGTAGCAGATAAGGCTTTTACCTCCACAGAAAGTTATTCAGAAACATCCATGGATACGACCTGCAGCTCCAGGGATGTATTATTTTTATCAGCGAAGAGAGGAGGTGTGTTTACCTGACCTGGCAGTGCTCCAGAGTGAAGATACCGTACAGGAATACCAAGAGGCCGACCAGAGCTGCAGGAAAGAGCATCCCAGTGTACCAGCCGAGCCAGGCGAAGTACAGACCAATCTTCTCTCCAAAATACCTCCTGAAATAACAGCAGAGGAGCTTACAAGAAGGACGGACAGCCTTTCAGACTGCAGACGAGCTGCACAAACGTTCAGATTTACTAATAAATCTCCAAAAAAGCCTCTAAATGTCTGACCTGATGAGGTCCAGAGGTTGGTATTTGTACCAAACTCCCCACCAGGCCCAACACTCGTACAGCAGGTGTCGGTGGTTCTCCGCTCCGTGTGTCCTGATGGAGTTCTTGCTGTGGTATCTCCCCTGAAACGGTCCACACACACACACACACACAGACATGGTGCAAACGTGTCAGATTTAATCCGTTTAAAACGCAGGAAACAAATCAGATTATTTATGAGAGAAATTACCTCATGGAGTGGGAAGGCGGCTTCATATGAATTATTGCTCAGCAGACGATTAAGACCTGCGATCGGAGGCAGAAACAACACACATGCATGATAGCTGCATTTACACATCCCTGTCTTAAATTTAAGCCGTCTGTATCAGGACAGAAGGGCCTGAAACTCCTGTGAGTTTGCACCTGAATGTGAACTCGGATTATCCCCCTTTTCAAGTCAGTTTCCAGGTTTGATTTCATTTAAAACGTCTCCAGAAGTAGAAAACTCACCCATCTTATTTTTGCCCTCCTCGTATTTGACTCTCTGGAGGATGTGGTGGACGATGCGGCTCCTGGTGGCGTTGTTGAAAAACGTGTCTTTGTTGTGGATGATGAAACTGCGGTGAAATGGAGCGGTTATTACAAATCTGTCCGCTGTGACTGATTGCTGGTGCGCGGATGAAAATGTGAGTATTAGTGTGACAGAGAGAATTTTAAGAGGCAAAACTGTGAAAGAGGAAATGGAGAATACGCCCGGCACCGGTGTGTCGCAAGATAAAGTTCTAGTCATTTTTCAAGGAGAGTTGCAGCTCCCTAAAAACTCACTGATGTATCCGTGAGCGGCTGAAGGGGGCGGTAAAGCTCTCGTTCTCCTCCAGGTCGGGCAGAGTGTCGCTGTCAAACTTCATCGGCTTGCGGGGGAGCCAGCCACGAAACTTATTAATGCGCTTCTCCATCCTGCAAGTGAAGTTGAGTGAAAATTTGCACAAAGAAAGCTGTTTCTGTCGACTTATCTCCCTCACAAGACGCTCACCTGCTCATGAACTTGTGCCGCCGATAAAAAATTTTCCTCCTGAGTGAAAAAGTTAGAAATGAAAAGGTTAGTTCTCAGGGAAGAGTGGTCATGATAATCAAACACATTTCCTCTCTATTTTAACTGAGATACACAATAACCTAACTTCAAAAAAAGCTACAAGGTTAAGGACGTCTGAAAAAAAGTGAACATTTTGATACATGATTGAGTTTTGAGTTTATCTTATAACCAGCCGCAGGATCTAAAAAAGCTGGAACAGAAACAAAAACACTGAAAAAGTTGTGTAATGCAGAAAAAATCTCCAAATCTGTGAGAGACCGCGTGAGCTAACGGACTCCGAACTTTCAAGACAGGAAAGGATTTGGGATTTTTATCAACGATGGAGCAGGATGATGTTCAAAGACTCAGAAAGTCTGGAGAAATCTCCAAACAAGACCAGAACAAGACTGGGTGATTGTGATCTTCAGGCCTCGAGTGATATCACGGCTTTCCAGTTAGGGGTGTCCCGATACAGCAGTTTTACTTCCTGTACGATACCAATATTGATCTGATATTGGCACAAACTTATGCATGACAAGTTTTGCACTCAGCAGCAACGTCTTTTTCAGACTTGATCAAAAAATACTGCCACGCACACGACTTACATCACTCCTACTCCTCGCTACTTTGTTCATAACTTATGCTGCGTTCCAGTTACCTTGGAAGTCAGATGTCAAAGCTGGGAATGACGTTACATCCGAGTTGACGCTGTTTTAGTTAACAAGTTGGAAAACCAAGATGGACGCCTATAGTTACCTGTTGTTAGCTGTTAAGGTTGTCAGTTGTTGTTTGTTGTTGTTGGCTATACCAGTTGTAAACAACACATAACACAGTATTTTACTCTTACAAACACCATAGCACCGTGTCGTCAGACTTTCCAGTCGGAAATCCAACTTCAGGGGGGCGTTCCAGAAGAATTTCTGACTTGTACCTCGGAAATTCGGACAACCGAGTTCAAATGGAACGCAGCATTAATACAGACTGTTGTGGTGATCATGTGGACTCTGCATGCTGGATCCGGGCGCTGCTAGATAGAGGTGCTGGAGCGGAGTCTGGAATGGACCGCTTGTATCGTAGTGTTGATATCGGAGATTTTAGATCCAGGGGGATATAATTCGATATTTGATTTCTTGCGGATATCGGACTGATGTCTGAAATCTATATCAAATATCGGACCGATATTGATATCAGACCTTTATCCAATATCAATATCAGATTAGGACATCCCTATATCTAGTACTTTAAAAATGTCGCCTGAGGCAGAGAATAGGGCCTGTATATTTGTGTGACACGCTGCTGCTGTCCCAATAAAGCGCCCTGAGTTCGGACAAGTTTTAATAACTACCACTGGCTTAGGACTTACACACACAAACGCACATGACGTTGGATGTGTACATCTCTGGTGAACGTGTATCAAAGCAAACTAAACAACGAAAGCGGTCAACAAAATCTACAGCTATGTAACCTACTGGCTGTCAATTGCAGTGCTCACGTGACCCAAAACCCTGCGTATCACCATGGCAACCATACAAAAGTAACTGAATGCAGAATAATCAATCAGAAAAGCAATATATGCCTCAAAAACAGACATGACTCTGCAGTGGAAATCCTCACTGTGAACGAGGAAGCCATTTACCAACATGGTCCAGGAACACCAGCCTGTGGTGATTCAGGTTCGTAGACGAAGGCGGTGCGATTGTGTTGACTTTTTTTTGTTTGTCTTTTTTTTTGTAATATGAGACTCTATGACTTTTATTTTGTCTTACCGAAAAGGCATGCGGATGTTCATGAGCTCTGCGTAGCGGCAAAGAACGTCCCATGGTGCATGAAGCTTCAGGAAAATCACATCATTGTTTGTTACTGAGGCCTGTGGAGAAACCAAGCGTGCGCACACACGCACACACACACACACACACACAAACACACACGATTTAAAGCTCCTCTGAGAAACCTGATCAGAGCCATAGATCCTGTGTGTTGCAGAGCTATTATCCTATGATGGGTCGATCTGTGCCCCGCTCTGCAGCAGTATACGTTAAACACACCGCGTCACACCGCGCGCTCGCTCCTGCCCCCTTTCTGCATGACAGAGTGGGAGTGAGTCTAAAGGTACATGAGTCAGAAACTCACAGGAAACCGACTAAAAATAACAAAATGACTCTTCACCACAAACAAACCCGAGTGGGCCGCTGAAGGAGACAATAAGTACCGACTTCCCCTGCATGATCTGCATGACGATGACCTTGATGCCTCTGCACCATCAGACGGTGCAAACAGAGAGACACAAACGTACGTACACACATCACAACATCCACTTACAGTCCTTTAAGAGACGCTTTTGCTTTATGACAAGCAGACGAGAAAATTGCCCTCAGCAAATGTGTTTTTCGCTTTATAAGAAACAGATCGAGAACAGACGTCATGAACGCGCTCAGCTGTCAGACAACAATAAAGGCTGAGAGCGTTTAAAAACCCTGCATCTTGTCACTGAGGTTACATGAAAAGGACTGAGTTTAATAGCTTCTTCACACAAATTACTACTGATGTTAAAGCAGCTGCAGGTTTGCCAAAGTAATGACAGACTCATTTCCAGGTCTGCTTGTGCATTTGCAATCTTCCGTTTCTGAGTTGCAGGCGAATCAGGACGATAACTTCCCCAGATAAAGAGAGGAGCTGCGTGTTTTATCAGAGTTTGATTTGGAAGAACAAAATAAAGCAGGTTTTGTAGAGGTTGCAAACATGAGGGTTCAGATGTACGTGCACATGCTTCTACCTCCTTCTCCATGTGTAAGCCCTCTGCTCGGATATTCCTCTCAAACACCTCCCTCTTCTCGGACAGGGAGCTGGACTTTCTGTAGACCAGGAGGTAGTCGATCCGGCTTTTTCCATCACTGAAGCAAAGGCCGCTTGACTTACTCCTAGCCTGAAAATATAAAAACAGATATCCACATGAGGAGAGTGATTGTCTGAGAGGGAAATGATCTTTCTCAGAGTTGGTTAAAGGCTGAGCTCTGCCGCTGACCTCAGGGAGGCCAGAGTCAGACTTGGAGTTTTCATCCAGGATGCTGCTGTGAGTTCCCGGGTTCAGCAGGGTGGAGTCGTCGTCGTCTCTCGACGGGCTGCTGGTGCCCTCTGACCTCACTCTCTCAAGCAGCACGTTGACATCCTTTACAGCTGGAGGAAAGTAAGCAAAGGATAAAACTACAACATCCACACCGGGGTACGATAGTGAACGCAGTAAACCCGGGACATCTGCAAAAGTCAGGCTTAGCTGCTTCTCACCCAGAGGAGGCACATCGTCTTGAGTGCTGGAGTCCGGGGCTTCGGCTGAGGACTCCTCCATGATGTCCGCCTCCCTCTCACAGAAGGAGAAGGCCAGGGGTCTGTCCGCTGCCTGGTAGCCTGAGGCCGAGGGCTGCAGCGGGACTCTTCGTAGATAGGGGGTCTGTGGTTGGGGCTCAAACCCATGTAGAGATAAACTCACACCTGTCGGACACAAAACACGTTTTTTAGTCTTTATCAGATTTCTGTCTTTCGTTCGCAGATAAACCTGAAGATCTAGGGCTGAGCGGTAAATTGATTAGTTGCCGCTCCAGCCAGCCAATCACACACTAGAGGGGGCGGGGCTTGTCATACAGGTAACCAGGGAAAAAGATGTTTGTCAGATGACTTTCACAGAAACAGAAAAAGACATTTTGACATTCTTCATCTATATATTCATATCCAAAATATCTTTAAATTTGGAGTCGTGACTTCGTAGCTTTGTTTTTCAGAGAAAGAAAACTAAGACATCGTAAATCGAGTTTAATGTAAAATAAATGAATAAATAAATTAGATTTTATTTTATCGCCCGGCCCTACTGGGAGCTCTCACACTGAGCTCTGTAAAACCGCAGACATCAGCGACTAGCCGTGTATTGATTAAGCCATTTCTCTTAATCAGCCGAGATACTGACCAATTTATTTTATAGTTCAGCAGGAGAGCATGTGGGTTAGCAGTCAAAACAACTCTGAAACACACACACACACACACACACACACACATATACAACAGGGTGAAGCTGTCAAAGACTACTCATCAGAACTTCATTTTCATGTAGTTAATAAGTCAGTTATATGACCTTATTATACATTTATAATCACTCATAAACTACCTAGAGTTTATATACCTGACTTTTAAACTGTTCATTAAAGATTGTCAAACTGATTTTGAGTTTGTAACACACTTGCAGAAAACCCAAACATCAGCTACAGTACGAATACCTTCATTAATATTAATATAATGTATGTTTATTATTAACATTTATTATGGCTAATAAGCTCGCATAGGAGCCTTCTCTTAAATCTTGTTAACATTTTAAAGACTGCTAATTAAATTTAATTGGATGTTACTTGACATAAATACAAAGATGGAGATTGATGCCTTATAAGAATCCATATTAATTTAGTTATCCCAAGATGCTTTGCAAAAATACATGGTCTGGACCAGACTCTATAAACAAAGATCCAATGGAAAGACTGGACCAGACTGAGCCCCATCCTGTAGGATCAGACCTGCTTCTAGGGCTGGGCGGTATGGCCTCAAATCAATATCACGATATATTGATCAGTTCACCTTAATAGCGATAAATGGACGATAACTACTCCACAGGCTGCTCACCCCCTCACACATTAATTTCGTCTACTTCAGCCGCTACAACTTTCTCTCCGTCCTCCATCTCCTCACCTGTCTTTCCCTCTTTGACTGGATGGGGTGGAGTCACGTCTCTGACGTAGGAAAGCGTCTTGAAGGGACATGAGACCATAGCCTACCTACACACATCCAAAACCAACTTTGATTTATATATTTTTTTACACCATACTGATATGGGCAAAATGACGTTGGTTATTGTTGTAAATTTCGGTATCAGTAAATTTTCGGTTAATCACCCAGCCCTACCTGCCCACATCTTCATCCATAAAAGTGAAATTGTTACAGTGGAGAGGAAGAACTTTCTTTGACAGGCAGAAACCTCGAGCAGGACCGGACTTATGTTAGACAGTCGTCTGCTGAGACTGAGCTGGGTTTAGAGAGGGGTTGCAGAAAGAGCGAGTATACTGCCAAGTACCTCATTAAAACCTGCAAAACCAAAACATTAAACTAAAAGACACTAAAAACGCTTATCTACACTTTTATTTAACTCACTTACTGATCAGAAAAGCTTAAATCCAAAAGTTTTTAACTCGTGGAGTTAACAGTAAATGATGAGTTTTCCAAAATTCTGTCAATCAAATATGAAAAATCTAAAAGAAATCTATATAAGAGAGTCTCACAAAGTTTTGGAAAAGCTTCCAAAATCAGTTTAGAGAGAATCTGTGAGGAATGACTGCTCAGTGACTTTTATCTCCCTTGAAAGGATTAACCTTGAAAAGATACAGCCTCTCTCCTCTCTCCAGAACACACGAGCTGATGGGCTCCATTCGTCAACCAAATTGGGGTCTTTGGAGTGAACAAATTATTTCAGCTGAGCAAAACAGCTCAAATCAACTCTATCTGAGCGGGGCTGTATCTTTTATTTCCAGCTCTCTGGGGACTGAGAGGAGGTAGGCGGCTGTCGACAAGGTTTACGTGCTGAACTTCCGTTTGTGACACGAGGGGTGACTCAGCTTAATTTTCTGCTGAGGCGGGGTAGCAGGAACGGAGATAGAAGTTGGGGAAGCATCTCGGCTCTTCATCAGCTGATGGCACATGAGAACATTGGAGCTTATGGATGCAGCAAACAGAGAGCTGATAGATGTTTGACTGGTGGAGAAACTTTAATCGGAGTGAGGGTTCGACTTCCAAAACTGGCTGAGACAGACGGCGTTGAAAAGGGCGTAAAAAGGGGGCAACACAGAAGAGTGTAGGAGAGGTCAAATTATGACATGATCAGAGCATGCATCAGGAGTTGTTTGGTTACACGTCAGGGATAGTTCAAGACCAGGGGCTTAACAAGTTCTTGCAAGATGAGAGCAACAAGATTTCTCGTCAAGGTGACAAACTGTCGTCTCTTGAATCAGTGCAACATTTTCGGTAGCTGGTAAATTTGTCGTTATTAACCGTGTGGTTTGGTGGCAGTAGAAACGTGCTCTGTGCAGAGCGTCTCCTGCAGAGGGCACTCCTACCGACATTTGTGAATGAAATAAAACGATGAACTGAAGCTGCACGCTCAGCTTCTCACAGCTTCCTTATGCTGCTTCTTCACATTCACCTTCTCTTCATGTTCTCTTTTCTGCAACATCGTTAGAGTGTCATGCATGCAGCAAATTACTGATTCAATGAGAATTCAGCGCCCTCACGTCTTGATTACAGCGATATTAAAAAGCTCCAATATGCAAACGTTTGGTATTGATGATAAAAGACAAAGTATGAGTTATTTTTGCCACACAGAGGTCAGAGTTTAAAATAACGTATCAGTTGATGGACAAAGCCAATAAACCTGCGTGCCGTTTGTTATTGACAAACACGTTTATGGTGAGTTTTATTTAGTAAATATTACAAGTACATCACGACTGCTGAGATTGACAGCTTTATCTTCACCTCCTCAAATTCAAGACCTTCACCATAACTCCAATCTGATTAAGAGGAGAGACATGCTGTAAATAAGAGGACTGACACACGTCACATTAGCCTCCGTCACACTGCTGTGAGGAGTCAGTCAAAGGCCAGCCGAACAATATATCCATCAAACTTTAACAGCCCTCTGGTGCTTCGGTAACCCAAGCCACGAGTAAGGTCACATGGTCCCAAAGACTGCTCCATTTGGGACTCACAAGTGTTTCCACATTTATGGAACAACTGCACTTATAAAATGAGAGGAGGGAGCGATTCGTTTTCAGCACATTGCAGCTTAACAAAAACTGTAAACTTAGATGAGCTGGAAAGGAATCACATCACTCCATACCGAGCTGAGGAGGTAGAGACACCATTTAGACATCACATCCAGCAGCTGAGCCGTGAAGACAGAGCGATCATTTCACCCTCTTATATTTGATCTGCTTTATGTGCCACAAGTGATTCTAGCAAGAGAAACCCATTCCACAGTTAGTTTTAATACCTGCAGTCATCTCACAGCAGCAGGAATCAGTCTTTACTTACACAAAGAGAGTCCCCCCGATATTATAATATTCTAAGTTAATATCCATGAGTTTATCAATAAAACAGTTTGAGATGAAAGTAGTGGATGTAGTAGTATGAGAAGAAGAAGAGCAGCAGTGATTTCAATAAAATTTAATCCAAATGTGAACATTGGAGACTTGTGGTCGACTGATATCAGTTTTTCCATTGCCATTTGCCAATACGATAATTATAGAGCAGGTTGATAATATTACAAATTTTGTTGCTTTCTTTTGATATAATAATACGATCAAATGAGAATTGCTAAACTGATCTGAATGTTCAATAAATAATTGTAAACGGCTCGGTGAAATATCCTCATAAAGGATTGAGTATTTCTGCTCGGTTACCTGGGATTAGCAAAGACGAAAAACAGTAACAGGTGAATATTGACATCACACAAAAAAAACTACATTATTCTTAACATTAAAAACAGAGTTTATATCACTGTTAGCGGTGGTATCGGCCTTTTAAGTATGTCATCTAGCTGGATATCCCTCGCTCTTGCACCACTCGACATATTTGACTTTGACTTTGTTAATTTTGTTATTTCAGACAAACATGAGCCAATATCTAAACATTGACTAAGATATTACTATCAGCTCCTTAAGTTGCGTTTTGAAAGTAAGAAAAGTAGATGGCAAAAAAAAAAGTGAGAAAGTGGCAAGACGGTAGAGACGGACTGATCAGTCAATTGATCGGTCGATTGGTGCCTGCGCTCTGGAGGCCAATATTACTGTCATCTTTCCCAAATGAGATAACTCCACACCAACAAGCATCCCCGTGTCTGCATTGGTTCATTAACTCTAGGGGTGTCCTGATACGATATTGATATCAGGTATCGGTCAGATATCAGCAACTAAACAAAAACAAAATTGGATTAGATCGCCCTGCATCTAAAATTTCCGATATAAGCAGTCCATTCCTGACTCCGCTCCGGCACCTCTGGGTAGCAGCTCCCTGATCCAGCATGTAGAGCCCATGTGATCACAACAACAGTGTGTACTAGGGTACGAACAAAGCAGGAGTAAGAGTGATGTCGGCCTTGTGGCAGTATTTTTGATTAAGTCCAAAAAAGACATTGCAGCTGACTGAAAGACTTGTCATGCACAAGTTTGTGCCGATATCAGATCAATATTGGTATTGGTCAGTATTAAAGGCTACAATATTGATATCATATAGAAGTAGAGACACCTCTAATTAACTCTAACATTCCTCTGACATAAATCGACTTTGACTCGCTTTAGATCACAAATAATCCTAAAAGTTTTCAGGTTTTGGTCTCTTAAATCTAAAAAAAATTGTCTGATTTTACCTGGTTAGAAAGACGACAGAGTGAATCCCATTATTTCACTTTCAATTCAAGGATTTTCCAGGACCTCCAGGACTGAGAGCCAGCAGCTGATTAACATTAATGCATGCAGAAGTAAGTAGGCTATCCTCGTTATATTTCAGTGTGTCAGCGGCATACTGAATGAGCGTTTATGATCTGGAGCAGCTGTTTCGTTTCTCAGCTCTCAGTGTTGAGTGTGGAGTCGCACGGTGTTAAAGGTACATTCTGCAGAATTATCACGCAGAAGTATGTGTAAATAAGATATCATAATCTCCTCATTTCTGATGACTTAAAAAAAAGTCTTTTCTATCATAGAAGCAGCAGGTTTTCACTTTCTCAGCTTAAGGATAGTTTTTAAAAGACAGATACTTCTCCTAGATGTTGAAAACTTCAGCATAAAGAAAAACTACCTCTCTATATTTGGTCATCTCAGCTGAAAATGTGTTTCTGACTTGAACTTCCTCATATCACAGAGCAAACAGAATGTCTGACACTTGTTTTGAAAAGTGTAATAAGTCACATTTCAACTCACAAACTCTTCACTACATGGAGGAACGTTTACCTGATCTCTGCTCATGCTTGCTGATGTACTGTTCAGGTGTTATGACGCGATTTGCTACCTTTTCAAAGAAGGACAAATCAACCGAGACCAGATTCCTCAAAGAAATCCGAGTTTGGTGAACATTGAATTTGCAGAGTTTTTGCATATTCCTGTCAGGTGATCTGTCATACAGCCGGGCGCCTTGTTTTCCTGAAAATTCAATCTTCCCGTCATAATTGTAATGATACTCTCGGTCTTATTTTTTTTTTTTTAAATGGATCTACAGCTCGTCTTTTTTTTTGCAGGTTTTACTCCAGCACTCTTTTGTTTTTCATCCCAGCTACCAGATTGAGTTTAATTTGGCCTTCAATAGGATCTCTGACGGCTAGTTTTAGTTTAATGGACTTCTTAGCAACGTGCAACGAGGGGGAAATCATCTGATAACAACAAAAAGATGATCTGAATTTGTAGCTGTAGCTTGTTGCAGATCAGTGATCGGCTTATCTGGTTGTCCCCTGAATAGAACGTACAACTTTGTTCTTGACAACCATTATTGCCTCAGGAGAGATTGGCATTTTACCACTAGATGTCACTAAATGTCCTAATTTTACGCACTGCACCTTTAGGATAACTTAAAAAAAGAAACACACAGATGAGTGAGACTTTATCCTTATGTTACAGTCTAAGCTTATATTTCTTTGAAGCATTCTTTGAGAAATAAAGATTCAATAACAAATTTGCTCATAAATCAAATTCAATGTACGATTTGTGTCGCCTTGTGCAAATGTGGTGCGTTCAAGTCAATGCAGTGGAAAAATTTCCTGCACTTTTGCTCAGATGATAACTCCAGGTGTGCACAAATATGTAAGACTGCTGCAGAATAAAAGCAGCAACTAGTTGATTGTAAGTTTCTACCGAAATGATAAGATCTGGCCCGTCATCTTTGGGTCAGTAGAGCGACACAAAAACATCGGGAAGAGCACGGTCGATCGCACAACAGGGTGAAAGACAGGAGGTGTGTAAAATGTTGTCGAAGGGATCAGGTGTCAGTCACGTATCCATCAGGATGCACCAGCTTTCCCAGAGAAGAACTGCGTGTTTCCCCTGATGGCAAATCGCAGAGATTTTACTCCTGCAAAGCTGATACTGGTTCAGGAGAGGCGCACACACATTCACTCACACTTTCCACAGTGGCATGACCCATTTCTGTGTCTTACAACTGATGCATTGTGGATGGAGGATGAGGAAGTATGGAGCGTAGAAAAAATGGGCAATCAGGAGAAAGGGGGCAGCTTTGGAGGAGAGGAGATGTGTGTGTGTGAAGGTCAAATGCTTGCATGGTCACTGTGTGAGAGAGATGATGAAGCGTAGAGGGGAGTGTGAGCAGGACATGTGAAAACATGAGAGAGAGCACTGCAGCAGAAAAATAAAACACATCCACGCAGCGGAGAACAAGCTGTCTTTGCTCTAAGACAACGTGCCGACACTCACCGTGAGAAGGTGGAGCGAGGAAGAAGAGAGGCTGCTTCACCCCTCAGTGGGAAAGAGGAAGGTGTGGGGAAGTGGGGGAGGTTTCCAAGCAGCCGCAGCAGACGTCAAAACAGCCAGGATAATTCCCCCCACACGTGCACACACGCACGCGCACATACAGCGGTCACCCAAGCCGGCAAATGACCTTAATAAGGATAACAAACACGACCTCCCGCGAGGGAAAGCAGCAACTCCACTTTTCACTTCTCATCCCTGCATTTGTCGTCCAAACGCAGCTCCAAACGCAAACACACGCTTCAACTCACACACACACACACACACACGCAGACAGGTCAGCCGTAGCAATGATGCCACGGCCGAGCAGCCGAGGGATGGAGCTCAGGCATGCTGTCAGAGATCTCCTCTGGAGGAAAAAAAAACAGAAACACACAAGCATGAGCAGGATGTTTACAGTGAGAGGACGAGCAAGGCAGAGAGAGAGAGAGAGAGAGAGAGAGGGAGAGGAGGTGTGTGCCACTCATCAACATTCTTAATCAGCCTCCCCCTGGCAGCCAATCAGGGGTCAGGCTGCTCTGACAGCAGCCAATCAGGCAAAAGGGGCCGGCTGTGTCAGTGTTGCTGGAGCCCAAAACAATGACAGTTGGCACTGATGACAGTGTCAGTGTGATCCTCTGATGGAGACTGAAGGGCGCACACACACACACACACACACACACACACACACACACACACACACACAAACACACACGCACACACACAGCACACAGCCGCAGCACACACACTTAAACTGATAAGTAGATATTAAAGGGATGTTTCGCTGTTTTCTGTCGTACAAAAAAAAAAATAAAAAAGGAACATGTCCCTACACGGCTTTAGACTAATTCATCTCTGCTCCTGCTGCCCGTACTCACACTGCAGAGACCTGTGATAAATCAGCTTTGGTGTGGGTTATGGGGGACAAAATGTACCGGGGGTAAAAATACAGCGCTCATGTGAAGCTGTGAGGCTGCAGCAGTAGAAGATACCGTAATGAAGCGGGTATCTCCTCAGTTTGCATAATAGTGGTCCCTTTAATCGCTTAACAATGATGGGACTTTTATTCTTTTCTCATATTTTTCATTCTAACGATTCATTTTTATCGCTTAGAAACAACAAATGCTGGGACACGGTGTCCAAATGCACGTGAGCGGAGACTCCCCTACCGACGCAGATACGGAGCCACTGCATTTAACTGCATTTTAGACATTAAATCATGGATGGCAGAGAACTTTTTACAGCTCAACCAGGACGAAACTCAGGTTTTAATCAATGGTAGAGGGGACAAGAGAGAGAAACTGGTCAGCAAACTCAAAGCATTATCCTAGAATCCAAGTCGACAGGCTAAAAATTTTTGTGTTTCATTTGATTCAGAACTGAGTTTTGAACCACACATAGGAGATATCACCAAGAAGGCATTTTATCATTTAAAAAAACATAACCTGAGTGCGACCGTTTCTCTCTCAAGCCAATGCAGAGACATTAATTCATGCCTTTATCACTTGTAGAAATAGATTATTGTAATGCCCTCCATTCTGGTCTCCCCAAAAAGAACATTTCACACCTCGCACCGATTTTAAGGTCTCTGCATTGGCGACCCGTCTCTTTTAGAATAGATTTTGAGGTTGTTTTGTTGGTTTTTAAAGCTCTTAATGGCTTCGGTCCATCTTATTTATCTGATCTGCTCTTACCTTATGATCCAGGTAGAGCCCTCAGGTCTTCAGGTAGTTAAAACCAAGACATACGGTGAGGCATCTCTTTATTACTACGGCCCCCATTTATGGAACAGCTGACCTGAAGACCTGAGGACTGAAACTAATCTTAATGATTCTAAAAGCGAACTCAGAACTTACCTTTTTAGTCTTGCTTTTAACTTAAATTTATATCATTAACTTTGTTTGAGCGTTTTAGCATTTATCTCTTTTAGTTTTAATGACAGGATCGTCTTTTATTGAGCTATTTTGGTGCTCTTATTTTAGTATCTTTGTTGTTTTTATTTTATTTTATTCATTATTTCTTACATTTCATTTTATGTTTCTTTGTTTTTAGATTTTAAACCTCCAGTATTTCCTTATCTTGAAGTTTAAAACCGTGTTCCCTCAGTGTACACGTTCCTGTTTATATGAAATCGAGCCCTTTTTAATTTAATGCATTTTAATACACGTTTCTATTGTGTTTAGATTGTGGGGTGGGAATGAGGGGTTGGGTTGGGGTAGATTAAGGTTTTCTTTGTTTCTTTTATTCCTCTGTTTTTTAAAGCACTTTGTGAAACATTGTTTTTGTCTGAAAAGCACGATACAAATAAAGATTGATTGATTGATTGATTGATTGAGATACCCAGAGAACACTCGATTTAGCATGATGGCTCTGATGATCTCATTGATGATAAGAGCACCTGTACAGACTACTACACTGACTAAACCTGTGTCAATTCTGCTTCAGTGTCTACACTCTCCTTCAGAGTCTTCACACTGAGGAGATGAGAACCTGTCCTTCATCGTACGTACTGGTGCTGCTGTCACAGAGCGTCTCCTGACTGGCGCTGAAGGTGGGCAGCGGGCTGATGGACAGCGAGGCCGGGCAGGACACCGGCTCCAGGTGCTCGCTGATCGGTGGGACTGCAGAGGCCTCGGAGCGAACACAATCTGGACTCGGAAGGTTCTGGCTACTCCCCGGGAAAGGACTCTTCCAGTGGGAGAACCCAATGGCCACCTGACCCCCGAGGTCAAAGCCTGCAGAATGAATCAGAACAAAATCAGATCAAGACTGAGACGAACCCTTGAAGTCATCTTCTAACTTAAATAACCTGGTTGTAAAAATGTTTATCTTTACTCTAAAAACAGCCTTTTTTGGGTCGGTGTGAGTGTGGTTCCTGCTGCTTCTGCAGAGAGCCTCAAGTGGGCACTCGGGGAACTGCAGTTTTTTACAATTCTGCATCTCAAGACTGGAGTTAACTCATTCAGTACCAATTATGTTTTTTTAGTTTTTCTGTTTTCCACCAGAGGGCGCTCCTCCCAAACATGCGACTAAGTTTGGGGTCATTCTGAACACAGAGAAGACGACAAATACGTCATAACCATGTTACAATAACAAAAACAAGTACTCGCCAGTGAGAAGTGTGCCATCAAGTGTGCCAACTAGCCCAGTTGTAAAGTGTTTTTTTCTCTATGAGGAGAGTAGGAAAACGCCAAAGTCATTCGCCAAGCGCAAACAGTCTCAGTGCATCGGCTCCCGTGTAGGCGGTGCTACCGTCTCTGGATCCAGTGGAGATCCTGGTATCGGATTTCCCAATCGTCAGCAGACAATCAAAGAAGCAATTTTCCGGCGTGCCGTTGTGCCGCCGGTACTGGTGAGCGAGACTGAGCCGGAATTCAGCGACAGTCCCAGCGAGGAGGATGCGAGCAGTCTGTGTGGTTTACGTCTCGGCATCAGGTTCTCGGGAGCCAGTACAACTACCAGGCATCGCAAAGTGACCGATCACAATCAGATCTCGAGAGTGATGAGGAGTGGTGTCCGAGGAGGGAGGACCTTGATGCCACCGATAACGTAGTTTTGCTTGAAAGTCTCTCCTTCGTAAAAATGTGTTTTTCGCAGGTTTCCTTTTCCAGATGGGCAAAGATGATATGACCACGCTACATCAAACAGGCAATAACTAAACACAGGAGTGGGTAAAACCCTTTTTTTTTGTACTGGTGAAAGAGGAGAATCACCTCTTTTTTTTGAGATATTGCACTTAATTCTAGTCCTGAAAGATACAGGAATTTCTATTGCGGTCAATGGTGGCCCTGGATGAAAATTGCATAAATGAGCCTGGCACTGAATGAGTTAAGAAAGAGTCTTTTTATAATTTCCCTCTGCACGCTTATACTCGATTTGCACACTTGTGTTGACAGTCTGACACCTCGAGTAACATACAAAAAACATCCAGTAACTTTCTGAGGCTTTCACACATTCACCTCCATTCAATGTCAATAAATTTGCGTACACATGTCATTATAAACACCAAAGATCTCCATCTTCCTCTCTGTTGTTACTGTGATTCACTTGGAGATCCTTTAATTTTCATTCACAAGGTGCCTCACACTGACTATGTATGAGGGAATATGAGGCGTGTGCATTTTCCCAGGTGGACCATGGTTTCACATTCTATGAAAGTGTGCAAGTGCTTTTAATGGTTTTATAAACTTGCATTATTTTTGGTTGCAGGATTTAAGTTTCAAGTCACAACTACAACAGATGTAAAAGGTATGATACAGACGTCCATCAGTGCGTGCTTACATTAAACTCAGTATTTACTCGAGCCCTCTCTAGTCTCAAGAAACTGCATGTGTGAAGTTCCTGTTTCTCCGGGAGCGAGGGGAGATAGCAGAGTGGGATCGGGAGAGGATTATCTTCAGCAATGTCACCCTCTGGTGGCGATAATCATGTTTGTTTGAAGGATTCAAGTCTCAGCATCTATCTTTGTGTGTCTAACAAGAGTCAAACAGCATCTTCATTCCTCTTTCTGCTGCTCTCTCGTTTTCCTGAAGACAAATAGCTTGCTGACCCAGCGAAGCTCGTCTCCGGCCTCTGATTCTGCCCTCTGCAGGGTTCTCAATCAGAATCACGAGGCCGTCCAGTAACCCAGTTCTGCTCCTGGTTTTCAGGTGTCTGTGAAGGTGATGGTGGGGAGTTTTTAACTAGTATCTTGTTTTTTTCACCTTGCTTAAAGGTCGATATGACAGCTTGAAAGAATAACACCTACTACGCGAACGCTGCACTAAAAATGTCAAAGTACTTTTTCCAAGCTTGATAAGGACAGGCGCTGAGCTCAGTGTTCTGTGAGAACTTATTGTCCGCTGTGTTGTAACAGTTAGAACTCATATTTCTCTGAAATGTCCCCTGGAGGATGTTTTTTACAACTTTATTATTTCTCTGTTAGAGTCTGACGACGGGAAGTATCACCTACAGTCCTTTTTTAATCTCTTCATAAATGTGGCTCTACAGCTGAAAAGCAGTTAGGTACATAGGCTGTAAGGAATGGATGAAGACACTCAGTAGTTTCTGAAGTTTTGTTATAAACCAACGTCTGACCAATAAAGAAACTGAACAGAGGTGGAGGGCTATCTTCATGCTCGTTCTGTCCTTTTGCTCACTCCACTCATTCATTTTCCTGTCTAATCATATCAATCCAATAGGCGTGCAGGTAGGGCTGGGCGATAAAACGATAACGATATATATCAAAAATTAATTTCCCTCAAAATCAATGTAAAACATAGTCAATACGCTTTTCGATAGTCATGTTTTGGTAGACTATACGAATGGCCAATGAAAAGTGGAGTTGCTACGGGTCCACTTCGCACTGAACCAATCATGTACAGAATTAGAACCAAATAGCAAACAACTGTGTAGCAGCAGGCTGCAGTTACACGCAAATGCAGATGAAGGCTCACCCGAAACGCTGATACGGCCAAAAACTTTTGCGTTTACTCCTGAATTTGTTTCCGTGGTGACGGGTTGATACCGCCTTTGGACAGACTTTGCAGCGGGTAGTGGTTTGCTCTTCACCTGAAACTGCGAAGCCGTACCAGTTCCTCATGTCTGACTCGCTCTTGTCCTATTTAACCACGAAATTATCACCTTCTTTTACAAACGCCATGTTTGTTTACACTGGTGTGTGTGAAAACTGGGGAGCGCTCACTGTGGCCTGAGCACGAGACATGATAGAGTGGAAAATCAATTTGATGATTTTAATTTTTTTAACATCTTCATAATCAAATAATCCGAATACGATTTAAAACCAATTAATCATGCAGCCCTAGTTAAGGCTCAATCTGAAAAGAGAAAGACAGAAAAGGCTGTTTTAAGGGGGACGGGGAAAAGCCCGCGAACATGCATTCACAACTGGGTCACAAAATGAAAACGGTTCTCTGCAGCAGCTCACGTGCCTACAATGACGCTCCTCACGCAGCCTGACGTCATTTTAAAATACCACAGGGACTCTCTCGCCTCTCAGTTGGTTGCAGTTTAATCAGTTCTGAGTCACAATCACAGTTTCTTAAATTAATCATGACTACAGGTGGTTCAATGATGAATATAATTCCAGATATCGATCACATAAAGGCTTTTGTTTGAAGCGGTGCACTGAGCCTACAATCAAACACATCCGATGAAGGTCACCTGAACAAACAGAGCAGGCAGCGGAGGTAATCCACACCTGGCATGTATCCGAATGACCTCCAAAACTCAAGGTGTGCACAGCCTTTTGTGGACATATTGTGCTCTAAGCATTATGTATGTCGCAGTCATCAGAAAAAAGTGCTCGCACGGCTCTCTGAGGAGAGGGAGGCCCAGATATGTAGCACATCCACCTCCTGACACCACCAAGGGGAAGGAAACAGATGCAGATGTAGATATCTGGGCCACAGGCAGCATTATGCAGTGACAACTTTGGACTTTGTCAGACGCAGAGAGAAGTTTTCAGGAGTTTCTCGTGTCTCCTTAGTGATTCCTCATCTGCTCTGCTCATCTGGTTCAGGATGCTGCAGGAGCCGGATTTCCACAGCTGAAACGTTTTCACTGCATCCCAGCCCGAAACCAAAACTGACACCTGAACCATCAGATCACATGAAACCTGCTGCAAAGACGAGCCAGAACAGTCAAAGTCATACGATACACTTTTCTCTATTCTGAGATGATTTAGTTTCATAATGACTCCATCACTGAACCGAACCGAACTAAGAACCTGATAATGGACCCCCGACTGAACAGGGGTCAGCTCAGAACTGTCAGGCTTTCATAGTTTTTCTGTTTTATAAGCAAAGTTTTGATTATTTAAACTAAGTTTATTAATCATGAGGGCCCAATTAGACCTCTAAGGTTTTCTTTTTTGCTTCCTCCTTTTACTTCCTACATCCAAACTTCCTTCTTTCTTCCCTTCATTTCTTCCTTTCTTCCCATTTTTCATTCTTCTGTCCCTTTGTCCTCTTATCCTCCTTTCCTATCTTTCTTCTTTTCCCTGTTCCTTTCTTCCTTTTTTCAGTTGCCTGGCTACCTTCTTTCCTAAACTCCTTCCTAACTTCCTTTCTTTCCCCTTTCCCCTATTCCCCCTTTCTTTACTGTTCTCCTTCTATTCTTTCTTCCTTCCTTTTGTCTTCACTGACTTCCTTCCTTCCCTTATTCTTTCCCCCCTTATTCTTTTTATCCTTTGCTTCCTTTTCATCCTACCTTTCTTCCTTCTTTTCATCCAACTTTCCTTCTTTTCATCCTTCTTTCCTTCTTTCTTTTCATCCTTCCTTACGTTCTTCTTATCATCCTACTTTATTTTCTTATTTCCATCCTACTTTCCTTCCTTTTTCATCCTACTTTCCTCCTCCTTCTCATCCTACTTTCCTTCCTTTTTCATCCTACTTTCCTTTTTCTTCCTACTTTCCTTCCTTTTTCTTCCTACTTTCCTTCCTTATTTTCATCCTACTTTCCTCCTCATTCTCATCCTACTTTTCTTCTTTTTATTCTTCTTCCCTTCCTTATTTTCATCCTACTTTCCTTTTATCATCCTACTTTCCTTCCTTATTTTCTTTCTACTTTCCTCCTCCTTCTCATCCTACTGTCCTTTTTTATCCTACTTTCTTTCCTTATTTTCATCCTACTTTCCTTCTTTTTCATCCTACTTTCCTTCCTTCTTTTCATCCTACCTTTCTTCTATATTCTCTGTCTGCCTTTCTTCCTTACTTCCTTTCTCCCCCAACTTTATTCCTTTTCTTTCCAGCTCTTTAGGGCGTGGCTTCGTCAGCTGTGGCAGTCATGAGGTTTTCAGGTGGAGTTAAGATCATGACATACCCGAAGCTTTTCAGGAGTTAGTCAGACTCTTGGTTGTGAACTTGTGATGGGGTTACATCTTGTAAAAGTTGTTTGTTTTGACTGAAAAAGAAAGTGACCACCGTTGAAGTGGGATGATGCCTTTATCAGACTTTAACAGAGTCAGTGAAGCATCAAAAACCTGATAATTGAAGCCTGGTGGGGCGTCATCCTTTTCTCCCGCAAAGGTTAGTTACTGCAGAAGAATTTTAAGTATGCTGCTCTCAATATTCTCCATGTCAAGCTCCTATAAATCCTGGCCTCATTTTGAGGATCCGCCCTGTCCATCAGCTGCACAAGCAGTAAATTATACAAAGGAGGAGGCAAGAATAAGTGGAAGATTATAATCGATTAGAACTTTAAAGAACTGACGGTGATGCTGACTTGTGTTTTCCTCCAAAACAAAGGCCAGAGCTTTTAAATCACAGCAGCACACTAACTCTTTATGTCAGAGTGCGGGGCAGCACTATAGATCTTTCCCTTTGTAAAACCAAGAGGGAGAGTCCCAATGGTCCAAAGCTCTCCCTCAGCACTTCATTAGTTTTTTATTTAGCCCAGAGAGAAGAGAGGAACACCTGCATTCAGCACAGCCTGCACTGAACCCAAAGTATTTTCCCTCACAGCATGCAACTTACACTTTCTCTCTCTAACCAGACTCTAGTGTTCATTGAAAACATGTCCAAAGACAAGGCCTGAATATTGCAAATGGCAGCAGTTTGCAGTTTTCTGACTGACAGGCAAATTATTTCAGAGTCCCTTGTCAACAGTGCACTACTGTCTGTCTATAACCCGCGGCATGAAAACAAAGCTGCCTGTCAGGGAGAGGCTTAAATTTTCATACAGCTTAGATGCAACTTTTTACTCTCCCTCAGGCATCATGGTATTGACACAGCAGCATGCTCAACACTAGTCAGCTTTTAAAGGTGTTGTTGTTGTACATGTTTGATTTTGTTTTGTGCAGAATGAAGACTACGTTGTACCCTGAAGTCGATCCAGGGGGGTATAAAGACCCCTGAATTTTCCACAAAGTATAGTACAGGGAATTAAAGCTATTATAAGGAGTTTTTTGACATTCATGAAATAGACTAAAAATCATATTGATGCCTTTTTATGACATCTAAGAGCAAACGAGACAATCAAACAAGAATTACATTTTGCATTTTGTCATTTTTGGTGGCTGAAACCGGTACAAGGGGGAAGGTGTCAGCCAAGAAGCTACAGAAACAACTTTTTTTACAATTTCAACACAAACCTTTAACAATAAATCATGAATTTGGCTGTCAGAAGTCAGCAAGATATGATAAAGAAAACGCTGCTTTGTTGACCACAGGGGGCGCCAAAAACAAAACAAATCAAAAGTTCCTCACGGGAGTTTTAAAAAGTTGACAACTTACCTTTAACTCATGGCAGTGTTGGCTGCTTGAAAAGCATTCTAACTTATGTGAAAGGCGTGTGTGTGAACTTATTTCGACTCTACACCCAGCCAAGGTGAAGTTATTGAATATTTTTGCTGCATCTTTCATCATCATTGCACTTTGTAGATGATCCTCGGACTCTCAATTTGGTACCGGTTCTACAGAAGACCTTGTTATTCTGAACTCAAGTAAAGGAGTTTATTAAATGGGAATGGAATTGAAGGCAGCAAGCAAAACTGTCTTGTTAAATTTTTCAAATCGTGATTACATGATTACTTTGACAAGAATTGAGACAAATTCAACGGGTAAATTTTGAGTATTTGGAGTGGAGACAACATCCAATCGGCTGGCTGTCATGGGGATGTATAGATGACTATGTTTTTAATCTCACTGTGCTCTTTTGGTCAGGTACAAAGCGCACTTACCGATGGTGATCTGACTGACGCAGCTGTAGAAAGTTCCTGAGGAGACATTGTAGCTGCTGCTGCTGGGCTCACGGTCTACAACAGACAAAAATACCACATATAAGCTGCCAGTTAGACTCCTTTATCTGAACTATGAACTATTTTCCACCTGACTCACTCATTAGTGTTTGCTTAGTAAGCACCCATGTTGGACTTGTGCCCACATTAGTTCCTGTTGGTTCTGAGGTGCAAAGATGGCCCAGGCCCAGAAACCAAGGTGCTGTAAGTCCAGTGTGATGTCTAGAGTCAATGCAGCCTAAAGTCTACCAGAAAAAGAACTTTTCATGCTTCAATCCAGCAGGAACGGGTACCTGCCTACGGCGCCAAAACTACCAGAAACTAGTTTGCTGACTGTGTCCACTCACACTGCACATACAATAGTCTACAAAATGGAGCTGTGTGATCCAATTTTCTGTGTCTACTTAAGAAGAGGGGCTGAAATCTGCTGTGTAAATAGTAGCACACCTGTCTACAGGTATGGCTGATTCTTAGGGAATGAGAGCTGACACATATATTATTCATGTTATGCCTCCAAAGGGTCCTAATAAAACCTCCTTAAACCCTGAGCCTCACTCAGTTCCAAGACTTTTGTGCTGGTTCACTCAGCCCCATGTTAGTCCATGTGCTTGAGATGCTTTGAACGGGCCCTCAGTCTTGAGTAGTATTTATTTTTGCATCGGTATTGCAGAAAAGTTTGCCGGGTTATCACATGTTATATTTCCAAAAGTGTCCACAAAGCTATTCTACCCTCTACTGATCCTGGTGGGTCGAGAAAAGTCAGGACCCTGCAGTGTTACAGGAATAAAACCCCTAATCCTGCAATGTTAGTGCCCCGCTCCACACAACGAGCCACACAGGGGGAAAAACCTTGACCTTGGCAGAGTTAAAGAAATAAAATCCATGAGTCTGGCAGCTTTATTGCTTTGGTCTTCCGATTTATATAGAGAGGGAAAGGAGCCATCTACTGTGGCACAGCACTGCGAATAAAACTCACAACACAAGAATCACTTTCAGAGTAAGCCTGTAACTCTAGACGACTTTATTTTCTATCCTGATCTTAAGTTATCGCACTAAGTTCATTGTTTTATGTTCACCAATGAGTGTTTTCCATTTGGTTTAGTTTTCAACTTGTTGAAAATTCTATGATTAGGCTAATTTGTTTGGGAATAACAAGAAGAAACACTCATGTGTCAGCAGATAACAGTGTAAAATATTTTAAGTACGTGCCACAGTGGCAGCATGACCACAGACCAACATGGGGCAGAGAATGGAGCCTTGAGGAACACCGTTAATATTCATAGTACAGAAGACAAGGCAACGATGGACTCCACAAAAAAGGTTGCTAATACCGTTAGGGATGATGATTAAATTAAATCAAAACATGAAATATTCACACTATCAAATATTAGGAATATCTAGTAGTTTATACTGTAGTATTAGTAGTATTAGATAAGAGTATCAAATATTTTAAGTGCATGCCACAGTGGTAGCATGTACACAGATCAACATGGGTCAGAGAATTGAGCCTTGAGGAACGCCGTTCAGATCCACACAGGGGCTTAACTCATGGGTTGGTCAGGGTTGGCTATAAACTGATTAGTGTTACCCAAAAATCCTTAACTCTGATTGGTTGTTTGTTTTGTCAAAGGAGGGCCTTTTTTCACTTACACCATTTTCTATGCTGGTATGTTAAATTGTGGGTTTAAACAGACAGTCTTTTAGGATCATTACAAGATGAAGCATGAATGATTTATGCATACATTTTCACAATTTTGTGTTGATTCATTTTGATAACTACATGAGTATTTCAAGAAAATTTGATGATTTAAGATGGAAAAGTTATGCTTGTTTTAAAAAGGAGTCAGACACAAAAATCATGGAAATGCTGCATAAGTCACTCTGCCAAATAGTCTAGACAAGCCCTAACTCGAAGGGAGTTTTTTATCCTTAAGATTTTCAAGATTTACCCTTTGACTCTCTCTGCTGCCGATGGTTGATGAGTTTTGCTTGTAATTCCCTGTCCAACTGAAATCCAACAAGATATAACTGCAACTTCAAGGGCTTTCATCAGACTGATATCAATCTAGATCATTTCAAAAAGATGTATATCATCCATATCATACTAATTTGTTGATTGCGCTCAGCTATAACTCTAGCAACACTCTAGCAACACAAACAACAACACAAATGTTCAGTTCATTGCAAGAGTTACATATGCACGGCACAGCTGTGACAAGTTTCTGTTTCAGCTAATCAAGCTGCAAATGGTCTGACATGTAGTTTTATCATTTTCAATATGAAAAATGTTCACATGTGGTACAAACTTTTTTCAAGTGGCTGGATTATAAGATAAGAAACACAGCTTGCAATCACTGAGGTTTCTCAATTAATTAATAAAAACAACCTTTGACACTGGAAACTCGAGGCTTAATTTGAAACTCCCTGTTATCAAGGGATAACAGGGACAGAGGTGAAATTATTCATCCACCCCAGCAGAGGGAAAGACTGTCTGAGGCACTGCAGTTACCGCTTGGAGGAAAAACCAAGCAATTTAGCAAACGACTGAGTGCTGAATAAAAATACCTCTGCCAATGCATCTATTCAGAGAACTTTTGTGCAAAACTCTTATTTCCTAATGCTCTAATCTAACACCTACAGCCTCTGCACAGATGAGCAACTGCAGCACATTTATCACTGACAAGGAGTTGCTCAGCATAAAGCTCACAGCTGCCTCTATGTGTAAGATAAAGCAGCTCCTGTCATTTACAAGCAAAGTTGAGAGAGTTTAGGATATCAGCCTCTGTGCAGCTTCGAGTAACATCTGTAATTTATCACTGGACGGAGTCTCATAAATGTTTAACATCATTCAAGCTTGGACAGCAAAGTAAATAAGGGATCAATATCTACTGTGAGAGTTGGGAGTTTGCTTTTTATGGTTGCATGCAGGAGTGAATGAACTGTGCATCACATTTTTTAATAAAAAGCTGTATACTTAGACACTGACCATGTTTCTTGATCATATTTTTGCAGAGTACTGACTGTCTTTAACTAACACAAAAGGTACTTTGAGTGTTTCTAATTTAGCCCCAGCCTCATGTACATAACCTTAGAGGTGTTTTCCTTGTGATTCCCATGGCTCAGTAAGCCCCCTGAAACAAACGCACAATCTGGTCAATCATCACGTTTTCACTTGGAATAGTTCAAAGGTAAAAGCAGACCGTGGAGGTTTTCCAGTCACTGCCAACGGTTTGATACAAAAGCTACTTAAGGATATAAGAAGTGCACATCGTTGGCACACTTTGCAGCTTTTACTAACTTGACACGCTGCTGGACGCTCATACCTGCAGATCCCGAGGAGAGGCGCGTCGCGATGGCGCGGCGAGGGCTCCGTGGACTCCCCGGACAGACCCGCACTCCCTCGTCCTGACACTGGAGACAGATGACCTGGCTCTCCTGACCCTCCCCGACTCTGCTGCAGCCCATGTGTTCACCCCCCGCTTGGATCTTCATGCCCGTGTTGATCCGGCGGACCAGTCGCATCTCTGCCGCTCCAGCATCCTCTTCAGCCGCGGTTGTCACAGTTTCCATAACGCATGGCTTCGGCGTGTGCAGGAAACTGTACTCGTCCCCTACCTACAGCATCCCTATCAAACTCCTCCCACTGTTTTCCAGCGCTTATTTTCCAAACCGAGCAGGTCACCTCCTCTCCTTCGTGTCAGCCCCTCTCGACTCGTGCTGTGGGTTGATGTTGCAGTTTTTTACGCACGGCTGCAGGCGTGGCTCCTTCACGTGAGTGATAAGGTCGCGCTGTCAAGTTCCCGTGAGAGTTTGTAACTTCCAAGATTAGGCAGAAAAGGAGTCATCTCATTGTGAGAAATTGAAAGGACTCGATTTTCACCCAGATTAGGGATTGATTATGACAAAAAACTAGATTTAAAGCCTCTTTTCGACTTTTTTTCACCAGCTTTTGGTTAAGACCTCAACACGAACTGATCGGAAAGCAGTGGATCGGACTTCACTGAAACATTACTGTATCTCCAGAATGTATTAATCCTAGAGCACTATCACTAAAATCAGTAAGACCATCACTATCGCCTGGGGATTTTAACTGGAAATAATATACCTAAGAAAAAGTACGTGTTATCAAAATAGGACAATTCATGACAAATTAAAGTCGTTTTCTTTTATTTTGAGCTGTGCAATGTCCAAAGGGGGGAAAATGTGCCATGGGGGGACTGTATAAAAATGCAACAAAATAACTGAAATTAGGCATTCATGAACAAAAAATTCCTAAAAAATATATTTATACAGAAACTGTGACGTTAGTTTCTTTCCCACCCATTCCTGGGGCATGTGAGTCTTCCCTGTTGAAGACTCAGGGTCCTTGGCACAATAACAGCTGCAGGAAAGAGAACCAAATATGGCAGATTTGGAGTGAGTAAAAATGACCAGCTGACTCAAATATTTCTTATCATCATATGAATCCCCTTGAAAATCACTACTTTGTGATAGTTATTCATAACCATTGTGCTAAATAAAGATAGCATGCAAATTCCAGGATCACTCTTACTGACCTTATTCGCCTACATGCAGCTATCAAATCCACCCAAACCTACTTTACCCTCTATCACTATTGCAGGGTGAACATCACCTGAACATGTGCCTGTAGGAAAAAGCAGATTTTGGATCAGGGAAACAAATATGCCTTCAAAGATGTCAAAGGCAATTATGAAGCTATCCGGGGACTCATGATACTCAGACAAACGCAACATGATGAAAATCACGTAACCATGTTTGGTCGGGTGAAAATCAGGTTCTGAAATGGCTTGGGGTTGAAAACAATCATACATCAGCTTGTTATGCTGCTCAGAGTCAGGGGGTGCTAGAATGCTTTCACTGTGCATTGAGGTCCATGTTGCGTGCCTATTGTATGGAGTTGGGGAGGGACTGGCAAGAAGGGTTGCCATGGCTGATGCTGGCAAGAGAAGGTGTTCAGGAGATTACAAGGTGTAGCCCCAATGATTTGATCATTGGCTGCTCTATACATGGCCCTTTTGCAGTGTTGCAGGGTGGGCTGGTTGAAAGTGACCCATCAACGGACTTGGTGGACTATGTAAATGGATTTTGGCGCCACATGTATGCAGTTATTGAGGTAGTGAAGGACAACTTGGAGGGTGCTCAGGCTGTTCAGAAGAGACTGTATGACTGCAGAGTTGACGAGAAACAGTTCAGCCCTGGGGATCCGGTACTTGCTCTTTTGCCAGTCCTGGTCGAATCATTCCAGGCTAAGTTTGCTGGCCCCTTCATTGTTAAGAGACAGGCATCAGAGCAGAGCTACTGGGTTTCCACTCCAACTCTTCAATAGTCATCTCAGTCGTTTCATGTTAGAATGTTAAAACATTACCTTGTGCGTGAGATTCTTCAGTCTGGTGACTCTGTTTCCAGAGATGTGGTTGGATCTGTGACTTCTGATCTTGATATCCCAGGGGGAAGGTCAGACAATAAGACATATTAAAGGCAAGGATAATATTGTTGCTGATGCCCTTTCACATGCTCCTCCAGGGCAGTTTAAGGTGGTGTTTTTCATTGTGGCCTGGTTTCCTACCTGAGTTTTTTTTTTTTTTTTTTTTGTATTCCTGGTTTGCTAATTTGTTTTGGTGAGTACTTGTATTTTTGAGATTTTGGTGTATAGTAGGTCCTTTTGGGACCCCATCTTAAGGGGGAGGGTGTGAAGCCCCTATAGGGTCATGCTGCTGTGGGAGGTGTGTCTGGTTGGCTTCACTCTGCACACTAATCAGAGCAACTATGCACCAAGTACCTTACTGCCTGTGCAGGTACTTGGGTTGGTTTGTTTGGTTTGGTTTGGCTTGGGCTTTGCCTGGTTTGGTTTAACTTGGTTTGGCTTCGTTTGGGTTGGCTTTGTTTAGTTGTAGTTTATGTTTGCTCTGTACAAAACCTTCACACACATATATCCACCTTCCACTCATGCACACCCTACACACTACTGATTTCACTGAGTTACACATCATGTCTTAAGTATTTTAATTTGGTTTAATTGGATTTAGTAAAGATTTGTTTTGATTCTTATAAATAGTGTGTGTCTCCCCTTTCTTTGTTGTGACCACCTGAGCCAGGTCATGACACTGATGACAGAAAAACACTTATGGTTCATGATTTGTTCTTGTTAATTTAGTTTTTCCTGGTTTTGTAATTTGTATTTTCCTGGTGTTTCTGTCCCCTGTGAGTTTTCAGTTTGTCTTTAACCCAGTTTCCCTTGTGTTCTCAGTGTTTTGTTCTTAAGATCAGTGTTCAGTGTTTCTGTTTTATTTTGCACACCCTTGCAGATGCACCATTCACCATCTTTTTCGGTCAATCAGGTTTAGTATGTCAATTTAAAGCCATGTGTGATAAAGAGAGGATTTTACAGATGAGTTCAAGTTTTACCAGGATGAAATCTTAGTATTACAGAGTCTGTTACGTCTTTGTAATTGTCTTTGTTTCCATCTGCTACCAGAGGAAGACCAATCATGAAGCCACAAGACTTAACAAGACAGAAAGTCAGCAGGACTCTTCTGAGGAGCTGTACACTCAATTTCTGTCTGGCTGTGGCTGTTTTTATTCTTCGAAACATGGAGCATCTGAAGGTGAGGACTTGGTCTTACTGAAAAAGTTGCAAAAAAAAGCTGAGTCAATATTCAGCTGTCACTCTGACACGTGTGTTTACATGCACAACTAAATTGAGATACAGCCTGGCAATTCAACTGGACTATCCTTTTTATCCCCACTTTACATGCACCTGGCAAGAAACTCTGCATCATTTATTTGTACGATAGGAAAGTTTGTTTATTTCCTTCATATTCCACCCTTATCCTGTTTAACGTCTGGCCCTCAGCTTAGCGTGCAAACACTGATGCATGCACAGAAACCTTGAGCCAGTTTCATTGACCTCCAACCACATTATCCAAGTTTGTTAGTCCAACTATGGGAAGTTTGATTTAGACAGGCTAATATGTTCACGTGCAATTTAAAATGGGAGTTTCAGTTTGACTAAAGGAATAAATCTGTTTCTTTGAGCAACATGTACACCTACTGACTGTTTTAAATGCTGCAGTTTGGCAGTGAGAAGTAAGAGGGAGAGCAGGAGGAGTTATTTTTTCCCTTTAAATACTTTAATTTGTACATATTTAACATATTTTGTACTCCTGGCTGATACTTAAGAAGAGTATCTAAGTTTTCAGGTCCAGTCAAATCATTTTAATTTCAATAAGACTGACTTTTTATCAGCTTCTTTCCTGTTCATGAGTATCAAATAGTGAGCAAGGTCAGAATTTTTACCCTTTAAATTCATGTATTTTATCAGAAAATATAATTCCTCATGTACTAAAGCAAAGTTTCTGTTTCGTTTTTGTCAGCTGTTTATCACAAATTGAATTCCATAGCATCTAAAAAGGATAAAGTTCCACTGGTGGCCTCAACACTGCCCCATGGTGGTAACTAGAAAAATAACAAGAGCAAATTTAAAATAATTGTGCCATCTAGTGGAGTATAGTAAATATTCAAAGTCTGCAGCTTTTTCTTTAGATTAGAAGCCTAAAACAGTAAATGGCATAATTTTATATTACAAAGGAAGCAGGAAAAATCTCCTGTTTGGCCCTGCTGTATCATTCAGTTTATTGTGAATCTGTTTGATGCATCATTGTCTCCATCTTTCTCTCTCACTCTCTGAAAAGCTACAAGAAATCTATTCCATCACTCAAGAGTCCACTGATCCTCTCTTGACTCATGACTTCTGCACCTTCAAGCCACGGTCTCCTGCAGATGCTCTGGAGGAACATCTCTTATTGGACTCCATTGCTTGCCAGATCCACTGTCACTAGAGCAGACCAGTGATCCAGGCCACAGCACCTTTACCATCCTGCCAGGAGAAGGAGAGTGGCATGTGGGAGATCAGCTGAAAGTTTTGATCAAAATCAAAGACTTGCAAGGTCATGCCAAGACGTTTGGAGGAGATGTCTTGGTTGCATGGCTGCACAGCAGGACACTCAGTGCAGGTGTGGCTGGGAAGGTGGAGGATCACCTTAATGGCTCCTACTCAGCTGTTTATCCTTTACTCTGGGAGGGTAGTGCACAGGTTGAGGTAAAACTAATCATGGTCTTCTTACCAGAGGTGATGCTGAAGGCTCATTTACAAAGTGAGCCTTGGTTCTGTCACAAGCCACAGACTCTGAAATGTGATGCCAGGGTTCTCCATGTAGACGCACATTTTCACCAAAAACTCAAGGACGACCCTCTTTCAAAGGTGAGAGATTACAAAAACAAATTCTTATCTAATTTGACTTTTACCTAAAAAAAAAATATAAAGAGCTAACAATGGATCTTCTGTTGGAAAATTCAAAGTTTGGAGCTGCAGCCATAAATGTTGAGATTCTTATAGTATAAGACGCTAGTCTAAGACTTCTCATGTGAGTTTTTCCTTCAGGGGTGTCAACATGAAGGTATGCATAAAGGCCTCAGAACCAAGCAATGTCACTGTGTTGGCACCAAAGAAAGGTAAAGCCAGTTTTTTCTAATTCTGTCCTTCTCCATGAAAAAACATCAAACCTGAATGAGCTCAAGACCTTATATATAAATGTTGCTGGAGGAAGATGACAGAGGACTGATCTAAGGATGGAAATTGATAAGATTTTATCTATATCAAGCCATTATCAATTCTGCTTTTCGAATCTATTCTTTAACAATTCCCTTCTCAATACATTTCTTCAATTAAACCAAAAAAGTTGACTATAGATTTTCACTATTAACTCAAAATTTTATTGAGTCTCTGACAACAGAAAAAGATGTATGCCACCTGCAGCGAGGGTCTACAAATAATCAAACAACAATACTATTAGTGCAACAATGACTTCAGTCAGTATTTAAATCAAATTAAGCTGACCATATTCTGGATCTCCAAAAAGAGGACACTTCTACGCGGGCCGGAGTCGTGCGCAAAATTTTTAAGGGTTTTTCTGGTCGCGTCGAGTGTTTTTTTTTACGTGTTTGCAACTTAGTTAGTCCACGCTACACAAACTTCAAAACCTCTGACATTTTAAGGATTTTATTAACTCTACCGGACAGTCCCCCAAAAAAGAGGACATGTCCGGGTAAAAGAGGACGTTGTTAAGTCTGGAAGGCATTGTGCTTATTATGCTAACACAGGACATACGTACCTTTAATGCCGTGCTGAGACAGAGCAGCAGTGGCTGATGACCGGTGGAGAGCGACAAATACACGTCCTTATATTTGCTGCCATGCCCTGTTGACAAATGTTTAATTATGTCGCAGGTGTTTCCACCTTTGAATGTTATCTCTGCTCAAACGTTGCACATCTCGCTGTTGTCGTCCTTCTTAGTACATGAAGCCATGCTTCTCATCGTTACCGCTTAAATTTCACACCGTCCGCCATGTTATTTTCCTCGAAGTCCATGTTCTCGTTCGCGTAGATTGGTTCTCGCGAGACAATTATTCAAGGTACCCGGAAGAAAGGAGAGGAAAGGAAATACAATGGAGACCGATGTCCGCGCATGGCGGCCATTTTGCTACGGGAAGCTCTTCCACTCATAACATTACAGTCTATGGTGCACGTAGCATCTAAATAACCATAGATTGCCTAATTTTAAATCAATTTTCGAACGGTTATGCTTGTTATAAACCTCAGATTTTAAGGTATGTTCCTGCATACTCACAAATAATTTTAACCATGGATTTTCACAAATAAACATTAAGCAGATAGGTAGAGGCCTACACACACAAGGCAGTTATATTACATCATTCATATATAAAACATTTAATCATTCCATGTATGTTATATAAGCAATATTTCTATTATAGGGATAACTAACATCTATAGCAATAACATAGGTATTTATTTTCAATATAAATATCTGCCTCATGTTGCCATTTTAGACATTTTGAACAAACCGAACAGCTTGGAAATTATGTGCAACTTAAGGTCTTTTTTTTTCTCAAAGAAAAGCTGCCATTTCAACATGACCAAGCATCCCGACTCATAGCCACATTATTAAGGTCTGTGATAAACAAAAACATTTGTAAATCTGTCAAGATTTCAGCGAGTTGAGAGTATTTTTGATCATGCCGACTACTCACCTCCCGTCAGCTGCCATAGCGCGTACCTGAATGGTATACAGGAGTAAGATGGATGCCGGTAACTCTGCCTCTTGTTGCCTATGTGATAAATTAAACCATTTGGAACCGGTTCTCAACAAGAACCGTTTCTCAAATCCCATCCCTAGACTCACCTGTTCTGTTGCTCCTAATCGTTTCTTACAATTGACCCCTCTCTAAATTCTTCTCAGGTCAGGCCACGGTCATTGGAGGCACTGGGAAGTCTGAACACTCTGGTTATTATTACCAGGGTGTGTGGCGAGCTCTAGGTGGCAGCAGAGTTCAACAATTCAACACCTCCTCTGCCATCAGTCAGTGTCTGAAAGGAAAGATGGTCCACCTGTATGGAGACTCCACCATCAGGCAGTGGTTTGAGTTCCTTGACGTGTCACTACCAGGTAGCTCATCCAGAGAGGTTTTGGGCTGCAGGTTGATTTTATTTACACCCTAAATCTTGAACCTTGACCTGTTCCTTTGTGTTAAACATGTAGATGCACAGCACTTTGATCTGAAGGGCTCAAAACAAGCAGGACCTCACATGATACTGGATCATGAAAATCACTTCATGATAACATATCGCTGCCACGGTCCTCCTCTTCGTTTTACAAGCATCCCAATCAGTCAGCTGCGTTACATTGCCAATGAACTGGATGGATTAAAGGGTGGCTCTGACACTGTGGTAGTGATCGGCATCTGGGCCCACTTCAGCACTTTCCCAATTGAGGTCTACCTCAGACGCCTCCAGAGCATCCGCAGAGCCGTGGTCCATCTGTTGAATCGGGCTCCAGGCACCCTGGTGATCATCAGGACTTCAAACCTCAAAGCTTTGACGCTGTATGAGACGCTGACCAACAGTGACTGGTTCACCATTCAGCGTGACAAGGTGCTCAGAGCCATTTTCAAAGGAGTCAACGTTAAATTGGTTGACGCCTGGGAGATGGTTCTGGCCCACCACCTTCCACACAGCCTCCACCCACAACCCCCCATCATCAAAAACATGATCGATGTCCTCTTGTCTTACGCTTGTCCCAAAAAGTGAAGCGAGCAGTGCCGTTTAAGGAAGGAGTGAATTTATCAATGCAAGGGAAATGGAAACAACAGTTGAGTTACTTAATCTGTAGTGAACATCAGGTGATTTATTTGACCTCTTTCAGCCTGTGCACAAATTTAAAATAGGCCTATGTATGATCCTTTTTTATTCCCAATTCCTTGAATGAGCACTTGTCTTCTATCTCTCATTCTCTGCATACTAATTCCTACGTTGCATCTTATCCCACAAACCTTTCTTCTCCAGATACTTCACTTTCTTTCTGAATCATTACAGACCTGTTTCCATTTTCTTTACTGCTGCAAAAATCAGTCCAGTTATACAGTTGCTGAATCTGGTGTCCCACAGGGCTTCTTTTGCTATCTTCATTGATGATTTTCCACTAATTGGTTTAAACGTTCACATGCATCTTTATATCGATAATACCGCCATTCGTTTGTCTTTAATTCTTTCACCCAAAAGGGGGAGTGGTCAGTTTTCGCCATATGGCTAAAACCAACTTAGCAGCTACCTCAGATATCAGTGGCTAGCTTACTGTGTACAGAAGGCGGATAAGGCGACTGCTTTATTCTTTTACAGGGTACTTTTTAGAAGTTTTATGTTGAATAGTATGAGACTGTAACTGTCATCTCTTCTGCTCTTTTCCACCACATGGATCGTATTGATGTATTTAAACCATTTTCTCAACTTTTGATTTTGTCTGTATTCAAAATTTGACTTTATTTCCAACTTTTTGACTGTATTCGGGCATCCAATCATTGTTTAGGATCATTTCAGGTGTAGCTTCATATTGATTTAATAAAACTTTCTCAGAGCCAAGTTTTCACATGATTTCAAACTAAATTTATTTCATTGTGTGTCAGCGTTATGGAGGGTATTTTTATCACATTCACTGAAAAGAAAGATACTGTTTTTATTTCAGGCTGCTTTACACAATCAAACAATTACTTCACTCCCCCATGTTTCTGTTGCTGATGCCTCCTGGAAATAAGAAATGAACGGTTCCAGGCCTAATCACCAAGGTGGACGCTCTGGTACGAACACGGGTACAAAGAAAAACGACATAAGCAGACAGTTTTTGTTTATTGAATAAAGCCTGCCAAAACAAAGAGTCTGGTTTTTTTTCTGTTGAATTAAAGTCTATTGTACTTGGAAGTATTCTTCTTCCTGTATGATTTGATGGAGAGACTACATATTTCTCTGAACCCTACTTTCTTTCATATTGCTTTCACCAGTCAACTCGCCTGGTTGACACAGACTGGAGTTGATGATTTGTGAGTTATTTCACCACGATGGTTATCAATTTTGGGCTCGCAGCCACACCTTTTCTAAAATGTCCTGGCCTTTTTCACATCTGAATACCTGATGAGGGTGTACAGAAACATTTGAATGATTACTTCTTGATCCTGCGTTATATTAGACTGTTTGGTCTCATTAAATCTCCAGCCTGTAACCTTAGACCTCTTGATAATAACTCTGACTGTCAATGTTTAGTTAGTTAGTTAGTTAGTTAGTTAGTTAGTTAAGTAGGTAGGTAGGTAGGTAGGTAGGTTTTCAGACTCAGGGTCCATATAAAAAATACAAACAAGACACACTACAAAAAGAACACAGAATTAGAAAAAAACAGTCTAATAGCTCATCTTCAAAAGACAGTTGTACCAGTGCCTCCAAAAATGGGATAAGCATCGTGTGTCACTGAGCCCAATGTTCACCATTTGCAACACAATTTGATTTGTTCAGTCATTTAACCGCCAAATGAACCTGTACAGTGTATTTACACCAGTACTCACAAATAACTCACTCGCACTCGCCCATCTGGGCCTTTTTAAGAGTATCCTCAGAGCATCATGGTAAGCAATTTGCAGTTTCTGAAAGCTGCCTTTTTTATAGTTCAGCCACAGGTGTGCAGTGTACAAAGGTGAACAATACGTTTTAAACAAAGTGAGCTTTACATCAGTAGTGCAACAACCAAATTTACGTGACAATACATTCGCTCGAACATACAACATACGACACTGGCGATAAATGTCTTCATCATCTGTCAGCTGGTCTGTGATGATGTGACCAAGATATTTCACTTCACTGCAGACATTTAATACTTTACCAGAGAGTTCAAAATCAGGAAACGTCATAAGTCTATCTTCCCTGGTTCTGCAGATCATAATAACACATTTTAACCCATGATACTTGATACCATGTTGTTCTCCAAACACAGAACACTCATTAAGGAGCTGCTGCAGACCAGCTGTGCTAGGACTCAAGATGATGCAATCATCCGCGTACATAAGATGGTTCATCACTGTACTGCCAACCATACAGCCAGTGTTACATGAGGTTAAATTATTCGATAAATCATTCATGTAGAAATGAAAAAAGATAGGTGATAAAATGCTCCCCTGTCTTACTCCATTACTGACATGGAAAGGAGCAGACAGGCAGTTGTCCCATTTTACAAACATAGTCTGTTGGGCATACCAATACGACAAGATTCTGATTATATACTTAAGGACACCCGCTACAGCCAGCTTTTTGAATAATATTCCATGATTAATCCGATCAAAAGCCTTGGAGGCATCTAGAAAACAAATAAAAACAGATGAGTTTTTTCTCTTATAATTACTTTGCAGTTCCTTTAACACATATATACGCATGTCTGTCCCGTGTCTCGATTTAGAACCAAATTTATTATCTGTAGATGCGATTAGTACATTCATCCGCTCCATGAGAATTTGTTCAACAACTTTCGACAACATATTAGCTAGGGCGATGGGCCTGTAATTATCTGAGGAACCCAACTTTCCTGCTTTATCTTTAACCAAAGGAACAAGCTACACAGTCATCATGGAGTCTGGCAGAAAGCCATGGACTATGATGGCAGTGCTCTCATATGTTGTTGGAGCATTCGTGATTTTATAATTATAGCCTAATTGTGCACACTCCCAGTTTGGTGGCTGAAGACTTTGTTTGTCAAACCTCACGGTATAAGAGTTTAAGTCGTCTCAAGAGGAATTTAAAAGTACTGTCTTAACAAGGAGTCTGTGAAAAACTTTGTAATTTCTGTTTCTTTCTAGGTGCTTCCAAAGGAGAACCAATGATGAGACCACAGGATATATTTGGACAAAAAGTTGGCTTAAATCTTCTCAAGAGTTTTGCTGCTCTTCTCTTGCTGGCTGTGCTGTTTTTAATACTACAAAAGATGGACTTTGTGGAGGTGAGAACTCAGTTTTACTCTGAAAAACCGAAACGAGGTCTGTGTATTAAATGTCTAATACCAGTCAACAGCAGCATACAGGTTTCAACCTTCTTTCAATATGTCCAAGGTCAGATTTGTGTATTTCTATTGGTAACAGATTCCATTTCAACCAGTTATACACTCAACTCAACTGTAACATCATCTGCTCATGTGAATTTACATTATATTGTTGGCTGGCTGACATGGTGTAAAATAAACACCAGTAAAACACTTCCAAAGTATCTATCATAATGCTTAAGCAAATTCTTTTTTCTTCCTGTTCAAACTGATTGTTAAAAATAAATGTGACCTAAGAAGTGGCTAAAGGCTGACATTGGCTGTGTTCTGATGTTACCTATTATTAAATGTAATATTGATATAATACTTGGACCCAGATCTAACTGAATACGATACAAAGATGTTTTATGTTACAGGGCTCTCAAGTCTCACGCATTCAGCGTGTGACACACGCATTCCAACCCATTCACACGCCACACATCGTATTTCTCAAGCATTTAAATGAATATGGTGACGTCCCCCAAGTTGCACCTCTTTAACTATAGAACAGGTAGGAATCAAGTGAGTTCCTCCGAGAGTTCAGAAGCCAATCAAGGAAAGTATATCTATTGAACAGCCAATCAAAAAGCAGCATTGCTGTATCCGGGTAGATTTTGATTTGATTTTGACAAACACTCGCCGAAATAGAGCAGGTTTTTATAAGGACGAGATAGACCTGATGATTACAGTAAGTCAGTAACCTACACATGCAGAGACCTCAACACCTCATGGCATATAAACACAAATGATAAACTTAAGCCCTATGCTATTGCTATTAACAGCTGTATTGATAAATGTAGCCTCTGTACAGCCATTTCCAGCCATTTCCCCCTCCACAAAAAAGCATTTCTCATATATTCTTTTTAAAGTTCTGATATTCATGACAGTGTAACGCGCATGTACCAAAGGATTGAGTATCTCCATGTTTGTGAAACCTATACTAAAGAACAATTCATCTAAATGCTCCACAGTGCTGATTTTAACAACTCTCCTTGCTAAAAATGCTTGAACCACCTCACATATTTCTATATCTCACTGTTCCAGCCTGGCTGGACCATCCAGTTGCATGACTCACTTGCCGTTCCTTCCCACAACAGTCTGGACTTCAGCCAATTGGGAGCCTTAAAATTGGGCGGGAGTACTTTCCTTGGTAGACAGACTACTGTAACCAATCACCGTAACCAAACATCTGACGTCATCACAGTGTGCAATTGTGTTCCCTGCTGGGCTCTCAAGCATCAAGTAAAGGTTTGGTAATATTTCAACGTGTACCAGCAAACAATGTCTTTCACGTCTTCTTCTGTGGATATAAAGGATTTCTGCCGACTTTGCAAAGTCAACTGCAGAATTAACGGCGTTCTGAAAAGTCCCGCAGCATGTGTTAGACGTCACCATCTACACATGGACCAATCAGGGGCTGCCTTTCCCTGTTGTCCGGGGAACAGTGGAAACACAGTCACTGATTGACCCGGTTGTTATCTGATTTCTAATACACGCTCCCAATTGGCCGAAGTCCAGACTGTTGTGGGAAGGAACGGCAAGTGATTCACGCAACTGGATGGCCCAGCCAGGCTATCACTGTTCAGCATCTGCTGCAAACTCTTACTTATCTACCTTTTTTTTCTGTCACGTTGTCCCCACTGTGTCCTTGCAGTTCAAATTAGTTTACTGTCACAGCTGACTGCTCTGCTATAGCTCTGTGGCAGGTCTCAGGTTAGTGCAGACTAACTCAATGTGAAGCAACAACTGTCCCTGGTTAAGAGTGTAAAGTCATACCTATTGTCTTTTTTTCAGTTTACTTGCTTTTAGTGCTTTGTTTGATGCACCTCTGTCATCATCTTTCTCTCTGATCCTCTATCATTTAAAGCCTGAAGGAAACTTTGCTCCCACCTTCAAAAAAGCACCCACTCATCCTCTCGTGAATCGTGACTTCTGCACCTTCACGCCACGGTCTCCTGCAGATGCTCTGGAGGAACGTCTCATATTGGACTCCACTGCTTGGCCTGAAACTCCACTCTTGCCAGATCCTGTTCTATTGGAGCAGACCAGTGATCCAGCCAACAGCACCTTTACCATCCTGCCAGGAGAAGGAGAGTGGCATGTGGGAGATCAGCTGAGAATTTTGATCAAAATGTACGACTTTCAAGGTCATGCCAAGAAGTCTGGCGGAGATGTCTTGGTTGCACGGTTGCACAGCAAGACACTCAGTGCAGGTGTGGCTGGGAAGGTGGAAGATCACCTTAATGGCTCCTACTCAGCTGTTTTTCCTTTACTCTGGGAGGGAAGTGCACAGGTTGAGGTAAAACTAAAGAGAATCTACCTAAATGTTATCATACAACAGGTGATGCCTTGGCTAATTAGTTAAACGTCGATAAACTGATGGTATTCTGATTAACATCTTCTAAAAACATCCCTCTACCTTGTTGTAGTTGACAGGCAGCAGCCGTCACAGCCAAAAATTACTGAACTGCAACTTCTCTAAAGGCTACTGTAGCACAGCAATCCTTATATTGGATGGGTTCTCAATATTAGATACCCAAGTCAAAGTTTTGAAGGTAGTTAAGTCCACTCTGGAGTCAGGAAAATTTTAACATTTACCCCTCTTGACGCTGATGGCAAGCTTTGACCTGCCCCCACTGAGTAAACAAGTCACCATTCGATGACAAGAAAAAACACTGCGTTGATGGGAGAGCACACAACCTGTTTTTGAAAACGCCTACAATACTAGTAGTATGTACTAAGTGTAGTTTGCCCAAAGTGTAGTTTTCCGTATGCAAACAAATGCAAGAGTTGCAGTATGCCAAAAATACTGTACTGATTCAGACATTTTTTTTTGCATTGGAGCAGTTTCCTTCGCATGATATTACCCACAATGCAAAGGGGCCTGTCAGGGTTATATAAATTGACAGCACCTCCATCCTCGCTGGGTGAAGCCACACCGAGAACAGCACACCCTGGTGACGGGCTGCAGTATAGGTGATAAATCCCTCTTCCACCAGCAAAGCTTATGGAGCTGTGGACAAAATTTATAAATTTATTACATTGAACTTTAATTTTTCTCCCCCCTGGTTGCCATGTTGACATGTAGTTACTGTAAGACTGGTTTGTACAAAAGTCCTCTTTTTTCTGTACAGCTCAGTTTTTCAAAAGTTATTAGACGGTTCATGTTTTCACAGCGACTCTCCCGCCGAATGCGTACAACACTACTATGCAATGATGGTATCAGGAAGTGTAGAAAAAACGCGTAATTACCGAGAGCTCTTCGGCTTCAAATCCTTATGCTGGTGGAAGGCGGAACCAAGTTGTCTAAAGTAAATACAGTCTATGGGTGATACCGATCACATGCTGCCGGATTTACTAATTGCTGCATGAATGGAATACGTTTCAGCATCGGGATATAAAACCCAGCAAATTCAAACAAAACATTGAAAAATGCTTTTGAGGCAGGTCTTGTAAAAATTGCGCTAAAAATAGTGATCATTTGAGGCTTCTTTTCCTAAATTAACAGGAACAAGGGCAATTGCAAATTAGCTACAACAGTCTTGTGAGTTTTTAGCCTTAAACCATAAGAGTAATGCATGATATTTTCCACACAGAGTGCTCTGCATCCCTGAATGATGTCTGAAACACAGGGCAGCCAAACCTATCTATCTCTATACCTCTCTCTATCTATCTATCTATCTATCGTTCATTTCAACTCACATAGCTAGCTAAATGTAACAGAGGTTTTTTGAGTTGACTGTCAATGTATTTACTGATGTGTTATAAAGCCAGAAAAGATTGTCTTTGATATTAAATGTTTGCGCATTAATTTACTGCTTTGTTTACATATGGCTGCACAAAGTGAAAACCTGGTTTCTCTGATCTCTCAGGTGTTACTTATTCACCCAAGCGAGGCTGTCACAGTTCTGCGCAGGATCAACAGAGAACAGCCTGACAGGGTGATCTTCAAGGGCATCTTTAGCTCAGGATCAATCTCTGAGACAACCGTCTGTAATGTTTGCTTACGCCAAACTGGTGAGCCACTGTGCAACTATACAGACCCCTATACTGGTGAGCCCTGGTTCTGCTACAAACCACAGAATCTAAGCTGTGATGCAAGGATATATCACAAAATCACGGGGTACAAGCAAGTACTGAAGACCAGCGAGCCCAAGCTCTTCCAGAGGTGAGCAGAGGAGAAGAAATTCCCTCTCATATTTCCACTCAGTTACTTTTTGCTTTTGGTGCAGGGACAGACAGGAGGGCTGGTCTTTGAGCCCTTTTAGGACTGCTGGGTCCCTTTTCAGTGATGTTGTGGTGGCAGACTTGCAAGTGTGCAGGTGCAGCTCCCTATCATAGCATACTAAGCTGGTGAAACCATGATTGAAACCATGATGGGTCAGTGGTGTAAAGGGATACCAACAACTGGTGACAGAAGAGGGTCTTTGTATCAGACACAAGTAAGTGCTTTATAGATATTCTAGGCTTGGTATGTTTGTTTCCACCAAAGAAGGGCTTGGTGCACGAGTAAAAGGAGAACTCAAGTCTAAAACTGGAGACTTCTGGACTCCAAGGCACACTGTAAAAATGCTGTCTGATTAAAATGTCCCTTTTTACCTGGCAGATATCTGAAGATAGCCATTGTGACAAACTCAGGTCTTCATCAGTCTGCAGTGGTGGCTTGCACGCCTACTCATTTTACTCACTTGCTTGTTGCATTGATATTTGGGGGCTGTTCCTGCGGGTGACCTGCTAGCTGATGTCAGAGTTAAGTTGTTCGCATTGTAAGAATATTGTATATAAGGGGGCTGACAAGCAGACCCTCAATAAGTTTAAACATTGATGGTCATGTCAATTTTTATTAATTTCAAACAAAAAAAGATTAACTTTAAACAACCTTTGCTAACAGATTATTGGTTTGCATTTTTTGTGTAACTGTGCCCACCTCTGGTCTGACTTTAACTAACAATCGTCTTAATCGTACACTAATAGATGCAGGTAACTAATGTTACCTGTTTTTCTCCAGGAAAGTCAACCACAGAGTCTCTGTGCAGGCCTCAGGACCACCTAATGTCAACGTGTTACCACCAAGAAAAGGTAAAGCAAGACTGAAACATTTAAGACTTAAAGTGCTGAAGACCTAAAGAGTGAAAAGGAATTTAAAAATGCAAACAGCCAACCTCACCAGTGCAAAGCAGTTGCAGAAAGAAGTGCTGGGTAAAAGAATTTAAGTAGCACCTGCTGTGTATGAGCATGTCCCAAAAATGACTTAAAACCATTAAAAAATAAAACCATTAAAAATAAAACCATTTCACATCAGCCAGAAAATCAAAGGTAAGCTCAAGGCACTACATGGGCTCAGTACACAAATATGTCCTGTGTTGACTGTATAGAGTGACATTAAAGACCCTGGTATTGGTCTTTTTGTGAGATCTGACATTATCAATTCTTCTCAGGTCAAACCGGGGTCAATGACCAAAGTGAGAAGTCTGAACCCTCTGGATATTATTACCAGGGTGTGTGGCGAGCTCTAGGTGGCAGCAGAGTTCAACAATTCAACACCTCCTCTGCCATCAGTCAGTGTCTGAAAGGAAAGATGGTCCACCTGTACGGAGACTCCACCATCAGGCAGTGGTTTGAGTTCCTTGATGCGTCACTACCAGGTATCAGTGCTGTAGAGATTTGAGACAGCAGTTGATTTTATTCATATCACAGCCAATCTGTTACCTTTGCCCTTCTTTCAGATGCTAAGGAGGTAAAACTGAAAAACTCTAAACAATCAGGACCTGTCATGATACAGGACAATGTAAACCAGTTCCTGATAACGTACCGTATCCACGGTCTTCCTCTTCGAATTTCGAGCATTCCAGCCTGTAAGGAGAGCTACATTGCCAATGAACTGGATGGATTAAAGGGTGGCTCTGACACTGTGGTAGTGATCGGCATCTGGGCCCACTTCAGCACTTTCCCAATTGAGCTCTACATCAGACGCCTCCAAAACATCCGCAGAGCCGTGGTCCATCTGTTGAATCGGGCTCCAGGAACCCTGGTGATCATCAGGACTGGGAACCTCCAAACAGCCTGGCTTCCTCGCGTGTTGGGCAATGGTGACTGGTTCACCATTCAGGTGAACAAGGTGCTCAGAGCCGTTTTCAAAGGACTCGATGTTAAAGTTGTGGATGCCTGGGAGATGGTTCTGGCCCACCACCTTCCACACAGCCTCCACCCACAACCCCCCATCATCAAAAACATGATTGATGTCCTCTTGTCTTACACTTGTCCCAAAAAGTGAAGCGAGCAGTGCCGTTTAAGGAAGGAGTGAATTTATCAATGCAAGGGAAATGGAAACAACAGTTGGGTTACTTAATCTGTAGTGAACATCAGGTGATTTATTTGACCTCTTTCAGCCTGTGCACAAATTTAAAATAGGCCTATGTATGATCCTTTTTTATTCCCAATTCCTTGAATGAGCACTTGTCTTCTATCTCTCATTCTCTGCATACTAATTCCTATCTTGCATCTAATCCCACAAACCTTTCTTCTCCAGATACTTCACTTTCTTTCTGAATCATTACAGACCTGTTTCCATTTTCTTTACTGCTGCAAAAATCAGTCCAGTTATACAGTTGCTGAATCTGGTGTCCCACAGGGCTTCTTTTGCTATCTTCATTGATGATTTTCCACTAACTGGTTTAAACGTTCACATGCATCTTTATATCGATAATACCGCCATTCGTTTGTCTTTAATTCTTTCACCCAAAAGGGGGATTGGTCAGTTTTCGCCATATGGCTAAAACCAACTTAGCAGCTACCTCAGATATCAGTGGCTAGCTTACTGTGTACAGAAGGCGGATAAGGCGACTGCTTTATTCTTCTATCAGGGTACTTTTTAGAAGTTTTATGTTGAATAGTATGAGACTGTAACTGTCATCTCTTCTGCTCTTTTCCACCACATGGATCGTATTGATGTATTTAAACCATTTTCTCAACTTTTGATTTTGTCTGTATTCAAAATTTGACTTTATTTCCAACTTTTTGACTGTATTCGGGCATCCAATCATTGTTTAGGATCATTTCAGGTGTAGCTTCATATTGATTTAATAAAACTTTCTCAGAGCCAAGTTTTCACATGATTTCAAACTAAATTTATTTCATTGTGTGTCAGCGTTATGGAGGGTATTTTTATCGCATAAGGTTTAGACACTCTGGTAGTTAAAAAACTGACCACATTTACAGTATCTAAAGCTAAAAGCTGATAACATAGTTCTGATTATTTAACTTCAATCTATTGACAGTCTTGCTGTTAAAAGTGACATAAAATGTGAGCCGTCTCACACAGTCTTGATCATCATCCTGGTGGCCCTCATGGAGTAAGATGCACGGGTTTTCCAGGTTCTCCAGTGGAGCCCCGATGCCCAACCAACGTGGTCACCGCTGCGGTGCCAGTCGCCATTCAGACAGGCAGAGCCACAGCGACTGTACCACCAACCACCTCCTTCTGTAAACGTGCACTCCATCTGAGCAATGTCACCGAAGATGCACGGGGAGCAACCATCGTTGTCTCGGTCTATGGTGCTGAAGCCGTAGTTGTTCTGATCACGGAGGGCGTCCCCTTTGGACAAAGAAGGGATTTTGGAAAATATCAATTTACGAACAAAGAAAATACTTGTTACTTACCCTTATTGCATGTTGATCCACTCTCTGTTACATGAGGGAGATCAGACCGTACCTAACAGATCACGCAACACAGCACCTGGTAAATGCTCTTGTAATATCACGCACTGACTCCTGCAACTCCTTACAGGCAGGCCTCCCTGTATGTGCATTCAAACCTCTAGATGATCCAGAGCACAGCAGCCCATCTGGTATTTATAAAACTCAAAACTGTACATGTTGATCTCCTGTTCACCTCTTTTCACACGCGTCCAGTTGCATCTAAGGTCAAATTAAAAACATGCTCACAAAGCAGCAACAAAAAATGTCTCCTTCCTACCTGAAATCCCTCATCCAGGAACACAGTCCCACCCACCTGCTACATTCTGCTAGAGGATGGTCACCAACAATATACCCTGTCCCTAACTAACACACATCATGCACTGAAACTCTGCATGACTGTTGCTTTTATTGTTGCTGCTCAGGCTGAACACCGGAATCAGGCTGATTATCAAACAGCTGGTTGTTGAAAGTGGGTAGAACATAGAAGAGGAGATGTAAAAGCAAAAAAAAAAGGCCCTTTAAACAGGCATTAATAAAAAGCAATCCACACAGTTAAGATTTTAAAACGTAAATGGATAGATTACCTGCATTTCCACTGTATCTCCCAATATGCAGCTTGTAATTTTGCCTCTCGTTGCCTACGTGAAAGTTTTGGTACTCAGCGTGAGCAGTTCCATTCTGGTGGTCCCACAGGTCCACTCTCAGGGTCCACCTCTGGGTTTTTTTCCGTGTCAGAATGGAAACTTTTCTCAGGCCCAGCCAGTGGTCCTCTGAGGGATTCATCAGGGCAAAAAGGGACAGGGCTCAGGTCTTATTGGTCCAGGCTTGGTAGTCATTAGATATGGGATCTGAGCCCAGTTTGCACAAGACGTCACTAGCCAGTGATGTGTTCCTGCCGTGATTTGTCACTACACAAGTATGAATTAGGCTAAAGCATAACGCCGCTCAACAACCTGTTTTTAAATCTCAGTCATAATTACCGATCATGAGACATTCAGAAGTAAACGGGTACTTACGTTTCAGGTTTCCAAAACCTCGACTGTAGGCCTCCCAATTCTTGTAGAAGGACACTGCACCTGTCCTGCGTCTCTGAAACACTGTCCAGCCTCCGTCAGACCGCATCTCACAGAACACCTGTGAAGACCAATCATAGGCAAAGGGATTTGATGGTATACATATTTTCTACACTTATCGCTGCTTCAACATGTTCAAAGATATGTTTGCATAAAAATGGGGATGAGGACAGTAGTCGAGTAAAATCAGCTGATCCAGAGATTAGCGGGATAAATTCAACTTCACTGTGCGTGTAAATATACTGACTGTGATTCACAGCATGATGCCAAAACAGCATTTATTTACATTTCCATGACTTACACAAAGTGAGAGTTTGAACAGTTAAAAAGAAGCAGGATAGATATTTTGGCTCAACAACAAAAAACAAAAGTCCCGCACAGTAGCTCTAGGATCTGCATTGACTTAATAGCCTATGTTCATTTCAACATTTTCCACTGTGTATTCTGCACAAAAGCACTCCCAGCTGTAGCAGTACAAACTCTCTCAAGTGAAAATAATAATTCAACTTTTTAAAACACCGCCGTACCTGTCAATATCACCCCTTGACCAGCAATCACGATCAAAGTCCTGATCGCCGAACTGGGACGACCCTTTGTATGCTTGTATCCTTTTCAACTGATGGGGTTGACTGTGCTAAACAATTCAGCTAATTCTGAGAGATTCTGACCTTCAGACGCACCCGTGTGTGTCGTGTCTGTAGATTGTGCAAAAACAAATAGGCTTTCTGATTGGCAAAGCAATGTGCTACAGACTTCTGGGTAAAGGGTACACTTAAACCGAATTTAGTGCTTGAGTCAGACCCTCTCAAATTATAACCCTGTCTGCCACAAATAGTAGCTGGCTGCCTGGCATCCCGGTTCTACTAGCGATTACGCATTTAAGAGGTCGAGCTGGTCGGCATCAGTTAAGGCTAGTACACTGACAAGTAACTCATACAACCCTACTGAAAAAAATATTGAATTATCCCTTTAAAGGTGACACTTGTAGATTGAGGACATTTAGCATTATGCCTCATTCCAGTTACCTCGGAAGTCAGATGTCGGAGCTGAAAATGACGTCACACCCGAGTTACCAGCGTAAGTTGGAAGAAAGCAAAATCGGAGGCAGAAACAAGATGGCTAAACCTAGGAAAAGTTATTTTAGCGCTTGCCTTATCCGAATATAACAAGGACAAGGCAAGCGCAAAAATAACTTTCATAGATGTAGCCATCTTGTTTCCGCCTCTGATTTTGCTTTTTTCTGACTTGGGAACTGAAACGCTGGGAACTCAGGTGTGACGTCATTTTCAGCTCCGACATCTGACTTCCGAAGTAACTCAAACACAGCATCAGTTACCAAGTCGGACAAAAGCAAAATTGGAGGCGGAAACAACATTGCTTCATCTACGAAAGTCATTTTAGTGCTTGCCTTGTCCGAATATAAGGCAAGCGCTAAAATAACTTTCGTAGATGTAGCCATCTTGTTTTCGCCTCTGATTTTGCTTTTTTCTGACTTCGTAACTGAAACGCTGGAAACTTAGGTGTGACGTTAGTTTCAGCTCCGACATCTGACTTCTGAGGTAACCCGAACGCAGCATTACAAGGTTCTAGAATGGAATGCTTCCTCCTCCGGTTGCCGGAACAACGACAGCCGTCAAGAACCAGAAGCAATCAAAGTAGCAAAGATGGCGTCGCGTGTCCTCGGATGCCTTCCTGCTACAAGCGAGATCATACAAGATGTCAGAACGATATTTCTCACTGTCAGTGGTGAAATAAATCGCATCGATGTGCAAACACCCGCATAGTTAAACTACTCTTTAGCTTATTTCATGGTTGCTGGCTGCTCAGCTCTCCCTCAGAACTGGACCAATTTCAGAAATCATCAGTCAAATACTCCCAAACACATATAGAAAAATATCAAAGTTCCCCTTTAAGTCAAGTTGGCGGTACCTTAAAGGGTGTCCTGCCTCTGACTGGCTGGATTAAATAAACCCCGCTGGCTGCCTGAGGAGAGAAAGTCTTAATCTGCGTGCAGTCTGCCCCACTTGGTTTGACTAGAGAAAACAAGAAGACAGCAAACATTAAATTGATCTACATTCACCTTTTATTCCAGTAATTTCTCTAGTTAATTAAATCAAAGGTGCATCATACCTTGATAGGAAGTATCGCCCCTCTATAGCAAAATAAAAGAAACTGGAATAAACCTTGTTATACTGGACATGTGCCACTCAAAATACAGACATTGGACTTCATTTAGTCCAGTATATATTAGAGTAATTAAGAGAAAGATGATGGTAGTAGAAGAAAAGTATAACAGACTTATATTTACCTTAGCTTGCACTGTGCCGGTCAAAAGACATGCTGAAATGAGCCAGCAATACTTGAACAAGATCTTCATTCTGACCTGTTTACAGACATTAGCAGCAACATATTTGTCATAATTAGGATTAAATGTCCTCAGAAACAGTCCGTAAAGATATATAAAACTGCACTTTTACAAAACAGACCTTACATAACAATTGTTAAAAGCAAACTGAACTTCCCAGTTCTCATTATGAGACTGTAAGATGATAAAAAAAGAACATTTCAGCCTAAAACACTTCTGTCAATATCCAGTAATTCTCACTCACCTGTGCGTGAGATGAACCTTGTATTCAAGCTCAGATTCCACCACAGAGAGCTCACTTGTTCTGGCAAACTAAACTACCACACCTCCTTGGTAAACAAAAATGCCGTCACTTCCGGTCCTGCAGACAGTGCGTGAGCAAAGTCTGAGCAACAGATCCAGTCTGGTCACCTCCTTTCCAGTCTGAAGTATTTCACTCTTTTTATTCAACAGTATGAACCGAAAGTTTCACAGCTGACCTCCTCACACTCCTCTGCCAGAGTGCGCTTGCAGGTGTGTTTTGCTGACCTTTCCCATTTAACTACACCTCCTCGGAGATAATAACAGTCCGGGCTGACCAGAAATACCTGCTGTATGATAAAGTCTGAATCAGGGCTGGTTTTCTTGAACAGGAATACAGAATAGTCTGAGTAATATTTACACATCTGAGATAAAATAACAAGCTTAACCACATCTATTCATGGTGCTCTGAGGATGATCCCAAACACCTGCAAATCAAACTCGGCATTATCAGACTTTATTTGCAGAGCATTTTTATACAGCAAAATGTAACATAGACAAGGTGCTATGAAGAGATGAAAGAGTTGGTTCCTGCTCAGTCAAATGACAGTTGGAAAGGAAGTATGTTTGTGTTGCGTAAGTTTCGTCTTACTCACTGTACCAGAAACAAACATACCTGTGACTCCCAAGCCGATGTATGTACTCAAGTGTGATTTTTGTTTACTGTTACACCCCTAGATTAGATAGATAGATGGATGGATGGATGGATGGATGGATAGATAGATAGATAGATAGATAGATAGATAGATAGATAGATAGATAGATAGATAGATAGATAGATAGATAGATAGATAGATAGATAGATAGATAGATAGATAGATAGATAGATAGATAGATAGATAGATAGATAGATAGATAGATAGATAGATAGATAGATAGATAGATAGATAGATAGATAGATAGATAGATAGATAGATAGATAGATAGATAGATAGATAGATAGATAGATAGATAGATAGTAAGTTAGATAGATAGATAGATAGAAAGTTAGATAGATAGATAGATAGATAGATAGATAGATACTTTGACATATCTTCAAACCACTTATCCTTGCTGCCATTACCAGCCTGTTGATCTGATATGTGCTTATTATCTTGAAAAAACTGGTCCCAGTGTGCTCCTGTTGTTTCAGACTCAGACGGGTCATTGTGGGACTGGTCATCTGAGCCGTCATACTTCATCAGCAAAATAAAACATCAGCCTCTCCTAAGGATGATCATTATGTCAAGCTTGGTCCGTGACGCTGTTGTTTTCCTCCCTCTCCTATTTCAGCGTTGTAATAAAAGTATTATCATCAGACAAACAAGGATCACTGATGAGTCCTGGAGCACACCGGCTTACATAAAAACCTCCCCTCAGGATGCAGGTGAAAAAGTCTGATTTTGTCTCCTATGGAAACTGAGACCCAAGTGGTTCAGCTGAGGAAATAGACCTTCCACATCCCCCTGTCTGAGAGGTTCTACGTGGATCAGGTGATACGGATAGTTTTCGCCCAAGCAGGTGGCTTCCTATCATAGTGAGGAGCTGGTTTAGTTCCATCAGGACCATCCAGAGACTCATCAGATTCAGAATATGGTTTTTCCAGAATCTTGAGGACCCTGTTGACCTGCAGGAGAAGATGCAGATCATTGGTTATTCAAAAGTCAAATTTATTGATTTTTGATTTGAATAAAAGGTGCAACACAAATTAAGCATGAGTCAGCCATATAGCGTTGTTTGTCAACGACGAAAACGTGACGTTGATGAGCTAAACATAAGTCTTAGACGAGTCAAATTTGACGAGACAAATGTGCGTTTACGTTGACGAGACGGAAATGTTAGTGATGGACGACGAACAGAGCTGCAAAATTCATGAGCATTTTGTCAGTCAGATGCTAAACATATATTCTGCAGTGTTGTTGTCATTGTCAACGAAAACAACATTGCAGCCATAACACAATCAAAACAGACGAGTTCTTAGAAAATTTGCCCTTTGCTGTTGAGAAAAAAAAAAGGTGGCTGTTCAATTTGAGCTTTAATTCCTGTCTTTGACTTTTGGCGTATGCCTCCAGTGGACACTTGAGGTACTGCAGTTTTTTTGCCCTCAGATTTGGCTCAACGCTGAGGTTTCCCCTCAGATCTAATCGGCTTAATTGAGATTTCTACTACAAGTCCCCTAACCTCAGAAAAGTCTCCCTTTTCTGCTGCCCGAATTGCATTCTGGGCGATGTAGTTCCTTAGGACAACACGGGGGTTGGTGCTGTTCATTATACTGATCCTCTCCTCTTTGATTGGAGACATGTCAGCTGTGCCGTCACACTCCCTGGATAAACGCCTCCTGGTGTACCAACACAAGAAAAATGTGATCATGTGATTCAAGGGTTAGGGTTTGGCTGGGCGGCTGCACTCTTACGCTTGGGTTTCTATGTGTCAAGGAAATCAACAGTATAATTCATAAAGTGAAATGTTACGGCCTGATTACAGCTCACAAAAATCAAATACGTTTACCCTCACCTGTACCGGCTAATCCAGCGAGTCCAGTCATCTCGCTGCTTTTCCTTCAGCTCATCCTGATCTGTGCTGAGAAGCTCCTTCAGCCGCCCCATTCTTACAAGCTGCTCAGATACAGCTGGGCTCTCTGCTACGATGCCGAACATTGCCGGGTTTGTTTGTGCCATTGACAGAATCATTGCCAATTCACTAGAAATGGGAAAAAAATAGAGGTGACAGGCAAACAGGACTGAAAAACCAGCTCTGGCGTAGGCCTGCTTCTGTATCAACGTAAATCCTTTCAAATGCTAAAACTTACATATTTTCTTGGTAAGATTTTTCCTCAAAATGCTAGCATATAAGAGGCAAAACAGACAGATATTGTTATTTGAGAAGGTGAGGCTCAACTAAGGTTAGAGACACATTATTGGGAGTCTATGGTGGAGCGGTTCTCCTTGTAGTTGCTCAAGAAGAAACACAGATATAACAAACCACCATACACCCCCTCACCCGTCCTCCATTGTTGGCTTATTAGCCACCTTTAGCTCCTCATAAGATGCACACTGCTTTAAGATGAGGTCCAAAACTGGCCCAACAGCAGCCTGCTCACTGACTCCCTCTTCAGGCCAGGGGACGCGGCTCAGCAGGCGGAAGGTGTTGGTGAAATCCGCACCTGAAAAGAACGTTTTTTACGTACCTCTATAAACTTTATTTTACAGATAAAAAGCTGCACCAATGTGCTTTTGTCACGTCGAACAAATAGACCAGTCATCATACCAGTGTTGTGCATGAGGCATAGAAGGTCTGATACGAGCTCGCTGTCAGCCACCTCCTCCTTTCTCACAAGTCCCAGCTTTTTTCTCATAATGCCCAGGTAGAGGGCTTTGTACGTGGGCATGAATTCATCCACAGTGGCCTTCGCCTCAGCTGCATTCAGCTCAGAGCCCAGCGCCTCTGCCAGGCGAGTCAGGTTCCAGCGGCACGCAGACGGCTGGGCCCTGTATGAGTAACGACCTCTTTTGTCCGAGGCGTTGCAAACGAAATCTGGATCAAATCTGATGAAGAATGTGAAGAATAATGACACACCTGACTGTTTCATAGATATATCTTCTTTTAAAGTAAGTTTTAATCTCATGTCTGGAACATTTTATAATCATCAGAATAAACTCATTTTACCGGTCCAGGAAACCGAAGGGACCATAATCCAGAGTGAGACCCAGGATGCTCATGTTGTCTGTGTTGAGGACACCATGACAGAAACCAACACACTGCCACTGGGCCACTAGCTCTGCAGTTTTCACCATGACCTGTAGATAAACCAGACAAATCCTTCATGTTTCTCCGTCAAAGAAACATCTGTAAATGGAGACCAAATCACAGCTTAGGACACTCAAACATCACCTCATCTCTCACCTCTTTAAAAAAGGCCATATTCCGGTTCTTTCTGTCTGTGTGAGTCTGCTGGATGTGACGATAAAAAGCCTCAATGACATAATCCAGCAGCTGACTGCGAATCTCATGCCGCCCTGCACTGGGACCTTGCAGACCTGAAAAGTCATCTCGCCCTAGACAGATCTCAAAAGATCCAAATCTAAAAAAGAATAGCAGGAGACGTGACAAACATTTGATATCTCTTTAGAATTTGTGCTCTAATATAAAAAACTGAATGCTTCTTACCTGATGAAGGATGGTGCAAGCCGCAGCACGACCGAGCAGCGCTCAGAAACTCGCCTGCCGTTGTTAAGAGGATCTCTGGTGACGTAAAGGTCTGAGGTCACCAGGGAGGCCGCACGGGTGCTGGGTATCCCCAGAGCAGCCATGGCCTCGCTGCATAAGAACTCCCTGATGCTGGAGCGAAGCACCTTCCTGCCGTCGCCATCTCTGGGAAAAGTTCAGATGTTAGCCGCAAGTTTGGCTTTTCCATCTTTCTATCTTTTTCTTTCTTTCTCCTTTAGCTCTGAAACTAACCACACCCCCCACCTGCACCCGGCCCTGCCAAAAAAAAAGATATTTTATGGGTTTTTTTGGTGCGGCTATGATGGCTTCGCAAATCTCGATGCTTGACCATGAAACAGGAAGTTATTTTTACTGATACATATAACCTCCTTCAAATTTTGCAAAGTCAAAGTCAGTTCCAGACGCGATTTTTTTAGAAGTGCTGGACTCTGATTGGTTACTCCTTATGGATGTGAAACGTCATCGTCTGTCAGGTTAAGGCTAAAACATACAAGATGCGTATTTGGAGCGTGGCAGCAGCATCGCGTATCACGCAGCAAATAGGTTGCATTCTTATCAATGCAGCAAAACGTAGAGGACGCGGATCAGCTCCATCGCAGCATCGTATCGAGAGCAGCACTGCTAAAGATACACGACAGGTCTATTTTTGCTTCCAATGTGCGTCAATCCACACAGAGAAGATCGTCATATGGTATTTCAAAATATAACACAGTATGCAAACTCCCGATCCAAATACACATCCTGTATGCGATACCCAATGCTGCTCTACGGAGCAAATACGTAACACGCTCGACAGCCTGCGCTCGGCTTGACCGTGTGAGAACATTTCACAGCCAATCAAAGGCAAAGGGGGCGGGACCTTCCCCTACCATTCTACGACAAAAAAATATCGCGTCCCGGACCGTTTATGTGAGTTGAGTTTCAAACTACCATCACAGCGCCGCCCTGTGGGGATACATGGTACAGTGTCCGATCTGCGCCAAATTTACAAAGTTTGGGGATGGTCTCAGTCTCACCTCATCTACATTAGCAGTAATAGTGCCACCTGTTGGATTCAAGTGGTATTTACGCCCACTAACAGTTAGACAAGCTGTATAATAACTGGACATGAATAATGCAGCAGGTGATAACCAGGTTCATCCTCAACTTGTAATTTTACATTTATCCAATATGTTACAGTGGAAACTCAAGCTCTGCAAAGCAGGCTGTTGTTGGGAAATACAGGCCACAGTTAATGTGTGCCAAACACTGTAAGCTCATAAGTAGCTCTCCTTGAGTTAATACACTCACATGCCTCTGTGAATAAGACTCGTGAAAGAATACCTGTCTCAGCTGCTGTGGTTGATTTTCTTAGTTAAAAACATTGAACAGATCAATAACCTGACCCTGAGGTTCTTACACATGCTTTAGGTAGATGGTAGACACATTAAAGTTACCTTGAGTACGGTGTGACTCCTGCACCTTTCACTTGAATCTCCCATCGCCCATGCGTCTCCGACTCCACCTCTCCCAGGTACATCACTGCTCCATCCCCCAGCTGCCCCGCGAACAGGCCGAACTGGTGCCCGCTGTAACAGTGTGCAGCCGGCTCGGAGCCCGGCAGCAGCCTGGAGCCGCTCAAATACTCCGAGCTCAGAGGATCACCCAACACATCCTGGACGCTCAAGCCGAGCAAAGCCAGCGCCGCCGGGGACAGAGCCACGAAGACCGGACGCACCAGCGGCTGGAGAGTGCGAATGCGGGAGAAGCAAGCTGCAGGGACCGTCCGGGATCCAGGCTCCTCAGAGTCATCCACCGGCAGCGTCTTTAAGGCGGTGTTGTTGAAAGGTAAACGCTCGAGGGCTGAAGACCGGCACTGAGGAGGATCCATGAGGACTGGAGTGTAACTCGGGCAGGGCTGGACCAAGCCTATTGAATGTCCAGGGCACAGGCAGTAATTCCCACCCCCACCCGCGAACAACTTGAAGGGATATTCTGGCGTAAAATTAATTTAGGGTCAAACACACTGTAACAGCGAGTTAGACAACCCCTCGAGAGATGAATGTTGCCGACTGCTTGCTTCTCTAGTTTTACCAACTTTAGTAACGACCGCACGATGGCAATACTCAGTGGTCTAAAGAGCCATAAACAAACCTCAACCAAAACGCCACTCTATAGCCACAAATAATGATCAGAACAGCACCTAACTTCATCAACAGGACATATAGGGTCCCAGCCATAGTACTAGCCAACAAACATCTTTTTAATTTTGCCTGATTTCTTAAGCAAAGAGACGAAACACAACTCCCCTACTCTCTTCCAGCAGCCGCTTGTTCGTACGGAGACCCCCGGGTGAGTCCATCATCTGCTGTGGGGTGACGCAGCTCAAGGAAGAACATTTATGATCATTACATTATCATTTCCTTTAAGTGACAATCACCATATTAATAGACGCAGTAGTTCTTCTGCCTTAGCATCTCTGCATTTCCATGAAGTAATGATCATAAATGTTCTTCCTTGAGCTGCGTCACCCCGCTGTAGTCTGTAATGGACTGGCCTGAGGTCTCGCTACAAACAAGCGGCTGCTGAAAGAGAGTAGGGGAGTTGTGTTTAGTCTCTTTGCTAAGCTAAAAAGATGTTTGGTGTCTAGTACTATGGCTGGGACCCTATATGTCCTGTTGATGAAGTTAGGTGCTGTTCTGAGCATTATTTTTGGCTATAGAGTGGCATTATGGTTAAGCGCGTGGCTCTCTGTTTTGCTATCATGCGGTCATTACTAAAGTTGGTATAACGAGAGAAGCAAGCGGTCGGCGACATTGATCTCTTGAAGGGGGTGTCTAACTCGGTGTTACAGTGTGTTTGACCCTAACTTAATTTTATGCTGGAATATCCCTTTAATAAAACCTCAAAACACACACACACTCACACATAGAAGAAAATAGTTTGATAAAACAGTCAGTAATACTTTTCCTTTTTGCTGGATCATTTACTCCCAACTCTCACCTTTGAATACATGGAACATAATTAAACTGGACCTGGTCTCATTTACAATACCAAGACTTCCCCTCACAATTACTAAGAGAAAATGTTCTTAAAAACCAAATGACTTGGTGCTGCCCTTGAAAGTGGAGCTTCTCCATCAACCCCAAACCCTCAGTGTTCTCCACACCTGGTTTCAATTCTCGGAGATCAAAAAGAGTTAAAGTTTTGGGACAAAAACCACTGTAAAGATGATTAAACAGTGTCTTAATATCATTAGACTGGCGAATAACAGTTAGCCTAATAGAGCTACTTTCAATAAAGTAGAATAATTCAAGAGTTGCGGCAATACTAAGACAAAAAAAGAAGAAAGTAAATGATCATGCACAATAAAATGAGACTAGATATAGATTAGATAAATAAACTATAAATAAAACTACAATATGAAAGTGGTGGTAAGCGATAAACAAAAAAAGAGACATGGTTTGATTATTTGTGAATTAACCATCGGATTAAAGGAAGTGCATTTCAATACAATTAAATAAAATATAAAGCAATGTGAAATTACAAAGGATGATACAATGTGAAATATGATGCAGAAATAAAATATATTCACATCTTCTGGTTTGATCTAAAGAAAAAAGATGAGAACTGAAAACAGAACGGCATTATGTAGTTCAGCGTATAAATATATGTAGATCTAAATAAAACTGTGGTAAAAATGGGACCAATTCTTGACTAAAAAATTTAGATATAATTAGATGGCAGTTTAGTAGAGCTGATGGAACCCAGACTTTATTTTTAAACGTGAAAATGTAACATATAATACAAAAGAGACCGCAATATTCCACAATTTGTCTGCTGTGTTAACTGAGGCAGCGGCTGATGGGTGCGCGGTGAATAATCTCCAGCAGGGGGCGATAGCAGCAGTGAGTGTCCGTGAGCTTTAAACAGAGAAGAAGATGAACCTGACAACAAAATAAATGCAACATTTAACTACCAGAATAGACGATTTAGATGTGATTTTGTCGTTAAATGTGGCGCTACAGTGCTTTAGAGATGGATTTAAGTGTTCTCGGTTTGATTTTGATGCACCAACATCGCTGTTTGCTGTGAATACTTACATTTATGAACTGAAGCTGAGCGGTTAGCTAACTGTAATCTAACCCGAGTTTTCCACCCAGGGTTGAGAGGATGGACTCCACTGCCATTTCGAAAGGTTTGTTGGATAAATAAACAGGGATGATTGTCAGTAAAAGAAATGTTTAAAAAGTGGAGTTTGGCTTAAGTTGGAGTTCTAATGTGTAACACTTCATCCGTGTTGCTGTTTTTAGCTTCTTAGCATGTTTTAACTCTCCCTGAACGTGTTAAAATGTACTCATTAGTGTATTCTACTTTCTTGTTTTCCTAAATAATAGTGTCGTATGTTAAACCCAGACAAACACGCTCCTCTGACAATGTTGGTGAAGCATTGTCGGTTTTGAACATGCGTTCAGTGTTGCTAAAAAGGCTGCATTCAAAACAAAAAACTGTTCCTGAGCAACAACTTTTACAGAACAAGACTGAGAGATGACAGCTTTTCTTTTCAGTTTTAATGTCACATTTATATTGGATGTTACTGCAGGAGTGTTTGTGAATCATGGTCGATGTTAGGGCTAGGCGATATTGTAAAAAGTTTATCACAATATATATTTTTTTTATATCAGCGATATCGATATATTGGGACTGGGCGATTATATGATCGTGATTACTGATCGTTATGAGCTTCAGTTCCATCACGGTGATCAGCTGTGAGCATATTTACTGGATCAAACATGGGGGAAAGTGCGTGACATGTGCGTACCTATATTTTTTTGTAGCAACTGTTGAGTTAAAACGGTTTTTATACTTCTATAACTTTATCTTATTCAATTTGCTTTGTTATTTACTTTGTATGTTTATAAAATGTTGAACTAATCTCTTGTTTCTTTAGTTTTTAGCGTAGATGCTTTAAATCTGGCAGTTAAAAAACATTATTAAAAATCGTGATAATGATCAAGATCGGACATATGACAAAATATATCTTGATCATTTTTTTTTGCCATATCCCCCAGTCCTATGATATTTGTTCTAAGGCGTTGTGCTAGAGAAAGTGGACTGAATGGTCGGCTGTTTCGGCTGTACAGGCACCATGAGCTCCTTGCTCCGCTCGGGTTTGTAACCTTTTGCATTGCGATCGCTCTGCTTCAGGTGGTGAGAAAGATTTAAGGTATTCCCCGACATTACTAGAACATGTACTCAACATAATTTGCAGTGAACATTACTTCATGTCTGACCTCAAAAAAACAAAATGCCTCCACACCTGCAACGTTTTCATGCCAGTGTTGTCGACGATGTCATCATCTGTTGAGCCTTCATCTGCATTTCTGTCGAGGGTAGCACTCATTTTCTTTTTTTCTCACCAACAGTGCTGTCGGCTTCACCTGTTAAAGTGTGATGGGTGCGTGTAGCTGCAGCCTGTTGTTTGCTACTTGGTTCTAATTCAGCACATGATTGGTTCAGTGTGAAGGGGACCCGGAGCGACTACCCCTTTCATTGGCTCTTTGCTTAGTCTACCAAAACATTACAGAATACTGACTATCAAAAAGCATTAGACATGTTTTACATTGATATTGAGGGAAATTCAGTTTTGATTTATATCGTTATCGTTTTATCTCCCAGCCCTAGTCGAAGTTAACGACTATTTACACCCACCTGCTGACAGTATGAACACCTGTGTTATCACATTGTCAACAAAAGCAGAAAAAGTTGAAGTTATGGTAAACCTTTTGAGCTTCGTTACTGAATACTTTTTTCCAAAAAAACACCCATGTGAATGTCGCACAGTCAGGGTGAGATAAACAGTAAATATAAGTCACCTGCTGTCATTTTTACTCCAAGTGCTCATGTATATTTCAGGTGATCCCATACCTCTGGCTTCGCTGCGCCTCCTGGTGCCACCTCTCCAGCTTATGTCAGTCTCCATGATGCAGGTTCTGAAGACTGGAGATGTTATGAACTACTGGAAAGTGGCTGAGTTTGTCTCCCTGGTGACAGACATGGTCCCAGACCTGCTAATGTGCAAACATAGGACACAGCTTATTCTGGGTTTAAGAGCCAGGGTGAGTTCTTGTAGGTGACTGTAAGATCGAGGAAATACAGACAGGTGCATGCAAGTTAACTGTTGTGCCAAACTGAAACATTTGTGGACGTTTTTTTTTCTCCTCTTGTCAGTATGTTGTTGAGTTGTGCCGAAGTGATCCGCTTCAGGAACCTGGTTTCATCCTGTCTCATTTCGACAAGATTAAAGTAAGTGTCTGCTTCATGTGTTTGTTTGTATATTGAAAACACCTGCTGCAATTATCTGGTAATGCATCTGTGCACATTTCCAGAGCACAGAATCTGAGGAGGAGGAAATAATGGTGAACTTTCTTGGGTTGATCCAGACTCTGCTCAAAGATCCTGAAGAGAGACAGGACTTTTTCATGGTGAGCCAGTGTTACCTAAAACCTTCACAGTCAATGCTATTTGCCTTTGCAGTTAAATAATATATTCAAAGCGAGGTTCTGCCAACATCTTTAGTTGTGAAGTCTGGCAGGTGCTTGTAGTCAGTAAATTATTTCCTTTTGTCTTCTTAAAGGAGGTCTTTCCTGCTGAGTATGGGCACATGTATGACTGCGATTTGCAGACACTGTTTTCAGAGTTCCTCTTTCGGCTGGCTCAGCTGTTGCCAGTCCCTGATCTTGAGCAGGTAAGAGGTGTTGGGGGGGGGAAAAGGTGACACTATCTCACCTTTTGGAAAATCAATTATGCTCCTGAGCTTTACTGTGCTCACACCTCTGGATTAAAATACCTAGAAATGTTTAACTTTGCATTAAATAAACGTCAATTTGATGATAAGTGGATGATAGCGTGCTACTCTACCCCTCATGTCTGTTTATGTGCCCCACAGACTGTCTCTTGGCTTGGAGCTGATAGTTCTGTATTGGAGGAGTGTGAGCGCTCAGTCTCTGAGCCCACAGACCTGAAAACTTTACTCCAGCACCACAAACACCTCGGGCATTTGGAGCAACATGGTACGTTTTTGTCCATAACGCCATTTTATGTATTTCATTGTAGACACAACTCGATTACAGGGACTTGTATTTTTTTTCTCTTTTTGTAGTTCCACCTTCCAGCATGGGCGACAGCATCCTCTCATCACTCTCTCTGGTATTTCCAAGGAGAGTATCAACACCAGCTGAACAACCTGACCACAAAGACCTCCCTCCGGGCCTTAGAGACGACACTGTGACATTTGTAGAAGATGTGGCAGTGGAAATTATCACAGTCACAGATTACGCAGAAGTTGAATTAAGTGCAAGCACAGACATTGAGGTGGTGATGGGAGAGAACTGCTTCGAAGGAACGAATGGTAACATGGTGGCTGAAGATTTGATGGTGGTGCTTCCAGATGAGACAACAAGGGAAGAGGAAGTTGTTGCACGGGAGGATGAAAAAGCTGTTAGCAGTTTGACAGAAGACATCCCTGCAGAAGCTCCTAAAGACAAGTTAGGATCTGGACAACACAAAGTCGCTGCAGGGCCTCATGACTGCCCGGACTGTGACAAGAAATTTAAGTTTGCCTCTTCTCTGATTGCTCACAGAGTCATCCACTCTGGCGAACGCCCCCACCGCTGTAGTGACTGCGGTCGCTGCTTCTCTTTCAGGCAGTCTCTCGACAGACATAGGCACAGACACAACACCACACGAAAGTACGACTGCGCCGTCTGCGGGGAAGTTTTTCAATCCCTGTCGGCTCGCACACAGCACAAGCAGACACACATGGTGGACGGTGTGTACACATGTCACCAGTGTGAAAAGAGATTCAACTGGGAGCTGACACTCGCGAGGCATCTTAAAACCCACACTGATCATCACAACGCAAACAAGCCAACAGAAGGCCAGGGGGAGGGGCCAGAAGTTGTTATTGGTGAGGAAGTGGTCAGTGAGACCCCTGCCGAAGCAGACAGTCAGGTGCATGCAGACAATTACACTGATTGTGACCCAGCAAATGCAAAAACTAAGGGCAATGAGAGCCCCACCCCTGAGCTTGAGAGCACAGTCCCCAAGTTTGACAATGGAGTTGTTATGCTCACTAAGGTGAGAACAAGCGGGCGCAAACGCAAACCAACCATGAAAATCCAGGTGATAAACCTCCAGAAGAGCTTGACTGCCAGAAAAAAGGAGGTCATGAAGGTGAAGCCTCCAGAGCTAAAGCCCTTACCTTCCAACTGGTAAAACCATCTACGTTTGTTATACTCTTGCCTCAAAAATCACTTTTGAAAGGGCTTCATGTCTAACTGTTCGTCTGTCTTTTAGCAGGGAGGAACATTCTTACGGGTCATCTGTGGTGTCTTCGAAGGACGGTGAAGAGTGTGAGTGCTTATTCTTGAATATTCTCTTCCTCACTACTTTAACAAAATCAAATGTAACATCAAACATAATCTGCTAACCTGAAAACCACTCACCAGATCAACTAATCCCCAATTTCCACCGCATTCGGAACGGCTACGAAAAGGCCGTATTCGCCGATCGCAGCTGATCGTAACTATTAAAGTTAATGTGACAATTTCCACCGGCTTCTTTACGTTCCGCTGCAGATTACCAGACTCCTCAGCTGATCGCAAGAGTTCCATTTTTTTTCCCCCAGAGTATGCCGGATAAATTCAGCACAGATTAACCCGTGCTGGAAAGGAAGTCGGGCACAGACACAAAATAGAACATCTGGTTTATTTTCAAAATAAAACACTCTGTGTTTCAGGCAGATCGTATTCCACACATGCAAACTGGAGGGGATGAACAAGCGAAAGGTTTATAGATGTCATTTCACCCCAATGACACCATGTATGAGGAAATGCTTATTCTAAAAGTCTAGAAGTGGATTTCCTCCTCTGGAAGGACACGATCTACTGCTTATATGGTTATGTGGCTATAGAGACAACTCATTTTCGCGCGATTGCACGTGAATCCACGGGTTCCTGTGAGTTCTTGTGATGCCCGCTGTCTGTAATCTGCCACGAAAATTGCCTCACAAACGTATCCGGTGGGAAGTGACGGCATAAATCGCAGCCGTTTCGGATTGGAGCTGTTCCGAATGCGGTGGAAATTTGGGGTAATGGTTGACTTGTAAATTGTCTATCTGCAAATATCAGCCAACAGCAAAGGTCCTAACAAACGTATGAGTGCTAAATTTTTGCCATCATGTCTTAAGAACTTTATTTATTTCCATCAGGCTCCAAAGAAGATGGCTCCTCAGCTGTGTTCTCCTGTCCTAAATGCTCCTTCACACACTCAGAGGAAGCTCAGGTCCAGCTGCACATCGACCAAGTTCACTCAGCTCAGACTGAGGATGACAAGGAGTCACTTCAGTCCCCCACAAATGACGGACGTTTCAGCTGCTCGGACTGCGAGAAGAGCTTCAAGTTCCAGTCCTTACTAACGGCTCACCAGCGAATTCACACAGGCGAGCAACCCTTCCCCTGTCCTCAGTGCGGGCGGCGGTTTTCCTTTAAACAGTCACTAGAGCGGCACAAGCAGACACACAAGTCTGGGCGAAAGTACGAGTGTCTGATCTGTGGGGAGTTCTTCAAGTCTCTGGTGGCTCAGAAGGAGCACAAGAGCACCCACATGGAGAACGGCGAGTATGTGTGCTCGGAGTGTGGCCGTGTGTTTGCGTGGAAGTCCGCTCTGGTGAGACACCTGAAAACCCACAGCGAGGAGGTCAACAAGGTGGAGCGTTCCTTCAAATGCCCCCGTTGTGAGCTGGGCTTCAGCTGTGCCAGTTACCTTAACAAGCACCTGCAGACTCACCAAGAAGAGCGAGTGCACACCTGCAATTGCGGGAAGAGCTTTGCTTACCGGGCAGCTCTGACTGCACATCAACGCATTCATCAAAAGGAGCGACCGCACACATGCACACAGTGTGGAAAGGGATTCCTGTACAAGGGAGGGCTGCTGAACCACATGAAGATCCACTCCGAGGAGATGCCCTTCATGTGCTCTTTTTGTGGCAAGAGCTTCAAGAGGGAGCGGAATATGAAGAAGCACGAGCGCTACCACACCAGAGAAAATGTTTTCAGCTGCTCGCAGTGTGACAAGAGTTTTGTCTACAAGGCGACCCTGATCAGACACGAGCTGACTCACTCAGGCGAGAGGCCGTTCCTCTGCTCTGACTGCGGGAAGGGCTTCTTCTCCCACGCCGAGCTGCTGAAGCACGAGCGTTTCCACACAGGCCACAAACCTTTCCAGTGCCCCCACTGTGGGAAGAGTTTCACCCAGTCCTGCTACCTCACCATTCACCTGCGCTACCACACCGGAGTGAGACCGTACGCCTGCGCTGAGTGCGACAAGAGCTTCCTCAGCGCCAACCGGCTGAAGAGACACCAGCGGACTCATTCAGGGGAGAAACCGTACGTGTGCGGTGAATGTGGAAAAGGATTCAGGCAGTCCTACAACCTGAAAATGCATCAACGGACACATACCATCAAGTGTTGAAACTCTTCAAACTGAAATTACAAGGAAAATACTCCAACTGGATGATTGACTTAACTGCTCATGGATAGAAACAATCTAGTCTGTTTGATGATCCAGCTAAACTTAAGGTGGTTAGTTTTCTGGTTTATTAAGCGATTAAAAAACTCAGAGAAAAGAAATGTGTCACAGTTTAATCTTTTTTTTATATATATATACATATCGGAACAGACAAAACAAAGGAAAGTTTCTATAAAGTTGGTGTTTATTGTGGGAATGTAATACTACAGAAAGTTTAACACTTGTTTGGAAAAGGGGCTTCAAACATTTTTGTGTTGAGCAAGTCACTTTTTTCTGTAACAGCAGTGGTTTAAATTTCACAAACAAAAGCATACAACGGGTCCTGTAGCCTGCTGTAAGGCGTTTAAATTCAGCTTAGACAATTGGAATATTTAGTGTTGCTTCTTTACGGAAGTTCAGTCTACATTCGCTTTCCTGACAAACTCACGTGATGAGGACAAATGGGCTTTATGAATTGTACTTTTCAGACTTTCTATATGAAAAAGAGAAAATAAAAGCACAAGATAACTAAACCTACTCTGAAACTACGGAGAGAGAGAGTCTGGGCAGCTCTAAACCCATGAGAAATGTCCACGGATGTTGGATATCCCAGTCTAAAGTAGGAATCCTTGGATCACCACTGGTGTACATGATGGTTTCAACCCAGTGGTATCAGTAGCACTAAGATAAAAGCAGAGGTACGGTGGCTCTGCTGACCTGACCTGACCTACACGGCGATGTGCAGAGTGATCGGGCAGTGATCGCTTCCCATCGCCTTGTTGCGGATCTTGCTGTCACACAGACCTGGCAACAGCCCAGACGACAACACAAAGTAGTCGAGCCTCCAGCCCACATTCTTCCCGCGGGCGTTCATCATGTAGGTCCAGAAGGTGTAGGCGTTGGCCTGCTCTGGGTAGAGCTCCCTGAAGCTGTCAACAAACCCGGACGACAGCAGCTGGCTGAAGCCTTCGCGCTCTTCCGGGGTGAAACCGGCATTTTTCTTGTTGCCCTTTGGGTTCTTCAGGTCGATTTCTTGGTGCGCAACGTTGAGATCACCACACAGCACCAGAGGCTTCTGTATGTCCAGCTCGGTCAGGTATGCTCGGAAGTCCACATCCCAGGTTTTGCGGTAATCATGGCGCACTAGACCTCTGCCTGAATTTGGCACGTAGACGGTCACGAGGTAGAAATCGGGGAATTCAGCAGTGATGACACGGCCCTCCTTATCGTGCTCTTCTTTGCCTGAAAGATTGGCAGCAGAAGTTTCGACAGCAAATCTGTAACTTCAGATTTTAAAACAGGCTTTCACTTTTCTCTTGCCAAGAGCATTACTGTGTTAACAGAAATGAAAACTGTTACTGAAAAGCTTAACAGTGTGAGTGGAAATAGTTAACCAGGCTTTTGTCAAAAGGTAGAAAAAACAACTATTGCTCCCTCTGCAACACCCAATCTAACACCGGACTGAGATCTGCTTGGTTTGATTGTGGTTGTAGTTTTCCTCTCACCTATGCCATAGGTGACTTTGACAGGTTCAGTCTTGCAGAGCATGGCGACACCACTGTAGCCCTCCTTGTCATCCGACACAGCCCAGTACTTGTGAGGGTACTCAGGCATGGAGGTGATATCAGCAGGGAGGTCTTTCTGTCCACATTTGGTCTCCTGCAGACACAACACATCTGGCGCCTCCTCACGCACCCACTGCACAGACAAAGACACGTTTTTCAAAATTGAAAGTCCAAAAACTTCATTGAAATATATTGTTTTGTTTTGGATTTCGACTCACATCCAGGCCGTTCTTCTTCACCCAGGCTCTCAGCCCATCCACGTTCCACGAGGTGATCTTCATGTTGGCGCTGCGTCCGTCTTTGCTGGTCATTTTGTCAGGGGGGTCATCGTACATCACCGGGGCCTCTGGCTCCTTGGCCTTCTTTGTTTTCTTTGCAGAAGCTGCACATTGAAATTTTTACACAACACAATCATGCAACTGCTGCTACATGTCGGTATGACTTTACATCAGAACTTAACGACATACCGGAGTTGGAATCGTTCTCTCCATCTGCGGCCGTCTCCTCTGCGTTCTTGCCCCTCTTCATACTTGAGCTTTCTCTGACTGCAAACACACCTCTCAAACACACAACACGTACTTGTAACAACACACGCGCCGCTGGAAAGAAAAGCAGATTTTAGGGAGAGTGTAAGTGTTTGGTGTAATACACTGACATGAAAACATGTAAGACTATAGAGGTGTTAGCTATTAAGCTATTAAGGCTGCTTCACAAATGAAAATAAACAACTAACTTTCTGTTTAATAAAATGTCAAAGATGGGGATGTTCCTGTCTTCTTCTTTTCTCTAAAAGACTTATAAATGTCTGTATTGATCAAATATTGCAAAACCAAGCATGTCAGAGCTCTTGCATGGACCAGATAAATAAGTCTGTGCCCCTAAGTAAGAAACAAGGATATAATGAAGATACACTTGATCCTTGGATGTAGGGCTGGGTGATAAAACTATAACGATACATATTGAAAATTAATTTCCCTCGATATCAATGTAAAACATGGTCAATGTCCTTTTCGATTGTTGGCATTCTGCCATGTTTTGGTAGACTAAACAAATAGCCAATGTAAAGAGGATCAGCGCATCCCAGGGAGGACTTTTGCCGGAGAAAGTCCTGCCTCCTTCGCCTCTGATTGGCTAGAAAAGCTGGAAACGTCATCACACGCTCAAGCCAAACGGTCAGCACTTTTAGCCAATCAGAGGCGACAGGATAAGCACATGAAACTATGGTAACAACCGTTAGTTTTACGTTAGCACAGATAAAAATTAAAACAAAGGCGTTAAGCAAACTGTTAAGGCACACAAACCACCGTCATATGAGAAATCCGACGCTATGTTGTCCTTCAGGTGGTTATCTTTGTAATGTTTGTGTCTTTTATCAAAAATCACTCTGTTCTCCGACACGTAAACAATCAGCCGGTTGGCTGTGTCGGATATACCGGTAAACCTGACGTCGCAACAACACAAAATCTGATTGGTCAGAAGTGGACACACAAAACAATCAAACAAAAGAGACACAAAGACCTTACAGATGCAGTAGCTTATTGTGTTGCAAATTTCACTTTTTATATTGTGATATATGTTAATAAATGTAAATGTATCGTGATAAACTTTTTCCCATATTGCCCAGCCCTACTTGGATGCGAACAATTGAGATTTTTTTCCCCAAGATTATGATTTATTATGTGCTGAAATTATTTATCACCCAGCGTAAGGCAAATGAAACAAAGGTGTGTTTTTACTTACTAACACCAGTTGATATGTTAAATATACGTTTTTATCGAGTCCACGTCTATGCACTTGCATTAAAACATGTTAATGTCTTGATCCTTTAAATATTAAAAAATGAAGTGACTTATTGAGGGTTCAAATCCATTATCCTTATGAGGAACTTGCTTTTTCCCATTCCGCTGGTCTTTGCTGTAGAGGAGCGCGTACATACGACACTCAATCGCGTCTACAAAGAAAACTATGAGTGAATTTCTTCATCAGAATGCTCTGTAAAGTGTCGAACATTCATTTGAGAGGCTTTTTCCGTGCGTTACACGCCACGGTGAGCTGAGCATTCGCTGCTTTTCTCCTCTGTAACAAAGAGCAGCAGCGGACGGCCTGCAGCCCAGAATGAATGAAGATCCGCCAGCTCGACATTCATTAACTCCCTGAATTACCGCTAATTTGCATCATCGATGGATGCAAATGTAAATAACGCGCCGATCGAAAGTAAATGGACGTTACGGAGGGAAAAAAGACATGCAAATGTTCTTACTTGCACTTCCACAACAGGATGCAAACCCCACTTCGTGTTTCTTCACAGTCACTCCCACCAAACACACTCACAGCAGATGGTTCCGAACATGTGCTCTCTGTGCCTCAGGGCTGCCCGTGGATATGCCTGATTATAACGATTGACAAAAAGATTTGTAGGTTTACACACTGATTTTAGTAGGTGTTGAAAATACACCAAAGTAGCTTATTTATAGTATTTACGTCGTTTTGTTGCACCATTAAATGTTATTTAAGTAATGTAAAGTTATTTTTGTTTAGGCGCTCTGGATAGGTGTCAGTGTTTTGGACACGAAACTACAATATGGAGTGACTGAGTTTCGGACTGTAGCAGAAACAGTAAAATGTTTGTTTAAATGTTTTACTGGAACCAATTTTGATTAAAATAATAAACTACAAAGACTTTGCGAAGACAGGTATACTTACTTTTGATGTAAAAATGCGGTATTTTCACTGGGACGTGATTATTTCTTCTCTTATGCTAACACACAGCTAAACAGCTTCATTACTTTATTTAGTTTCTGCTTTTTTTGGCGTTTTAGTGTATATTTTTAATGTCGAACAAACAACAGTGTGGGTAGCGATATCTTTAACTACAGAGGTGTGAAATATTAAATGAAAATAATGCAAAAACACGTCAAAAATTGCTCTCATGGAAACTTGTAAAATATGCACACTATTGTACTATTTTGTGTTGTATATAGTGTACATACTTGTATATTATCTCTTTATTTATACTGATTTTATCTCTTTGTTTTTAACTGATTTCATCTCTATTTTTACTGATTTTATCTCTTTATTTTTACTGATTTTATCTCTTTATTTTTACTGATTTTATCTCTTTATTTTTACTGATTTTATCTCTGTTTTTTACAGATTTTATCTCCTAATTTTGCTTATTTTATCTATCATTTATCTCCTCTTTCTACTTTATTTGCACTGGAGTTACTGGAACAAAAAAAAAATTAATATTTCTGATTCTAAAATCTGTTAATATTTTGCCTCACAGACTTAAAAAGTATGTTCTGGAAATATTAAAACCACTTAAATGAGCATTTTAAAACTCCGTCTGGATTGACTTTCAGATATTTATTACCTTGAGTTTTGATCTGTACATTATTGATAATTTTTTTTTTTTCTCCAGAAAAACAGCTCTTTAAAGTCATGACTGTGGTAATCGGATTTGAGGGCAGCGCCAACAAGATCGGCATCGGAATAATCAGAGATGGTGAGGTGCTCTCCAACCCTCGACGGACCTACATCACTCCTCCTGGTCAAGGCGAGCCACATTTCAGCTTTTATATCATCATTCCCAGTCTGCTGATATTTTTGAGTCGAACACATGAGAAGTTAACCCCAACTTTACTCTGACCTGCAGGATTCATGCCAAGTGACACTGCCAGGCATCACCGCGCCGTGATACTGACTGTTTTGAAGGAAGCGCTGGAGCAAGCAGGGCTGAAGCCTGCAGACATTGACTGTGTGGCGTACACGAAAGGTAAATGTAAATGTTATTTATTTATACAGCCCTTTACAACAACCCTATCAGTAAACAAAAGTGCTTTGCAATACATAGAAAATAAAAATGAATAAATAAAAACAATAAAAAGCAATAAACAATCAAAGCAATTAAAAAAGAACACTGTTAGTGTTGGTTAAAAGACGTGCAGCAGCATTTTGGACAAGAGAATGATTGGGAGATGCCAACATAAAGTGCACTGCAATAGTCTAATCTTGAACTGATTTGAGCATGGATGGCTATCCCAAACATTTTGATCTTGGCCAGGAGACATAGTTAGAAGAAACTAGTCCTGACAACATTATCAATTTGTTTGTCAAACTTCAGGTGTTTTTCAAAAATTACCCTCAGATTCCTGACACTTTGACTGAGCTTTGGAAACAAGGAACCAAAGACAGCCATCACTGTGTCCCCAAACACAATACATTCACTCTTAACGTTATTTAAATAAAGAAAATTTTGAGCCAACCACTGCTTAACATCAACAATGCAAGCAAACAAAGAATTTTGCGCACTGCCATTGTTTGGCTTCACTGACAAATATATTTGCAGATCATCTGTATAAAAATGAAAAGAAAGGTTGTGCCTGGCTATAATTGACCCAAGAGGCAACAAATACAATGAAAAGAGAATAGGGCCAAGAATAGAGCTTTGTGGGATCCCACAGAAGAGAGGAACAATAGAAGAGGACAAGTCACCAACCATAACAGAGGTAGGCCTATCAGAAGATCCCTGATGCTCACTTTGTTGTTAAGTAAGATTTGATTACGATACACATTTTTGAGAACATGAGGATGGTATTTACTGCAAATTGTGGATATGCCGGGCTTTAACAGATGGTTCATGTTGTCAGGAGGCCGTATGTGAGACTGAAATCAACCCTGTGACCTTTTTGTTTTGTGCTCCCCAATCTCGCTGTTTTATTACTCACATTTACTGAAAATATCACACGGGTATTATGTTGGTTAAAAACATTTTTACGAGTAAGAATGAAATGCAGGTAAGATCAAGTTCGAGTTAAAATTTTCTTGGTGGAGCACGGAAAAACAATCCCCAAAATTCAAATTAGCATACCGACATTGTTATTGTATGGATCTGAGCTCACCCCCAAATACTTGTGAGACTTTCATGCTGCCTCCATGATTTCAAACCAGACAAGTGACCAAAAATCTTAAAAGATAAACCAGATTTATGGTAAAAACGATACATTTTTTAAATTTTTTTTTAATTGTGCCAATCATTAGTGTTCATTGAGTGTACCTAAGAGAGGAATCTGATGTCTCTGTTCTCCTTCAGGTCCTGGTATGGGTGCCCCCTTGGTAACTGTGGCTTTGGTGGCTCGTACAGTCGCACAGCTTTGGGGGAAGCCACTCCTCGGTGTGAACCACTGTATCGGACACATTGAGATGGGCCGACTCATTACGCAAGCCAACAACCCCACAGTGCTGTATGTCAGCGGGGGAAACACACAGGTTTGTGACTACATTCGTCAACACAGGGGGCATCAAAATCCAGACAAACTATTCTTCACCGGAGCTTTAAGTACAAATTTAACAAGTAGTTTCTTTACTTGTGCAGGTTATTGCTTACTCAGAGCGCCGGTACAGAATCTTCGGGGAAACCATCGACATCGCCGTTGGCAACTGCCTGGATAGATTCGCCAGAGTTATCAAGGTGTGAATCACTATAAACATGATTACAGCGGCCTCAGATGATAATGGTGTGAAGAAAAAGGTCATGAATGTGTTTCTCCTCTCAGATCTCCAATGATCCCAGTCCAGGATACAACATAGAGCAGATGGCCAAAAAGTGAGTCAGTCTTTCTGTGTTCAGAGCCAGTATTGTTGTTTTAAATCTGGGCTCTATTTGATCAGTTCTGGGCACCAAAACATTCAGACCTGATCCAAACAGACTGGAGCGGATGTTCTGATGCCTGTTGTGACATTTCAGGTCCTTCCTTTTACTGCAGACTCGATCAAATCGTTACTATGTGTGCCTAATCGTTAATTAGAAGGTGTTCCTGTCAAGAGTGGGATGTCTTCTGCACAAAAACAGCTGATGCAAAGCCACCAGATAAAACTGAAAAATGAATTTGACCCTGAAAACTTGGAAACTGCAGCTGCCAAAATCTGTCTCTTTTTTTGTGTTATTGCCATAGTAATAGCCAAGAAACATCTTTTTAACTTTGACTAGTTTCTTGAGCAAAGAGACCAAACACAACTCAACCAAAACACCACTCTATAGCCACAAATAATGCTCAGAACAGCACCTAACTTCATCAACAGGACATATAGAGTCCCAGCCACCAAACATCTTTTTAGCTTTGCCTTATTTCTTTCACAAAGAGACCAAACACAACTCGCTATCTCTCTTCCAGCATGCGCTTGTCTGAACGGAGACCTCTGGGCGAGGCCATCGACTGCAGCGGGGTGTCACAGCTCAAGGAAGAACATTTATGATTATTACTTTATCATTTCCTTGAAGTAATAATCACCATATTTATCATTTTACACTGCAGACGAAGTAGTTCTTCTGCCTTAGCATCTCGGACTGATTGAGTTGCATTGATTATTACCTTATGGAAATAATACAGAACTGATCATAAATGTTCTTCCTTGAGCTGCGTCACCCCGCTGCAGTTGATGGACTCACCCGGAGGTCCCTACAAACAAGCGGCTGCTGGAAGAGAGAAGGTGAGTTGTGTTTAGTCTCTTTGCTAAAGAAATTAAGCAAAGTTAAAAAGGACCCTGTATGTCCTGTTGATGAAGTTAGGTGCTGTTCTGAGCATTATTTGTTGCTATAGAGAGGCGTTTTGGTTGAGCGCGTGGCTCTCTGTATTGCTATCCTGCGATCGTTACTTAAGTTGGTATAACTAGAGAAGCAAGCGGTCGGCAACATTCATCTCTCCAGGTGGTGTCTAACTCGGTGTTACGGTGTGTTTGACCCTAAAATGATTATACGCCGGAATATCCCTTTGAGGTGTGGCGGCTTTTAATCAGCCATGACGGTGCTCCACGATCAATAGCATATAGAGAAAACCCCTGAAGTTGGTCGTGTTTTCTCTGTGGATCAGACACGACAGCGTGACAAACTTGGCGAACTATTTACTTTAGCTCGACGTCCGTCAAATTGAAGCCAAAATGTCACCAGATAGCTTAAGTTGTCCTACCTTTCCTCTGTCTTTCTGTCGTGTTTTCAACCGCTTTTTCCTCACATTGTTGATCCTCACTCGCTCACTGCAGCTGCACATGTAACAGGGGTGCATTCAAGGTGTTTTTCCAGCTCAGGACCTTATATACACACCGCGCCGTGCAGCGCGTTAATCGTTTTTCTTCGATTATAATGTTTTTATGATCTGAGAAGTTCGATTAATCGTCCAGCACTATTAGAACGGCCAAAATATTAGAAACACCCACCGATCAAACAAACCGGCTGATCACAAACATCCACTAAAAACTCATCAGGTTTATAAAGGTGTGGTTGGTTACTTGATGTAAAATGGGCCTCAGATTTTTCAATATGCCCTTTATTTGAAAATTGAGTTGATTTTGAGCTGCTTCACTTTGTGTCCATGTCTGTTCTGGTAGAGGGAGTCAGTATGTGGAGCTGCCATACACAGTCAAAGGAATGGACGTCTCATTTTCTGGGATTCTGTCCTATATCGAGGTAAGTTAACCCCCTGTCTCTTTGTCATTTATTTATCTATTTTTTGTTTTTGGGGTTCAGTGATGTGATTTTCTTCTCCTCATCAGGAAGTTGCTCACAAGATGCTGAGCTCCGGTCAGTGTGCAGCAGAGGATTTGTGCTTCTCCTTGCAGGTACAAAAAAGAACCCCAAAAAACAAAACAAGCAATTAAAATCTGGTATTTTAAGCGTTAAAAGACAAAAATCGGAAAAAACGTTTAACCCCTCTGAGCCTGAGGTTCTTATATGTGTTGTTTTTTTTATCCCTAACCTAACAAGACTGTTTACTGTAATGCGTGATGAAGAAAAGGGTCACATAATGAATCTTACTCCACTTTGTATCACACTGGAACACTTTAACGCCTCCCTCCCTGCAGGAGACGTTGTTCTCCATGCTGGTGGAGATCACAGAGAGGGCCATGGCTCACTGCGGATCCCAGGAGGTCCTCATCGTCGGCGGGGTTGGCTGTAAGTGCGTCACATTTAGATGTTTAAAAATGTCCGATCTTTATGGTTCAGGGTCAAACCGTTTGGTTCAGCCGTCTTTACTCAGTCTTCAATCAAACGCAGGGGAGATAGCCTTCAGGAGAAAGTGTTTTTTTAAACCAGTCATGCAGTCAGACACAGCCTCAATGTTTCTCAACACCGTCGTTTTCACTTTTCGTACGATTGTGAAATGAACTGAAACAGTTTCTGCCCTGAGAGCTTTTTTTGGGGGGGGTTTAAATAACATGTTTCACATTTTTTGCTCTGTGTTTGGAAGAAAGAAACACAAATATTGTCATTCTTGAGTTTGATAACCCCAAACCGTGCAGGGATGTTATCAGGTTAACCGACAACGCAAAGAGCTTTTCCACGTCTTCGTGATAAGAACTAACCCAACCGAATCAGTTATTGTGTGATACTCAGAAAAGCCTGAGGAGCCAGAATAATGAATCCAAACAAACTGTCACTAAAAGGTTAAATATCATTATCACCTTCATTTACTTATGAACTTAAAGTTTTGACCTGTGACCTTTTGTTACCTGTGCAGGTAACCTGCGCCTACAGGAGATGATGGGGGTGATGTGTAAGGAGAGAGGAGCCAAACTGTTCGCAACAGACGAAAGGTAAACCAGTCCGTCCACACTCACTCGCAGCTGTTTACATTGAAATGTAGAGGAGCAGATCACATGACCCCAACTGAAACTCAGATTTATGCAGATTCGAATTCAGGTGTTGAGATTTGAAATAACCATGTGTGACTCAAAAATACATGAAAATAAGGACAGGTACACCCACAACACAGCAGCAGAGCATCACGATTATTCGGGGTTTAGTCTAATACTCCGATCACAACAGTCCGGGCTTTTCCTCATACCAGGAACGTTGTGTTCTGGGTTCAGTCCAGGTGACAGTGTTCCTCTTGTGCTGCAGGTTCTGCATCGACAACGGAGCCATGATCGCACAAGCCGGCTGGGAGATGTTCAGGTCAGGTCAGGTGACTGAACTGGAGGATTCATGGATTACACAAAGGTAGGACTCTTGTTTTGATTCGACTTCTGAGGCCCGAACTACACGTATATAGATATTTATTTATCTGGATATTTTTGTACTCCAGTTTAAATAAATGTATCTGTCCACACGTGTTAGTTCTCAAAAATATCTGCGTCCACACGTAGCCTTCAAACTCAATCTTATCTGGTGCCGCTTAAAAAAATTCAGGAACAAAGCTACCTGATTGGCCGATGAATCGTAACAGCGTGATGCGTCATGCATTGTTTGCGGAACTACGCTAGTGCGTCGGGTCCATGTGATGGTGTGGCTGACTGGTGGATGTAATTGTATAAAACAAGGTTCACTTGCAAGGCTGAAATTAGCCCCAAAAGGGCAAAACAAACGTAAAGAATACCCTGTATGTCCGCCATCGTTGTTGTTTTTCTTTTTAACTCTCATACGCGAGCTGCGGTTTGACGTCATCGATCCGTTAAAGTTCAACCACACGAATACGGATATTTTTTTTTATTTCTCCACTTGTTTTTTTGGATTCAGATTTATCCGGTTTGTGTTCCAAACTCCCGTTTTGGTGTGGTAGGGAGGCCTAATCGGACATAAATATGTGCGGTTTGAAATATATCCGCATTTGTGTAGTTGGGGCCGGAGTCATTTCACTTTCTCATTTCCTCTAATCAGCTCAGACTGGATTATTTTCTACTAAAGCAGAGAAAGAGCAGAAGAGCCTCAGTTTTCTGTCCTGCTCTTCAGGCCTCTGTTGAGTTAACCTTGACAGAGAAATCTACTCCTGTCTGCTCCACACCTCTCTGATGTTTGCACGCTGACCCGGAACATTTCTACTGTTGCAGGTACCGGACAGATGAAGTTGAGGTGACGTGGAGAGACTGACACCAAGAGGGATCAGTGTCTCAGTTGTTCTGAGTCGTTGTCCTGGGAAGCGGGGAAGATTTCTTGTGCTCTTGGAAATTCAGGGACGGGCCCTGATGAGGGACTTTTGTTTTGACTTATTCTACTCCAGGCGACTTTTTGGCAGACTGCGATCAAGATTTGGGGAAATATTGTTGCCGAGAACGTTTCAGGTATGATGAGATAAGCAGGAAACGGTTGAAAAGGCGAATTCAGTCTCTTTAAACCTGGAACAAGGCGACAGATTTATAGCCGTCTTCGTGGCACTTTCCTGTACTGTGACATAACAAAGAAAAAGATCCATTTATTCACATTTTTAAGAACTAGATTGAAGTGAAAGTTAATTTGTGATCTTTATGTTCTCCGTCTCCCTGTTACACCAACTCCTTTGAGCTTTCAGAGGTGAAATCAGGAGACTGAGCTGATGTAATTCAGATACTTTGATCTACTTGCTCGTAGTTTGTCATAAAATTAATAAAAGGCATCAATATTCATTTTTTGTGTATTTCATCAAGGTTAAAAACTCCCAAACAGTCCGAGCTGAGTGACATCCACATGGTTAAAACACTATTTTACAAGAATCTCATTCAGCCCCACTTTAAACCGGACTCCTTTCTGGTTCTTTTCCCTGTTTTTGTCCAGCAGGTCACACAAACTTCAAATAAAAATCTATAACAACTCACCAAGTTTATTCGTTTTTATTAAGCAATACTGTTCACTTACATTCCTCCTCTTTCTCCAGTGTAATTTTTTAATTCAATAAAGTTTCTTTTCAAAAAAATCATCATCATCATCATCATACTGAACATGGTCAGATCCCTTATGGACTCATGAGTAACATTCACCCGATTAGGGAACCGAATAAAAACAAAGAAAAAGGAACACAGCATTAAGATCTGACAGGGGTGGATTGAGGGTGAACTCTACTGTGCCTTTGACTACACCCCTCTGTAAACTCAAGACATGGATACACACGCATGTCCTTTGCATTCATAAACCATAAAAACTCAAGCAGGTATAAGACAGACGTTCCTCTGTGTCCAATCAAGGAAGGAGGGGGAGAAAAAAAACGATCGCTCTGGTGAGGGTTTCTTGCACAGAAGGATTGGTCACAACAGATTCGTTTTCTTTTTCTTTTTAGACAAAGTGCTTGATTGACCGCTCGCTTTACAGAGGACACAAAAAAAGAAGTTTGATAAAACTGCAGCAGAGGGGGGGGAAATTAATCGACAGCTCCTCGGAGATTGTTTTTTCTTTTTAAAAAAGGAACAGAAGACCAGCTCTACACATACAAGCTAAAATGGAAATGAGAGGCGATGGAGACAGGGTTGATTAATTAAGGCAGGCTTTCTGTAAGGCGTTAAAAAAGTCCATTGCTGTAAGATCTCAAAGGAGTTAGTCCAAAAGTGTCTCAGTGTGGCTTTGCGTGAAGACATCATCCTGAGTGCAGTGTGTGTGTGTTTGTGTGTGTGTGTGTGAGAGAGAAGGACACAAAGTTTGCCCATCCTTATGTGTTTTTATGTGCATGTAGTTGTGTGTTTGTTTGTGTGTGTGTTGTGTCTGTTTTTCTATGCTTTGGGTGTCTCACACTGCTAGGCTGGGTGCTCCTGGGTGTCCTTGTACCAGATCACCTTTTTGGGAACTGCAAAGAAAAAACAAACAAGAAAAAAAGATGAGGATGTATGAATGAAAAAGATTGAATAAAACAATACGAGCCAAATAAACACCCCAGAGTCTCCTTCTTCACAACCTTAGACTCACCTAAATACTAGACTTTCATGTTAAGACACTTTGTGGAAAGACTCCTCAGTTTAAAGGGATATTCCGGTGTAAAATTAATTTAGGGTCAAACACACTGTAACACTGAGTTAGACACCCCTTCGAGAGATGAATGTTGCCGACCGCTTGCTTCTCTAGTTATACCAACTTTAGTAACGACCGCATGATAGGGATTCAGAGAGCCACTCGCTCAACCAAAACGCCACTCTATAGCCACAAATAATGCTCAGAACAGCACCTAACTTCATCAGCAGGACATATAGGGTCACAGACATAGTACTAGACACCAAACATCGTTTTAGCTTTGCCTCATTTCTTTAGCAAAGAGACTAAACACAAATCACCTACTCTCTTCCAGCGGCCGCTTGTTTGTAGCGAGACCTCAGGCCAGTCCATTACAGACTACAGTGGGGTGCCGCAGCTCAAGGAAGAACATTTATGATCATTTCTTTATCATTTCCTTGAAGTAATAATCATCATATTGATCATTTTGCACTGCAGACGCTGTAGTTCTTCTGCCTTAGCGTCTCGGTCTGATTGTATTTCCATGAAGAAATGATCATAAATGTTCTTCCTTGAGCTGCGTCACCCCGCTGTAGTCGATGAACTACAAACAAGCGCTGCTGGAGGAAGGTGGGTGAGTTGTGTTTAGTCTCTTTGCTAAAGAAATTAGTCAAAGTTAAAAAGATGTTTGGTGTCTAGTACTATGTCTGTGACCCTATATGTACTGTTGATGAAGTTAGGTGCTGTTCTGAGCATTATTTGTGGCTCAGACCGCTCTGTATTGCTTTCCTGCGGTCGTTACTAAAGTTGGTATAACTAGAGAAGCAAGCGGTCGGCAACATTCATCTCTCCAGGGGGTGTCTAACTCAGTGTTACGGTGTGTTTGACCCTAAATTAATTTTACGCCGGAATATCCCAGAGGAGTCCGTCTGTGTCTCTACAAACATCTCGGCTCCATACGGATAACTGACAGGGTTGTGACATTATCTGGTCCTAGAAAGAACTACACATCTGCACAAAAACTCAATGTTTCTGAACACCGTTTTTTTTTTTGGGACGTTTTCCTTTCCAGGGGGTTTTACTGCAATTACAAACTAACCATGCTGATCTTAACTGCATTTGCACTTGTTTTATTTAGATATACAAACTCACGTCACATATTCCTGGAACCCCCCCCCAGATTTGATTAAATACATTTCTATATATCTTTCTTTAAAATCTACAAAATCAGCAGATTTTAAACCCCATGTTTGAGTTTTAAAGTTGGTCACTGTGCTCGTCATGAACCAAACTTGGAATAAAAAAAATGTTAGAGGTATTCAACATGATCTTTCTCTTCGCAGGCGAGGTATGCAGTGAGATAAACTATCAGTAGCTGTGGTTCTCTCAGATTGTTTTTCTACAAGTCAGAAAAACGAGGTCTGAATTTCAAGCCTTCGCCTTCACTCTCATCCCAAATAAGATCAACCATAACGGGATAGATGATATTTGACCCTTTTTTGGCTGATTGGGATATTCGGCTAATCTGTCATGATTAAAACACAGACTGGTTCATGGTGTGGACTGACCTTTCTTCTGTCTGTTACAGATTACGTTCCATTCTGTGGAGAGAGAAAGAAACAGTCAGGGTCGTTCAGATTTGTTGTGTTCACGTCGTTTTAGATCAACACAAAGACATTCGGTGGTCTTCAGGATTTCGGGTTTTCTCTCACCTCTACTGTGATAGTTCAAAGCTTCCACTAGATGGCGACAACTAAGCAGCAGCTTCCCGTTGTTCTCGTCCACATCCGGGCGTGTGGCGGGACTGATGGACGTAGGGATGGGAATAGGCGTTTCTTCTGAACGCTGGAAGGTGAGGACTGTGTCTTCTGGCGTTGGCTGGGCGTCTGTGGGTTGGGGAGGGAGAGCGTTGGCGGCGGGGGCAGTGCTGGCGCCCTCTGAGGCCGGCCGGGCCTCACTGATAAAACTGAGACCCCACTGGTTCTGAAGCAGAACGCCGATGGCGGGGCGGTCTTCCTCCAGCGCTCCGGTCGCCGCCCCGGCCTTCACCTTGGAGGCGTAGCTGACTGCAGGCTGCAGCTTGGCGGGGCTGTCCTGCACTGGGAAGGCAGGTGGGGGCTTGAGCAGAGACAGACTGTCCTCCACCCACCTCTCCTTTGGGTTGACCTTCTGTGGACGGCTGAGCCCCTTCTGGCTCTCCCTGCGGAGGCTACGCCCCTTGTGCTGCTGGCCCTTGCGTTCTTTTTCCCTGCGGTAACTGAAGGTGTGTGCGTGGCTCACTGTGATGAGGTCGCCTTCAGGTGAGAGCTGACGGGGCTGCTTGTCGCCTCCAGAGATACAGCCTCCACCTCCTCCTCCACCACAGTTACCTGAGCCAGGAGACAGGCGTCGGTTGCGAATGTGGGGTTCAGAGTTGGCGGCTGAAACGAGGACTGCTGGATCACAGAGGGTATCGGACTCACACACAGTGTTGCTGGCTTCCCATGAACCTGAGAGAGAGGTGGCGACATGTTGGTCAAATATCAGCTGCTGACAGATTTATGAGGTTTGATGAGATGAACTACAAACTTGAAGAAAAAAAGAATTCGATGGTGTGCAAATCATTTTAATTCAAAACAGTGCAAAGACAATAAAACAACAAGTTTGTCCTGTTTTCCTTCTTTGGACGAGAACTGGTCGGTACTGACTGATGCAGTCTGGGAAAAACCAACAAGAGGGGCTCTTTTGGAGATACTCGGACAAGTTTTCCAGCTTCTAGTCAGAGTTCTTTACATCAGTGGTTCTCAACTGGTCTCAATCTGGGACCCACATTTTCCCGCGGTCCATAAGTAGCAACCTGCTTTTATAGTATTCAAACCAACAAAATTATTTTTTATATTAACAAAAAAACTTTTAAAAGACTCAAATCTTTAACGTAAATCCACTTGTTTCATTTAGTAAAGTGCATTTCAGAGCACATGAAGGGGACAACATGAGGACGACAACGACTGAAGTTGCATATACAGAAAAAATGTCTAATAAATATCCCATCAAATATTTACTTTTTTGGCCACCTGTTTGTGACCCACACAGAACGTGTCCGCGACCCACCTTTGGGCCAGGACCCACTAGTTTAGAACCACTGCTTTACATCCTTACACCTGCCTTTTTTTGATGCTTTTGCCTCATAAACTTTGAGGATGAAACGTCCACTTGCTGAGAGAGGGGCAGAGAGAGGATGTGCTCGCTAACAGGAAAGCCCGAGCGCATCTGTTTGGGCGTGTTTCTGTATACTCATTAGCGTGTCGTGCGGAGTTTGTTCGCTTCGTTTGATTGGTCAGGTTTGGGTGCGCTCTCTATGTTCACCGGCGTGTCCAGCAGACTCCTTGGCATAGTTTTGACGAAGAAGAAACAGCTTCAGTGGTGGTGGTCATGGCGGACGTAGAGATTGGTGGCAATACCGAGCAAACGGAGGCAGCCCGACCCAGCCAACATGAGGAAGAGGAGGAGGACCTCTTTCCAAATACGGGCGGGAGTCACAACATCGGTTGTCCGGAGATTCTTCAGACTTAGAATACCCGACAATGATCAAAAAACAAAACTATAAGAAGAGTGTCATGTGACGGTCGTTGCTGGAGGAGGAAACACCAACATCCTCTTCCACCACCTAAAGATGAAACACGCCAAGCTCTAGATTCGTGGCGCACCTGCCGCACCAAAAACTAAAGCTGCCGAAGCTCCTCTCATAACAAAAGAGCTTGGCAGAGTCTTTCACCAAAGGTACGCCGTATGATAAAAACAAGCGCCAGACTGGTCTGACATTTTGTTTGGATTTGTTTACAAATCTAAGTTTAAAAATAAAAGAAAGATGAACAAATGCAACAGTATGGTTATTTTTAAGCTATTAATTGCATTTACAGGGGGAAAAAAACATACCATGGTATACACTGTTACCGTGACATACGATTTTACTCATACCGCCCAACATTAGGTACAACTGTGCAGAAAGATTCACCTGTCAGAGGTCGATGTCATGGCCGGTTCGAAGGTCCATACAGTGTAATGAAGAACCAGAACCAGTCTACAAGTGAAACTGAAGAGTAAAGCTCAACATTTTCATCACGCTCTGAATAAACCAAACCTTGCTTAAGCGTCTTGCCTCACGAGTATTTGCTATTACACTCTCCACTTGGCACCGATCCATTACAGATCTTTGCACTTTCACGTAAACAGACATCAGGGCTGGGTGACACATTTTCATGTGACTTCACTGTGCCGGTAGACTTCACTATTTGACAAGTTGTGCAGAAAAGAACAGCATGACCTGGTAGCGAGTCAAAAGGGTGGAGCGGCTGGAGTGAAACGTCACATGGAGTGGGTTAAAAACGAACAGCTGTGTATCCTGCAAAGTCAGATGAGTGTGTGAACTGTGAGGTTGGTCAAATAATAAGAACTAGAGCTCGACTCACTCTAGTTTTTTAACAGCCTGGAGGTTTGACTTGCTGTTAATAAATGACAGGAAAGGTGTGTTTTTAATGGGGAAAGCTGATGTTGATATTCACTTTGGTAGACTTCTATTCATCTACCTTTGAATTTCTCCATGTTTTATGGCATGTTTTTGACTACGGTGAGTCATATTTGAACAACTGAACAAAATGTCCCAGTGAAACCGCCTCACACATGACATTTCCAACATAATGAAACTGAACTGTTCTTGACTGATATCTGTCTGATCATCCAACAAAAATCTATATGATGCATGAAAACCCTTGACTCACAGCCCCAGAGCCTTTTGATTATATCCACGAGTACATGACTAATACAAATACTGAGTAGCTGCAGGCTGACATTGTCCAAAGTTAAACTTCATCTATGGATTATTCTGCACTATTGTTGCTCAAGTTAATCTACTGGAAACTTGATACGATCATACAAACCTAAAGATAACTGTTAAATATTGTCAATCGATCAATCAGACTGAATCCATAAGGCACTTTTCATACAACAATAATGCGACACCAAAATCTGTACATGAAAAAAGGAAATTCATACAAAAGCCACACTTCTCGATCAATAACGCAGCTAAACAAGAGCTGTAAGAATAACAATAATGATGATAATAAAACTGAGGGAACCCTATCATGAGGGCTTCATGAGGGAACTCTGGAGGTAAACAGGAGAGTTAAAGGGATATTCCGGCGTAAAATTAATTTAGGGTCAAACACACAATGACACAGAGTTAGACACCCCCTCGAGAGATGAATGTTGCCGACCGCTTGCTTCTCTAGTTATACCAACTTTAGTAACGACCGCAGGATAGCAATACACAGCGGTCTGAGGAGCCATAAACAAACCTCAACCAAAACGCCACTCTATAGCCACTAATAATGCTCAGAACAGCACCTAACTTCATCATCTTCATGGAAATGCAGTCAGACCGAGACGCTAAGGCAGAAGGACTACTGCGTCTGCAGTGCAAAGTGATTCATATGATGATAATTACTACAAGGAAATAATGAAGAAAGGATCATAAATGTTCTTCCTTGAGCTGCGTCACCCCGCAGCAGTCTGTAATGGACTGTCCTGAGGTCTAACTATGAACAAGCGCTGCTGGAGGTAGGTGGGCGAGTTGTGTTTAGTCTCTTTGCTAAAGAAATCAGGCAAAGTTATAAACATGGTTGGTGGCTAGTACAGTGGCTGGGACCCTATATGTACTGTTGATGAAGTTAGGTGCTGTTCTGAGCATTATTTGTGGCTACAGAGTGGCGTTTTGGTTGAGGGCGTGTCTCTCTGTATTACTATCCTGCGGTGGTTAAGTTGGTATAACTAGAGAAGCAAGCGGTCGGCAACATTCATCTCTCGAGGGGGTTTCTAACTTAGTATTATGGTCATCCTCCAAAGATACCATCCTTGACGCACGAGTAGCATGTGCAGTTTAGCCCATAGACTGTATATACTATGGACAACTTGGTTCCGCCTCCCGCCAGTATACGGATCTGAAGCCAAAAAGCTCTCGATAGTTCTGGGACTTTTCTTCATTTCCTGAAACCAGCGCTGCGCAGTAGAATTCTACGCATCCGGCGAGTTGCAGAGAGTCGCTGTGATGACGCTCGGCTCAAACAGCATATCCCCCAGGTAAGCTACACAATCTTTGTCCGCCAATAGGCTGTATCAGGTGTCAATCATAGAAATTATGAACCCCCTAATAACTTTTAAAAACGGAGCTTCATAGAAAAAAGAGGACTTGAGCACAAACCAGTCTTACAGTAACTACATATCAACATCACAACCAGAGGGGAGAAAATTTCATGTTCTGTGTAATACATTTTTAAACTTTGTCCACAGCTCCATAAGCTTTGCTGGAGGAGGCGGGATTTATGACCTATACTGCAGCCCATCAACAGAGGGTGCTGTTCTCAGAGTGGCTTCACCCAGCGAGGAGGCAGACTCTGTCCACTCTATATACAGTCTACAGCTCAAACACTCAGGACTGAAAACTAGAGCATGACACGGGAGCAGATTTTCACTCCTGTCCCGTCCCACTCCCAGAGAAAAAATACCGTCCTGACCCAACCCCAGACCGGAGTGAAAAAATTAATCCTGTCCTGTCCCACTCCCGTAGAATGACTCCCACTCCCATCCCGCTCCCACTCCTGTCCCGCTCCCGTTTGAATAAAACCAAAAGTTGCTGTGCATAATATGCATGTTAAACTGCACTAAAATAAGTCAGAGCGACTGGTGGCTGCCAATATGCGTGTCGCAGGCAGCCGCTCCGAGTCGCTTTTCACTTCTGGTGGTGACAGGAAGTCAAACCACTGTTGTAGTCCTTTTGTGTCGCTAGTACGGTCAAGAGTGTTGGCTCTCACTGAGAGATGACTACAAAGATGGACGCATCTGTTCATCTGGTTGATTAACACGGCTGAAAATGATCATCTATTAATGTTGTTCCCGCTCTCGTTGCTTTTTTCCGTCCCTATCACGGGATTAATTAAAAAATGACTCCCATCCCGTGGGATTCCCGAAAAATTTCATCCTCTACTGTAAACTAGTTCGCTGTATTATTTTGTATTTATCTATATTTGTTGAACTGTTGAGTTAAAATGTTTTTATACTTTTGTAAGTGTCCTATTCTGTGTTATTTACTTTGCGTGACAATAAAATGTTGAACTAATCTCAAGTTTCTAGTACAGATGCTTTAAAACTGGCAGTTTTTAAAAAATCGCGATAATAATCGAGATCGGATGATATGATTAAATATATAGTGATTTTTTTTTTTGCCAAATCGCCGAGGCCCAATGAAGCTTACTTTGAGTCGATAATGAGCTCGAGTGAAACCGCACCTGGGTTTTACAGGTGTCTCTGATTGAAGGGGGGGTAGGGTAGTAAACCCATGTGAGAGGAGCAGACCCGGCCTGAGGAGCCCGCCTAAGCGCCACATTTAAAAAAAAAACCCGGTTCAGACAGATCGACCACAAACCCGGAGACTCAAACTGACTGAAACTTCGAGAACACACAGAGTCTTCTTTCTTCGTGTCTAGATTTACAGGATAAACCTTGTTGTACTGATCCCGGTCCTGAACTGTTAGCTAATCGGACAGCCACCCCTGTCTGTGTGTGTGTCTGTGAGCCCGCACCGGTGTTAGCTCACTTTACTCTAACAGGCTGTTTTTTATCCCAATTAAACTCAAATTTAACGATCCAAACTTCCTCTGTGTCTGACACGTGAGAGTAGCCGTCGAGGACACGCTTTATTCGCCCCCGTTTGATGGATTCAGATCAGGCTCGCATGTTCGCCTCAGTCAAAGTTTCGTAACCCTCATTCAGCAGTTAGCACGGCGGCTAAAACAGCCAGGACTCTTTCAAACCGCGTCTTTACAACCGCATTTATTCGAGTCAGACCCGTCCACAAGCTGAAAACACTTACCGGTTTTGATATGCATGTCTTTCAGTTGGAAGTGTCGTTGGAGGTAACCGTTTAGTAACTTTTGTTTACAGCCTTCAGTAGATCGACGGCTCGCTGCTGGAGGAGTCTTGTGTGGCCACCCGGAAGCGACACGAGAATGTGGGTGGAACAGGAAGTGCTTACTGATAAGGGGCCCGGCGGGAAACTCGGAGGGAATTCCGCTTAGTAAGCGCTTTATCCCCCTTTGTGTGTTCGCTGTTAAACTTTTAATTTAAAAACATAAAAAAAACATAAAAATACATTTTTTACGACGGAGTAGTAGGGCCACATAAAGATAAAAATTTAAGACTTCGAGATTTAAGTCATTAATTTACGAGAATAAGTCTTTACTAACGAGAATAAAGTCGTAATAAAACCATTACTTACGAGAATAAAGTCAGAATAAAGTGTGACGGAGTATAAGGGCAACATTAAGATAAAAATGTAAGACTCTGAGAAAATAAAGACTTCGAGATTTAAGTAATTAATTTACGAGAGTAAGTCTTTACTAACGAGAATAAAGTTGTACTAAAATCATTACTTACAAGAAGAAAGTCGTTCTAAAGTAACTACTTATGAGAAAGAAGTTGTAACAAAGTAACTCCTCACGAGAATAAAGTCAAAATAAAGTAACTACTTACGAGAATTATGTAATAAAGTAACTACTTACGAGAACAAAGTAATTTCTAACGAGAATAAAGTCGTGATAAAGTAACTACTTACTAGAATAAAGTCGTGATAAAATAACTACTTTCGAGAATAAAGTCAAAATAAAGTAACTCCTTATGAGAATAATGTAATAAAGTAACTACTTACGAGAACAAAGTCATTTCTAACGAGAATAAAGTCGTGATAAAGTAACTACTTACGAGAATAAAGTTATACTAATGAGAATAAAGTTGTAATCAAGTAACTACTGACAAGAAAAAAGTCATAGTAAAATCATTAGTTACGAGAATATTCGTAATAAAGTAACTACTTACGAGAATAAAGTCATTACTAACAAGAATAAAGTCCTAATCAAGTAACTACTTATGAGAATAAGTCATAATAAAGTAACTACTTACTATTAAGTCATATATTTTTTTTAAAGCTCCTATGAGGAGTTTTTTTTTTTCTTTTACATATCCTAAATATGTTAGGATTAAACATTCTTACTCATTGTGAGTTAAAGTTACAAAAAAATTGATCAAAATGGCTGTTCCTGCAGACTTCTGCTCCGAAACCTCGTTTTTCACAGTGATTTCAGTTATAAACGGGTCATACGGAGGCATTGGTGTCAGTCTTTCTCCGTTTCATAACCATTTCAAAACTCCTGATAGTGCCTTTAGTAATTCCAAATGACACTCAGGAAGCAGAATTTTACCATGTTCTCCCACTGATGTTTCAAATGCACAAACACAAGTTCTTTAATCACTCTGATAAACCGAATGGCTGTAATTGTGATTATCTATTTTTAATTTTAGGTTTCACGTTTTATCTGTCATAGATATTTGCGCTTGTGACCCCTCTCTGCTGAAACTCTTCTGAATTTTGTTTGTTTTCGCTCTTTTTACTCTTTCTTTTCTTTTCATATTAATTGACACAGTGGATTCCTCTCCGGTCCTGCTGTCCTCTTAAGCTTCCACTGTCCTGTCATCTCTATTCTCTGACCTTACTTACTTTACATCTACTCACTGATTTCTTACTACTGTCCTCCAGAAAGTACCTCCTCTCTTTAATCAGTGACCTCCGGAAATGTCCTTCCTCTTCCTTAAATGTTATCTTTCATCATTGTCTTCACTGACCCACTGCTGTGTTGTTACTGTTTTACATTTCAAAGCGTAGGGATGTTTATTTCTTCACAATCAACCTTTCAAACAGAGTAAGACAAAGACTGGATCAATGTAGCAGGCCATTCAGATCAATAAGTAAAGAGAAGCCTCTGCTGCTTCTTCATCAGAAACCTGGACTTCATCAGGCCAAGAGTTCAATATGACCTATGACACATTTAAGCAAAGGAAAATACAGAGTCAGACATTTATTTGGAAGTTTTCCAGTAAACCTACTGGATACATTTCCCTTCTAAGGTCTCCAAAAACAACCAGAGTAATCATTTCTCTGTTTATCATTAACCGAAAAACTTGCTCAACCATTGATGGTAGCTCTCCAGGTCACATAGTTTTGCTTATTGAAAAACAAAAATATATAAAGATATAGTATATAAATCTCTTTTATATAAATCTCTCCTTGCAGTTTAGTTTAATATCACGATGTTTTATATTCGTTTGTTTGTTTTTTCTGTTACTGCTGCTTACATGCAGGTTTCTCTTAATCGTTTGATCATTTTACAAACTGTAGATGATCAAATCTCTAAATTCCTGCAATTCTTTAAACTGTCTGACTGTTTGCTCACGCAGTTGTTGACAAAGCGCTGAACCTGGCCCGGTCCTTGGTTGTGAAGGACCGAGCCATTCAGGCATGCTCTGTTTCGACCAGATCATGACACTCACCTGCTCACCTGTGGAATGATCCAAACAGGTGTTTCTGGAGCAGTCCTCAATTTTCTTAGTTTTTTTGTTGACCCTGAACCAACTTTTGAGAAACGTGTTGCAGCATCAAATTCAAAATGAGTGAATATTTGCAAAAGGATAATCCAGTTTATCAGTTTGAACATTAAATATTTTGTGTTTGTAGGATATTCAGCTGAATTTAAGATTTACAAATCATTGTATTCGACTTTTATTCATGTTTCCCACAACAGCCAACCTTCACTGGAATTGGAGTTTGTATTTGTTGATGAGAAGTGTCTCTTTCAGTGTCATCTCATGTGGAATAAAAGCACCAGATGATTTTATTCCCACTAAAAAGACACAATCATCTGACATTATAAAACAACACTCACTCCTGTCAGGTCAATGACTCAGTGACTCCACCACTATGCCCTTCTCCATGTGTGTGCGCACATGCCTCTTCAGTCTGGTAGAGGTGGAGAAACTCTTCTTACAGAACAGACAGCTGTGTGGTTTCTCCCCCGTGTGAGTCCTGATGTGCATGTTGAGGTCCGAGGAGCACCTGAACCTCCTCTCGCAGTAAGAGCAGGGATACGGCCTCTCTCCTGTGTGGATGCGTTTGTGGAGAAGGAGTTCTCCAGAGGTGAGGAAGGTCTTCCCGCAGTGCGAGCACTGGTGTGGCCGCTCCCCCGTGTGAGTGAGGTTGTGGCGGACAAGCGAGGTGGACTTGGCAAACCTCTTCCCGCAGCGTGTGCAGGCGAAAGGGCGTTCTCCTGTGTGTGTGTTGATGTGTTCGCTCTGAGCTCGCTTGGTTTTGAAGCTCTTGGGACACTGCGGGCAGCTGAACGGTCTGAGGCTGCTGTGGCTGCGCTGATGCCTCACCAGCTCTCCGTGAGTGAGGAAGGTCTTCTCACAGGTGGAGCAGGGGAAAGGCCGCTCACCTGTGTGGGTTCTTTCATGGCGGGTGAGGCTGGCCAGCTGGCTGAAGCTTTTCTCACAGTGGGAGCACTGGAAAGGCCGCTGTCCGCTGTGAGTCAGCAGGTGTCTGTTCAGGATCTGGAGCTGCGTGAAGCTCTTTCCACACTCTGTGCAGGGAAACGCGCGCTCCCTGGTGTGGATCTGCCGGTGCTTATTCAGAAGCCAAACATGTGTGAAGGTTTTCCCGCACTCACAGGCAAACGGACGCTCCCCTGTGTGCTTCATCTGGTGCCTCTTCAGGTCTGACGCTCGGCTGTAGATCTTCTCACACAGCGAGCATTTGTACTGACGCCTCACCACATGCCTCTGCCTGTGCCGCAGCCTCTCCAAGATGCTGCTGAAGCTCTCGCCGCATTTTTGACACTTGTACTGACCGCCCACTTTCTCTGATGTCTCCTCTGCTACAACAACCTCCGTCATAAATTCAAGAGGGGGGTTACAAGTTTGGCCACAGGCAGTTCTTTCAAAATGCAGCTTCAGCAGCCCCATCTGCGTGAAGCGTTTCCCGCACTGCGAGCACAGGAAGGGCCGCTCTCCGGTGTGGATGCGCTGATGTCTGGTCAGATCCCAGGAGTTCTTAAAGCCCTTCTTACATTCCTCACAGGTATAGGGGCGCTCACCTGTGTGCGTCCGCTGGTGACGTGTCACGTCTGAGGCACGTGTGAAGGTTTTACCGCACTCCTGGCACATGTGAGGGTCAGGCCTGTCATGAATGGGGAACGGTTTCGGGAACTCCGGACGCTGGACCTTCCTTCTTGGGGCTTCAGGTTGCTCTGCAGCACTCTGCAGTTTGCTGAACTGCTCAGGGTGACTCTGCTCAATGTGCTGCAGCAGAAAGGACTCCTGCATGTGGAAGAACGGGCACTCGGAGCAGGCGAAGACCTGGGTGGACATCTCCACAGTGGTGCCTGTGCAAATTAAAGACAACATCAGTATCAATATTACTGCTCAAGATTACTTAATTACATCAACGCAAACTAACTGTATTTTCTGGACAACAAATGATCAGCTTCTCCCTCAATCCTAAAAATTAAGTCAAAATTTCAAGACAGAAAGTCAAAATTATGAAAAAAAGTTCAAATTATGGGATAAATGATCATTATTCTATGATACAAAAAATAAATACAAGACAAAAAGTCCTTACTATGAGGTAAAATAGAAGTAGAAATTATAATTAGAAGTCAAAAATTTATAATAAATGGTCAAAACTTTTAGATAAAATGTCAAAGTTCTGTGATAAAGAGTCATCATGATGGATACAAGGTAAAATTGTAAGAAAGTTATTCATAACTATGAAATGAAAAATAATAGTTACAAGTAAAAAGTCATCGATGTAAGATAAAAAGTCAAAACTTTCAGATAAAGCCATAAGTATGTGATATAGTCATCATAATAAAATACAGTCATAATTAAAAGTCATAACTTTACAACAAAAATGAAATGTCCTTAATTGTGATTAAAAAGTCACAATAAGAGACAAAATAAAAACTGTGAAAAAGTCAAAATGATGAAAAATTCAGTCAGAATTGTGAGGTAAAAAAAGTCTAATTAATGAGATAAAAGTCAAAGTTATGAGATTATCTCATTTATTTCATTAAATTTCTAAATTACAAGATTTAAAAAAACAAACTCAAGATAAAAAGTTGAGTTTTAAAATACTCATAACTCGTCATTTGACTTTTATCATATAACTGATTTAATATCTCACATTTTATTTTTGAATTCATTTGTGATTTTTAACTCAAAACTCTGACATCTATCTCATAACTATGCCTCATTTTCTCTCAAGTCCAACTTTATTGCGTTATTTATTTATTTTGTACTTTTTTACTATTATATTTTTTACTATTATTTATATACTATATAAATAACTATTTTAGTGATTTATTTTGTACTTGTGATTTTGTATCTCATCACTCTGACCTATATGGGAGCGCTCTTTTATAGTCATCTTACTAATATGTTGCAAATAAACAGATTTCATTTTTTCCAGTCTTTTGTCGATCCTGTCTAAAACGTTTTTAAAAAATTAACATCTTTTTCATAAAACATAAAAAATGTTCAGTCTCAGTTTTCTGATATTCTGTCACTGCACCACTATCAACCATCCGTAGTTTTAAATGACTTGGAAACCATTAAATTCTTCTTTATTCTCGTCCATAATTTACACAGCGTTCCTTCTGGGGTTTGTTGTTTGAAAACAGTTTTAACGGAGTTTCTGGTTTACCTTGTGCTCCCAGACTCTCGAGGCTCTTGTGGTGCTGCAGCAGTGACCTCAGGTCGTCAGGACTTGTGAGCGGTTGTAAGCAGTCCTTCAGTACAGAGGGGGCAGAGGTCAGCCATGAAACAGTCTGTTTATGGACAAAAGCCAACCTGTCAGCACGAATGAGCTAAACATCACATCGCAGGGTCTGAGTGAAAAACAAAGTTCATGAGGCATTATCCTGAAAATAATCGGTACCAAAGCTATTGCCAGTACTGGATTTAATAAGAGTCTTTGAACAGTGTCAATACAAACATGCTTCAAGTGACCAGCTTCTGTTATCTGGTGTCACCGCCTACCTGACTGAGGTCTGGTACAGGCAGGAGTTTCTCCAGTTTAGACAGAAACTCCCACACGAGGAGCTGCATGTCTGTGTCGTAGCCGAGACCGTATTCTGCTGGAAAAACCTCCTGAGGGGCACAAAGGGAACGGCTGCTTCAAAATCCCCACATGACTCATAAAGAGGGAAAATTAAAGAACGGCTGTTGGGTCGCATGTGTGCTGGCTTGCCTGGTAGAAATGCTCCCTCTCTGCTGGGTCTTTCAGAAGTGTCTGAACAAGCTCCACAAAAATGGCCACTTCTGCATCCACCTCTGCGTCTCCACTCTGAAAGACACTCAATATTACCAAGTGTTGTCTCCTCATGCATATAATGCTCTGTCTGACCAGTATATGCAGGGCTTCTGCATGTATGAGCCAAGCAGAACCAGCATATTTTTATTGAAATAGGAGGAGACAACAATAAAAGCACAGCTTTCACTTACTCCTGTGTATCCAGCTGGACGGATTCTTTCCAGATGAGGCTCTACACACAATGTTTTGGCTGTTTCCTCATTTCTGCACAGCTCAAGAATAATCTGTGAAGAAGATGTAAAAAAATAAAAATGGTACCCTCAAAGCAAAGTTTACATCATTTGGATGTTAATCCTTTTAAGAGGGTATCTGCAGCTTTCTCTGCCTTTCTTTTAGATGAAAATGTTGGAGGCTGGGTAAGACATTGACTGTATTTGGAGTAGAAATTCCTCTTATTTTCACTGCATAACATGGAGGCTGAAGAACATCCATCCATTTTCTACCGCTTCTTCCCGTTCCTGGGGTCACTGGAGCCTATCCCAGCATCTTCAGGCGAAGGCAGGGGACACCTTGAACAAGTTGCCAGTTTATCGCAGGGCTGACATCTAGAGACAAACAACCATCCACGCTCACATTCACACCTACGGGCAATTTGAAAGTGGCCGATTAACCTAACCTAACCCCACTTCTGCATGTTTTTGGGATGTGGGAGGAAACCGGAGTACCCAGAGTAAACCCACGCAGACACAGGGAGAACATGCAAACTCCACACAGAAACGCCTTAAACCGGATTCAAACCCAGGACCTTCTTGTTGTGAAACCACTACACCACTTTACCGCCCTGGCTGCAGAACAAGCAAACTTAAAATCAGGAGATCCAGATGTAAGACGGTAAAAAGACAGATGACACTTTGCAGTTAATAAACTTTGCATGTCATAAAGTTACAAACTTTATACAGTAGGCCCTGGGTCCTGAAGTTTTAATGCACCGTCTTCTGCAGGCTGCACACTGTCGAGTGCAACACTGCCTCCAGATATGAACCGGAAACCGCCTGAGCATTTTTAATCAGACTTAATTTGAGTAAATTTGACTCACCCTGGCCCTTAGTCGTAGAAGCAGCTTTCCTCTTTGCTTTGGACTAAGCAGGTCTGGGACTGTCGCCGTCACCAGCGTGACAAACTCATCCAGTTTTTCATAATCCAGGACGTCTCTCCGCTGAGCGACCTGCCACATTGCTGCAGAGAGCAGCCGCAGAGGAGGGATCAGCAGCCTCAGTGAAGACAGCGGCAGGAATATATCTGCATCAGAACGGACATGGAGTGGATCGAGATTATGATTTACCTCTGCGAGTAACTTTACATTTGTTAAAGTTGGAACGTTTTTGTCTGTTTTAACCATAGACTGTTTATAGAATGGACATAAATCCCGCCTCCGCCAACAATCCTTATGGAGCTGTGGACAAACTTTATAAATTAAAGCAAGATATATAAAAATTTCTCCCCCCTGCTTGTGATGTTGACACGTGGTTACTGTCAGACTGGTTTGTGCTCATTTTTCTTTTTTCCATACAGCTTCATTTATAAAAGTTATTAGGGGGTTCATGTTTTCTATGATTGACACTTGATACAGCCTATGGGCGTACTCAAATTGCGTAGCTCACCCAGGGGGCGATATTTTTATTTGTAGGATGGTACGAGAAAGTTCCACCACCTCCACCTTACCGAGAGCTTTTTGGCTTTAAATCTGTGTACTGGCGGAAGGCAGAACCAAGTTGTCCATAGTTTATATAGTCTATGGTTTTAACACAGTAAAGCATCAAGTGGTAAAACTCCTCATCAGTTTGTGTTGATTCTGGCGCCCCCTGTAGACAAACGAATACAGCTGGTTTCTTTCTGCACATGTGCAACAAAGCTGAGTTTTCTTTTTGGAGATTAACTCTTATTTTGCTTATTTTAAGAATTAAAGCATCACTTGTTGAAACTTTGCTGGGAAGAATATTTACTAAGGTTGGTAAATATTAACACGCAGTTCGTGTAAAAACTTCCCTGTAAGTGTTTGAAGATGTTAAAAATAGATACTTAGACATAGTTATTCTTTATGCAAGTAGTCTCATTTGCTTTTGCAAGTTATCAACAGTTATATTTAGTCTAGTGACCAAATAAAAAAACTCCTGACAGGAGCTTTAACTGATGCATTTTTATTTAATACCAGCAGTACATACAAAAAGCTGGGCACATTTGAGAAATGCTAAAAGAAACAATCTAGTAATTAATATGAAGAGAACATCTTAGTAAAATTATTCTATTTAACTAGTGCATCATGCTTGATATAGTCAAACATACATTATAGTTCGCATTAGCTCCATGTTTGCTGTGTTTACATGAGACAGGCTAGCTCAGGCTATGAGTGAACGACATTTAAAGTCATCTAGTTTAAAGCTGCCACATAAAAATCCCCCAGAAAGACGAACCAGTGTTTTCCATTTGATCAGGTCTGCCGGTGGTTTCCATGCTTGAGACAATAATAAGTCACTTACAAAGTCATTTTACAAAGTATCAGGACGAGATTGCTAGCCATTGATTAGCAACAGTGTAAAACGGATGCACGTCACGGAAGCTGTTTTCAAAATAAAAGCACGGAGTAAGCGTTGTTGACTTTGCTTCTTCCCTTCCTTTTTTTCAATTTTAGAATTTTTATTGAAAACATTTTTGGTATGAACAAATTTAGATTTTTTTTAATTAATTATAATACAGGGAAAATAAAAGATAAGAAGTAAGAGCAAACGAAGAGATTTTGACAGAGCAAAATATCAAAGTGACTGTAAAATAAATGTTTTAACATTATGTCAAAGGATTTCTGTTCAAAGGAAAGTGGGGTAAGTATATTTAAAATGTAACATGAGAAGGTTCCTTGACTATTCTTTTCCCCATTTCCCTCTACATTTAAAGTCTACTTAGGATTACATACTTCCTTCTCTTTTATGTAATAAAAATGTCATCCAATGATCAAATTCATGAAACTATCTCAGACCAGCCACATGTACAGCTCCTTAAGTTGTCGCTATTGGTTTAAAATATCAACACTAATATGATGGTAGGAATGACGATTTCATCCATGTTTACACCATAGACTGTATATACTATGGACAACTCTGCTTCGCCTTCTGTCATTATACAAATTTGAAGCCGAATTGCTCTCAGTATTTCTGGCATTTTCTCTGCTTTCTGGAACCACCACTTGGGCAGTAGCATTCCGCAAGAGAGTCGCTGTGATGACAATTGGCTCAAACTGCATATCCCCCAGGTGAGCTAAGCAATCTTCACACGCCAATAGGCTGTATCAGGTGTCAATCATAGAAAATATGAGCCCACTAATAACTTTTAAAAATGGAGCTGTAACGAAAAAAGAGGACTTGAGCACAAACCAGTCTTAGAGTAACTACATGTCAACATCGCAAGCAGGGGGGAGAAAAAAATTATAATTTGTGTAATTAATTTTGAAGGTTCTCCACAGCTCCATAGGGATTGCTGGAGAAGGCGGGATTTATGACCTATACTGCAGCCCGTCACCAGAGGGTGCTGTTCTCACGGTGGCTTCACCCAGCGAGGAGGCAGATGACATCCATTCTATATACAGTCTATTGTTTACACTATTCAAGACCTGCGCTTTTCAACGTGTTGACGTCAGACTCCCACTGGTCTACTGACCAATCAATGTAAACTACAGAGACACGCAAAGCGTGTAGTTGATGATGATATCACGTAGGTTCGTCATGTTAAGTCTGTAAGTCTGTTTGCAATAATGACAGCATGAAACCAAAACAGACTGAACCGAATGTATACAATGTAACAAAAACATGGCCCTTGGTTCGGACTTTCAGATGTGAAAACAGCCTTATTCGTAGCTCATTCATTGCACATGTAAGTTGTGAACAACTTCAGTTCCTCCTTTCTTTCCAATGCGGCTGTACAGGAAAGCTGGCTAAAAGGTTCTCTGTCCATACATGTTTTTACGTCGGGATCTTCACACCTACAGTCACTTAATTTCAAGCCAAAACCTTGTTAAAAAAATAAAAATAAAAAGGGTGCATCTCCGCTTAGTTTTTCCATCATTACAGGAAAATATGAAGAGCATAGTTTGCTGCTTTTTGTGAGCAGCAGCAAGTCAGCCATGTCTACAGCAAACCCCCCATCAGTGGATGAGAACTGTATTAAAAGCTGCATAATGTGTACTGTCATGAGCAACATTCACTCAAAGTGTATGCACTTATTGAGATTGCCAATAGACAGCAGACTTTACTCCTCGGGTTGTTGCATGGTATCCATACAAATCTAAAACCATTATCGACTAAAAAGAATATAAAATGTGATTACGACACAACTCATTAAGAAACAGATGATAAATACTGCCAAACAATCCCTTAAATCTGTTAGACAAAATACTTTATTTGAAGTATCCTCCATGTGCAAAATTTCCAGATTCTGGTGCGCTGGAATCACTGTATCACATCACATCATTTGGTGCACAACTTAGAAAATCTTGAGTCTGCTGTCAAAACAGCTTCCCAACATGAGTTCATCGGATGGCTTCAAAAGATTCAAGACTCCAAAGCTGAATTTAAGACACAATTTTCAGAAATAAAATAAGACCACTCAGTAGTAAAATGCTACATAAACAGTGACTGCTTGATCAGAAACATTGAGCATTTAAAGTTATAATACTTGGACTAGTTTCTAACTTTAAAAAAGTTTTACTTTGGGTTCCTGTTCAGTCGTTGCCATTTTTCAAAAGGAAAATTCATCACCCATGACAACCACACACATTCATCCAAGCAACGAGACAGTTCACAGACACTGTCACCAAGTCCCAAAGGGAAGGAGAATGGTGGTTCAGATCTGATGTCAAAACAGGACTCCATTTATGAAATGTGAAGTTCCAGGGTCCAAGTTATCTGTTAAGAAATCCGATAAGCTGGTGTTAAATTCAGTCGGAGCTGGGTTAGCATTTCTGACGGCAGGACAGACGCAGAGGTCTCTCTGTCTTCCGGCTGCAGCGTCCAGGGGACAAAGCTGTAAGAGAAGAAATCACATGAAGAAAATGATTAAAACTCTACAAAGGGGTAAAGGGATTTACTAAATCATGTTTTTGGGTCACCATCAGTACGAAGAAGGCAAGCATGTGTTGGTACTGAGAAATGATATTTGCATTTAAGATTTTAGGAGTGCATAACAAACAGATTACTATTCTTTTTTTCAAATAACACTCTTGGCAGTGATGGGCACCCAGGATTCTGGCTCAAAGCTCTTATATGCTCATTCTTTTGCATAGCGGATGACCAAATCAATGAATTATTTGTCACTCCTAGGTTCACAAAGCACAGTTGGAGCTTAGGAGAAACTGGGTTTATACCACCCAAGGTGACATGACACAGTGCACCATAGTAGGACTGGGCGATAATATGATCGTGATAAATTTCAGTTCGATCACAGTGATCAGCTGTGAGCATACTTACTCAATCAAACATAGCGGAAATATGCGTCACAACAGCCAATCAGAGTTGGCCTTTTACTGTTCACTTCTGTACATTGTTGGAGAAGTAAACAGAATGACCGAACATGGAGTGAAACACGGAGCTGAGGACGGCAAAATAGATGTCAGCCGTGATTTTGAGTCATCCTCCGAAGATGTTATTGTTGAGAAGTTATTCAACGTTAGTTGTGTGGTGGTGGTTCAGGTATCTCCAAAGTGACGTTGAGCAATTAAGCCGATGTGTAAGGTATGTCGGTGATCGGCGCCCACCAAAACCAACAACACATCAGATCTGTTTAATCATTCAAAAAGTACTTCCCGAGTGATTATGCAGAAAGCATGAAAATGCGAGCAGAGTCTGAACAGCCTGTTATGGCACAAGTAGCATTAGCAGTTTAGCGACAACTAGCAGTGCAGCCACCAGACCTAGGCAGCGATTAATCGTATCATTTACGTTTACATCATCAAATGTTTATATTTTAATGCGTCTTCATTATCTCTGAGGGGGCGATCTGTTTATTTTGGGTCTTGCATATCTGCAAAAACACTCAGGCCTGTAAACTAGTTCAATGTATTATTTAGTATTTATCTACATTTGTTGTACTGTTGAGCAAAATATTTTAAAAATATTTTTAATAAATATATTTTTAAAAGTTTATCTTATTCAATTTTCTCTATTTACTTTGTATGTTAATAAAATATTGAACTAATCTCTAGTTTCTTTAGTTTTTAGTACAGATGCTTTAAAACTGACAGTTACCAAACTGCTCGAGTTTTCCGGAGAAAATCCTGTGAATGCCACAAGCAGGTACAGTATTTTTGCAGCAGCTGCCTCGGTGAACAAAAACGCACTCATTGCTTCATGCCAAGTCACGCGGCGATAAACTTCACACGTCTTCTGTCGAAGTGGTTGAAATGCCATGATCCAGAGGGAAATTTATATGGCTTCACCCAGTGACGACGTCCGTACTATATACAGTCGATGTAGAAAGACTACATATATGGCACTTTTTTATCCTCCCTTTGGACATTGCGCAGGTAAGAGTTAAAGAAAACTACTTTAGTTTGTCAGTACTTTTTCTTGGGTGTATTATTTCGGGTAAATACAGTGATGGTGTTATTTTAGCGACAGTGTTCCAGGGTTAAATGTGTGGAAACCTTTAATCTGAACAAGAACTGAGATATTAACGTGTTAACAATAGCCTAAAAAAGCGAAATCCGCCTCATACAGAGCGGTAACAAAGTTGTGGTTTTATTCCGGTAACGCCCTCCAAAGTAGAAAACTTTAACTCGAACCTTCCCCGGTTCTCCAACCCTCACTTACATGTTTTACGGGACTATGAAGTACATGAAGAGAAAAAACACGATGTCGAAGAGCAGAAATGCCCAGAAGTCAAACCAGTAGGAGTGTTTCGGTAAAGACACCGAGGCGTCTCTCGATCTTGACGTTTTCAGGTCTCCATCTGCCTCACCGGTGTGTACGCTGCCTGCCGCCATCTTTGCTATGACCACAGCCGTTGGTCTTCCCCGGAAGAGAACGCGAAACATTTTGTCCTTCAAAATAAAACTCAAACGGCGTAAGGTATAAAAAGCTTTTATTCTGTTTTCGAAGCTGTAAACCTACGGAGCATGATGTGTGTACATCTTGAGGATAAACCTAAAACGCGATTGCCTAGCTCATATCAAATGACGTGGGTGGAAAACATTTATTTTATTTGATTTATTATCATTTAATCTAGTTTATTCAATTTTAATTTTATTTTATTCTGATTTTATCATTTTTTACTGTATTTTATTCTGATTGAATTGTGTTTTTTTTTTATTTCTTATATTATTTCATTCTGATTTAATTGAGTTTATTGTAGTATTTGTATTTTATCATGTAATTCCATTTTATTTTATTCAGATTTTTGCTTCAGAATTACTTATTTAAACAAATAAATTACAAAGGTTGTGCCAGGTTTAGTTAGTCTCTAATATCTACAATTAGTCCTACATAAAAGTAACGCAAGACACAATAAAACCTACTCAGAATCATTAGAAATACACAACAAAAATACAGAAATAAATGAAAAAAAAAATGAACACACAGTTTGCAGTGCAATAATTATACTAAGTCATTTATTTTGGCTTTTACTGTGACATCATGAAGTATGTACCAAAAGTAATTTATTATGCAAGGCCTCAATAGATCTTGGACTAACCCACGATCAGAGATCAGAGAAAGTCTAAATTTCTAGTTCTGCAGCTCAACAGTATCCTGCAGTTGACTCTGCTCCATGCTGCTTCTTAAATACGATTGAAACTAACTACTATAAATAGGAGAAAGCTGTCCGAGTCTGTCATCAGTCAGGTGTATGAATTACAGTACGCAAAGAGAAGTGCAAGTCTGACATCTAGTGTTTAAAGTAAATCATGTGCTCTGACTTAATAGTACATGTTGAAAATAATGTAGTCGCCTGGACATTTCAAACCAGGCTGATTAGTCCACTGATAATTTAATGATGCAGAACACAAAATAATAAAAAAAAACTTTAATGTTTGAGTGAGAAACAATTATATGCTTCACTCAAAGTGTTTTTAACCCACGCTGTTTTAATCCCTTATTTTGGTGTGAAGGTTTCTAATTAAAAGTTTTTATGATTCTGTATAATCATGCTGTACAGAAGAGGATTGGGCCACTAAAGTCATCATTATAATAATAATAATCATTATTATAAGTCAACATCAATATCAGATACTAATGTGTTTGTTTAAAACTGATGATACAGGGAGTGCATCTTAGCTGAACCTGAAAGGCTGACTTCCCAGTGTCCCGTTTCAAAACAGTTGGCCTCAGGGTTCCCATTTACATAACTTCACATCACCATGTGCAATTCATGATAAAACAAATATGCTGTGATTGAACAGTCATGAGTTTCCTTGTCATTTTTCAAAAGATTTACTGAATGATTTCAGGTAGGGCACTGTCTTCTTAAAGATGAAAAAAAAATACCAGAAAAAAAAAACAAGAGTCCAGACCTGTCTCTGACACACTCTTTATTTCACAACCACATCGTACATTCTCTATGATTTGTCCAAGAGATGTTTTATATAGTATGCATCATTTCAAAGCCTTCATTCTCTGGATGCTGTTTACCATGGAGCTTTGAGATTCATTACAGTGCACAAGTCTCTAACTTTTCCCCCCGGCTGCTCGAGCTGTCTGGCCACACATAAACTAAATCAGTTCAGAAAGTGAATATAATTTTTTTCTATGACAGGATGTATTAAAGGCGGTTCCAGCAACAGTTTAACAAACACAGTGGATACTTTGATTACATCTCATATGACAGACCTGTACACCAAAAAACAAAATAAATATAGAACCATAGCCAAAGGAGAGTTACATAAGCCCATCTTCAGTCACAGGGAAACCTAAATTGTAAATACAAAATTTATACTAATACCCAATATCCTTCCATACCTTTATCGATCAGACTTTTATTGTGTCACTTATCTTTCTCAGCACAGACTGATCTTGTTGGGACAATGATTCTTCACTCTGCTAATAATACATGTACCCTCATTTCAGTCACACCTAAAAACAAGTCCCTGTATTAGAGCTTTTTGAAAAATTTTAATTGTCCTTCCACATGCAGTTGTTCAAGAGTGCGATATTCACGCTTTCCTGAATGAAGTCCAGTTCCTAGTCTTTCAAATTTGGCCTTTTCAAAGTAGTGACTCCAGTTTCCGTCAGCGTCTGCTCCAAAGCCGAATACGCTGACCTGGGGACACAAACATGAAACAGCATGAGAAACAACTTTGATTTGTTGTTTACGGAAAAACTCAGAAAACTTTCGATAAAAATACATTTTCAGAAGTAATTTAAAATAAGATACTTAATTCTGATTTATTCCTGTTAAAAGACAACTACATGAATAACTATTAGGGTGTCAATGAAATTCAGCACAGATCTTATTATGGCAATATTTCCAAGATGGCGAGAGCACGATTGGATTACTGTGTTTGCATGTTCCTGAAAAGTGAGGCTGTTGTCAAAAGTATCCCCCGGGTTTCTTACCCAGGAATCCCACTGGACCCATTTTTGCGGTACGCCAATTCCTACCGGGTGCGTTTGTGAGGTGAAGTTCGTGGCGGATTATGGACAGCAGGAATCGCGAGAACTCACTGCGGATTCACGTGCAATCAAGCGATAAATAGTTGTCTCTTTGCCACATAGGCTAACCATATAAGCAGTAGATTGTGTCCTTCCAGAGGAGGGAATCCACTTCTGGACTTATAAAATCAGCATCTCCTCATTCGTGGTGTCATCGGGGTAAAATGCTGTCTATAAACCTTTCACTTGTTTGTCCCCGCCCGTTTGCATGGTGTGAAATTCGATCCACCTGAAACACGGATTGTTTTATTTTGAAAGGAAGCTGGATGTTTTATTTTGTGTCTGTGGTCGACTTCCTTTCCAGCACGCATTGGTCTGTGCTGAATTTATCCGCTATGCTCCGGTGTCCAGAAAAAACAAAACTCTTGCGATCATCTGCGGAGTCCAGCGATCCGTTGTGGGACGGAAAGAAGCCGGTGGAAATTGACACATTAACTTGAATGGTTACAATCAGTTACGATTGGCAGATACGGCCTTTTCGTAGCTGTTCCGGATGCGGTAGAAATTGGGGTTAGGCTCTTAGGGAGGACTGGTTTAACTTCTCTGACCAGTAAAGAGTATTACACTTTTGTCTAATTTGTCAGGTTTCCATCCAGTTTTTCAGCTCTATCTGCCTGTAGCTTTGTTCTACAGACAGATACAGCATAGTGTCATCAGCATAGCTATGAAATAAAATATTGCGACTCTGTATTATGTGACCAAGTTTCAGCACACAGATAGAAAAAAACTGGTCCCAGTATTGACCCTTGAGGGACTCCACATTCACTCCAGAGTGATGGGGAAACACGCTCTCCTACTGACACTTAACATCTAACCATTTCAGAGCTGTCCCTGATATACCAACCGGGTCTTGTAGTCTCTCAATCATAATTTTTAGTCAGCTGGATCAAAATAACGTCTTCTAGAAATTCTAGTCTGAATCAGTTTTGAAAAAAAATGTTTTGCCCAGCTGAAAGAAAGCGGGTCTGCAGGGGTTAATGTGTATTCTAAAAGTCCAGTTTCAGTAGGACTGCTGATGTAAACTGACTACCACCAACTATCAACTGTAAAGCACAAAAACCTGTTGTGTGGTTTGAAACCTACCTCATCACAAACTGCCAAGGCGAGAATCACAGTCATGAAACCAGTAGACCCGTACCCGGCTCTGCTGTCCAACCAAACGTCATAAACATATTTCATGAAAGCTGGATGAAGGACCGTCACCTGTAAGGAGTCAGAGGTATTCTTAACCTGAAAAGTGAAAATCCTTCGTATTGAACACACAGCAGTGATTGATATGATTAAATACCCACCATATCCTTGTTCAGTTTCCATTTTGGATCCCTGTTGGTGGAGATATTAAACGTTAAATGAAAGAAACAATGAGCTGGTGACCAAGTACAGATGTGCTTACTCAGAGACCTACACAATGAACTCTGGGTATTACTGTGTGCTTAATTTTAATATCATTATTTCATTTTTCCAAAAAGACAGTTATTGTCATGTCTGTATGTTTAGGACAGCCCTGAAACATTGAGTGAGTACCAGCTCTCCTCTTTTATTCACTTACTCTGAATTGAAGCGTTGACGAAGCCAATCGAAATCTCTAACTTTATATGGAAAAAACAAAATTTTGGTGGTGTTTTTCACTCGAGGAGAACTCTCTGGATACAAGACACGATGAGTTATCTTGGACCCGACATCCTCTTCGTAGCCTTCTACTACACCTCTGTTTATTCTAAATGAAGCAAGGTAATTAATATATCATCATGCAGTTAATGAAACTTGATATGTTTAAGAGATCACTGTTTAACACTGTTAGACTGGATTACCTTATCACAGCATCATGACTGTCTATCAGAGATCCAAAATGTGATGCAATCAAATGACCAGAGTTACCAACTACGGCACAAGTCCTGCAGTGACCAGGACGGGGTTTAAAAGCATCTGAAACGGGTGGGATCAACTTGAAAGACTCTGTCACTGTCTCCTTAAAATAAGTGAAGTTTCTCTTCGAACCCTGTATTTTCTGTAACAGAGAGGAAAGTATGATTAATTATATTTTTATTCATCCTACTCCAACCAACCAACCAACCAACAAAATGCATCAGTGCCTCATGATTATTAAACTACACTAACTGCCAGCTTTCATGTCTGACGTGTGGCGAATACAGCTTGCGAAACCTCAAGCTGATACACCTGTTTTTTTTGGAGCATCAATTTAGGAGGGAGCATGTTGAGGAGGGAGCCTTTCATAACCTTTTATACTTATTGTACATAGCATTGTACATAACGTTTTATATCTTTATACTTTATACTTCATACATTTCTTGCATGCTCTTATTAGTACTTTATTAACCAGTTCCCCACTATCTACCAGGATGTGTGACATACTTGTGTCTGATTGGCCTAAACCCTCGTAGTAACAGCTACTGAGCAACTAAAGCCTGTGGCTTAGAACAGGCTCTGGCAATAGAAAGGTACTGTTGTTTGGACTTAACCCTGAAGTAAGGTGTGAAGTTTTAAGACTATAAAATAAAAAAATATGAACAGAAAACCCTGATAATTCAATAAAATCCCAGTTAATAAAAATACTGTATCAGACATGGTAATGGTATTGAACAATTCACAGTAAACACAGACTGAAACTGCCCTAATATCTGCACTTTTGCCCCAGGGTTTTCCTCATTGTGTGCTTTTGTTGGTAGTGCACTTAGGAGTGTCGTTATCGAAGGGATTAAAAAGAACAAAACAGCATGTTCCTGTGGTGGCTGTCCTCTTTTGACGCCATGCTAAGGGTTGGGACAGCGGTTGTTTTTACTGCGTTCAGGGTGTAAATCAAATGTGTTTTTCAGCTTTGAAATATCTCATCTCTCTCCTGATGATCTCAATCTAGGATCTGTGAAATGACCATAAATAGACAGATTATCAACTTTTCTAGGACTTCATGTCACTTGTTACGTTACTTATTATTGGCTCAGGAGACATAGCGCCCCATCCTCCCAAAAAAAAAATCCCTCACACTGATGCTGATGCCCAACAGCTAAGAAAGAACAACAACGGAGAATCAAGACCCTCTCCAGTCTCACACCCCACAGGGTTGAAGACACTGTTGAGGGGCACAGGGTAAGAAGTGCAGACTTTGTGGCTGTATCTGTAAAATTAAGTCGACTTTTACCTTCCACCAGTTGAATATGTCATCAGTAACGTTGGTATCTTTTGACATGAAGACATAAGGAGGTGATTTGACTTTATTCCAAAGACTTAGACCCCTGACTCTCCAACATTTGCCCACAGACTCCAGATTGAAGAAATGGAAAGACAGCGTCAGTGAGTACAGAAACAGCAGGCTAACGGTCAGGATACACATATAGAAAATACACTTTGTGGGTGTGAGTCGGGGGGCCATCTTGGCACGCTGTGGAAAGGACAGAGAAGATCTGCAGTCACAAAATTTGGCATCTTAAGTAAATAAATAAAGATCTTGTATTGTTAGACATTTATTCTGATACGGAATGGCAAGGTTATCAAAATACACTGAAGGTGGCCTCGGCTGTAGGTATTTACTCCCTGTTATTAACCCGCCACACCTTGCATCAAATATGATCTCTTAAAAACCATACCAAAGAAAACAACTGAGGAAAAGATGCAGTCAGGTTTTCTCCCCCACAGTACCGCAGTATGAGAACAACTCTATGAACTACCAAACAGTTTAAGTTGTAATTTTCTGATATTTATTACCTTCTAATTTGTAACAGTTAAGTATGAGAGATTTTGTTTGATTTTAAAAATAAAAACTGAGTGTTAATGCGTTTTAATGAGAAACTAACACAACAGGAAGGTTTTTCAGAGGAAAATACTTTCAACTTTACCTGAAATAGAAAGTCTTACTCAATTATACAACAAATTGACCAATAACATTTCATTTCATTAATTTCATATTTCTTTACTTTTTAAACTACTTGAGTATATCTAGTAATAGAATAATATCATTTGACAAATAAATAGAACTTCTTACTTACATCCTTTTAACATGCTAATTATACTTTGTACTCATTAGGATCAAATTACATTCGAAGCAGTGTTGTTTTTGTCATATTTCGTTAAATATTTTCGTCAACGCCAGTGTCAAAAAAGGGAAATATTTTTGTCAACGAGAACAACACTGGTTGTTTTCGTTGACGAAAATATTTCCCTTTTCTTCCACGACGAAGACGTAACGTTGACGAGCTAAACATAAGTCGGAGATGACTAAAATGTGACGAGACGAAAGTGCGTCTACGTTGACGGGACGAGACGAAAACGACGAACACAGTTGCAAAACTCAGTCAGTTAAACGCTAAACATATAGGAGTCCGCTCTGACAGCTCTCATCATAGTCCGGGAGCCAAAGGGTGATTTTTGGCTGAATGTGGTTTCGTCAGTTAAAGTTTTTTTCTCAACTGATTCTTGCTGCAGGGGGTCCCCTCTTAAGGATTCAAGAGGGTGCCCAGTGAAATCCCTTGAGCATTTTTTGTTATTGACCCCTTAATGCCCAAAACACTAAAAATTCACCCAAAATAGACTTCTATGGTATTTCATGCACAATACCTGATCTAAATGCATAAAATTTGCTTTCTACAGTTTGTATCCATGTAAATGGATGTTTACAGTGCATTAGATTTGATATGTATGCATTCTTTAATATTAACCCCTTCCTGCCCAGAACAACATAATCTTTAAACCGTGATATTGTACATGCACAGAAATCAAATCAAATGCATTAGATCTGCTTTCTACAAAGTCTAATAGTGGAACTGGTCATGTAAAGCATGTTTCCTTTTGAATGAATGAATGCATTTTAACCCTTTCAGGCCCTCCATCTTGAGCATATTGTACAAAAACATCTACAGAACATATTCTACATCTACATATTCCCCCGCTAGGGAATATGTAGATGTAGAAATTAATACATATTTATTCCTTCATCTCTTCTTTCATTGCTTTGGGTGGGAATTGACTAATTTAGCCTGAATTATGGTATTTTTATTATGCTGTTTTATTTACACATTATCAATTGATAACTGTGTACAAGAAAAACACAATTCCTGCATGTGTAACTTGTTCCTGCTTTTTCAACTGATAAGCTAGCAGGGAATTAGCTATTTCTCCTCATCATGAGCTAAGACTGTTTGTGTGTGGATGCACAAGTTATTTTCTAGGATGACAGTGATTTGGTAAGTGTTTTCACTCTTTCTAACCTCACACATTTTGTAACTATTTCATTTAATGTGTTGATTCCTTGACACAATCATTGCCCAACAAGTCCTTGTGTGTGCTTGAGAAGCCCACAAAATCTCTGTGGTTTCGGATGACACAGATGTGTTTGTCCTCCTCCTTTACCACTATCAACAGTCAGGACTGGATGTATCTCTCACTATGGAACCCCCGAGCCAGGAAAAGGCAATAGTTGACATAAAGTCAACATTGGCAAAGGATCCACTAATTGCCTAGAACATTTTACCAGCCCGTGCCATTTCAGGATGTGACGCTGTAACATCCTTCTATGGGTTGGGAAAAGGCTCAGTCATTAAAGTCCTGAAAGCTGGCTACGATCTATCGGCTATGGGAGACATAAATGCACCATTCCAGAAAGTAATTGACCAAGCCACTGCATTCATATCAGCCTGTTATGGCATACAGAAAAGCCACGACATGTCACACACTAGACTTCTAGTTTAGGGGGAAAAAAATGGGAAAGGACATACATCTGCTCCAGACCTAGCTGCACTACCACGTATCAGGGAATCGTTTATTGAGAATGTCAAGAGGGCCCACTTTCAAGCTGCTTCGTGGCAAAATGTTGACGGGCATCTTCCACCAACATTCGACCCAGTGAAATTTGGATAGAAAAAAGACATGGCTAACAGGTCACTGAGCCCAACCACTCTACCTGAATGTTGCAAACCTGCCCCAGACTACATTCTGCAAATGATTAAATTTGGCTGAAAAACTGAAAATCCATGTAATTCCAAAAATGCAGTTGCAGAGTACATGGTTTGCCATGCACAATGTCCTGTCACTGTTATGTTGTAGGATGCTCAAGATAGGCCTGAGACAGTTAGTGGAAACCTCCATGCCAACCATAAATTCCTTTAAATGTGGTTCTTCTCTCTGTCTCTGATTCTTGGGTCTCACGAAAGTGTGGATCTTTGGTATCATTGGACCTTAACATGGGAATGCTGTATATGACCACTTCCACATAACATTATTAATTTCTTATACAGCTAATTTGAAGTATTTGAATTGATTTACTGTGCATAAAATGTCATAATGTCAGGTTAGACATTCAAAAATGCCAGAATTAATAGCTAATAGAAATAAAAAGTACTTTTCCCTCTTACCTGAAAAGAGACAGAGCCAAAATCGAATGTGCAAAATTTAGACAGAAGCAATATTGAACGGTCCTCTGTGGCACAGGGAGTGACACTGGCAGCAGGTTTAATACCTGAATCAGAGAGCTGACAGCTCACCTATTATTAGTGTGGCTCTATATGAACTTTTTAACCCTTGCACTTCAGTGACAAACAAGTTCCCTTGTTGCTTCAGGGAGGCAAAAAAAAGAACATCCCTAAAAACCTGATGTGAACTTCTGTACTGAAAATACATCTTTTCCCCAGCTTCAGTCCTAACTATAAATAAAAGGGGGGAAAAAAGGCTTTTGACATCTAAATACCTGTTTATCTACATAATATATCTGATTAATAATTACATCTGATTATTTGTTACAAAATGGTTCCTCTTGAATTTAGAACTAAAGGGTAACAACTTTTCTAATTGCTGCTCCTGTCAGGAACTCGACATAGATTTGGCTCCTCTGTGGACAGAGCGGTGTTTGCTTATCTTGTCCTCTACTGCTGATTTTTGACCATCAAATTGATCATTTTACGTGAATACTTTTAATAATAATAAAAAAAAGGGTTGTTTGTTTAGCTGCTAGACTGACACCTCCCCTCTTGTACCATTTCCAGGCATTAGAAATTAAGATCTCGTTTCTAGCTTTGTTTGCTTTTGGATATCATGAAAGGCATTGCTGTAACCGTAATGGATGCTAAATAAGGTTATGGGTGCAGCAGCAGGTAAGCATGGGTGCAGGTGCAGGTATGGCGCCATGTTACCACATACATGCTGAATACATTTCCACAAATGTTTTTCTCCTCATCAGACTGCTGTCTGTGTGGTAAAAAAGGCGATAATGATCAAGTATTCCCCGCACTAAGATTCAATCTGAGCACGACTCCCAGGTAGCCGTCATTTACCTTCATTTTACAGATTCCTTTTTGATAATGATCTACCTATGTACATTCTCTGCCTTTCACTGTTATAGACAACAACACTGAACTGAACATGCTCTTTATGCCTCCCTGCTTGTAAATCGTGTGACCTGGTAACACACGAGGGGAAAACATCTGAAAACAGATTTAAGGTTTTATGATATTTATAGATGACAATGATTTGGGATTAAGATTACGGTAAAATAAATCTGGTGGAAATGTCCAATATTTTTGTTCTAAGGTTGTGGTATTCATCTGATAATTTAAGATTCATTTGTCACTGATCCAGACTTACTTAGTTGTCTGTATTTCTCAGGTCAAAGTAACAACATTGTGTGTCCATATAGGGAGGACCGGGGATGGTTGTAACACTTCTTGCCACTCTTGTTTGATAGAAAAGAAACCAATTCAGCCCTCTGCCAGGATATCATAAACCCTGTCAGTTGAAGTCAAAAAATCAGATGCTCATGGGCAACGCTTCTAAAAGAGATAAAGTAGAGGGACAGTTTAGAGAGATGCTCTCTTTGTCTTTGATAAATAAAACTTTCTTGACAGTTAATTTGCATAGTGAGAAATACATGAACATAAACAAAGAAAGGTGTAGTGTGTGTTTTTAATGTCAACTTGTCAAACCAGTTATACATGATTTAAGTCAGCATTTCTCAAAGTGTGCGGAGCCATCCCTGGGGGGGCACGAGTCACCCGGCTACAAATAGGTTGGTGTGCACCCGCGATAGCGCGGCACCTCCTGTGCAGGCACCGCGCTCGTCATGCATGCGCCATTCTGAACTCGCCACACCAGTAGGGGGCGTCCAGCGCCCTAAACCCTGTTTCTTTATTTTACTGCGAAGAAGCAGCGTTTGTTGCGGTGGACGCTCAAGGCGAGAAACTTGTCGGGTGTTGTGCCGTAGAATGCACCCCTGCCGTAAGATTAAGAATAAGATTGTAGCTGCGTCCGAATTGCCAAGTAGTAGTTGAAGAAGTAGTCGAAGTAGTATCTAGCATGTCCGAATTGGCCACCGGAGCGAGTAGCATGCTACTTCAGATACTACTTCAGATGCTAGACACGCCCACATTGTAGGTTGGTCTCAGTGCATCCTACGGGCATGCTACTGACCCAAAATGCACCGCGGGCTTCTTCTTCGTCCTCTTAAAAGTTGTAGAAGCGCATGTGATGCTAGCGCCACCAGCTGCTGCCTATTAAGATGCGTCGCGAACGCCGGCTGGCCACAGCAGCGCGCACCATGTCGGAGCAGGATCAGCAGCAGGCGGGACCGCAGCAGTACAGATGTAAGTTTCATGTAACTTCACACACTGTCCTAAAAAATGTGCGGTTGTATCTCTTTGTCATGTCATGGTGTCATATTTGCCCAAGTAATCATTTTATGAGCAAATATGTGGCGACATCATGGAGGTAAAGCTCACTTATTCCATCATTAAACTGCACAGCTGCAGTACTACAGCTAGGCCCGCAGATGAGGGGCTTCAGTTACCACTGTCTGCACGGGCGCAGTACCTACTCTCTGCCTGCGGGGGTCGTCTTTCCCCACCGCTCGTCTAGTGTGTCCGAATTGGGCCAACGTTTTTAGTATGTAGGAGTAGGATCTAGCAGTAGCACGTAGCAGTAGCATGTAGTATCCGAGCGGGCAGTTCGGACGCGGCATGAGACTTTGGAACGGCCCAACCAGAGCCCAGACCTGAATCCCATCTAACATTTGTGGGGTGATCTGAAGAGGGCTGTGCACAGGAGATGCCCTCGCAATCTGTCAGATTTGGAGCGGTTTTGCAAAGAAGAGTGGGCAAATATTGCCACATCAAGATGTACCATGCTGACAGACTCCTACCCAAAAAGACGGAGTGCTGTAATAAAAGCCAAAGGTGCTGCAACAAAGTATTGGTTTAAGGGCGTGCATATTTATGCAACCAGGCTATTTTAACTTTTCTATTTTTTATTGTATTTATTTCTTTTTTTTTCGGATTCTATTTTTTTAGAATCCTGGGTATTTTTTTAGAACTCAGATTTTTTTCTTTTAGAATTCTGGGTATATTTTAGAACTCTGTTTGATTAGAATTCTGTTTTTTTTTTTTCAATTCTGGGTATTTTTAGAACCCTGTATTTTAAAATTCTGTTCTTTTTTAAAGTTCTGTTTATTTTTATTCTAAATTTTTTTTTAGTATTCTGTTTTTTTATTCTATTTTTGTAGAATTCTGTTTTTTCAATTCTTTTTTTAGAATTCTGTTTTTTATTGTTTTTTTTTAATTTTATTTTTTTTAAATTCTGTTTTCTTATAGAATTCAGTTTTTTTAGAATTCCCTTTTTTTAAATTCTCGATATTTTTTAGGAGTCTGTTATTTCTCCTACAGCATCCTTACTCTTATCTGAGAATAACTATAAAAATATATATATCTACTGGACCTTTTTTTGTTGTTGTTTTTTTAGTGGCCCTAATCCTCCTCCGTAAACATTAGACACAACAAGCACTCAGATCTTATTTTATGACTTTCCAATGTGTTTTAGGACAATCTACACAAATTTCATGCATATGTGATTTAAAACGACAAAGTAAGATTTTTTTACTTCCACTCAACCACTCAATGCAAGAATTCAGTGCATCCTCTATTCCCCTTTTAGAACAGCAGCGCACTCTGGTGGAAAAATTAGGTTTTACTATCTTGCTTGTTTAAGTATCTGAAAATATGCCAGAATATGTTGTCATTTCTGGAGGTCTTAAAAAATTGGAAATGTTTGAAAACTACTTGTCTGTAGTGAGATAGTCTAGTCTTGTGTAGCTGTGTGCTTTGTATGTATAGGTGTGTGTTTTTTAGCTTGTTTGTTAAGATGTGTGTGTGTGCGCGTGTGGGCCTTCCTCTCGCGGTGGCTTCACCCAGCGACGAGGCAGACGACGTCCATTCCATATACAGTCGATGTATAGAGACTGCATATATTGCACTTTTTTATCCTCCCTTTGGACATTGCACAGGTAAGAATTAAAGGAAACTACTTTAGTTTGTCAGTACTTTTTCTTGGGTATATTATTTCGGGTAAATGCAGTGATGGTGTTATTTTAGCGACAGTGTTCCAGGGTTGAATGTGTGGAAACCTTCAATCTGAACATGAAGTGAGATATTAACGTGTTAACAATAGCCTAAAAAAGCGAAATCCGCCTCATACAGAGCGGTAACAAAGTTGTGGTTTTATTCCGGTAACGCCCTCCAAAGTAGAAAACATTAACTCGAACCTTCCCCGGTTCTCCAACCCTCACTTACATGTTTTACGGGACTATGAAGTACATGAAGAGAAAAAACACGATGTCGAAGAGCAGAAATGCCCAGAAGTCAAACCAGTAGGAGTGTTTCGGTAAAGACACCGAGGCGTCTCTCGATCTTGACGTTTTCAGGTCTCCATCTGCCTCACCGGTGTGTACGCTGCCTGCCGCCATCTTTGCTGCGACCACAGCCGTTGGTCTTCCCCGGAAGAGAACGCGAAACATTTTGTCCTTCAAAATAAAACTCAAACGGCGTAAGGTATAAAAAGCTTTTATTCTGTTTTCGAAGCTTTAAACCTACGGAGCATGATGTGTGTACATCTTGAGGATAAACCTAAAACGAGATTGCCTAGCTCATATCAAATGACATGGGAGGAAAACATTTATTTTATTTGATTTATTATCATTTAATCTAGTTTATTTAAATTTTATTTTATTTTATTCTATTTAATCATTTTTTTACTGTATTTTATTCTGATTGAATTGTGTTTTTTTTAATTTCCTATACTCTTTCATTCTGATTTAATTGAGTTTATTGTAGTATTTGTATTTTATCATGTAATTCCATTTTATTTTATTCTGATTTTTGCTTCGGTATTACTTATTTAAACAAATAAATTACAAAGGTTGTGCCAGGTTTAGTTAGTCTCTAATATCTACAATTAGTCCTACATAAAAGTAACGCAAGACACAATAAAACCTACTCAGAATCATTAGAAATGCTCAACAAAAATACAGAAATAAATGAAAAAAAAATGAACACAAAGTTTGCAGTGCAATAACTACACTAAGTCATTTATTCTGGCTTTTACTGTGACATCATGACGTATGTACCAAAAGTAATTTATTATGCAAGGCCTCAATAGATCTTGGACTAACCCACGATCAGAGATCAGAGAAAGTCTACATTTCTAGTTCTGCAGCTCAACAGTATCCTGCAGTTGACTTTGCTCCATGCTGCTTTTTAAATTCGATTGAAACTAACTACTATAAATAGGAGAAAGCTGTCCGAGTCTGTCATCAGTCAGGTGTATGAATTACAGTGAGCAAAGAGAAGTGCAAGTCTGACATCTAGTGTTAAAAGTAAAACATGTGCTCCGACTTAAAAGTACATGTTGAAAATAATGTAGTTGCCTGGACATTTCAAACCAGGCTGATTAGTCCACTGATAATTGAATGATGCAGAACACAAAATAATAAAAAAAACTTTTAATGTTTGAGTGAGAAACAATTATATGCTTCACTCAAAGTGTTTTTAACCCACGCTGTTTTAATCCCTTATTTTGGTGTGAAGGTTTCTAATTAAAAGTTTTTATGATTCTGTATAATCATGCTGTACAGAAGAGGATTGGGCCACTAAAGTCATCATTATAATAATAATTATTATTATAAGTCAACATCAATATCAGATACTAATGTGTTTGTTTAAAACTGATGATACAGGGAGTGCATCTTAGCTGAACCTGAAAGGCTGACTTCCCAGTGTCCCGTTTCAAAACAGTTGGCCTCAGGGTTCCCATTTACATAACTTCACATCACCATGTGCAATTCATGATAAAACAAATATGCTGTGATTGAACAGTCATGAGTTTCCTTGTCATTTTTCAAAAGATTCACTGAATGATTTCAGGTAGGGCACTGTCTTCTTAAAGATGAAAAAAAAATACCAGAAAAAAAAAACAAGAGTCCAGACCTGTCTCTGACACACTCTTTATTTCACAACCACATCGTACATTCTCTATGATTTGTCCAAGAGATGTTTTATATAGTATGCATCATTTCAAAGCCTTCATTCTCTGGATGCTGTTTACCATGGAGCTTTGAGATTCATTACAGTGCACGAGTCTCTAACTTTTCCCCCCGGCTGCTCGAGCTGTCTGGCCTGCATTGTTCACACATAAACTAAATCAGTTCAGAAAGTGAATATAATTTTTTCTATGACAGGATGTATTAAAGGCGGTTCCAGCAACAGTTTAACAAACACAGTGGATACTTTGATTACATCTCATATGACAGACCTGTACACCAAAAAACAAAATAAATATAGAACCATAGCCAAAGGAGAGTTACATAAGCCCATCTTCAGTCACAGGGAAACCTAAATTGTAAATACAAAATTTATACTAATACCCAATATCCTTCCATACCTGTATCGATCAGACTTTTATTGTGTCACTTATCTTTCTCAGCACAGACTGATCTTGTTGGGACAATGATTCTTCACTCTGCTAATAATACATGTACCCTCATTTCAGTCACACCTAAAAACAAGTCCCTGTATTAGAGCTTTTTGAAAAATTTTAATTGTCCTTCCGCATGCAGTTGTTCAAGAGTGCGATATTCACGCTTTCCTGAATGAAGTCCAGTTCCTAGTCTTTCATATTTGGCCTTTTCAAAGTAGTGACTCCAGTTTCCGTCAGCGTCTGCTCCAAAGCCGAATACGCTGACCTGGGGACACAAACGTGAAACAGCATGAGAAACAACTTTGATTTGTTGTTTTACGGAAAAACTCAGAAAACTTTTGATAAAAATACATTTTCAGAAGTAATTTAAAATAAGATACTTAATTCTGATTTATTCCTGTTAAAAGACAACTACATTAATAGCTGTTAGGGTGTCAATGAAATTCAGCACAGATCTTATTATGGCAATATTTCCAAGATGGCGAGAGCACGATTGGATTACTTTGTTTGCATGTTCCTGAAAAGTGAGGCTGTTGTCAAAAGTATCCCCCGGGTCTCTTACCCAGGAATCCCACTGGACCCATTTTTGAGGTACGCCAATTCCTACCGGGTGCGTTTGTGAGGTGAAGTTCGTGGCGGATTATGGACAGCAGGAATCGCGAGAACTCACTGCGGATTCACGTGCAATCAAGCGATAAATAGTTGTCTCTTTGCCACATAGGCTAACCATATAAGCAGTAGATTGTGTCCTTCCAGAGGAGGGAATCCACTTCTGGACTTATAAAATCAGCATCTCCTCATTCGTGGTGTCATCGGGGTAAAATGCTGTCTATAAACCTTTCACTTGTTTGTCCCCGCCCGTTTGCATGGTGTGAAATTCGATCCACCTGAAACACGGATTGTTTTATTTTGAAAGGAAGCTGGATGTTTTATTTGTGTCTGTGGTCGACTTCCTTTCCAGCACGCATTGGTCTGTGCTGAATTTATCCGCTATGCTCCGGTGTCCAGAAAAAATAAAACTCTTGCGATCATCTGCGGAGTCCAGCGATCCGTTGTGGGACGGAAAGAAGCCGGTGGAAATTGACACATTAACTTGAATGGTTACAATCAGTTACGATTGGCAGATACGGCCTTTTCGTAGCTGTTCCGGATGCGGTAGAAATTGGGGTTAGGCTCTTAGGGAGGACTGGTTTAACTTCTCTGACCAGTGAAGAGTATTACACTTTTGTCTAATTTGTCAGGTTTCCATCCAGTTTTTCAGCTCTATCTGCCTGTAGCTTTGTTCTACAGACAGATACAGCATAGTGTCATCAGCATAGCTATGAAATAAAATATTGCGACTCTGTATTATGTGACCAAGTTTCAGCACACAGATAGAAAAAAACTGGTCCCAGTATTGACCCTTGAGGGACTCCACATTCACTCCAGAGTGATGGGGAAACACGCTCTCCTACTGACACTTAACATCTAACCATTTCAGAGCTGTCCCTGATATACCAACCGGGTCTTGTAGTCTCTCAATCATAATTTTTAGTCAGCTGGATCAAAATAACGTCTTCTAGAAATTCTAGTCTGAATCAGTTTTTAAAAAAAATGTTTTGCCCAGCTGAAAGAAAGCGGGTCTGCAGGGGTTAATGTGTATTCTAAAAGTCCAGTTTCAGTAGGACTGCTGATGTAAACTGACTACCACCAACTATCAACTGTAAAGCACAAAAACCTGTTGTGTGGTTTGAAACCTACCTCATCACAAACTGCCAAGGCGAGAATCACAGTCATGAAACCAGTAGACCCGTACCCGGCTCTGCTGTCCAACCAAACGTCATAAACATATTTCATGAAAGCTGGATGAAGGACCGTCACCTGTAAGGAGTCAGAGGTATTCTTAACCTGAAAAGTGAAAATCCTTCGTATTGAACACACAGCAGTGATTGATATGATTAAATACCCACCATATCCTTGTTCAGTTTCCTTCTTGGATCCCTGTTGGTGGAGATATTAAACGTTAAATGAAAGAAACAATGAGCTGGTGACCAAGTACAGATGTGCTTGCTCAGAGACCTACACAATGAACTCTGGGTATTACTGTGTGCTTAATTTTAATATCATTATTTCATTTTTCCAAAAAGACAGTTATTGTCATGTCTGTATGTTTAGGACAGCCCTGAAACATTGAGTGAGTACCAGCTCTCCTCTTTTTTTCACTTACTCTGAATTGAAGCGTTGACGAAGCCAATCGAAATCTCTAACTTTATATGGAAAAAACAAAATTTTGGTGGTGTTTTTCACTCGAGGAGAACTCTCTGGATACAAGACACGATGAGTTATCTTGGACCCGACATCCTCTTCATAGCCTTTTACTACACCTCTGTTTATTCTAAATGAAGCAAGGTAATTAATATATCATCATGCAGTTAATGAAACTTGATATGTTTAAGAGATCACTGTTTAACACTGTTAGACTGGATTACCTTATCACAGCATCATGACTGTCTATCAGAGATCCAAAATGTGATGCAATCAAATGACCAGAGTTACCAACTACGGCACAAGTCCTGCAGTGACCAGGACGGGGTTTAAAAGCATCTGAAACGGGTGGGATCAACTTGAAAGACTCTGTCACTGTCTCCTTAAAATAAGTGAAGTTTCTCTTCGAACCCTGTATTTTCTGTAACAGAGAGGAAAGTATGATTAATTATATTTTTATTCATCCTACTCCAACCAACCAACCAACAAAATGCATCAGTGCCTCATGATTATTAAACTACACTAACTGCCAGCTTTCATGTCTGACGTGTGGCGAATACAGCTTGCGAAACCTCAAGCTGATACACCTGTTTTTTTTGGAGCATCAATTTAGGAGGGAGCATGTTGAGGAGGGAGCCTTTCATAACCTTTTATACTTATTGTACATAGCATTGTACATAACGTTTTATATCTTTATACTTTATACTTCATACATTTCTTGCATGCTCTTATTAGTACTTAATTAACCAGTTCCCCACTATCTACCAGGATGTGTGGCTTAGAACAGGCTCTGGCAATAGAAAGGTACTGTTGTTTGGACTTAACCCTGAAGTAAGGTGTGAAGTTTTAAGACTATAAAATAAAAAAATATGAACAGAAAACCCTGATATTTCAATAAAATCCCAGTTAATAAAAATGCTGTATCAGACATGGTAATGGTATTGAACAATTCACAGTAAACACAGACTGAAACTGCCCTAATATCTGCACTTTTGCCCCAGGGTTTTCCTCATTGTGTGCTTTTGTTGGTAGTGCACTTAGGAGTGTCGTTATCGAAGGGATTAAAAAGAACAAAACAGCATGTTCCTGTGGTGGCTGTCCTCTTTTGACGCCATGCTAAGGGTTGGGACAGCGGTTGTTTTTACTGCGTTCAGGGTGTAAATCAAATGTGTTTTTCAGCTTTGAAATATCTCATCTCTCTCCTGATGATCTCAATCTAGGATCTGTGAAATGACCATAAATAGACAGATTATCAACTTTTCTAGGACTTCATGTCACTTGTTACGTTACTTATTATTAGCTCAGGAGACATAGCGCCCCCTCCTCCCAAAAAAAAATCCCTCACACTGATGCTGATGCCCAACAGCTAAGAAAGAACAACAACGGAGAATCAAGACCCTCTCCAGTCTCACACCCCACAGGGTTGAAGACACTGTTGAGGGGCACAGGGTAAGAAGTGCAGACTTTGTGGCTGTATCTGTAAAATTAAGTCGACTTTTACCTTCCACCAGTTGAATATGTCATCAGTAACGTTGGTATCTTTTGACATGAAGACATTAGGAGGTGGTTTGACTTTATTCCAAAGACTTGGACCCCTGACTCTCCAACATTTGCCCACAGACTCCAGATTGAAGAAATGGAAAGACAGCGTCAGTGAGTACAGAAACAGCAGGCTAACGGTCAGGATACACATATAGAAAATACACTTTGTGGGTGTGAGTCGGGGGGCCATCTTGGCACGCTGTGGAAAGGACAGAGAAGATCTGCAGTCACAAAATTTGGCATCTTAAGTAAATAAATAAAGATCTTGTATTGTTAGACATTTATTCTGATACGGAATGGCAAGGTTATCAAAATACACTGAAGGTGGCCTCGGCTGTAGGTATTTACTCCCTGTTATTAACCCGCCACACCTTGCATCAAATATGATCTCTTAAAAACCATACCAAAGAAAACAACTGAGGAAAAGATGCAGTCAGGTTTTCTCCCCCACAGTACCGCAGTATGAGAACAACTCTATGAACTACCAAACAGTTTAAATTGTAATTTTCTGATATTTATTACCTTCTAATTTGTAACAGTTAAGTATGAGAGATTTTGTTTGATTTTAAAAATAAAAATTGAGTGTTAATGCGTTTTAATGAGAAACTAACACAACAGGAAGGTTTTTCAGAGGAAAATACTTTCAACTTAACCTGAAATAGAAAGTCTTACTCAATTATACAACAAATTGACCAATAACATTTCATTTCATTAATTTCATATTTCTTTACTTTTTAAACTACTTGAGTATATCTAGTAATAGAATAATATCATTTGACAAATAAATAGAACTTCTTACTTACATCCTTTTAACATGCTAATTATACTTTGTACTCATTAGGATTAAATTACATTTATAGTTTACAGATTATTCTAGTTATAGCGTTTTCGAAGTGATTAAAAAAAACCTCAGGAATAATAAATTAGGTCACATGACAGAACTTTAGACACGGGTAATTGCTTTCCAGTTTTAAACACAAGTTCAATACGTTCATTATGAAACTTTATTTCAGGTTAGACATTAAAAAATGCCAGAATTAATAGCTAATAGAAATAAAAATTACTTTTCCCTCTTACCTGAAAAGAGACAGAGCCAAAATTTAGACAGACGCAATGTTGAAAGGTCCTCTGTGGCACAGGGAGTGACACTGGCAGCAGGTTTAATACCTGAATCAGAGAGCTGACAGCTCACCTATTATTATTGTGGCTCTTCATGAACTTTTTAACCCTTGCACTTCAGTGACAAACAAGTTCCCTTGTTGCTTCAGGGAGGCAAAAAAAAGAACATCCCTAAAAACCTGATGTGAACTTCTGTACTGAAAATACATCTTTTCCCCAGCTTCAGTCCTAACTATAAATAAAAGGGGGGAAAAAAGGCTTTTGACATCTAAATGCCTGTTTATCTACATAATATATCTGATTAATAATTACATCTGATTATTTGTTACAAAATGGTTCCTCTTGAATTTAGAACTAAAGGGTAACAACTTTTCTAATTGCTGCTCCTGTCAGGAACTCGACATAGATTTGGCTCCTCTGTGGACAGAGCGGTGTTTGCTTATCTTGTCCTCTACTGCTGATTTTTGACCATCAAATTGATCATTTTACGTGAATACTTTTAATAATAATAAAAAAAAGGGTTGTTTGTTTAGCTGCTAGACTGACACCTCCCCCCTTGTACCATTTCCAGGCATTAGAAATTAAGATCTCGTTTCTAGCTTTGTTTGCTTTTGGATATCATGAAAGGCATTGCTGTAACCGTAATGGATGCTCAATAAGGTTATGGGTGCAGCAGCAGGTAAGCATGGGTGCAGGTGCAGGTATGTATGAAGCAGCAGCTTGAAATGTTTTCACACTAAGGGAATTCAACGAAAGGCGCCATGTTTGTATAGTTCTTGTACTTAAAGTCAGTACTACACTGTTGTTTTAGTATTGAAAGGATATGAATAACTTTGATTGAAGCGAGTGTGGAGTTGTTGTTTATTCTAACCCGAAGGCGTCTGTGTGAGCTATAATTACCAGGGCCTACAGGTAGCTCCGATTCCTCAGACTGGCGCTGATTTAAGCAGACAAAAAAAAGAGACAGAAAGAAAATGGGGAAGGAAATCCATGTGTAAGTCTGAGCCATGCGTTTCACCAGAGCGTGGATTTTCATGTGCCGGGGAGTTCAAGGTTCTTGTTTTATTTTTATTTGGACTGGAGGAAGAATGGAGATTTCCTTGAACTAAACTGCTAACCTAGTTTGTTGGATATGTTAAAAACCACATACATGCTGAACACATTTCCACAAATGTTTTTCTCCTCATCAGACTGCTGTCTGTGTGGTAAAAAAGGCGATAATGATCAAGTATTCCCCGCACTAAGATTCAATCTGAGCACGACTCCCAGGTAGCCGTCATTTACCTTAATTTTACAGATTCCTTTTTGATAATGATCTACTTTTGTACATTCTCTGCCTTTCACTGTTGTAGACAAATCACTGAGCTGGAACATGCTCTTTATGCCTCCCTGCTTGTAAATCGTGTGACCTGGTAACACCCGAGGGGAAAACATCTGAAAACAGATTTAAGGTTTTATGATACTTAGAGATGACAATAATTATAAAGTAGAGGGACAGTTTAGAGTGATGCTGCTCTCTTTGTCTTTCATAAATAAAACTTTCTTGACAACATGAACACAAACAAAGAAAGGTGTGGTGTGTGTTTTTAATGTCAACTTGTTAAACCAGTTATGCATGATTTAAGTCATTTGATCCAGGAAGGGCGTTCATCCCTTAGTCAATATGTTGTTATGCAGTGTAGCAGGTTGAGCTAAAAAAAAAACCAACATGATGGACAGTGGATATAAAAAGTCAACCTATAACCTGTATAACACAACACACATAAATCAACACTGCTCATCACCAAAAGAACACCATACCCACAGTGAAGCACGGTCGTGGCAGCATCATGCTTTGGGGCTGTTTTTTTTTTTCAGCTAAAACTGGTGCCTCAGTCAGAGTGGAGGGAATGATGAACAGTTCCAAATACCAGTCAGTGTGGGCACAAAACCTTCGGCCTTCTGCTAGAAAGATGAAGATGAAGAGGAACTTCATCTTTCAGCATGACAATGACCCAAAGCGCACATCTAAATCAACAAAAGAATGACTTCCCCAGAATAAGATTGAGACTTTGGAACGGCCCAGCCAGAGCCCAGACCTGAATCCCATCTAACATTTGTGGGGTGATCTGAAGAGGGCTGTGCACAGGAGATGCCCTCGCAATCTGTCAGATTTGGAGCGGTTTTGCAAAGAAGAGTGGGCAAATATTGCCACATCAAGATGTAACATGCTGATAGACTCCTACCCAAAAAGACGGAGTGCTGTAATAAAAGCCAAAGGTGCTGCAACAATGTATTAGTTTAAGGGTGTGCATATTTATGCAACCAGGTTATTTTAACTTTTCTATTTCTTTATTTTTTTTTAATTTTTTTTTTAGGATTCTGTTTTTTTTTGTAGAATCCTGGGTTTTTTTTTAGAACTCAGATTTTTTTTTTTTTTTTTTTAGAATTCTGGGTATATTTTAGAACTCTGTTTGATTAGAATTCTGTTTTTTTTTAAATTCTGGGTATTTTTTAGAACCCTGTATTTTAGAATTCTGTTTTCTTTTAAAGTTCTTTTTTTTTTATTCTGAATTTTTTTAGTATTCTGTTTTTTTATTCTGTTTTTTCAATTCTTTTTTTAGAATTCTGTTTTTTATTCTATTTTTTTAGAATTCTAATTTTTTAAAATTCTGTTTTCTTATAGAATTCTGTTTTTTTTAATTCAGTTTTTTAAATTCTGTTTATTTTTTTTTGATTCTCTTTTTTTTAATTCTCGATATTTTTTAGGAGTCTGTAATTTCCCCTACAGCATTCTTACTCTTATCTCAGAATAATAATTATAAAAACATATATATCTACTGGACTTTTTTTTTTTTTTTTTTTGGTGGCCCTAATCCTCCTCCGTAAACATTAGACACAACAAGCACTCAGATCTTATTTTATTACTTTCCAATGTGTTTAAGGACAATCTACACAAATTTCATGCATATGTGATTTAAAACGACAAAGTAAGATTTTTTACTTCCACTCAACCACTCAATGCAAGAATTCAGTGCATCCTTTATTCCCTTTTTAGAACAGCAGCGCACTCTGGTGGAAAAATTAGGTTTTACTATCTTGCTTGTGTGATATTTGTGGTATTTTGCAGATCAGACTTGGTGGAAATGGAGAACAATATCCATAAGTATGTTTACAATCATCTGAATATAAAAATGGGCGTCTGAACTCTTCTATCCATTAAGACATACTGTTGTGAGGCGGGTAGAATGTATGTGGTCTTGGTATTGTCTTGCTGGACGCGAATGTTGCTCAAAAACCTTAATCTACAGATCAGCATTAGTGAAGCCTTCTCTGTCTGGAGAATAGCCATGCTGTTGGATCTTCTGCATCCCAAAACCATCACAGTTGTGCTCATAACTAGCTGGGTGGTCCCTCTTCTCATTTTAGTGGAGGATTCTGTGTCCATGATTTCCAAAGAGGACGTCACAGGACGGTTTTCCACTTCACCAGCCGAGCCTGAAAGGGTTCAGCCGCAGAGAGAGAGAGCTCGCCAGTGTTATGGATCATACTTGTTGTTCGGGTTTCACTTTGTTTGGCGATGAATACATTTTACATAAAACTAAAAGTAAAACATTTCTCTCAGTTTTTAAAGAGCTGTCTCATTATATTCAGCGATAAATAAAGTTTAAATGATTTACAAACCAGTCAAATCTATTTCTGCCAACATTAAAAACTACATCCTAACTTTCTGGAAAATGGGGCTGTATTAAACTCTACGGTGGCCCTGAAGGTCAACGGCACCAATTGTGAAGGAAGGAATGACCAAAAAAAATTTATAAATTTAAAAAGATATTTATGAAATGCAAAAAATATATTTACAGAGCATCAATAAATTATATAATGATTAAATAAAAGATGCATTTTAATAACAAAAATAATTTAGAAAAAAAATGAATAAAAAATACCATCTGATGGGGAAATATTTAGCTACAGAGAACGTCTCTTAAAGTGGCAAGGGTTGGACCCTCCTACTTGATTGTGATTGGACTACACTCAAGCGTAACAGGTATAATAATAATAATAATGCATCAGATTTCATATAGCGCTTTTATCAGAGACCCTCAAAGCGCTTTACATTGGATACATCATTCATTCGCTCACACAGTCACACTTTGGTGGTGGTGGAAACGTGGCTGCCATTCTGCGCCTACGGCCTCTCCGACCACCACCACACAACACTCACAATCATGCACCAGTGGAGGACACACACTGGGAGCAAGGTGGGTTAAGTGTCTTGCCCAAGGACACAACGGACATCATTTCCTGTCAGTAGAAGTATCTTAGCCAAAACAAAAAAAAAGCAGACACTTAACGCCTGATCATGTCAAATGCAAGAAATAAATAGTGAACTATTTTTGTGGTTTATGATTTTTTTTTTTCACTTGCAATTGACCTTCAGAGCAACCGTAGCAACCTGATTAACGATGCAACTAACAACACCTAAACGACAGCGATTTATCCAAAGTTATTCTGAAGTTTCTAATTTGCATTTTCAGGACTTGTTTTTGACATAATTTTCACTGACGGTCGTTTTATCTTTCGCTCTGCTTCCCCCTCTGTCTGTCGGTGCTCTTGGATGTTTTTCATGTTTGTGTAGCTGTGTGCTTTGTATGTATAGGTGTGTGTTTTTGAGCTTGTTTGTTAAGATGTGTGTGTGCCTGTGTGTGTGTGCGTGTGGGCCTTCCTCTCAGGGATCTTTTTCGCTGCCATGTTGACACACGTGTGCTCGCGGTGACAACTGTGGGAGGTGAAAAGGGCCGTGCATGTCATATGTCATTCTATCGACACTGCATGTATGTAACACACACACACACACACACACACACACACACACACATAGATACAGGGGAAAGGTGTAGTTGGGTGGAGGTCACAGAGTTCACATTCCACAGATAGAGGACACGAAGCCTGTCCTTGGGTGAAACTCTCAGTTGTAACACGATCATACGTATGGACGGCTTTGATTTTGTGCTAACCTTTTCAGAATTCCTGCTTTTATTCCCTCATCAGTTTTCTGCTTCGTCATCTCAAGTTTTTGCTCAGTTTAAAAGGTCAAAGGTCAAATCCAAAAATATAATCTTGACAGGAAAGTGGCGGGGCCGACGCAGGTGGCTGTCGTTCAGACAAAGTGTTGGTCCCCTCAGCTCGGCAGATCCTCCCTCTCTTGCTAAGAAGCGTGTCATCTGCAGCTCCGGAAACAATAACATTCTTGCACTCTGACTTTTTTCGGTCCCCCACGGCCCCTCCTTTAATGTTGCGGACAAAAGCTCAAGGAGAAGTAGGAGGGACGGAAAAAAAAAAGATTCCTCTTGATAAGACTGGCAGCTCAGAGGCCCTTTCCATTTGTTCAGCTGCCTGATGGAAAAGTACCAGGCTTTGGCCCGACACTGGGTCAGCGGGCCGGATGGTGGCATTTCATCCTCCTGAGCTGCAGCTCTGTGAGAAAAATTAGTCCAACTCAATTTGAGAAAACAGCTGGCGCATGGCGTCCCGTTAGATAAATCCTCGTTTGTGCAGATGCTCACGAGGGACAACTTCTCGTCATGAGGCATGACACAGCAAAATGAGAAATGAAAATAGGGGAGAAAAACAGGCTAGAGAAGGATATGGAAATATCACAATGTGCAACATCTTCGTGTTATTTTTAAATATGTAGGTGTACACACCCGCATCTGTCCAGTTCAATGACATCAGGTTTGCTACTCTGCATCCATGTGAGCACTGATAAATATTTCCTTCATGGTTGAGGACCAAAGAGAAGAGAAACACAAGTTGCCTCGAGGGCAGGAGAGGTGACTGCTCATTTCTCCGCTCTTCAACTTCTGCACTGTGTAAATAAGACACTCTTCTTTTATCTAGTCATGCCACTGTCTGTTTGGCGTATATCTTAAGTCGGGGATTAAACAGGTTCTCTAGGATTATGATGAGAGATGTGAGTAAAACTAAGGTTAGAAAATAGTGCAAATAATAAAAATGACGGAGTCGGAAAAGCAAGAGGTTTAAATCTGCTTCTGCTCCAGGAGTCTCAAAGAGGAAAATATGATTTGCTCATGTGACCCGAGAAGGTATGGAGTCTACCTTTGTCGGTCACATGAGGACAAAGATAGCCGGTAACTATTTCGGGGGTTGGCTGCGGGGGTCTTATGTCAGACGCTTACATTGCAGGGTTTAAGTTCCACCAGTATTTATTTATATGCAGGATGGTTATACATAACTGTGTCGCAGTACTGGGAGGTGAACTCTACTGGTTGGGGTGTTCTGCAGGTATTGAGGTGTTTGATTCCGGAGCGCAGCGTATGAACAGTCGGATAAAAGCCAGTGAGAGTTCAGCTACATGACTCTGATTATTTCTTAACCCAGAAGGAGAGGAGATTTATCAAACCAATATCACATGCCTGATCAGCTGAAAAGGAGGCCGAAGCTGATTCATGTTAAAGTTTATAGTCTGAGGTAAATATATTGATCTGTTTTTCAAAATCCTGGGAGCATTATTTAAAAATCTGTGACCGCTGTTATTGTTCCTGACTCATGTTAGCTACAGAAGTAGGTTAAACATGAACCTAGTGTGAGCTAATGACCCAGATAATTTTCCAGGAGATGTTAAAAATAAACAAAAGTTGAGTCAATATTGGACTAGTTCAGGTAGGAACCTGACTGCACCTGACTGCTGATCTCGCTCATCATTTTTTGAACTGTGTGTGTACCAGTATATCGAGTTACTGTTTGCTTACATCTGTGTCCTATTATAGTGTGACTACAATCTGAATCCCCAATAAGAGGACACGACGATGTGGTGCGCAGTCACGCGTAGTTAAATTTGAGGTTTTTTGGGTCGGATCGAGTGTTTTTTACGTGCTTCTAACTCAGTAAGTCCCCGCGACAAAAACTCTTAACTTCCGTACAAAACCGCAGACATTTGAAGGATTTTATAAACTTCCCGGGACAAGGACGGACAGCCCCCAAAACAAGGAGATGTCTGGGTAAAAAAGGACGTATGGTCACCCTATCCTTCTATGAATGTCTGCAAGAAGCAAGAAATTATGATACCAAATTTTTTCTTAAAGTTCAGGTCCAGAGAAGTCACTAGTGTTTCTGGATCATGTTTATATGTGGTTTCCTCTTTGCATGGTGCAGCTTTACCTGCATTTGTCATTACAAAGTTCACAGACGTTGGTTTCTAGAAGCGGTTTTAAGCCCATGCAGAGATTTCTACTACAGAGTCAAAGGCCTGAAGACCACATCCATTTAGGATAAGTTTCATGCTTTACTTACATGGTCTCTCACAAGTTGTCGAACCTTCTCTCTCAGTACTTCTAAGTACGCTTCTTACACCCAGTCATGTTACTGAGCTTGTATAATTAGCTGAATGAGATATAACTACGTTAAGGATCTTAGAAATCGACCCATAAAATTGTTGATTATACAGATCCTTGCTCCAGGAAGTATGCCTGACTATTACTGAATGAGGGTTAGAAGAAGTTTTGATGATAATCTAAATTTTGAGATGAAGGTTTTTGATTGTAAACAAACAAACAAACAGAAACTCGCTCTGTTTATTTCCTCTCCTGAGTTACTGGGACGAACAGTTCCACTCGTAACATCTTGAATCCAGATTTGAAAAATGTCACACCAGATGTCCCATAAATGTTTAACTTTGTTCCCAAAAAATTATAACAAAACAGATCGTGTTGACCAGGAGGATGACCCTCGCTGTGCAGTAACCGACAAACTGCACGTGTCCCCTGTTTTCTGCAAACCTTCCGGGACACGTGCGCGTCATGGCGGTGGTCCCTCCAACCCCGCCGACCGTTGGACTGTTTGGGTTTGTTGCAGCTCGACCCCGACAGCGGGAGAGCCGCGGAGGGGGGGCTCCTTTCATGAGCATGTGCATGTCAACAGCAGTCCCAGCCACCAAAAAACCTGCCCCCAGACCCATTAGTGAGCAGGGGCCAGAAAAATTAAGAGTAGGAAAAACACATTGCATAATAGCTTATGTAACGAGCCTCTGAAATTAATAGCTGAGGCAGAGGAGCAGAAGAATCGGGAAATTATGTCGTGGCCTCATGGTATTGTGTTGTCCCTCTGGCATGAGGGGCACACAGGAGGGCTCAGGGGTTCACAGGAATCCTTACTCCTTATTACAGCAGGACAGTTTCAGTTCGGGCCTACAAACACGCAGTTAATGTGAGAAAAGAGCTCCAAGCGTTTTTATGCTAACATTGATAGGATACGGTGGTAGCCATTAAAGCTGTATGTGTGAGGGAAACCTGTATTGTGTGGCAGTTTGGTTTAACTTTCGAATAACCAGATTCAGCTTCTTAAATCTAGGATATCTGTATCTGAACTAGAGCTGCTGTCACATCCAGTGAGGATGCATGTCTATATAATCTTCTAATGTTTGGCAGCTTTGGCTAACCTTGTTTGGAGACACATTAAAGGGCGAATTACGAGACATTTCAACGACATAATATAAACATCACCGATTTAAAAATCGGACAACTGAATTGCATGTAAACAGCTTAGTCCAACTATAATCAGAGTTCCAGAACTCCGATTAGAGTCGGAGAACTCCGATTAAGACATCTAAATAATGCCATTGGAATTTGATTTTCTCTACCATGTAACCATCATAGTCGGAGTATGATTGGACAATGCATTTGCACGTTCGCCACGCCCCCGTAATCCCGGAACATCTCATCTGCAGAAAAAGTAGCGCGTACATCATGTACGGTAAAAACAACGCCGTACGATGCTCCATCGGCTTGCTCGAAAATGCCCAGCAGCTGTTGTAGCCGCTTCTGAAGTCTGGCACGGACCTGTTGTGAGTTGTATGGTGTCGGAAACAGCGCAGCTGAAAAGACCCATATCGCCCTCTAGTTTTGGGGAGGAGGACACATTCACGTCAATTAAATATTCAATTCAATTGAGTTTTCTGTTGCATGTATATGCAGACAAGGAAAGAAGTCCTTGGAAAAAGGAAAGAAGGGAAAAAAAAACTAATTCTGCAGATGTAGCTGAGAGAGTGCAGTGAGCTGAGTGCATGTCAGGGGTGTTTCTCTGACTTTTGGACATTATGACCCCAGATTAGACCGAGGCCGGGACGATATGCTTTTCTCCTGATTGGATTTTCTTGATTTTTAGTCTGAATTTTTAGTGAAACAGTTGAATGATTATGACTGTCTACTGACTATTCCAGGAACCATATTTCCCCAAAAAATACACATCACATGTAAGTCAGTTTTTAAGATTTATTTTGAAATTTCAGAATAAAATGAAGGTCACTATACTCTATTCTTTTTTTAAATAATATTTAGTTTTATTATCATGTGATCAAACATAAACGTATTAACACATAAATTCAGGACAAAGAAGAAAAAAAGAGAAAGGAATTAAAAAAAAAAAAAGTGCATACATAAATAAATAACACCTAAAGTGTACCGTAGTGTGGCAGGTTTGTCGGTCTGTTCAAAATCATATTCATAAATTTTTTTCTTATCTGTATCTCGGGAAAGGGTAACATCAAACAAAGTATTATTATTATTAACATCAACAGTCTGAAAATTATTACTGCTGCTTTTGCAAACAAAGAGAAAAGAAAAAATAGTTCAGCTATAAAGAAAAGCAGAAGATCTCAGTGGCAGTGTGATCGTGTAAACTGATGAACAGCAAACACACACAGATTAAAACATGAACGTATTTCTGTAATTCTCACTTGAGCTAAGGCCCCTTTCTGTCGTGTGAAAAAACCTCGCTCTTGCCCAGCTCTGTGTGATACATCCTCCAAAGAAATGTTACTGACCTTATATTGACACAAGGAGGGACTCTTGAACGAGCCGGACCCTCGGCTGACCTGTTGACCCACTTGGAGGAATGTTCTCGGCTACGCAGTCCATGCCGCTAACTCTGGGGACTTCTCCATCAGACCTGCCTGGTAGAAAGGACTTCTGTTTGTTACTAAATTGCTGTGACAAATATAATCTCCACATGCACTCAAGTCAATGAAAACATGCATCAATAAGTTTTAAGTGGGTCACAGTAAATGGTAGAAGTCTGGGTGGACAGTTGACCTACAAAGCAGTGGTTTGTGACCTTCGACGTTTAGGTAGAGTCGCTGATACAGACTTTTTTCTGAGTCCCTGAGCTCCATCATGTCGTAGCTTCCTCTGGATAGCAGCTGTAGACGTTTTCTAGCTGCTTCAACTACATATGTGCATAAGTCTCACCTCTCTCTTTCTGCATCCTCCTCTATCCTTTCTCTAAACCCAAAGCAGCAGCAGCAGCAGCAGATGACTGTCAAACATGAGTCTGGTTCTGCTCGAGGTTTCTGCCTGTTTCAGATTGTTTTATATCCAACAAAAACTCTAAGTTATGAAGCTTAGCTCACATAAGTCTGTGTTTACTTCATGGATTATATGATAATCACAATCAGTTGAGACTAGGGCTGGACGATGAAACGAAAATAATATATATATAGAAAATTAATTTCCCTTAATATCAATATAAAACATGGTCAATATGCTTTTCAATAGTCGGCATTCTGCCATGTTTTGGTAGACTATAAGAACAGCCAATGAAAAGGGGAGTCGCTTCAGGTCCGCTTCACGCTGAACCAATCACGTGCTGAATTAGAACTAAGTAGCAAACAACTGTGTAGTAGCAGGCAGCAGCTACATGCAACCATAGCATTTTAAAAGGTAAAGCCGACAGCACTGCAGGTGAGAAAAAAAAAAAAGAGAGTGCTAACCCCGTCAGAAATGCAGATGAAGGCTCAACAGATGATGACATTGTCGACAACACTGGCACGAAAACATCGGTGGTGTGTAGAGGATGCCATTTTTCTGGAATTCCCGTGGGTCATGTGATTCCCCAGGATGGGAGTCATTTTTTTTATTAATCCCGTGATCTGGACGGGGCGGGAAAAAAAGCAACGAGAGCGGGAACAACATTCATAGATGATCATTTTCAGCCGTGTTAAACAACTAGATTCAGATGCGTCTATTTTTGTAGTCATCTCTCAGTGAGAGCCAACACTCTTGACCGCACTAGCAACACAAAAGGACTACAACAGTGGTTTGACTTCCTGTCAGAAGTGAAAAGCGTCTCTGAGCGGCCGCCAGAGTCGCCGGGAGCGACTGCCGCTCCGACTCGGCTGCCACTTTTACCTAAAATTATTATTTATGCATATTATGCACAGCTCTTTTACCTAAAATAAAAAAATGCAACATGTTTGGTTTTATTTAAACCGCAGCGGGAGAGGAGTGGGAGTCATTCTACTGGATTGGGACAGGACGGGATTTTTTCTCTGGGAGTGGGACGGGACAGGAGTGAAAATCCGCTCCTGTGTCATGCTCTAGCGGTGTGGAGGTATTTTGTTTTTTTGGGGTCGGACATGAAGTAGAATAATGTGCACTGCAAATTACGTCGAGTACATGTTCTCACAAAGTTGGAGAATACTTCAAATCTTTTTCACCTCCTGAAGCAGCGCCACACGGCCGAGCACGCAAAAAGCCAAAAGTTACAAACCCCAAGCGAAGCAAGGAGCCCATGGCACCTGTACAGCCTTTGACCATTCAGTCCACTCTCTCCAGCGCGACGCCTTACGACAAAATGTGGAAGAGACACAAAGACCTCACAGATGCAGTAGCTTATTGTATTGCAACAGACATGCTACCAATAAGCACTGTTAAAGTTCATTTTTGATATTGTGATATGTATCGATATCGACTGATTTGAAAAAAATATATGGTGATAAACTTTTTCCCCAGATCGCCCAGCCGTAGTTGAGACTAAAAAAGCATACCGTTTATGAGAGTAGAAGAAACGAGATGAATGATAAAGACACAAAAAAAGATGTCAGACAGGAAGGATGATTTGATCAATCTGCGTCACTCACTGAAATGTTGGTTTTTAATAAGCGTTCCCATTGAAAAGGCCTCACTGTAATTTTGTTTTGACTTGCTTCAGCTATTAGTATTTGAGACTGGGGGCTATTCTTAGCTTGTCTGTGCCCTCGTGGTCAAAATAACACCCATCTGGACAAACATCCATTTGTAGGAGGTTAAGGGTCCGTGTTTTCTCCCCTCTGACTGATGAGAACTGCGTTACACTCCAAATCAAGCAGACAGATGTGGGATCGAGCAAAAACACGTACACTGTGTCTGTACATTTACCCCCCTGCGCTGTTTGTCCATCAAACCTCAGAAAAACACAGATGTGGTTATTATCCCGGAAACAGTGGGTGACTGTGGATTTTTCCCAGACTGTGAGCTTCACAGAGCCAAAAACAGAGATTCGATGTCCTGCGCACGCTTTGATTCCTTCACTTTACTTCAAACTAGAGCCGAAAGTTGCTGAGCGCAATTCTGTGTCATTTCTGTGCCGCTTACATAACAGGAGCTTTTGTTTGATTAGTTTGCTCAATGGGAGTTATCACGCAGTACCGGGTACTCTACAGTCTGACGTTTATGTAATCTCAGTTTGGCAGAATCTGCTCTTGTCCGAAGCAACAAGTCCAGCAGTGTTTGATCAGAGTGGGCAGGAGAGCTGCCGCTGATCCGGTGAGAAGTCACTAAGTAAGTTTAACTCTTCTTTCCCGTTCCAGCTTGCTGATGCGCACAGAGGTTAGGTGACCGACTGCGAAAATCTTGGAGAAGTACCTCCGAAGCCTCTCCACTCGAGGACATCCATATAACTGAACTTTCACTGTGGATTTCTGAAAGATTTTTTAGTCCTCTGGTTTAGCTAACTAGCTTAGAGACAATCTCCCTAAATTTAGTTGGAGTTTTTTCTTTAGTTTTCACACATCGTGACACTTGAGAACGTTATTCTGTTGAACTATAGATGGACATTATTCCCATTCAGGGAGCCTTTATTAGTTTAATATAGGGTGACCATACTCCGAATCCCCAAAAAGAGGACACAACTACAATCAATCAATCAATCAATCAATCAATCAACTTTATTTGTATAGCACATTTAAAATAACCACAAGGGTAGCCAAAGTGCTGTACAGTGACATAAAAACAAATAAAACAATCAAAAAACAAGATAACGCAAGCAGAAATACAGTAATGCAAAAGAATAAATAAGTGTATAAATAAGGAGGCTCACAGCAAGTGCTAAAATGATAAAGGGGTGGAGTCACAGAGTTGCGCGTAGCTAATTTTGAGAGTTTTCCGGGTCCGAGTGTTTCTTACACACTTCTAACTCATTAAGTCCACAGACAACTGAAGGATTTGATAAACTTCCCCGGACAAAGCCGGACCGCCCCCAAAAAGAGGACAATGGTAAACCCTAATCAGGCTAATTAGCCTCACTTCCACGACCACTGGGTTTCTATTCATTTGCAAAGAAATGCTCTTTATTGCACCAAACAGCACATTTATTTTAGGACTATGGACATCAGTCATAAGAGTGGAAAGAGGAGTAATGGGACGCTCACACCAAGCGCAAGTAAAATCATCGACTCGCTTAATTCGCATGAATGAATAGTATTTACACGCTTCATTCGCGCATCAACGGTCATTTCAGTGGTAAACCTTGCCAATTCAACCGGCTGGATCAAGTGATAGACAAAGGTTTTTTACAATTTACCAGGGAAACCGACCTCCTCACTCACTTGCCTCCAGGCGAGCTCCTTCTTATTCCGGTTTCGGTAATTAAAAGAAAAGGTATCATCTAATTCAGGGGACCCACACACCGACACATTCAGTTTGTCCTCCATTTTAGATAACAGTGAACCTTCATGCTGGTTGGTTGTCGCGACACGAATATCCGCTCAAGTTGAGACATTCTCAGCTCCTGCCCGATTCGAGTCATTTGCGCCGCCGGAGTAGTAAGATTGTCCAATTGCATCTTTGCATTGACTTAACGTGTAATTAATTCGTGTGAATGAGTTTCCTCGCCTTTGGTAAGTGTAGACAGTAAGGACCTGTGTCCACAAATAGAAGGGCCTATTTTCTTTGCAAAATCATTGCAGTTCGGTTTTCGGTATCCAAAGCGCAAAAAATGCCCCCAACATTCAGCTCATTTATCTTTTCTGCTCATTTAACAATAGCTTCACTCTGAACCACTTTTGTTTACACTGACGTCCGTTCTTCATTCCTGACCAATCACAGCTCAGAACAGGTCATCAACTTTGTCAACAATAAAGGTGGAGGTCAGTACAAAGCCGCAACTAACCACACTAGATTTTCACGAGTTTGATTTCAGGGTCTAGAGCTGCTGCCAATGCTGTGACACGGGTAAAAGCATGACGTATAATATGAACGTTAAGACAGACTTTATTGTCACTATCCAGAGGAAACAACTCTGGTAACATAGCAACAGTAAAGCCCTTCACAGACACACACACTACGGAAAATTTCACCTGGAAATTTACCTGACTGAACTGTTCACACACACGTCCCCATAGTGAAGTCAGAGGGAGGCGTAGGGGGGTTTCAGGAGGCGGATCATGACATCAAACAAACGCTGCATTTTTTTATGACCCCTATCAAAGATTAAAACCCCTGACCCTTTGATGAAACTCCACCAGAAGTTTAAATTAACTCTCAGCTTTGTTCTCTTTGTTTCCCTCGAAGATGTGTACCAAAAGTCAGCGAACAAAGACAGGCACGCTTTGGCGACCTTTCCATCCATGAGACAAGAAATAGAAATCATTTTTCAACCAAGTAGCAAAACTATGCAGAACACCGGCAGCATGAGACACCCACCCACTCCCCACTTGGCTACTCACAGGGAATTATCTGGAAGATTGGCTGTGAGGTCACCCGGACTTTACCTCGAAATGGCACCAGTTGGAAAAACTCCTGGTGGAGTCAGGGTTGAAATCTTGGCTGTTTCTGTTCACACGTGTAGCTCGCCCGGGTAATTTCATGGAATTTTCAAGACTAAAAGGGGCTGAAGTGACAGTGAAAAGTGCTTTGATTTTGAGTTTGTGGGTTAAAATGCTAAATAAAGACGATAAAATGCTCCAACTTTAAATTAATGGTGCAAAGTGAAGTAGAAAAATACCAAATAAAACTACAGGGATGTTGTCACATAGAGGCAAAAGTAAGAAATGTACGCATGAGAAAAAAAATGCAGTTAAACAAACTACATTTTTCAGCTCGGGGCCTCCTGGTTGCTTCTGTAGGTCAAATGTAATTTCACTGATTTCATTATCTTTATGAAGGTTAAGCTCATGTATTCGCACGTGAGGACTTCAGAGGCTACTATCTCACTGCCTGCAGGTCATTCAAGAGTAGAGGGCAAACAGAAGAGTGACTTCAGACACCGACAATAAAGTTCAGGCATTCTCTGTCTGTAATCACATACACCTGAAACTAAAAGGCCCACACTGAAAACTTGTCCCGTGGCGAGGGAGAGTGATAAGAGTTCACTATAGTTTTACTATCTGCCTGAAAGCCCTTGACTCTTTCACCCAGTAGAACACGACACATTTCACGTTCAAAACCAGACACAGTGTTGAATTACTCCTTTTTAACACAGCCTTTAGAGGTTTGATTGATTTTATAGGAACTTTGGTCATATTTCTCTAACGCCTTTGAGCTAGTCCAGACAGGCAACCCTAGCTCCACCAATTTCCCACACGTTCAAATACCGTATTCACACACTGCAGGACTTCCAGTCACTCCCTCGGCTCTTTTATTGATTGGCGACACTGCCCTGCACCTGTGCTTTGCTTATACTTAAATACCACCACCTACCCAATAAAGCATCCACCAGCAGACTCCAACAAGGTGTTTAACTATATTATCTCATCACTCTTCAGTATGTGCATGTAAAATAAAACTGCCTGAGCCCAGACTCTAAATACAAACCGTATCAAATCCAAATACAACATGAGCTGTCTGACTGAACTTAGTTTTAAAGATTGAGTTTCCTGTGCAACATATATTTAAAGTTCCTCATGATCAGGTCAGCACAGGTCAGGTCATTAGAAGTCTAGGCTAAGGTCTGTGAGAATGCATCATGCACAGATTGGGGTCTACAAAGCATATCTGTAGAGGTCTCCATACCACCCATTTTCAATAGTGATGGGCACGGCAGTTCTTTAAGATGTACAGAATCACTGGAATCCGTAGAAGCCTGCGACGCCGACGTCCTGAACTGATACACAGCTGAACAGTTCAGGATTCGGTTCAGATCACGGCTTCTGGGACCGGGAGACGAGATTGTTGTGGCTGTTGCTTTGACAAACAGGTTTGTAAAAATGAATTTGTTTATAAATCATGAGGTTTTAAGTGTACTGTCCAATGGTATGCTATTCATCTACTGGGTATATTGGGCTCAGTGAGTGATTCGTACACTGAATGTTTACCCCACAGTACAATAAGCGAAGAATTCACACTGAACATGCACCGTTCACTCACAAATCGCCTCAATGATAGTATTAGTCATGCATTTCTCAAACTATGGGTTTGATACACTACTTGTTACATGCTGTGTCCTGATTGGACACAACACACCCCTATCTCCCTCCGTCGCTCCTGTCGAGAGCTTGCTACAGCTGGTGAGTCTCACTCTCTTCTCATCACTGCCAGCCTAATATTTTAAGTTTGTTTAATTGGGAAATAAATCTGTGAAAACAACGGGGAACAGCGGTCGCCATGAAAATGTATCCCCCTGACGAAAATGATTCCAGAGACTACATGAATCGGTCACCAAGTAATTAAGGCGTCGGCACGTGCGGTCCTTCACTCGCCGGCTGTGCTGTGTGCCATGGCAGCTGATCGCTCAACTGAAGTGAGAAACCGACAAATCACTTGAGGAAGTGATTTGGTTCAATACGTTCACTTAAAAGATTCGGTTCTCTTGAACGAATCATTCACGAACCACACATCACTAATTTCTAACTCATGCAGCTGTCTGTCCTTCACTCCCCACACAGATTTGATCACTGTATGGTGTCCTTTGAACACACATGACGTTTTGGTCAGTCAGGCATGTTTTGGATATGCTGCATGGTTAATATGGCTTTTAGCTGAGCAAGGGCCCTACACAGGTTGCTATGTTACATATGCTACCTTGAACATTAATCGGCTTTACACTGCAGAAATGTAACACTGACATTATCGCAAGGCAGAGACACAGACGTGTTGCCATCTCAAGGTTTTAATGCTCCGCTGATAAAATGACAGAAACATGAAACAGAAATATTCGATGGTACAGATTCATTCTTATACGTCGAGCTCATGTGGTTACACTGATCCCAAAGCAGATTGATGTCTGGTGGCTTTAACTACTCTCAAAATGTATTTATTTACCTTATGCCCTAAACTGAACCAGATTTCACACAGTGTTGGAGTTTCTAATAAGTGTCAGCTGAAAGAGCCGTATTCTCATGTGAGATGCTTTACTGAGTTTTCCAGCCCTTTATTCGAAACATGAGACAACTCATGTCACGCTTCTGCAGCTATACAAAACATGATTCTAGCTGCACGTTAACTACATCCAAGAGCTATTTATGAATTGTGGAGACTCAAGCAGCTGATAGTTATTACTTCTTTGTCCCTCCCCTGATTGACTCGTCTTCTATTAGTTTTAAGGAGTTCTGTCCCAGTTTACAAGCAGCCAAGCAAGAACTGATTTATGGGTAAAAGTATTTCCACCTCCACTACAGTAGGTGGCGATATGCCTCCTTTCAGTTCATTTTGACTGGGCCATGTCCCAGTTAAACCACAATGTCATGCACCAAACCAACCGACAAACAGCTCAGTAACAGGGTTATTATTGTTGACAAAATTACGAAAACTAGAATTGAAAAAACATTTTCGTTGACTGAAATAAATAAAAACTATAATTAGAGAAAAAAAAACTATGTGCCGTAACTAACTAAAATGTATTAAAATTACAGATAAAAATCCCCTCGTTTTCCTTTTTGTTAATTTCGGATTGATATGAAATTGTTTTATTTCGCTTGAGCGATTTTACATGAGCTAGCAGCAGCGTACGGCACCTCCCAGTTCATCACTTCTTGTTTATAGTCGGCTTCTCATCACCACAAAACTCGGGAAGTGACAGAGTCCTGTATGAAATTTCTTTAAATATGACAGCGAGAAAGACAAAAGCAAGTACCTTGTAGTAGAAACTGGTGATAAAGTTTGTGGAATACTTCTCAAGGGAAAAAAACTCACAAATCTTAAAGTCCATTTGAGAAGCTCATACAGAAACGCTAACCATGAGTACTCGACAAAGTGGGTACCTCTCTGAGTAGCGCCCCTGAACAAGAAGAAACATCTCAGCCAGGAGATAACCTTAGGAAGCAGCAGACAACAATAATGGACTGTTTTCACTGACCAAAGCTGCTGTTAGTGAACACGCAGGAACGCCCACAAGTGGGAAGATGCTCTTGTAAATATTGAGACTGGTATGTCTACAAGACCGTGTGAGTTGATTGCCTTCGAAAAGTTTAGCTTTTCAATCGAGCCAAAATTCAAATCACCTGGTGCTGCATGAGTGAATAACGTTACTGCCGAGTATGAAAAACTAAAACTAATAAAAACTAAACCAAAACTAATCATTTAGGAAAATAAAAACTAGAAAACCCACTCTAAAAACAAATTAAAACTATCTGAATTGGAGAAGAAAAAAGTACAAACAAAATGAAACTAAACTATAATGAAAAATCCCAAACTATTCTAACCTTGGTCGGTAAAAGGCGAAAATGTTTTATGTTGAATAATGAGAGTACTGTACCTTTTCATATCTACGATACATCATGTTTTTTTCCAAACCTCAATTCCAGGATGCGACTAAAATGCGACTAAAAACAGAATACAAAGAATTGCAAATCTTAAATATTGTTATTTAACTGAGGACATCACAAAGACAAGATGTTTTTCTTCACTCATGCTGAATTTAACCGTGTCTGTCTGTATGTCTGTGTGCATGCTGGGATTGGCTCCAGCCTGAGCCTTCACATTAACAGTGAGTTTAAATAATAAATGAAAGAAGGGCGGCTGGTTAAGCACATTAAGACACTGCTCAACACTGTTTACCCGACGGTGTATAAAGGTTGTGCATCATCGGACTGTACGTCCTACAGGATATGAGGACTTAAGCGGCCAAATGCCTTTTGGCACTGAGAGAGGTGAAAACTGTGGGCGGATGTTGTCAGGCCAACATCAGCTTCCTCTTACTACCTTTAAAAACAGGAGGAGGAAATAGCAGACGACCGTGTATGCAGAGTAAGACCGAGGGCGTGTCATTGTGGTGATGCAGATCTGAAAACCTATGGCTGGATTTGGAGTTAAAAATGAAGTTAGTCAAATTTTAAATCAGCTTCTTCTTCCTGTTTTTCTGCAACACCATGTGCAAATTTCTGGTGAGCAAATGAGTTCTGAGGAACAATCCCCAGGGAGAGAAAGTGATGTGTTTGCAATCAGTGGTTTTTCTTAAAAGACAAGGGACCCTCACCTATGGCCATGAACTTTGGGTAATGACCGAAAGAACAAGATCGCGGATACAAGCGGCCAAAATGGGTTTCCTTCGCAGGGTGGCCGGGCTCAGCCTTAGAGATAGGGTAAGGAGCTCGGACACTCGGGAGGCGCTCAGACTAGAACTGTTGCTCCTCCACGTCGAGAGGAGTCAGCTGAGGTGGCTCGGGCATCTGGTTAGGACGCCTTCTGGACGCCTCCTGTTAGAGGTGTTCCAGACATGTCCCACCGGGAGGAGACCAGGTGGAGGGATTATATCTCTCGCCCGGCCTGGGAGCGCCTGGGAAGTGGCCGGGGTGAGGGCCGTCTGGGCTTCCCTCCTGAAGCTGCTGCCCCCGCGACCTGGACCCGGATGAAGCGGAAGAAAAGGACGACGAAGACGACGACGAGGGACTGTGTTTTTTAAAGCAGAAATTTCCGGTGAAAATCACACATACCGTATGATTAGGTAAACTCTGGGAAGTTTATTACAGTCATAGTGGTGGGAAATGCATGTGGTTTATTCTGGGAAAGGGCTCACGTTTCTAAAGCGGCGATACCACATCATTGGTTCAGGTGGGATTTACACCTCTGTTGTGCCTCTTTCAGAAATGTGTGACTGTGGAGCCGCAAAAGTGGGGAGAAGCCAATCTGCTAATCTGCCAAAGGAGGTAGTGACAGATCCTCAACCGAGATCAGAGGGCGGCAATGTGAGGCATCAGGTCTGGCAGGACTGGACAGAGCTGTGTGTGTGTGTGTCTCCCAACATTCTCCATCTGACTGAAACTGGACTTTTAAATTGGCCCAACTAAAATCGCACTAAATCCAACTTCTCATAGACGGACTTACATACTTGGATAATGTGTTGAGGATCAGTTTTCTCTGTCATGTCTCCAGCTCAATCAAACTGAAACGGGCCTGAGTGTTCGTGATTCAGAGTTTACATGCCGGGCTGCTAGGAAGCCGGGCAGAAAAATTTTACCAGTCAACATCCAGAGCCGATTTAAAAAAAGAGAAAGTCGTTATAATTTAAAAGGATTTGAAATATTTAAAAAAAGCCAAGATTCAGAACTAAACTGACAGAGCGCGGTGTTACAGTGAGAGGAATAAGTTTGAGGAACAATCTGAACAAAGAAACTAAAGAAGCTAAATCAAAATTTTATCTTCAAAAAAAGTGTCAAAGGCAGTATGTTGAGTAAATACAGGGAAATATGTTCATCTAAGTCTTGGTATTTTTGTTTTGTGAAAAAATGTGAATTCACGTGGTCTTTTCTGTTCGTTTTGTGGGTTGTTTTTGAAAATAAGAAATAATGAACTATAAAAAGGCATGTTGGCCCGCAGCGCTTGTTTATTTTTATTATGTGTTTAGTTGAGTATATATAAGACTATAAGAGTTTTCTTCTTTTTGCTCCTTTTCATTCACATGTTTGAGATTTTTCCCTGTTTGTATTGAATGTTTTAAATATTGACTGAATTAAATAAAGTATGAAAATAAAAAATGAAAACAAAACCTCCACAGTAGAAGAAAAGAGGTAAAAAAAAAAAAAAACAGCACAGAGCTGTGAAAGTGACGGTTTTTAGGCATTTAAAGGACTGTTTTGATACAGGACAACCCAATAGTAACAAGCTAAAAGGAGGATTTGCCACCTACTGTTGCAGAGTTGCTTGTAAACTGGGACAAGGACAGAAGTCCAGTAAAATCACCCAATCGAGCTTTAAAGGGATATTTCGGTGTAAAATTAATTAAGGATCAAACACATTGTAACACCGAGTTAGACAACCCCTCGAGAGGTGCATGTTGCTGACTACAGTGGGGTGACGCAGCTTAAGGTAGAACATTTATGATGAAGTAATTGAAGTAATAATCACCATATTAATCATTTTGCACTGCAGATGCTGTACTTCTTCTGCCTTAGCATCTCGGTCTGATTGTATTTCCATGAAGAAATGATCATAAATGTTCTTCCTTGAGCTGCGGCACCCCGCTGTAGTCTGTAACGGACTGGCCCGAGGTCTCGCTACAAACAAGCAGCTGCTAGAAGAGAGTAGGTGAGTTGTGTTTAGTCTCTTTGCTGAAGAAATGAGGCAAAGTTAAAAAGATGTTTGATGGCTAGTGCTGTGGCTGTGACCTTATATGTACTGTTGATGAAGTTAGGTGCTGTTCTGAACATTATTTGTGGCGTTTTGGTTAAGGTTTTAAGTCTCCTCAGACCGCTGTGTAGTACTATCCTGCGGTCGTTACTCAAGTAGAAACAGACACTAGAAGCAGACCGTCGGCGACATTCACCTCTCGAGGGGGTGTCTAATTCTGTGTTACTGTGTGTTTGACCCTAAATTAATTCTACGCTGGAATATCCCTTGAACAGAAGGTCAACATCCCTGTTCATGTAATCGTCCTGAGTGACTCTTTGCTTTACAAAACAAACATAAGCTGCAACAGCCAGTCTGACAAGAACCCCCTGTTCTGACTGTTCTTTTCTTTCGCCTCTGTCTTACACCAGATTGAATCATAACTATTTCATAATCAGCGTAAAATTCCTAACAGGGGCTTTAATTTGCTGACCATAACACACAGATATCACACCTTTCATTCGGGGAGGAATTCTCTTGACTTGAAATGCTGTTGCTTTCCCCTTTAAACTCTAATTGCAGTGCCCGAGTGTGGAGCCTCCTTTCTCTCTCGACAACGTGGCCGGGCGGAATGTAAACAAAGGATCCCGTTAGTGCGCGCACACGATCATTAAATAAACCGTGCTTTTAATCTGAAAGGCTGCACAAACACACAGAAGCCTGGTTCAATATAGACCACATGCATGTTATGATGACATCTTGACATAATTTGTTTGACTCAGTATATTTAAAGAGATGAGAGATATTTAAATGTCAGAGGTGGAGCTTTAATGTTTATTCTTTCTTTCTCCAAACTCAGTTTTACGCGTTTTGTCAATGTGTGTTTAAAAGGGGGGTGGGGGGGCAGATTAAGAGAATCGGGAGCCCCCCAGCAGTGCTCGGCGTTGTAACACGACGCTCGTGGAGTTGCCATCATCACATGGCAGATGGAAATTTCCACTCAGACTCCTTGCTTGTTAAATGGGAAGGGTCTCCAACTCTTGTCTTCACTAGTCCGTCTCCTCCTCCGCCTGTAGCAGCTGTCCGCCAACCCTCAAACACTCGGTAAGACCTTCTACATTTACTTGCCTTCTTTATTCCTACCTACATGTGCTGATGTGGTTAATCCTGACCACCATATTTGACTCACTGGGAGCGGGTAGTTTAATTTCCACTCTTAGTTGCGTCTGGATGGATAAACTCGGGGGATTAGAAAATTAAACAAATAAAGCAGACGTCTTTACGCACGGGTTTGGCACATGTTTAAAACAAACATCTGGCCTTTTAAAGTCTTGTTTTATCGCTTTGGTAAACTCGTCTATTGAAGAGAAGGAGCAACAGTAGCTGGACGTGTGTGGAGGGTGTTGCCTGCAGTCAATAGGAAGCAGCGATGAGCGCCAAACACGCGTCTTTATTTATCCAAGTGAATTACGCCTCATTTTGGTGCAAGGTGATAATTTCGTGTCTGGCTGTCGCTTTAAAAATACACGTCCTCCTGAAGGCACCAGTTGATCATATGTACTGAAAGTAGCTGCTCTTTTGCATGTTGTGTGTGTATTTTTTGTATGCTTACTTTCCACGCTGTGCTGCTTTTCCGCCTTTACTGAGAGAAAAAACAAAGGCGACTGTTTGTGCCTCCAGTTTGCATCATTTTTTTGTATGTTGCCTGGTGTGCAGAAAACAAAAAGAGATGCATGTGATTTATGACTTTACTTTAAAGGCGCACACACACACACAGAGGAGATATATGGCTGTATGGTTAATGTAGATCATGGGTTTATGTAACAGCAGAAAGCAGCATGCTGAGGGTGGCCTGCAGAGCTTCACAGAGGACTAATAAATATGTTATGACTGCAATCACAAGCTCCAACTGTTGTCTTGAAGCAGCTGGAAATAATGTGAAACAAATAACTGATTAATTTGAACTTCCTGATGAGTCTTCTTTTGCATTTTTCATTTATTTTCATCCAGATTTCTGTGTCTTTTACTCTTCCGCCTCTCAGTAATCTGTCTTAAAAAGGAAGTCTGAGGAATTTGTCAGTGAAGTGCAGCAGGATCGTTTGTCTTCAGGGGGGATTTTCCAAAGTGTGACCCTGCCTGGATGCTTTCCATTCATCAGCTCAGCCCTCCTCACTTTCATTCCCTTCATAACTCCGCTTTTAGTTAAGCACTTAATGCAATGTACTGTACAGCAGGGGTGACTTTAACAAAGCTGAGTTTGAGCGGGGAATATCTCAGCTTTGACATATTCAGGTGGTGAGTTCAGTTCCCTGGCTGCTATAAATAAACGGTTGCCGCACGGTGACTGTGCACGGACACTTTCGACCCCCTTCTGTTCGCCTGTGCACCTTTAACTTATGTAACAGCGAAAAGTGAAGTAATGTCCTCCTTTAATGAAGCTCCACCCACTTCTTTGTCAAATGGGTTTTTAAGTATCTGCAGTTATTATAACAACCAAGTGGGTGTGCTGACTGGTAGGATTTAAGCGTGCACGATCACGGTGAGTTATAAGCTCACATAAAGAGCTACTTTAATAACAAAATACACAATGAACACCTGGATTGTCAGGTAGCTTCTCCTTGAGATTGACAATAAAGGAGAGGAAATATAATTGCAGCTGTTTTGGGGGTTAATTGGGAGTCAGTGTTGGCGATGATTTAAGTGAGCTGGCACACTGCAGTGACCACCACCTCCAGATTTAACCTCCTGGCGTACTCCCCTGTGTTCCCTCCGTTACAGATTCTCTCTGTGATTCATAATAGTACCTGAAATGTGTAACACATGACAGACGCCTTTTCAACAGCAGAGGTGGCTCTAAAAGGTGAAGCAGTTTGTAGGATATCCGGATGTATGATATGAGAATCAGTGTTATCCTCTATCCAACTAGTGAAGAAAGGGAGGACCAGCATTTATTTTTTCTCCTTAAGTCAGTAATTTTAAAAGGAAAGACATGCCAGAACTAAGTCTCTGGTCTAAGGACTGTATAGACGTATTTAAGGTGAAAAATCGCATCAATCAGAGTCCAACTAATATGGATTTTTTAGATCGAAAAAAAGCGTTTTAATGCAAAAAATTAAAGCCAGAGAGAGCTAGATAGTATCCCCCTCTGGTATAAATGTACAGTAAACTAGACTCTATTCAGATTCTTTGAAATTTAAAGCTTTTGTGAGGATTTTCGTTCGTCTGTATTGATTTTGGCGCCCCCTGTGGACCATAGAGTCTGCGCTGGTTTTGATGTGTTTCAGCGTAATTTCTTGTAAGAATCAAACGTATCGCTCATCTTTGCTTTGGAGCCTGTAAACAAAGAGTTACCACCCCATCAGTGCTTACTCATATTGAAATAACTGTTTAGAAATAGTAACTTTTCTTGTTCACAATCTTGTTAGAGATCATAAAGGAACATAAATATTGATTTTTGGCTATTTCACAACCTGCTAAAATCTCAAGAAAAGAGCTTTAAAACTTAGATTTCAGTCATATACTGTAGGGGTTGCATGTTTAGACTGTAAGTCTTTTTCTTTCCAACCAAAACTTTGAAGTAACTTTCCAAGACTGCAGGTGAGAGACATCACCAGCACAAGTCTGAACACCTGTCAGTAAGGCCGAGCTTGGCTGATGGTCCTCGCTCCTGATTGGCCGCAGGAGACTGAGTGACACATGTAGGTCAGACACCGTTGAGCAGCTGCCGGTGCTGGCTGATGTAACTCGGAGTGTGAATGAGCCAACGAGCCGAGAGCTGAGAGCTGAGAGCTGAGAGGCAGATGCAGAGTCACTTTCAAAGGAGCGGATATCGCTAACACAAAGACGGAGTGAGGCTCTGCCACAAGGGAGAGGAGCGGGCAGTTTTCCAAACGCTGCCATTCAATTAAAACCCAGAAGATTCTTAGTTATTGGTGGTTCAGGCCTAATTTTACCTGCAGGATTACATAATATCATGACATGGAGCGCACTTTAAGAACAGCATATGCATTAAAGCTTTTCAAGTGGACTGTTGTCCATCCTCAGGGGGGAAAGTCCCTTTTTTTTTCTCGCCACACATGGTGGTCAGAGGTCAGAGGTCCGCTGCAGGGGTTCAGTGCCCTGCTGTAGATCCTATAAACATGGAGGGATGTTTGCCGACACAGCTGCTTGACCACTTTGTCCACTATACTGAAGTTTTTACAGCTTGTTATTACTATAGGAAACAGGGGGTGCCCTCACAGTCTGATGCATAGAAAGGTGATTAACTTGAGAGGCCTGCAAACATCTGACACAGACTCAATGAAACTAACTAAGGGAAGTTTTTTCATGTCAACTTAAAGCTCCTCTAGAGACACTGAGACAATATTGGTGATAAAATATTAACTCTCTACCACACTGCAATATACTGTCATTTATTTTGATGACAACCAGACAATCCTGCGACAAAATTTTAGACACACAGTGGACTCAGATGTAAAAGTAAGATAGAAGCTAAATATAAGAAGGTGTGAAGTTGTTAAAATCAGCTGCAAAAGTGTCGCTTATGAGTGATAGCCGGGCTTCTAGAGCGACAGACCCAGATGTAGGGCTGGGCAATATGGGGAAAAGTTTATCATGATATATTTTTTCATATCAGTTGATATCGAGATATATCACAATATAAAAAAATGAAATTTAACAGTGCTTATTGGTAGCATGTCTTTTGCAATACAAGAAGCAACTGCATCTGTGAAGTCTTTTCTTTTTTCTCACCAACAGTGCTGTCGGCTTCACGTGTTAAAGTTCTATGGTTGTGTGTAGCTGCTGTCTGCTACTACGCAGTTGTTTGCTACTTGTTTCTAATTCTGCGCATGATTGGTTCAGCACGAAGCGGACCCGGAGCAAGTCCCCTTTTCATTGGCTCTTTGCATAGTCTAAACATGGCAGAATGACGACTATTGAAAAGCATATTGACCGTGTTTTATATTGATATCAAGGGAAATTAATTTTGATATTTGACTATCTATTGCTCAGCCCTACTCCGATGTAACTGTTGTCGCCTATTTCATGTCTAATAAGAAGGGATGGGGATCGATAACAGGGTCCATTAAATTCCCGATAACGCATTTGTCAAAACCCAAAAATCAATAACCTATGAGCTTATCGAGTGCGCTATCAGGTCTCTGGGGTCCTGTGATAGTAACGTCATACTTTTAGTCAAGTCACATCATGTAAATCGACGGCGAGAAAGTCCAAAGTGCCAAAGCTGAAGATAGTTAATATCACGTGATGTTAAAATTTCACATCCAGAAAGAAATCAGGAAAAAAAAAATAGACATCAACGTTCTCCATCCCTGCTGAAAACTGGACCAATCACATTGATCCAGCTCAGTCGTGAACCATGACCATGAAATCTCACTCATGGGGTGAGATGATGTCACTAAAGTGTACCGCTGCCAGATCGTCCCTGTACGGGCCTCTTAGTGATCAAAGATGTGAGTTTACAGCCGCTACTTCACAGTATACAGAGAAACAAAAGAGAGAGAGACACACACCGGTAAGAGCACAGTGTGTTCTCCGTTTTATATAATTTCACTGATTAAAACTTTGGATCCTCACTTACGTAACACTGAAACTTGTGTTTGACCTGCCAGACATGAAAAGAGAGATTTAAGGGCCGAGCCTTTTCAATCAAGGCTGATATAAGAGTCTTATTAGATCAGTTCATTAGTTTCAAACCGTGTGATGAACATCAGCTGATTATCCTCCCTAAATCTTTGACTGCACAACGTTCTGTGTCGTCATCTTCAGCGTAGATGAGTGGGCAGATCAATACTGACTGATAACAGAGAGGGACCGCTGAGGCAGGTCCACAAACAAGTTAGGGACACAGCGAGCTCCTCTTCTGTACGATAGGCCAACGTTGTGTTTACTGAAGGCCAGGTATCCTGTTTTGTTCTTACTAAAACCCTCCAGACAACTCTGGAGGCGCCATGTTTCCGCTGCAGTGTCCCAGAGGTCCACAGATCGGCTTTCATTCCCTAATAAAATCAGCAGTGCAGCCAAACTTGTCATTTTCTTATTCAGAGCAGCCTCTCTCTCCTCTTGCTCACTCTATCCCTCTGCTTCACTAACACACACCTGCTCCTCCTGCTTTTACACTTGTCTCCGTACTCCATCTGTCGCTGTATAATGGTTTGCACATGTTAAGGACACAACAGTGAATCCTTCTTTTGCCACACAGGACGAAATGAGCACAGCAGTGGTCACTGAATCTGGATTACATGATTTTCATGACTGCGCGAGGTTGAAATTGTAATAAAATTAAAGTTTCGTGAATACGCCAGGAGTAATGAAACTATAAGGAAGATTTTTGTGTCCATGAGACAGATACAGAGATCACTTATGTCTTCAAACTGGAGCTACAAACTCCAAAAGTTTAAAAGTGTGGCAGCAAAGTGACCACAGAAAATGGCGAATTATGCGCTAACACTTGACTAAAAGAGCTGTCAGGAGAGAAATAATGACCCGGGCTGAAACATACACATTCCACGTGTGCAGGCGGCTGGGCCAAGTGTTCAGCTGGAAAATCTGAAATATGCTGAGCTGAATATTAGCCAATCCTAGACCGCAGTTTTCCAGCATCTTCTCAATGACTGGTTGGACTGTTGTTTGTGAATTTATTGGTGATTTCTGGGTCAAAAGAGTTTTAGGTTGTAAAATGTGACTCTTCCAGATCCGTTCGAGGGTTTTAACCTTAAATCCAAGTGCAGCGATGACCTATTTATTTCTTGGAAGTGAAAGTGTGCCGTGGTCATGTGCCACACTTAAATTGTTCCCATGTGGATCCACTGACAGGCGGATCATCTGGAGGAGCTTGTGCGCTCGCTTTAAACCAGATGTGCGCGGCTCTCTGCTTCGTATGATGTGGTCGTCTCCCTGCAGCTCCAACATTCGCCCCCCTAAGGTCTCAAGTGCTACATATTATGACCCAGCACGGTAGCCACATAACTGAATGTAACCAGCAGCTGTAAATCTGTCCTACATGACATGGTCCATTAAGAGCTGCGACTACTTGGGTAAGGTTCACCCTCTATGGCAGTCTGTGTTCATCTTGTTGAAGGGGATACTTCAGTTGGACTCGCCTCCAGTAAATGTATTAGCCAATCAGCCCGACCCTTTAATGAAAATCTGCAAGCTTGCGAGTCAAACGGTTTTCTGCAGACGAGGTCAAGACCCCGACTCAAGCACTCACCTTGATTTAAGTGTACGTTCTACTAAGATCCTTTGCAGCCAAAAAGCAATCATCCGCACTATTTACAGGCACAACATAAAAGTATTGTACCTTCCATAGATTTAAAGAAACAGCGCTTAAAGAGAAGCGTTAAAGAAAAGCAAGGATGAGTAAATAAATGTTCAGATGACCAACGACCCAAAGGGACAACCTCGAAAGTTGTTTTTAATCCACAATAAACCTTTAAAACAGGGGTGGGAAATTCATTTTTACATGGGGCCACATGAGAAACCTGAACTGTGTTGGAGGGCCGAACCAACAATAACTTCAACTTCAAATCAGGGGGGTCCACACATACAGAAAAGCAAGCCCAAATAAGCAACTACTAGATAAAAACAAGCCCAAAAGAGTTTTACATGAGTTTTACAAGCGACTTCTGAGAGAAACAAGCCTAAAGTCATTTATAATAAGCAGACTTGGCAACCATGAGGCGTCTACGTATATTTTGCAGATGTTTAAACTTGTCTCTGTGGACGAATGCAGATCTAGGATGTACGTGCGTCCAAACAGAAATAAAACAATGACTAGGTTTTCAAAATAAAAGCGACACACTTGCATGTTGATGATTTGATTGACGGACTTGATGTGGCCCTTGGGCCGTAAAATGCCGAGGTCTGCTTTAAAACATCTGTTTCAAAAGTACCTGGAAACGAGTATGTAGGACTTTTATACTTGTAAACAAACAAATGGACTAAATGTCTTAATGGAGCGTACACCTAAACTGAGATGAGTGCTTAAGTTGGGGTCTGTTAAAGTAGGTTTAAGCATGTGGCAGACTGGACTCCAAAATCTGCTGTTTCTAAAATGACTAACATCTATAAAAGTTGATAGATTGACTTGTAACATGTGACTTAAACAACTGAATTTAAAAAAGTCTGAAATATCCATTTAATAGTGTCAACGCTTCCTTTTTGGTGCACTTTTGAAAGTGCTTCTGCTGCCTTTGCTTCCATGTTTCAGTCTTATCTGTGAATTCTTTGCAACAGTATTTAGATTCATTTTTAGAAACTGATTTAATGGTCTGAAAAGTCGGTCAGTTATACTGAGAAATCATCACAAGACTCCCATTTGCCTTCAGCTGTTATATTTCTGCCTCTGAGTTACTCCATTACATCTGCTTTTTGGCTTTTAGAGGGACTCTGTGGACTGTTTCTCCTGTGACGTGCACGCCTGTAAGAGTTTCCATAAGTTTCAAAAACACTGATTCATGACGGTGCACAAACTCTGAATGTTCATTTGATTTTTAAAGTCAACCTCATCGTGTGTTTGTCGTATAGATCAGAGGATTTGGTGGCTTTAAAAGGGTTCTAGAGGCCTTTAAATAATGCTGGAGGCTTTTCTGTAAACAGAGGGGAAAAAAAACATCTACCATGTTTCTACAAATAACAGTGACAAAGCATCACATGATGTATTTCACAGTCGCCTGCATGCAAAGAAGTGCACAGAGCTGATAGATTTAACACACACAGGACAGAAATATCTCCCGGCTTGGACTTGTGACATTCTTCGGGAGGCCGCGAACTTTCAAAGAGCTCTTAACATTCAACCGTTTTAAACAGGCGTATGTTATCCTTATCACCCTCTTTCTTTAGGATGAGCCTTTTAAACTGGTATAATGATCATTTTACTTTACCTTGTATTTAAGAGGCTATAAGACGCCAATCATTCAGCAGCAGCAGCAGACTCAGTGAGGTATTTTCGGGCAGCCACATGGGGTTGAGAGGTAAAGACTTAAATTAGAGGTTTGAAATTCCAGCTCGTAATGATCTCTGGCAGTGTCTTAACTGTGTCTTTATAACACAATCCGAAAGACATGTCTGCTATTTAACTCGTGTTTAAAGTTTCCTTTACATTGAACTATCAAATGAACCTAAACGATCTCTTACAGGACGAGCACTTCACAGCTTGGCTAGATGAAAACCGACTCCCTGAGCTTTTAACGAGGTAGTCTTATGCTTGGACATGCTGTCAACGTAAACAGAGGACGTGGTGTCAGGATTGAGAGGTAAACACGTGTTAGAGTAATCCCACGATGAGGCAACTGGCATGTTAAAAAAAACTTGTAATTAGAATTAAACGAGAAGGACACGCGATTCGCCCAATTTGTGATGCCGCCAATTGTGATCGCTTTGTTGCTGGAGATTAAAGAAACAAGAGTTGATTCGTCTGTGACGGCATTGTAGCATTGCAACAGTGGAGGAGGCTTCTGGAGAGCTGGCCAATGGTGACTAAAACAAAGTGTTGTGGTTAAGACTGTTTTTTTAGAGTTATCAGAGGAGCAAAATACAGCCTGAAAATGGACGTAATACACCTTTTTTTTAAAGATTTTACCAGCCAATCAACAGCAACTCTTATAATGAGATATTAAATTTAGTGCCTCAAGTGAAGGCTGGTGTCTTTTGCTTCAATTTAAGAAACTCACAGGATAAAGATGCGCCGCAGCAGGTAATGATTATAAAGTTTCGTTAGCATCAGCGAATCACACGTTCCTGTTTCATGCATCCCTTCATAAGAGGTAGACCGACTTAATGGTTGGACTAATTCATTGTGCTGATCGATGACATTTTTAAATTTTTAATAATCAGTCAGTGCCAGAGCTAATGAGGCGGGTTAAAAAATTAAACATGTATGCGGACACTGCAGGCGGCCTCTTCAGTGTTAATGTTAATGTCCCTCTCAATGATAACACCCATCCTAAATGAGGGCATGTGAAATCAGAAACACTAACTGGCTAGTGTTTAATATTAAATCAGCAGTCCTCGTCTTAACCTTCCTCCTGTGTTAGCTTTCACTACGCACTCACTGTGTTAAGGCTCGGTTTTGACCCGTGTCTTAAATCAGCTGTAAATTACACTAAAAATAATTCTCTATCATCCAGTTTGGTTCTCATCTCTAGGTTACCTTGTTAGGCTTCATTATCCATGAAAATATTGCTTATAATATTTTTCGTTGTGGTTCTCTGTGTCTTTCTTTGTCGGTATACCCCTCACACAGACATCAATACTGAATTGATCTCACATGTCTGGACATGCCCGATGTTGTTTTTGTGCAGGGAAATACACAGCAAAATGAGAATTTACTAAATCTCCCATGATTGAAAGAGGATCTGACTGTCAGTGTGGTGCCTGGCAGTGCACTTAAGATTTCAGTTTTATCTCTAATGATTAGATATTTAACTAAACGGGTCACTCTAACACGACAAGTGCCGTAATTTTAAAAAGAGCATTTTATAATTTAGTCAATTTAATTTTTTATTTTGTTGAAATAGAACTTCCTGACAAAGTCAAAAAGTCTTGATGCAAATAAACTAATTTAAGTGGTTCTTTAAAAACAAAAACAGGTCAGTGCAGACCCTAACACAGGAGGAGGGTTAAATAGGGTAACTAAGTGTAACTTTCTATTTCATGAATGAACTGAAAATCCACCCAAAAGTCTCAAAATCACTGGTGTGTGTGGATACTCTGTGTTATCGTGTCAGGAATTTCATTCATAAGAAAAGTGAACAGTTGAACTGAACCTCCTCCTGCTCCTGAACGGGAGAAAGTACGAGCTCAGTTAATGGTGTCACACCAGGTGTTTTGGTCAAAACAGGAGGTTAACAGCCTTTTGATCTCTGACGTGAACATCCTCCTTGACCTGTTTACCAGCTGACGTCAACACTGTTATTGTTCTGCTGCAGAAATAACCACAGTCACACACTTTTAGGTGGACTCGTAGTTTTTCTGTTTTTGTCTGAAGTTTAAATAAATGCTTTGAACACGTACACTGAGTTTGACAGAGTGAAGCAAACAGTATTATTACGCCATCCCCGATCATTATTTGAGGTTCCTAAACCTTGTGTCAAAACAGACTCAAAAAAGGAACAGATTTTTAACACGTCACAGAAACGTTTTCTGGAAAACCGTGATAAGCACAAAGTAAACGTCACAAAAACACAGTCCGGCTATCCTGGCAGGCTCGTGCAGAACATGGACGCTGTTCGAAAGATGACAAAGTTTTACCAAAACACTTTTCTGAGAAGGTGGGAGAAGAGCAGACGACGAGGGAAAACATGATCCGGAGTTACAGGAAAGTGCTAGAAGAGCACGGAAAAAGAGGGAGACCTTAAAACTGGTTTAAAGTTGGCCGATTTATTAGCGTAAATGTTAAAGTTTTCTTTTAGATGGACAATTAAACTCAGATTAAAGAGATATGTGCAGGTGGGGGCTTGACAGAGTATCATGACCACAATAAGGAAGAACTACAGCTTCTTAATTTGAAGATAAATTGATCCAACTAAAACAATCGCTTGGCGTCTGTTCCCAGGAGTGTATTTTGCTACTCGCCATCAGTGATAAAGATGATTAATCGAAGGATCGCATGCTACACAAAATAAACTTAAAAGTCTTAATATTTTCATGTCTTTGAAGAAATATAAAATCATTGTAATTACATAACAGCAGTTATTCTGATGCCAAAATAACCGCGAACAGGGAATTCGCGTAATAAAGCAGCGTTAACGCTTCTGTGTTGACTCACAGTGGAGCGACGCCGCTGTGAGTGTCCACGCCACTCCGCTATACTCCACCCACACACCAGTAAGCAGTGAGGTCCCTGTGCTCATCATGTGGCCAATTTCAGGTCCCTCCTTGTTTGTGTGCAGGAAACCATGGCGACCGAATCCAGTGGTAGCGTGTCTGAGTTGTAGCTGGTTAATGTTGTGCAGCAGTCGATCACGCTGCGTTTATGCAAAGACGGAGCGAAGAGATGTTTGAGAAGATGGAGGATGTGGGATGGCGGTGGTATGAGTCGTAAACCCACAAGCACTTCCCCTCTAATATTTGCTCGACACATGCTTCCACAGTATGTCCGTCAATGTTACATAATACCTCATATTTCACACTCTGTTGTTGCTGCTTCGCGGCGGTTGATCAGATTTGCCTGAAAACACGTGAATAAATCAGTTTGACACGTCTCTCTTCTTCAGCTGGACCTCTTCGGCTCTTCTTCTTCAAGTGTTGGTTATCTTTGACTTAAGAGAGAGTCAGCGCTCTCACTTTGTAGCTTCTGCTGCTCTGCTCAGAAGCCGGCGACCTTCTAACCCCTCCAACCCCCGCGAGCTAAGCCTGGTCCTTTTTTGGTGTGTGGCCGGATTGGCTCGGTCACAGCTTTCTAGTCACAGGTTATTGGACAAGTATGCGTGTTAAGCCCCGCACAAACTTTAATGACCACGGTGCCATTTAAGGAATGTCCCTGCAGCTGAAGAGACGACCACGGTGACGAGTTTATGATTCTGGGAATTTTACGGCTTTTTCTGCTGCACTCGACGGTTTTGTTGTTTTCTTTAGATGTTCCTGTACACAAACGGTCGTCGTGAGGGTTTTGAGACAACAATATCGCTAAAATTTTAATTTTGATTTTAATATTACTATTATTTTAAAATACATGTAAAAAGATTCGTCTGACTGGAATCGCACTAAAGTTTGCATGCAGAGCTCTGAGATAGAAGTTGAACAGCACAGATGTGCTGCTGGAAGCTGGGCTGAAGGAGAAAGATGGTGTAGAGAGAGTAGAGAGCTTTACAAGTTAAGGTCAAACACACCATAACACTGAGTTAGACACCCCCTCTAGAGATGAATGTTGCCAACCGCTTGCTTCTCTAGTTATACCAACTTTAGTAACGACCGCACGATAGCAATACACAGCGGTCTACATCTCCACATACAAACCTCAACCAAAACGCCACTCTATAACCACAAATAATGCTCAGAACAGCACCTAACTTCATCAACAGGACATATAGGGTCACAGACATAGCACATAGCACTAGTCTCTTTAGCAAAGAGACTAAACACAACTCACCAACTCTCTTCCAGCAGCCGCTTATTTGTGGGGGGAGCCCTGACGAGTCGATCATATAGTGTAGCAGAAAATTTATGATTGTTACTTTATGGAAATGCAATCAGACCGAGACGCTAAGGCAGAAGAACTTCCGTGTCTGCAGTGCACATACAAGATACACAAGAACTCTGATTGCATTTCCGTTAAGTAATAATCATAAATGTTCTTTATTGAGCTGCGAAACTCCGCTGCACTCTGTGATCGACTCGTCAGGGCTCCCACACAAACAAGCGGCCAAGTGGCAAGCAGTCGGCAATATTTCATCTCTGGAGGGGGTGTCTAACTCGGTGACCATAATTCACATTTACGCCAGAATATCCCTTTAAGGCAAGTGGCGGACAAGGTCAACTGATAGTCGCAGGCCTAAAGGGGGCATATCGCCATGTCTTGCCTGGTGCTTGTAGACCGGGACGAAGACAGTTGTCCAGTTAAACCGCCTGATCGAGCTATAACTACAGTGTGACTAATCTGTGCACGTAAACACGCAGAGTAAGAGCCTCTACAAATACAAATAAAAGTGTGGTTTCTTTCTGATTCGCAGCTGTTACTAAAATTGAGATTTTCACTCATCATATGTTTTGGATCTTCAGTAAGTTGAGGAAAGTCTTGAACATGTTCAGCCTCCAGCCTAAAAACTCTCTTCATCCGCTGCGTTTTGCACGTCCAAACCTTCCACTCAATCGATAACAGAGTTTTGTACTTAAAAAAAAAATGTTGCTGAGGCTGATTTAAGCTGAAAAGTTCTCCTCACATGCCACATGTGTCAGCCCGGCATTACTAAGTAGACAGAGATAAAAACTCATCCCTCACAGAGGCATGACCCTGGGCACAGTGACATCCCTCGCGCTGACGTCTGATTGGTCAACGGGCGGCACGGCCCACCCTAAAAGGACTAACAGCCGCATTCAGACACCCCTGGGCATCTGCCTGTGTGGGACTGCATGTGCAAACAATACTGCATGTGCCACTGTTGGTACAGAGGAGGCAGTACAATCAGTGACAATGGTGTGTGTGTTGTTAGTTTAGCAGTGCACACAGGGTGAAGCAGAAACCCCGTGCGACCCTTGACCTCTCATTCGACCGCGAGTTGAGCTCGTAAAGCTTTCTATTTGTATAAAATTGGACATTTGTGGTCACATGGTACGTCATGTGACCATGTCTTAAAGCGACCAGGGGTATTTAACGGCATCCAGGACCCCTGGTCTACAGTCTGATGTTGGCTATGATACAGTTTAGATCACAGGATCTTTCCCCTTCACATCAATAGTATTGATTTATTTCTAATTACTGTATATGATTCAGTCCACACCCTTTCAAAATAAAAGCTTGTATTTGTAAACAGAGGGTTCGTAACTTTAGATTTCCTTGTTCCTTGTTTCTGAGTTGCACTTTTTCTGTGTAAAGCCTTCATGGTCATTTGTGTTGCTTCAGACTCGTGTGTGTGTGTGTGTGTGTGTGTGTGTGTGTGTGTGTATTGGGGGAGTTTCAAGGGTGCTTACGACCATGCTCAAAAGAAGGTGGAGTCTGAGTGAACTCCATCCGCCCTCATTGGTCACCAGAGGCCCTCCTCCCTCCCTTTTAAAAGCCTGCTTTCTCACCTGAGTTACAAAAGAGCTGCAGCTCTCACCCTCTCACTCGTCCATCATCTAAATCTTATTAATTCAATTGACTCAAATACAAAAGGACCCCTTGTGGTGCCAATTTAAGGAACTTTGGATAAAGTAAGTATGCATTCTTTACATTAAATCTACATATCTAGACTTTGCAAGGAATTTGATCTTATGCCTGGAAGTAACATGCTGAAAAAAAATCTCTAAAAGACAATCTTGTCATGAGGAAAAGTTGTTTTTTATACTCAAAGCAAGAGCATTTACTCAACTTTTCCAGCTGCAGCAGCAGCAGGGGTGTGTTTGAGAAACACACTAGTTCTCATTCAGTCACAAGTCAAGTTGAGTGAGTTTCTACTGTGAGCTCTGCCGGGAGGAATTTCTCTCTCAGGTGGCTGATGCAAGAGTTTGTTTGGATGAAGGATGTTGGGAGAAATGGGGAGTGTTTCGCAGAGTGGAAACGAGGATTTTCCGAGACTGATCTGTCATAATATCAAGTGGTCTTGAAAGTTAAAACTAAGAAGGAGTCGAGTGCATGTGAGTGACTTTTTTTTAAGCGTCTGTTTCCAAAGTTCTTAACAGTTTTATGTTCTGTGTTACGACAGCGACTGAGATGCATGCAAAGCTTTTTCATGACTTGTATGACCTTCTTCTCCTAAACTTATCGACTCATGACAAAGTTGAGCAGATTATGCACGTCGTTTTAGATGTGTGAGGAAACTACAAACAGGAGGAAGTGTCCTTGCTGATAAGTTTGTCTGATGTATTTGCATATTTTTCCTCCTGTTTCAAGAAGTTGCCATGCAGGAAAAGTTAACATAACATGAGGGTAAAAATCTTTGACTTTGTACAAGTTTTTAATCAAATTATGACTCAAAGACTGTTTTTATAGACCATTAACATGCAGATAATTTTAACGCTGCTTGGGTTAAATTAGATCTGAAAAAGACATTTCCTGACTGCAAACTGAAAAAGTTTCACGTCGAGTTTCAATCAGTGCAAAATAAAATCTCACGTTCCCTCAGAGCGATTCTTGGACTGACTTAAAAATGGCGCAGAGTTTTTGACGCATAAATTAATCTGAAAAAAAAGAGTTAATTCTTGGTTCAAGGGCAACCTCCATGCCTGTCTTGCTGAGGGCGTATATCATCACAGTCGTAGAGAGGTGCTCGTGCAGTTATATGAGAGGGAAGAAAAAGGTAAGAAGTTGCGTAATCAGGAAGAATCTGCAGCTCGTTGCGGGTTAACGTGGGGTCTGACGCCCACTTAGCATAAAAATGGCTGCAAACTCAGGTGTCAAGACATCTGAGGACCCTCTGAGGGCACAATAGCAGAGTGATGCTCAGGCCACTTACAGCCATTACCATGTTGTACTCATCTGAGCACAGTATTCACATTTATCTCTTGCCTCTAAAGGGATTCATGTTTGTTTTAGACCGTTTCGTTAGCATTTGTCTGGACCTCGATGGTCTCAGCAGGCTCCGTGTGCAGCTGTGATCTCTTGCAAATGTGGAGTCTTAGCAAAGAAAGTTCCAGCAACAAGTAGGCGCCCTCCTTTTTCGAATGGTTGCCGTGTGGCACACTGCCATACACGTGCGCCTCTATGCTATGGCTGCAACAACCGCAGCATTAAAACCAGGGGGCATGTGAAGTTAACAAAGTCAGACAGGTTAATCCTCTTGGCAACGAGAGTAAAAACCATTCCTCGTTTCACTCTCGCCACAGAGCAGACAGCGGCGCAGACGGATTGGAGTGAACTGGCGTGTGTGATATGGTTGTTAACGGTAATGTAGCCGCTTAATCTCTGTTGGCTCAAAGAAGTCTGGTTTTAAAGCAAACCACTTCCGAAGAGCTGGATCACACGGAGAACCACGGTGAATGACAGATCTTCAGAAGAAGTCTTGGACCAAAGTGCATCAAGGTGGAGAATTTTGACGTCTTTTGCATGGATAGTGGTGTTGTAACTGCAAACACTCTGCAGGTACTGTGATGCAAAAGACCTGCTGAGAAATATCTGGTGTCTTGAGGATCAGTTGCTTAACAAGCATTTGTGGTTTCCTGTATTTACAACTTTCTTGTTCTTCCTTTTCGCCTCATTTCATGTTTATTCAAGCCTTCTGCACGTATTTGCTCTATTTCTGTAAAGCTTTACGTCGTTGTCCCACTTTCAGCTCGTTTCACGAATCCATTAACTCTGAAAACACAGAAATAGACAGTATCATGGCGGGTCCTTAACTGTCTCCTCCATGTGCTACTCAGCGCCTCCTCCAAATCAAGTAGTTCCTAAAAATACCAGCGCCTCATTGTCCTGAAATCACCTTGAACATGTCAGGAATTCATATCCTCAGCTGGGTTGGGATTCCTCATGTTATCATTCTGCGCCCATCCTTGGAGCCGCCTTCTAACACGTGAGAGACAGATGGATAGTTAGCGGTTAGCTGTTAGCTGGGTGACAAATACAGGGTCCACAAAGAAGAGGGCCTATAAAAGCGAATACTCTGCACAACTTTAAGCACATAACTTTGTCGCTGCTCAACTGTTCAATGTGTAAATAGACGACATCGCTGAAGGCATGTTTGATTTCTGCAGCAAAGACGTTGTTCTCCGCTGCTGAACAAACAATCACAAAGCCGGTCACTCTGATTTCTCCGTCTTACTCCAGAACATAAATATCCACTTACAGGCACTTCTCAAGGCTTTAGATAGAGAGCTGAATGCTCGCTCGGTTTCCTTATTTCCAATGCCTTTGCTTGCTATATGTCTGCTGCAGAAATGTGGACTCACTGTGATATTGGTGGATCTAGGCGGAGATTTCTACATACTTTTCCAGTAGATTTTTCTGTGGGGTTCATATCTTTTAACATGGCACCACAAAATCGTTCTCTGGCTCCATTTAGAGGTGCGGTATCTCTTGTTTTTTATCATGTGCGACACTTTTGTTCTTGTACTTTTGCACTTGGTGGTGATTCGTGTTTTCCTGGCATTGTTTGTTGGCGATTCCTCCTCAAAGCTCCGTAGCCTTACATGATTAAAGAAGGCCGCTGGTTGCATCTACGCTCTTTGTCCATTGTCTTGGCTCTTTCCTTACATAACTCCGTGATGAATGCGTCCGATGGAAAATGTCAGAGTGTGTGACCCTGCACGGAGCCGTTGGTTTCTTCTTTCAATGCAGTGGGTGAGGCTGAGTAAATGAGCTTGTACATGAACAGGGCTGCCTGTTGATGGAGGTGGCCCCACCAGGTGGCCCCATGAACTTGATGCATCCTTGACCTGGTTTCAGGGTTTGTTGACTTAAACTTAAGTCAATAACCTCCGTGTGCGTCAGAGTGGGCTTGCCATGTCGTAAAATTACCTGTCGTGAACGTGGCATGGATTTCGTCACACATCGGTTTGGTAATGGTTAAAAATGTAAATTTAATTGTTAACAAATGAATCTGGTATTAAAGGGTTATGGCGATAAAGCTCTTCAGACTCTGCCAGTCCTCGTGAAGCTGAATGAGGCACCAGTGTTGCATCACAACCCAGCTCTCCTCTTCAAGGCAACATGACAAATAGTCCTTCATTTCCAGGAAATGGGATGGACTGGTTTGCAGACTAGAAGGCCTCAGTTCTCTCTGCAAAGTGTTCATCAAGGCCAAAAGCCTCCTTTGAGGGCGATAACGCCAGACAATACATGTGCATGCCTGGAAATTTGCATTCCTGTGGTCGACTTTACTGTAAGCGAAATTTAAGACTCTGGAAAGCAGCCTGGATGGTTGTTAAAAGTTAAGAATAGGTGTCTTCAAGTCGATCTGAGTCACTTTAACCTCTAACTGTTTCTTTCGTGTCCATCTTTTTAGGTCGACCAGAAGTTAAGGAAGAAGTTTGTGAATTATAAACCCCTGAGATCTTAAAACCAAACTTCTTTGACATCTATTCTGCTGTGCACCACCATGCCGGGAGTCGTGGATCGTATGGAGCTGAGGAAAGTCTCCACAGAGGCTGACGATGATAGCACAGACAGCCTGGACGACCGCTTCACAGAGCCCATCGACTCTGAGAAGGCCACCATCGACAGGTAGGCGAACAAAGTGAGAGGATTTTATGATCAGAGGACTTTTGGTAACGGAGAAAAGAACAAATCCCTCTCAACATCTTATCTTCTCTTTTAGTTCTGGTTGCTGCTTTACATAAACACACACTCAACCTGTCTTCTGTCATTAACTGTGCTAATTATATACATGCAAACACAGTCTTTGTGAAGGTGTGGGAAGTTTGAAGACACAGCAACTCCAGAGCATCTGAGCTTAGGGCTCGTCAGGGGTGTGTATTCGGAGTAGACGACTTTAAACCCGCAAGTTTATAAGGTTACATCTCGAATTAAAAATGTATTTGCAGCAATTCAACTGATCCAAAAGCGTTGAATCATGAGGAGCTGATAACTTGTGTTAAACTGCAAGGTCAAGGTGGTAATTTTGGGACACAGACACCCCTCCATGACCTTAAATATCAGCTGATCCTCATTGTTTACATCAGGGCATCGTCACCTTCCGGTTACATGTTTGAACTTCAGAGCAAATCAAACTTTATTTAAGCAGAACATTCAGCCAAAATAAAGTTTACATAATGAGGAGGATCCACCGGCCCGGGGTCAATCTGAGGCTAGTTTTGTTTACTTTTAATTAAAATTCAGGAAATGTGTCGCACAACGCTTTTAGTCCATCTGAAGACATGTACGCATGTTTCAATAAATCATGACTCCTCTCTTTAAAATCCAGATTTTTCCATGTGGTTTTAGTCCCGAACGGTTTCAGTTCCTTTGAATGTATGAACCGACGGTTATCGTCTTCCCTGTCTTTGCAGCCAATTCCTGGACGACATGGATGACGGAGAAAGCCAGAAGTTCCTGACAAACGGGATGATGAAGAAGAAGAAGTACGAGGAATACCATGAAGAATATGTAAGAGAATTTAAAGCCGCAGTATGCGTGTTTTTGTTGCCCGTTAGTCAGAGAAAGGTCCCGTTTCTACCTGCAATGTCTAATTTTAATGATAACACTGCCACACGATGGAGCTTGTGAGCTTAAATATTAGACGATGTAACAGGAAAAACATGATTTGATGCACTACTTAGTTTGGGTGCACAGCATGCTTGTGTTTAGATTGAGGGTGGATATTCACTTTAATAATAGCTTGTGGGAGACGAAATATTAACCGGTGGAATTTACTTAGTACTTTGTGGTTTGCTGCACACTGAGAAATAACATTTAAATACTCCTCCGTCGCTCATCCGTTGACTCTTCTCCCTGCAGCATCCCGGCCACACCTCCTTTGGGATGTCCGTCTTCAACCTGAGCAACGCTATCATGGGCAGTGGCATCCTGGGCCTGTCCTACGCCATGGCTAACACTGGCATTATTCTCTTTACGTAAGTAGAACAAATGACATGCATGTCAGGACACGGCGTGACAGGACAGGCGATGTGCTGCTTTAAAAACGAACCAAAATACGTCAGAAAAGCTGCGACCCTGGCGGCGATTTACGGCGTTGTCAATCAAGATCCAGTTATGTAATCTTCCTCTGGTATTGTTTGAACTTAGACAGGGATGTCATTAAAGCTTTCATGAAAACGAGTCGAGCACAATGCTTTCTACAAATAGTATCAGCAGATAATGCGAAATAAGGTTGGGTAAAGTTGCATCACGTTAAGTGGAAGCTGTAGAAAAAGACGGCTTGAATACAGGATGATTGATGAGTGGAAACCCGTGCCAAAAACAACACAAGCTACTTTAGTGAGTTATGATGGCTTATTAATACGATGACAAAACAAAAATGTTTGCTCAGCATCGAAGTCGAGTCACCAAATCTAAATAATCGGCTCTAAACATGATTAGGGATAACAAATTAGACAAGTCCAGAGTTTAGACTTCATGTTAGTGCTGTATGAAAGGTCAGGGCTTTAAAATAAGAGGTATGAGCTTTAATGTGTCAGCCTTATTTCATGAAATGTCACATTACCACCTGGAATACAGAGCAGCTCATGGAAATGTTTGACCCTCTGCACTCTCAGTTCCTCTGGCATCTGTCACCCAGCTCTGTCCGCTCAGTGCTTATGCATTATCAGCGTCCATGGGCGGCTTCCAACATCCAACCCCCCTCGCAGTCATCGGACACCCCTTAAATCCCACCTCATGCAGACTCCTGCTGTCCGCTATCTCTGCTATCTGGCACCTTTTGAGCTTAAGGAAATTTACAGGGTGTCAACTCTTTTGGGCTAAATATAGACGAGAGATTTTGTAAAAACTTCTGAAAAATGTGATTGGAAAGGGGAAAATACATCACTTCATTTAACCCCAATCAACACCAGAACAAAACCTTTTATTTCCTGCCATTTCAAAGGAATATTTAGTTGCATTGAATTAAATTTGCTAGCAATAAAAGTATGATCCGCCTGTCTTTGGTTGACACTCTGTGGTATCTGGAGCATGCAGCAGTTGCATGCATTGACATATCATCAATGTGACAGGGCATTGGTCATGCTAGGTCCATATAACAGTCACATGTCTCCCCAGACAACCTCCCCCCAAAACATACAAACAACTCTACTGACGCACATGTCCGACAGCTGCAGTGTCCCACAGCTACCTCGGAAACATAAATAATTCAAAGCGACCACGTCAAAAGTTATTTGGAAGAAATGTATTTCTGTAGAGATTTACGTCATCACAGACACATCAACCTCACTGCCTGATATTACACTAATCCGGACTCTTCCCGTCTTGCTGTTATTTGCATCTTTTTCTCCGTTTGTATAGCTCAAGGACACCAGCGCTGACTCGTAAGGAGGGTGTGTTGTTTTTACACTGATCACTTACCTCTGCTTTCCCTCTCCTCGCAGGATCCTCCTCGTTGGCGTGGCCATCCTCTCCTTATATTCTGTACATCTGCTTCTTGTGACAGCGAGAGAAGGAGGTCAGTAACACAACCCGCCTGCAAAAGATCAACAAATGCCTTTAAACAAAAAATGCATTTATTATTCTGTTGGCAACAGCAGCCAAGAAAAAATGCCTGTTTCTCTTTCTTTTGTTTGTGGTTCAAGTTAAATGGTTTGACCCCTTCAGGCCTTTAAAACAGCCGTGCAGTTAAAGCTCATAATATAAAGACATTAAGCATTTAAGAAGAGGTCACACCCAGAATAAGAGTTGAAAACCACTGCACTAAATCTTGTGCCAAAATGTTATATCTCCACACTGAGCCCAAAATTAGGGTGTCATTTGAAAGACAGTTTTACAGAGGAAAACAGAGATATGTACATTTTTCAAACTTGATCCGCCACGTCACAACCTACACTTTCTCTACTTTTACAAGAGTTTTATTAAGTTGTTCGGTTTTCTAATTTCACATCACGTTTGCTTTGCCAGGATCCCTCATCTATGAGAAGCTGGGAGAGAGAGCGTTCGGTTGGCCCGGCAAGATAGCAGCATTCGGATCCATTATCATGCAGAATATAGGAGGTGAGGAAAGTATCTCAGACTCATGATCCCTGATTGCAGCAGAGGGTTTAATGTCAGGAGATTTAAAGCCTTCTGTGTCGTGTTTTTTTTCACCGTTTCACAGCGATGTCCAGCTACCTCTTCATCGTCAAGTACGAGCTTCCTGAAGTGATCCGAGCTTTCTTGGGCTTGGAGAAAATCTCGGGGTGAGTGTTTGTCCTTAAAGCTCCTGTGGGAGAGATTTGACATTTATGAAATAGACTGTAATTTGGATTGATGGTTATTATTGATATACAAAAGCCAACAAGATCATCAGTGACAACATTGACAACATATTAGGTGTGAGGTGTCAGCAAAGCAGCTGGAAGAACAGCTCTGTTTTTTTATTTACCATTAAATACTCATAATAACAAAGGACAAGATAAGACTGCCTTGTCTGTAGGGGGCACCAAAAGTGACACAAACCAGTATTCCTCACAGGAGCCTAAATAAGTTCAGTGTGTACATTCAGTGTGTTCAGTATTTTAACCTCACTCTTTCTGCAGTGAATGGTACATGGATGGAAACTACCTGGTGATCTTCGTGTCAGTCGGGATCATTCTGCCTCTGTCCCTCCTTAAAAGTCTGGGTAAGGACTCTGTGTTTGCTTTTTTTGACTTTAAACCTCACAAGCTGTGATTCAGAAACTCTTGATACTGCGAGAAGCACAATCAGAGCTGATTCCAGCCTTCTGAAGCTGCTTTTGTCACGGTGTTTTCCTCCTGTGTGCTTGCAGCTGTTTAAAATTCAGAGAAAAAGAAATGTGAAGCTGAGGCAAGCCCTTCGTCAGCTCCAGCAATTAGGAGTTACCGTAACGCAACACTGCTATGAGGCCTTTAGTCAGTTCCAGCACTCCATTTATGAGGCCATGAGTCAGATCCCCTCCTCTGGCTTAACTCCAGTGAGCCAACTTGTTTCTGCAAGTAAGCTGCAAGCTGAGCCCAGAGCTCAAATTATGTAATTAAGACAATAAAACAAAGAAGTGAGTTAAATAGATTCAACTTTTCTGTGTCTGTTACGATGATGGGTACTAAATAAAGTCAGTGTTCCTTCTAGATATCAGAGGCTTTCTTCAGACTTTATCTCCGGTCTGAACTCCTGTCTCTTCTCGATTACCCCGGTTTATTTAAGGATCTGGGTCAGGACCTAGACCGAAGCACGATGTGATCCACTTCCAAGAATAAACAGTAATAGAAGATGATGCCAACATTGAAAAGACAGAGTGCAGAGTTGCACAGTCAGAATAGCACATAGAACATAGCATTACATCAGTCCGTGCTGTTACTGAATGGCGTGTCTCTCTTTAGGTTACCTCGGCTACACCAGCGGCTTTTCCCTGACTTGCATGGTCTTCTTCTTGAGTGTGGTAAGTAATGGTTTTCAGAAATGATACGAAAAACATGAAAATCAGGTCTTTTATGGTCTTTTATAGCTTTTACGGTATGATCTACAAATTTACGCCAATGAGGACGAACCCTAAAACTGCATTCTCCCTTACGGCCAGGAGAGGGCGACTTGTCTTAGAAAACTTTAGAAAACATTAGCAGCTAAATACAAAAACAGCGCTCGCGTGAGAAGCTTAACCCCAATTTCCACCGCATCCGGAACGGCTACGAAAAGGCCGTATCCACCAATCGTAGTTGATCGTAACGATTCAAGTTAATGTGTCAATTTCCAACAACTTCATTCTGTTCCGCTGGGGATCACCAGACTCTGCAAGAGTTCTTTTTTTCAGGACGCAGGATAAATTGGAAGGGAAGGGATAAATGCTGGAAGGGAAGTCGGGCACATACATGCAAACGGGCGGGGACAAACAAGTGAAAGGTTTATAGACAGCATTTCACCCCGATGACACCATGGATGAGGAGATGCTGATTCTAGAAGTCTAGAAGTAGATTTCCTCCTTTTGGAAGGACAAAGTCTACTGCTTACATGGTTAGCCTCTGTGACTTGTTATCGCGCGATTGTGCGTGAATCTGCGGGTTCTTGTGAGTTCTTGCGATTCCTGCTGTTTGTAATCTGCCACGAAATTCGCCTCACAAACGGATCCGGTAGGAATTGGCGGACGGCAAATATTGCCTCCGTTCCGGATCGGAGCTGTTCTGGATGCGGTAAATATTGGGGGTTAGAGTTCAACAGAGAGAGAAAACTAGATAAATCCTTATGGCGATGTATAATGTTTCTCTCTGCTTCCCCCATGTGGCGAAGAATAATGGTAGTTGTCGTTCCCCCGCCACTATAACAGTGCTGTTAGGCTCACTAGATGACTAACATGCCACCTAGCTGGCTAATAAGTGTGGCATTTGACCCCGTCCTTCTGCCGCCGGACAGTTCAGGACCTGGACAGTTCGTCTTACACCGAGTGCCCAGTTTCAAAGCATGTGACTGCGGTCCACTCTTTTAGAGATTACATCATGTAGAAAGTGAAGGTGAAACGCTTCACTATTTTAAAATGAATGCTAAAATAACAGGATTACGGAACAACTCATTAATCATCCTTTTTGAAGAATGTAGTTTTATTAAAGACAGACCTTGAACGTTTTGGATTTTGAAGCACTTACCTGTCCCAAAATGGAATCATGGTTTAAAGATACTGACATAAATCAGGAATACGGGGAGAGTAATTTTTAAAAAAGGACTCTATTTTATAAAAATAAATATACATTTACTGCCTGTTAAACTAGCGTGCGTAAATCATTGGTTAGGACTCTGGCTTTTATGAAAAGACTGGGCGATTTTTTATTTGAACATAAACTGTTTTTTGTAGGTGATCTACAAGAAGACCCAGTTGCCCTGTCCTCTTCCTTTCCTCGACCATCACTCCTCCAACCTCAGCATGAACGCCTCGGACATGTCGGGGTTGTACCATCCGCTAAACAACTCGGCGCAGATGGATTTCTCTCGGGCTGAAATCACCCCGGCTGTCCCCAGCAACAGCGACCCTCACCACTCCACCAGTGTCCACTTCGAGCCCCATCCCGACGATGAGGAGATGTGCACACCCAAATACTTTGTCTTCAACTCACAGGTATGATTGAGTTGATGGTAGCGAACAGGTTAGCGTGAGTTAATGACGTGTAGCAGAGCGCAAACTTTCTCCCTCTCTGAGCCTTTGTCCAACTTGCTGAGGACGCTATTATGTGAACATAAGCTCTGTGAGGGCGTGTTAAGGTGCGTCTTTCACCTATAGTCCCATTAGATAAACATTTCATTCTGTGGCTGCAAAACCGAAATTAAGAATACAGGATAAAGTTTCTATCTGCTAATTTTAGCTGTTAAAGACAATCATTACGATGTACAACCCCTGAGTAAAATGACTGCATTTGCACAATATGTAGGACTGCTGTTCATACACAAGGCATCTTACAACCTACAATTCTTACAGAAAAGAATGCCAAGTATTCGCCGCGACATGTTTGATCAGGGTGGAGTTTTCAGGGTGTGTTTTTGTCTTTTTGTGTGTTCTGGGATTTGTGTGTGGGCTCACAATCCAGACAAGACCATGAACCGTAGCGTAGAAACAAAACCAAGCAGGGGCACAAGGTTACTTGCAAAAGCGTGCGTTCAGAAGGAGATTTTTTAACCCCATTTTTAAATTTTTCCCTCCTTTTTGGACTATAACAATGTGAACACGTGTTAAAAATACATCCACAGGGAAAATTTATTACATGCCTCCGCCCTACTGAACACAACAACACTATAATTGTTAGCTAAGAGGAGGGAAATCATTTTGTTCAATCAGTCATTGAGGGGAGGTACGCCAGCGGCTGCAATCAAAGTCAGCACTTCTGGACTAAATGTCTCAACATGTTTAATAGGTAACTGTCATTGTTTGATGCGTTTAGTCTCACATATTTCTGTTCATTACTTCCTCAGACTGCCTACACCGTACCCATCCTCGCCTTTGCTTTCGTGTGCCACCCTGAAATTCTGCCCATCTACAGTGAGCTGAAAGAGTAAGTTCCTCCTCTCGAACATTTACATCATGCATATAGCGCCATCACCTCTGAATGTCTAACTCAGTGTTACGGTGTGTTTGACCCTAAATTAATTTTACGCCGGATTATCCCTTTAAAATTCCAGTATACATGCTCTCAGTCTGTTTGCTGATGGTCTCGTTCGCCTTTGTATATCATAGAAAGACTTCCATATAAATTTCTGTCTTTTTTATCAATGTAAAAAAAACTCCTTATAGGAGCTTTAATATGGACGCCGAGAACGTGACACTTGCAGCATACACCAGAACCACACTTGAAAGTTACTTATAACTAACTGTAAAGCACGTGAAAGCATGAGGAAATTTAATCTATCAGGAGAATAATTGTCATGTTAATGTTTGTGTTGATGTTAAACTCACCTTGTTTAAACTTGGCGGCGGTGCTCCGCGTTAGCCGTCCGTGTTCATGCTAGCATAACGCTTTTTAGCCGCGTATGTATCCGGTTTTCCGTGTCGCTACGTGATTCACCTCTGGTTACAACTGGTCATAACCGGTTCACTAAGGTCCAGAACTCGGTAAATTTATCAACTTTCTGTAAAAAGTGCCATTAAACAGTTCAAGAAGGACGACGCCATTTCCTGCTTGGAGTGATAAACGGAAGCTCAACGTTTTTGTTTCCATGGTAACAGCGTGTTGTGTGTCACCAAATTAAGAGTCCGTTAAACACAACCCTTCTGCCAAATGAAGTTCCATAAATCCTTTTCTCAAACGTGATTGAGTTGTGTTTATGGAAATTAAAAAATCTTTATTTCAGTTACCTTCAATAATAATTCACTCTCCTGGTTTATTATGATTTTTTATTGCACTAATGATGAATTGGCAGTTATCCATGCAGTCCCAATTCTGAAATAAACTTTAAAAGCTGTTTCTTTAAAAAATATATATAAATCTTTCTTCTTTTACAATGTAGGTAGTTTTATTTTTGACTCCTTTAAACTCGCTCTACTGTGTTGATACAAACCTTTACAAAGGGTTAATACAAATGACTTGTATTCCTGAAGGATCCAAAAGCAGAAACAGTAGTTTCAGCTTTTCTGTAACGTTTCAGGTCTTGGTCAAATTGAGAGGAGTCATTAAAAGAGAAAAGCTTTTAGCCCCGCTCCTCTGGGTGTTGTCTGGACATGTCCAGCAGTGCAGAGGAAGTGTAGGGGGCTTAAATTTTCTTGGCGTTTATCTTCAACTCTCAAGTGTACACTTAATCTTTAAAAAGCGGAGGGGCCTCTCAAACAGTGAATGTTTGTGTTGTTTCGCAGTCGCTCCAGGAAAAAGATGCAGAACGTCTCCAACCTGTCCATCTTGATGATGCTCGTCATGTACATGCTCTCGGCGCTGTTTGGCTACCTCACCTTTTATGGTAGGAACAATCACACACTAAAGCAACGGTTGCCATCTCTTATCATATGTAATAAATAATTTGGAGGATATCAGAGAGTCTGGAACTTTCCTGTCTTTGCAGTGCCAAATTTCTTTCTTTCACATTAACGCTTCACATATTTTCCTTCTAACGCAGATAACGTGGAGGCCGAGTTGCTCCACACCTTCACCAAGGTGTATAAGTTCGACACCATGTTGCTGCTGGTGCGTTTGGCCGTTCTCACTGCCGTCACCCTGACTGTCCCCATTGTGCTGTTTCCTGTAAGTACACCACGCTTCAACACACAGCCTGTCTATTTAAAGATTGTTTAATTTCTCTCCTGGATAATCGTTGTGTCTAGAAGGCTTTCTCATTTTTTGGGCGTTTTGTTTTGATTATGATGAATCGGTGATGTAATTTGAATCCCATCAGGCAACACAAACATGCTCTTCAAGCACACACAAACAAACACCTCCCAAAAAATGTGCCACTGACGCTGTCCAGCTCCTTCTAAAACCATTTATTCAGCCAAGCATGTTACCGCCACTTTGTGTCACTCTGCTTACAGACCGTGTTTTGTGTTTGCTGCAGAGGGAGAGTCTTGATTTTGTTGCTTTTGGATGCAGTTTACTTTAAAAAGAACAGACTGTTCAGTTTCGCACTGTGCTAGTGTCGTCATCTTTAAATCTCAGTGCACACAGACTCAGGTCGTAGTGTGCCACACCTCTTAATTACGCTGACACACACTTCGAGATCTCCACAGCGAAGCCTCTTTTCCTCCTCCTCCTCTTCTTCTTCTTCTTCTCTCAAAACAGGGTCAGAGTTTAAGCCCCTGAGTAACCAAAACTTATCATCTGAGTCGCATTCATTCACATGTACGTATACTCACCCTTTAGCCTCTCAGCTCCATATATGTCCAGGAGCTAAATTTAGCGTCGCCCTCATCTGACATGAGGAGAACAAAAATGGCCGCTAGCCAGAGAAAGTTGCATGCCCCAGTTTATCTTTCATACAGACACAAACACACACGCAAACACACAGTATATGCGAAGAAAAGTGGCTGCCAATTTATGAGTAATGTCCAAAGAGGCTGCAGGTGCGTCAGAGATCCACCAGGGGGCGGCAGATCCGTATCTGGAAAGTGCTGACAGAGAATGATGCAGCAGTGAGTGCATACCAGGGAAATATACACAAAGCACTCACACACACACACATTCAAATACATTCAAAATACACAAAATATTTACAGATAGTCACAGATATAAACATGGAAATGTAACTTTGTGGTTATTTAATGATTTCCTGATTTTTCAAACATAATCAGGCACCATTACTTTCTTAAATCGCTAAGTGATGTCTGAACTCTCACACTGGGTGTTCCCATTCTCCCTCATATACCTTTAACAAACACTCATAAAATCAGACACACACCCCTCCCTCGGCAGACACTGCTGTTTTTTCTGTCTGGGGGAATGCGAGAGAGGATCCCCTCCTCCTCCCTCCCTCCCCTCTCTCTCTCTCTCTCTCTCTCTCTGCAGTGGAAGTTTACAGCTTCACAGTGGACAGTGGAAAAACCCTCACCCTGACTGCCGACTTCAGGGAGATAAAGGGGCGGAGTCAGTGAAACAAAGGGGGTGGGCTAGCGGAGAAGGCGGTCAGATTGACAAACCTTTTCCAGGGCTGCACATGGTTTTTGTATCGTATCAGTGATGGGAGGGAGTTTTAACTAGCAGATGCATCATCCAATTAGGGGAAAAACAGATTACTAATCAAACTAATCAAAGTCATCAATCTGTGCGTTGGGATCAGTCACTTAAGTGTTTGATTAATTCATTCAGAGTTTTCCAGCATCCTGAGTAATGATCACAAATATAAAAGAAAATGTCATACACTGTTTTTAATGTGGACACAGTCATTGAGATGCCCAAAGATGCTGGTCGGCATATTTGAAACCTGTCAGTCAAACCAGCTCTTATTATTCCTCTAATTAGTCATGCGTCTGAATTTTTATGTCAAAACAGTTTAAAGTTGCTGTCAGGATTTTTAACTCGACTGTGAAACAGGCTGAAATTCAAATACAGACTCTTAATGAGCCAAAAAAATTAAATAAAATCATAAAGAATAATAGCAACAACTGGACAGAACCAGAAAAGATTGGTTTGTCCACAGGGGGGCGCCAGATTCAGCACAAACTCAAGAGTTCTTCACAGGAGCTGTAAATCATAGAATTACTCCTGCACTTTGGTTTTTTAGCTGAACTTTTTTCAGCTTTTTTTAGTTTGTAATTAAAGGAAAAAAACATTGTGCTGATACAGTATTTATTCATTTTAAAGCTGTTTGTTAACTATCATTTCACAGCTAATGTGTGTGTGATGCAGTATTTGTTTTTCTAATAATAGCAAACAGTAAAAGCAAAAGTTTATTTGTGTAGGGAAATGAGTAAACATCATCCAGACGGTAGCAAGAAAATTTGCATGGTGCAAAATGTATTTCACATCCAGTTCAGTTTTTTTTTTTACATAATACTTTACGCTTTAGGGGCTTGTTGTTTTAAGTAATGTAACTTAAGGCAAATATGCAGACTTTGCTCCTGTAGTTCCTTCTGTTGACCTCTGTGGGGCAGAATACTGATATATCAGTCTTGGGAAAGCTACACAGATTGTTTTATATCAGGAAATTTATCTGGTTACCTTCATATTTATGTATGCCATTCACTGAAGCTGAACACAATACTGTTTTTCGATTTAACCACCATGAAGAGAGATCAGCCTGTTTAAATAATGAAGAGTGAGAGTGAAGAAGACTAAATTTACAGAGGGAAAACTGAAGACTGAAATGAGACGCCGCTGAGCAGCTGTAGGGACTTGTATCTCAGTGAAAGGCAGGATCACATTCAGGGTTAGTGGTTCAGATTCCTCTGCAGGCACGTGCAAAACAGGCATGACCGCCGTTATCTACAGTGTACAGTATGCACATGAGCCGTGAAGCTTTTTATAAATGTCGAGCAGATTCTTTGTGTTGAAAGCCTGGTGACGGACTGGTTTCGGCCTGTGTATACCTGCATGGAAACCTATGAGAGGTGTGAGTCATAAATTCACCCGTTTCTTAGAGACAGCGGTTAGAATTGCACGATTTCGGTTTGTTTTAATTAGATAAAATCGCCGTGAATGAAGATTGACAAACTTGGATGCAAAGAAGAGCTCGGCGGCTCGGCCAAGTTTCCAGCTGACATTTAAGAATCTCGCCTTGAATCCCCCTGACCTTCATTTTGCGGGGAAACGCCGCAGACCTTCAGTCAGAGATTAACATTAGCTTTGTCTGCAGGCCGCTGTCCTTGGTTCCAGAGGGGAAGTGCTCGTGTGTGAGCGAACAGAGGGTGTATGTGTGGGACCAGACGTGCATTTGACGTGAAAACGAGTGTGTAGTGTATGTGTGTGTGTGTGTGCAGTCACGTGAAGGATAGATGCTAACAGAGGCCAGCTCACACAGGGCTTTGCCAGGATCCAGTACATAATGAAAGGGCTTTATGGGGAGTCAACCATGCCCCAGTTCTCAGGCTCCAGCGGCAGATTGAAAGCATGGGAGGAGGACGCCGCCGCCGCCGCCACTGCCGCCGCTGCCGAGTTGATGAACAGCGCTAACATCACTTTTATGTCTCACGATCCTGGAGTCAAATCTGTCCCCTAATGAAGACCTTTATTTGAGTCGTGCACGCCCGTATATTTCAAGTTCTTGCTCGCTCAGAATTGGGTCAGTTTACAGTCTGGCTGTATTAAAAACTGGGACTGATACGGTGAAATGAAACTAAATATTTAGAGCCCAAACAGCTTTGCTAGCCACACTGCTACACCGTTTTGGGATCATTTCAACAAAGTACGTGTAACTTTAATTAGTTTCATTTTCTTGAACTGAAGCAGAGGTCTCACACGTTAAATCAAACTTAATCTGTTGCCTGGAGTCAAGACGTTTGTTCTCACGTTGGCAGCCTGATAATAAATCTTCATCTTGGTCCTTTGCTGCTACATCACTCCAGTCTCTAGCTACTATCTTATACTTTGTCCGCTGTCCTGTCCTCCTTATACAGGCACGAAAATCCCCCAAAGTAAACCAGAGAGTCAGAAAAACTGAGATTTTTAGGGTCTCCAAGTCGTGCAAGACTCATATTTGCTGCCTTATCCAGAAAACAAACCAGTCAGATTTTTTAAAATCTGCATTTCTGAACTGAGAAATAATGAATGAAAGATTAATGTAGTTTCAAATTCAACAAGGCCGCAATAACAAAGTCCTGAATCTCTTTTTTTGGAGCATCTTTAGTCCACTAAGAACAAAAGGGTCACGTTAAAGAGATGAATTAGGAGGAGAAGAAACAAACTAGTTCATAGGCCTGCAGAGCACCACTGTCGCCACTAGAGAGCTTGTGCCTCCTTTCCAGCTCAGCGGTTTGTTTTGGTTCCTTTGCTGCACAGTTTGTGAAACTTACTTCTGTTTTCTCCTCATTTGCTCTCGGTTCGAGTCATTCTCCAGCGCTCACGGTCAAAACACGTATGCGGTTTTTGCTGTTGATAGTTATGAACATTTGGGGACTTCACCCTGTCTGCAGTTTCACTTCAGTGTCAGCGAGCAGCTGCTGAAATCCAAATGAGTGTGAGAAACATGCAAATGTTAAAAAGGAAAAACATGAATGTTAGCAGTTTAAAAACAATTTTATGAACTTTGGAAATCCTTTTACCTCTGCATGCACACAAAACCATTTTGGTAATAAATTAGGGCTCATGGTGTATTTACGTCTACTTCTATTTAAAACAGGTTTAGCAGAACTGTAACTCAAGTATGTATGTAGATGTAAAATATTCGCTGCTACCTCGCTGACCCAGAAGTAACTGGTTTATTCCGGCTGCATTTAACTACACCACCCAAATACTTTGTGTGTATATATATGTATGTGTGTGTGTGTGTGTGTGTTGTGTGTGTGTGTGTGTGTAGGAGAGTGCAAATATCACACAGTGAACTCCAAAGGCTGTACACCAGGTAACAGCCGGGTGCTGAATAGTTTGGAGCCTTGGAGAGAAATGCCGCGTCTAGGCTCAAGTTTTCCAAGTTGGCTTAATTATGCAACATTAGAAGGAGGGGAGACAGGGGGGGGGGGGCGAGATGTAGACTTAAGGATAGATGCACTGATAGTCCCACTAAGACAGACTTCTGGCTGTAAGTGGGACACTTTCTTGGCAGTGGGCAGTGAAGCGCAGAAATCATCCGGTAGCCTCCTGACAGGCATAATGGAGGTCACTTGGTCCAATTTGACAGTGCAGAAAATCCAGTTAATGTGACTTTTTTTCTTTTTTTTCCACTGAGCCATGCTAACTGGACGTAAATCTTGTGTTTTAATCAAACATGAAAGGAAACAAAGATGGCGGAGAGTTTTAAGAGATAAGATCAACCTTTATTCCTCCCACGGTGGGGAAATTTGCAAACTTGGTTTTTCTCTGACTCTACTTTGGACTTTTTTTATTCGACAAGTTTGCTGTTCTTTAAAATAAAGTAGTGTTAAAGTGTTCAGTCATAGTGACTTGCAGCTGCCACTGTAAAAGGAAAGAAGACAGGGAAAAAAAACTGACAATAGAAGCTACATGCAAAGACACAACTTCCCCCGACAGACGAGTCCGCCCTCTTCTCTTTGCCGGCTGATGCAACCTCATTGCTCCGTTGCGCTGCAGGAGATAATCCCCAGCCTTTTTGAATGGACACCATGAGCTCCGCCCTCTTGTAACCTTTCCCTGTGTGGCCCTGCGAGCTGCCGGTGCCTCAAGTTTCACCTGACAGCTCCGACCTTTCACCCACTGGTGGCTTGAACGGACTGCCTGTGGCTCAGCGGCTCGGGGCGTCTTAGCTGGGATCTCCTGCACATACACACACACACACACACACACTGGCCTCATAGTACTTGACACACTTCAGTCAGCAGCCAAGTGTGGGAATCAGTCTCAGAAAGAAGCCGACAGACACGCAGCCTGCTGATGAGAATAATTAGTTCATTTAAAAAGTTCTATACATGTGCAGGATATAAAAAAACACGATAATTTAGCTGTAATGTAAATTCATGGATACATAAATTCAGCATTTACCAGCTGCTTATAAGCATGCAGTCAAGTATGGTAAAAAAGGGTCACTGTGTAGCCCTCTATGATGGTCACTCCAGTACAGTTTGTGTTAATATACATAAAAATAAAAGCAAAAATATAGAAGTAGAAATACACTTTTACATTTTGTCAGAAGTCGCTGTCATGCAAAGATAAGCATGCTGCTTCGTCTACAGGGGGCGCCAAATTGACACGAACCAAAAGTTCCTTACAGGAGCTTTAAATCACCATCAGTCTGTGGATGGTATAAGTCTGCTAACGGGGAAAAACACGCATTTTAAAACTGTTTTCATGTGTTTCAAGAGTAAAAGGGTCTCTTGTTGATGATATCGATGAGCTGATTTTTTATCAGACACTTGTTATTCACTCCTTTTGTGTTTTTGTTTTTCCAGATCCGCTCTTCCATCAACACTCTGCTCTTCCACGGGCGAGAGTTCAGCTGGACCCGCCACATACTTATCGCCGCCACCATCCTGGCCTTCAACAACATGCTGGTCATCTTCGTTCCCACCATCAGAGACATATTCGGCTTCATAGGTGAGTCCCGTCTCTGAGTCAGACATGAGCTGTGGACCGATTAGCACCTTCAGGGTTCAGGGGTCATTTTATGAAGTAAAGACGTGGGAAGTTCAAGAGCTCTGAACTCAATTGTTCCTGATGGAAACACAATGAGAAGCTCATAAAGATAAAAAGGAGTCTGAAGGGGTCACCAAAATGGCTCAAAAATGGGGGTGATGCACTTTTGGTTGAAGTTTAAAGCAAGAGCTGTTTCCACTCTGCTTTATTAGTATAGCATTCAAGTTTAACAAAGTGCTGCACAGTAAAATTAAAAGAATAGACACTGCAGAAAACATCAAGATGAAATAAATAAAAGCAGGTAAAAAATATTTAAAATTTAAAATAAATGAAAGAAATAAAAGTGATAAAAGGACCTTAAAAGACTTAAAAGGACAGAGGTCGCACAACTCTTATGATGAGCTAAAAGTCAAGGAATAAAAATGAGTTTTAAGACGTGATTTAAAAGTAGAAAGAGTCGGGGATGTTTTAATCTCAAAGGGGCCACAATTTGGGAGCCACAGCTGAGAAAGCTCGGTCGCCACGTCACTTTGCTAAGTTTCTAACCTGCTGTTAAAGAGTTAATTATAATTTCATGCAGCTAAAGATGAATATTTTGTTTAATTTACTTTTCAGAAATATGTTAAACTGTTTCTTTCCTTTGCAGGTTCCTCTGCAGCCACTATGCTCATCTTTATCCTCCCCGCTGCCTTTTACCTCCGGCTGGTGAAAACGGTGCCGTTCAGGTCCCCGCAGAAGATCGGGGTACGTTTTCTTTCCCACTGTATCACTTTCCCCTAATTTTTCCAAAACGTGACTCCAGCGGACCCCCGCTGAGCTTCATCACACATCCGACTCCATTTAATCCCTCCTGTGTCTTCTGGTTTGTGTCTCTCTTCGCAGGCGGCTGTTTTTCTAGTGGTTGGAATCGTCTTCATGATTGGCAGCTTGTCGCTCATCGTCCTCGACTGGATCCACAACCCTCCAGGCTCCGGTGGGGAACACTAAACCACCCCTCCCCTTCAGATTCGAGAGCGCATCAAATCCTCTTCAGCCAACACCCTGCGATGTCTCTTCTGTTTTATTTCTCAGCTGCTCAGACATTTAGGAGTGCTGTCCATCAGCAGCTCAAATCTCAACATCGATCATAAAATATCAACACAAGGACAGAAAGTGGGAGACGATTCGGACGGTTTTAAAAGTTTTGGATGAGGGGAAACAGACTCCAGTTTGAGGTGCCTCCAAGACAACTTGAATTCATCATCATCATTATCATCGTTACTTTTCCCAGCAATGAAGAGGCAGAACGAACACAAACTGTGCAGCCTGAAGCGGACCCGTGAGCTGCTGTGAACCGGGCTGGAAAGACAATGTGAGTCCCTCAGTCCTCCGTGCACTTGAAGGAGACAGCCGGAGGTGGATCGTATCAACCTCCATGAAACAAGGAGCACTTCTACGCATTACGTTTCATTTTGTGTGCAGAACTAAGACACACACGAAAACACGCAAACACACAGGCATACAGTGAAACACAAAACACACCTACACCAGCATTTTTAAGCTGCTATCCGTACAGAAAAACAAAAGCCCTGAAATAAACCACGTTTCAGCTCGTCTCAAATCAGTCATGGGGAGTTTAAACGCAGAAATTTCTGCTTCACGTTAACAATCAGGAGCTTTGCCAAAGTCAACATGCACATAAAATTTAAAAAAAGAGGGGGATTGGTAAACGGAGAGCTGCAGAGCTTCCTTCCTGGCTGTTTTATAACTTTTTCATCCTGACTGTGCACACACGAAGCAAAGAGATGCCTCAGTATGAAAACAGACAAGGTCTAAATGTACATAGAGAAGTGTGTCTACTGAAAAGAAACCGTTGTTGTACATAATATCTTACTTTTGCATCAAACAGACCTTCAGGTTGTATGAAGTTAAATTTCCAACACGTCTACGTCTTTATCAGCCACTTCATTACGGATTAGACAGCTACCATCGGTGATCGTTTAGAAATCGGCTTTAATGTGTGAAAATTAAACATACCTGCAGTCCCACTTAAAGCATTTCCACATGTGCCAAATCATTCAAAAGACCTCCCTGAAGTATAAATGAAATGAAATACTGTCATGAAATGTAAAGTTAATAATCAAAGTTTGTTATTATGAGGAAATAGTATTCCTTCGAGTTATTCGTCATGATTAAAATGAGCGTGGTACTTAGCTTTAGTAACCATTTTTTAAAGTAAATAAAACTCAAAAACAAGTCTGTGAACTAACTAAAGCGTCTAAATTAGTTTGACTCAGATCACTCACTAACTCCTGACCTACAGTATCTGACTCGTGCCTTTCTGATCATCACCATCATATCCGGTGCCTTTTGGTCAAACCAACATCCAAACCTCACGTCACCTCTCCTCTGAACGTTTCCAGCCAAAGTGGACAACATTTATAGATCCTTTGCGGATCTCAGTACATGAAACAAATAGATATTTCAAATGAAATAGTGTATTACTGCGTGCATGTTTTTGGATTACAAACATGGTCTTTTTGGACATTTGTATATGCTCTGTAAATAATCTTTATTTTATGGTACACTGACACTCATTGTCTGTGAGTGGGTCGTCGTTGTTTTTGGGGGATTCTGCTTTACAAGTCTTCGGCAATCCAACGTTTGTTATAGTAAATATAAATATATATGATGTGTATTAGTTTTTCTCTCTCTTGCTGTATGACAGTAGGTTTTTTCTTTACTCAACGCTTGTATATTTGTTGAAACTTTGATCTCTATGTATACATTTTTCTGTATTTTTATCGTCTCTCGTCATATTAGGAGTTTTCTCTCGAGACTCAGCAACCAGGCAATACGTTTCTATAGCTTTTTAGTTCATGGTGGCAAGTTGAAACCACAAGTAAGCTGTTTAGGTTTGAATGTATTTTCTGGAAAATCAACATGCAACATTTCACAAACTCACTACAGGAAGGTTTCAGGGCGGACCCGCCTTATGATGGCTCCTCTGCATTAAACAACACGCAGGAGACCCTTTCATGTCTATCAGGCGTGCAGCTGTAACAGGACAAATGTAAACCGTTGTAGTTCGAACCTTACTGTGGCTCATATGTATCTCACTGCTGTCACGGCGAAACCTTCAACCCCGGTTTGTCGAGGTTTTACTGACATGACGTTACTTGAAATGAAGCTTTCCGAGGTATGATGAAGCTTCCTTACCGAAGGGTCTTTACAGTAATCGAATGTTTAAGACGGATTGTTTCCAATCTGGCTTAAATTTTGTCACCAGTGTTCAGCTTGCAGCCTTTCTCATGCTCCTAAAACCACACGTACTCTACCTTTAGTTTCTCAGGTATTCACTGTGGATGGATTTCTCTTCTTACTGTCGGTAAACCAGATTATCTTCACATTTTGCATGATTGAGCCTACCTTATCGATACTGTTAAATATAATTGGGGCTGGCTGAGATGGAGAGACATCTTGTTCGAGTCCCCGGCTAACCTATAACAGTATTTTTGAAAAGGAGTTGTGTAGAACCACCTGCCTTATTTTTCTATGGACCCTCAGCCGCGGAGAAACACTTGCTCGATGTTACTGCTGTTCAGTGTCTCTGTTTCCTGTGGATCAGGCTGAACATTCAGATTTGTAATTTTAACCCACCCGAGGGGATGTGTTTTTTATGTATCAGTGATGCTGTTTCATTATGATGAACAATAAATGTGAAATTTAAAAAAGTTTGTGTTTTTGACACTTAATTCTTCAGTGCATGCAAAGGTCAGTTATGGGGTTTCACTGTGACGGTCCAGGGTTAAAGGACCCAAAATGCACAACAAAAAAGAAACACAGGGAATAAACGATACTATAATAAACTCATGAGACTGGACTACAGAGGAACAGGAACACTAGAGAAAATACAAAGACAATAAACTCAGATGAACAAAACCAGGAGAAAAACTAAATAAACAGAACATGTGATGATATTCAACAGGGTTCAGCGCTTAGACCATCATCTATATTGAATTTTCATTCTTGAATCAATAAAGTTCTTCTTTTTCTTTTCTCTTTCTTTCTTTTTTGTTTTTTTTCTTTAATTTTTCTTCTTTTTCTTTGTCTTCTTTCTTTTTTATTCATAGTCTTCTTTTTCCTTTTATTTTTTCCTTTTTCTTTGTCTTTTTTTCTTCATCTTCTTGTTTTTCTTTTCCTTTTGTCTTTGTCTTTTTCTTCTTTTTCGTTTTTTTCTTCTTCTACTTCATCTTTATCTTTTTCCTCTTTTTCCTTTTCTTCTTTTTCTTCATCTTTTTGTCTTTCCTTTTCTGTGTCTTCATTTTCTTATTTCTTTTTTCATAATCTTCTTGTTTTTTCTTTCATTTTTCTTCTTTTTCTTCTTTTCTTTTTCTTTTTCTTTTTTTCCTTTCTCTTTGTCTTCTTTTTCTTTTTCTTCTTCTTCTTGTTCTTATTTTCCTTTTTTGTCTTCTTTTTTCCTATTCTTTTTTCTTCTTTTCTTCTTTTTTTTCTTTATCTGCTTTTTCTTTTTCTCCTTTGTCTTCCTCTTCTTCTTTTTTTCTATTCTTTTTCATCTTCTTCTTGTTTTGCTTTTCCTTTTTAGTCTTTTTTCCTCTCCTTTTTCCTTTTTCCTTTTCTTCTTCTTCATATGCCGATGACACTCAATTATTCCTCTCACTGCAACCAGCAAAAACGAATAGATAAACTTTACCCGTCCATGCATTTATGATCTCCATGTTGGATTAACATAATTCTATTTTATTAGGCTGCCCTTATAAGTCTTTAAAACTCTTCAGCTGAAATGGTTTGTCTTAATATTGAAGATCAGTATTTTTTCAGTCTGTTTTATAACCAGATAAAAACTCCTCACAGGAGCTTTAATTAAAAATCCACCCTGATTAGAGATGGGAACAGCATTTGAAGTTCAAGGAGAGTAAGAGTGCCCTGTAGGTATTGATGTACTGTAATAAAAAAATCACATCGTGAACATGTGTCTAAGAGTTTGTGTATCAACAAACACTGCAGAAATCCTTTTTAGTCATACCAAGGCTTACATAACCTGCCTCTGTCCCAGCTGGCATGGCAGGGTGTCACATCCAGAGCCATATTTTTGGCATAATGATCAGATGTTATAAAACTTCTAGTAATAAAACAGATCCCCCTGTTCCTGTCCAGCTAGCAGCTACTGCTGACATGTAACACCAGCTTGTAATGTTCACAGACAATCAGAAAAAGAGGCAGAGGGGGAACCCGGTTAGGTAATCCCTCCATTTCTTTCCAGATTGGTAACCTTGACTCCGAGATAAAGCCGGACAAAACAGGAAAGACCCAAAGAGAAAACATGGAAAAGATGAGTCAGCCGATCCAAAATAGAGTTTCCAAAATTCTGATAAAAGTTGGACTGAAATTTATTTTTCTGTATAATTGGAAGTAGGAGACAGTATGTCATAATATTTTAATGATAACGTCATCGATCAGGAATAAAGGATCGTTTTAAAGATGGTTCCTTTTAATAACACGGGAAAATAGGTCAGTTGTATAAAATTTGTTTGGACACGGTCTCCTGGTCAATGACCTACAAGGATTTTAACCTCTGACATAGCTCTATTATGTATTATCTGCTTGTGTAATTTTGTTGATCTACAGGTGAATTTTGACCAAACGTATCCAGGACTGTTAGTTCCAGGAACTTCTCTTGGATCTAAATGGTTCCTGTCTGCGTTTCCACCAAGGGGGCCTAATGTTTAGGGTAAATACATCAAGTCCTGTGATCCTGTCACCGCTCTGTACTCCAGTCTCAGCTGGATATTTTCTTACTGGAAGTTGTCAGAGAATCCCGTTGGCTGCAGGTAAACTGTACTGATGATAGCTGACTGGAAATATTTGCTCCTGGACTGTTATCTTCTGGTACATGTTCAACTTTCTCTCTGTGTGTAAACTGTTTATCAGCTTAAAATGTAAAAAAAATAATCATTTCCTGAGAAGACTGACCCCTGAGATGAGATTAATGTACATAAACAGAGTCAAAATTCATGTGCATACATAGTTTTACTGTGCTGCTGCCAGTATTTCACATGCAAATTAACCACCTGTTTTATTTAATGTCTATGAAATGATCAGACCCCGTCTGTCCAAGTCCCTGGGCCTGAGCAGGGTCTTTTCTCCACTCCAGAACTAAACTTAGACCTGAGTTCTTGTGGTCGAAATGAATCTTAAGCTTTCAGTTTGCTGGTTTCTATTTGATTGATCATTTTAATATGTCTGGTTTATCTCTCTTGTCGTTACAAAACATAAATTATCAGGAGTGTTTTGGGTCAAACAGACATAATGCCCGCTAGAATCTGCTCGGCAGGATCTAAATCTGGGTCATAAGTGTTTTGGACAACAGCTTGACTTAAATATGCATCCAAATAAAACATTGACACAAGTCTACATGAGCTGAAACTGTTCAAGGAAAACATCAGAGCATCCTCATTTTCAACTGACGTACGCTGCGACTATATAGACAAATATTACGATGGATGAAATTAAACTAACCAGCTTAACCTTCCTCCTGTGTTCACCGACCTGTTTTTGTTTTTAAATGCTTATAAGAACAACGTAAATTCGTTTAATGTCATCAAGACTTTTTGACTTTTTTAGGAACCTCTATTTCAACAAAATAAAATAAAAAAAATGTAATTGACTAAATTATAAAATGCTCTTATTAAAATTATGGCACTTGTCGTGTTAGGGTCACTGTTGACCCGGTTAGATCAATATCTAATCATTAGAGTAAAAACTGAAATCATAAGTGAACGGACAGTCAGATCCTCCTCCAATCATGTGAGATTTAGGAAATTCTCATTTTGCCTGTTTTTCCCTGCACAAAAAAAAACAACATCGGGCATGTCCAGACATGTGAGATCAGTTCAGTATGGATGTCTGTGTGAGGGGTATACTGACAAAGAAAGACACAGAGGACCACAACAAAAACTATTATAAGCAATATTTTCATGGATAATGAAGCCGAACAAGGTAATCTAGAGATAAGAACCGAATTGGATGATTGAGAATTGTTTTTCATGTAATTTACAGCTGATTTAAAACAGGCGTCAAACCCGAGCCTTAACATAGTGGGTGCGTAGTGAAAGCTCACACAGGAGGAAGGTTAAGGTGCTTTTTAACTTTAGTGGAACTTTAGTGAGCTTATCCCAGAACTCTGTGCAAACTAGGGTCTAAATTTAGTCCTGGGGCCAAAGATTTAACCCTGAGTCTTATCAGGACATTATCTTTTTTTACATTATAAGCTGATAAACAGTTTACACACAGACTCCTGCTGAGCAGGGAGAAAGTTGAACATGTACCAGAGGAAAACAGTAAAGGAGCAAATATTTCCAGTTAGCTATAATCAATACAGCTCACCTGCAGCCAACGAGATTTTCTGACAACTTCCTGTAAGAAATTATCCAGCAGAGACTGGAAAACAGAGCGGTGACAGTAACTTTATTAGCAAATAACATCTCTGGATGTCATTCACACTGACGTTGATACCCAGTTCTGGTGGAAAAGCATCTTTAACTGTATTAAAACACGGACAAAGTCACTTTGGTGAACCTTGATTGAGTCGAACTTTTGGTCATCTAAACACAAACAAAGATGTGGCGCTGAGGTGAAAATCTAACCCCTGACAACCACGCCCCTAATTATGCAAATGAACCCAAGAAACTGAACATACCCGAGACTGTTTCTCCTGAACTAAGCTGATAATGAGTCTCACTTTGCTTTGACATTTTATCCAACAGTAAGAGTTGATGGTAATCTCTAACTGGTGCAGACACTCGATGAACTTCAGCTTTTTCACTTCCCACTTGGCTTCATTTTCAATACGTTGTGCAACAAAGCTTCGGCGGCAGAGCGGTGTTTGCGCGGCGGAGGCTGCAGGTGAGACTGTTTTATTGATGTTTGTGTGTTTGCCCGAGTAAAGGACACACAAAGAGAGAAAGAGAGGACAAGCAGCATCATCCTATCAGGATGCAGGTCACATTCCACCACACGGTTTTGTTGTAAATCTTGTTACACAACGCTGTAGCTGACCTCAGAGGGACGACCTGCTCTATAACCCCTCTTAACCTCGCCGTACTGTCAGCGCTCTCCTCTTGATGACCACATTAATATTCAAGCTCCGGCCTCTCCCTCTCGCTCTGTTTGTCTCCATCTAAATGAGCGCATAATAAATCCAGCCCTGTTAAAACGGCCGCGGTCAGTTTGATAGAAAGTCACTTTAATTGTTTTATTTCCCAGGAGTCTGCTGCTGCTGCTGCCGTGTTTTGAGTATCTGACATTGACAGAAAGGAACGTAACTCAGATGCCAAACTGTTCAACCCAAGTGTGACTCACCAGCTACATAACTGAAGCATCATGAGAGCAGCTATTAAATTAATCCCCATAGCAGAACAATGGGCCATGCCACTTTTAGGAGAACTGGTTCGCTGCTTCTGAATAAAGCTCTGAAGCTACAAAAGCAGGAAATAATCCCGTAATGTAATCATCATTAAACAATAATTTGAGATGCATCACATTCCTGCGAAAACCATCCAAACAAACCCGCTTGTTTTTCATTTTTAATGGTTTAAATAAAGCTCTGTAGAGTTACTGACCTTTACTCCTGCGCTCTTCCTCTTCTTCTTTTTCTCATGTTTTAATTTTTCATGATTCCCCGTCGCTCTGTCGGGATGCTCTCCTCCATTTCC